AAATGTACAGTAAGTTACATTCCCAGACTTGGTATGGCTGTGACTGCTTGCTGCTCTAGCTGTCGCTGCATGCTTCTTGTTGCTAGGTGATATCCGGCTGACTTTCGTGTTTTAGGAAAACTGGCAACTCTTCTTCTGTCAAGTTCAGCTCCCTTCCAACTAAAGACCCCAGACAAAGACACCAGCATTGCGGTTCGTTTGGGTCCACGCCTTCCGGCCGAGCAGACTCCTCGTCTTCTGCAGAGCGTATACCAGAACCACGCCAAGCAGCTCGCTCGAGGGAAGGGTCCCGAAACGCCCTTTCTCCGGATTGCAGTTCATGTGTACAAACCATTGCAGGTGAGCCTTTGTCCTCCTCCCCCCCTCTCAGTTTGCCTCGCTTCCGCTCGTCGCTTATACTGTGATAGGGTGATCCTGTTGTCACACTCAGTAAGGGAAATAAGCGAGCTGACGACAACGAGGATAACGACGAGAGGCCGAAGGACAACAACATCGGCAATGTGAAGTCCAATACACATGGGTAGCCCCCTGTCAAGAAGGCTAACACATCATCTGGTGAGGGCGTTCATCAAGTGCTTCCTTCTTCGGCTTCTTCCTCTTTGCACCGCTCCTCTTTGGCTGTTGGTAACTCTTCTGGTGGCTCCAGATGGGGGGCAATTGCTCGACCCCATCACCATAACCCCGGCCCCTGCAGTGGGGGGGGCGCAAAGGCGGTGGTGTCATTCTCATCCTCCTCCAAACGCCAACAATGGCAGCTGCCAACATCGCCCCCATCTTCTCCAGCAGCCGTACCACCCACAGCCCCAACAACTACTTCGACCACCACCACTCCCATCTCTTCCTTATCCCCGGAACCTCACTTCCCTCTCAGACTATTTCAGAATTACAACGATTGTCAAGAACCACACACGGGGCCCCCACCAGCAGCTCGCCCTCCTCCTTCGACCTTCCTCTACCATGAAGTCTATTTTATCAGCGACCACCACAGATAGACGGTCTCCCTCCCAGGCCCGGCCACTCGGCATTCTCTTACAAAGTGTATACCGGTCTGTGTATCCCCCCGACATCACGGAGATCCATTGCTCTTGGACATATCCAAAGTTGTCATGGCCCCAATGTGTAGCCACCGCACTCTGTCCGGCCTCCAATATCACCCTCTGCTCCTCGTTCCACCAGTGGATAGAGGCCTCTGCCTTTGTCTGTCTGTACATATCTTGTATCTGTTCTAGCTGTTCGCGGTTTGGCCCTGTCAGACATTCCATCCCCCCGTAGTCTTGTGGGTAAAAGTAGGTGTCTTGACGAGAGCCGCCTGAAGGGTTAATCAGTTAATCTTGTCGTTTTGGCGGCGAACACGCCAGGTTCGATGGAAGCGTAGAAACTCGTATATCAATCTGTTCATAACAGGGACAATCAGCCAATGGAGGATGAGGCCATATACTCCTTGACTTACAGATGGGTCCTATGGAACCTGTTGAAACCCCTGCGTGTAGCCGCACATACTCTGCGATAGACAACAAGAGTGATGAGAATGAACCTAAGAGCTTCCTGTAAGGCATTTCCGAGCCTCGATCTCTAGCAATTTGGAAAGGATAATCTAAGGAGGGGTTGAATAGAGTCCATATCAGGAGCAACGAGATCGCTTACCCCTCTGGTCCAGTATGGTGTCCAGAAAGACATACTTGACATTAATCAACATACACTATTGATCATCACCACTGCCTCCCCCCAACGTGAACAATGGCTTTATGGATGAGTTGTTTCAGGCAAACATTCCAGTAGATGTACTCACTCGAGACATATCTTGATCCTTGATAAGGTCATTCTTGGAACTGCAGTGGGCAAGCGAGCAGGGTGAACTGTGTTTGCAATGCGTGCGCGGGGTGGACAGCTGGTGGACAGATAAAGTGGAGGCAAGGTGGAGGTATGTAACAATTCAGTACATATCTTAACAATTCAGTAACAAAAAATATTTTTCTGGAAATGCGGCCAAAATTGAGTCGGACTATATCGGCGCGGTAGTTCTTATCTTATCCCTTCTCTTACTTATTTTCCCATACAAAATGGGGAAAATGAGACGCGGCTCGGCTTAAAATAAGAAATCGCCGAAAATAAGATAAGTAAGCGGCTATATTTGAAACGTGCTAATGTTCCTCCAGCATTGCAAAAAACACCTGCCCAAGATATGACCTTATTGTAGCTGGACCAGCAGTACTATAATGTTCCTTTTTTCATTGAAGTATTGTGGGTCAGGTCAGATGAAATGCATCAGGGTGAGATTCTTTGCACTGAAACTTTGTTTGCTGTTACTCGTTCTCATTAGTATGTTTCAAATATAGCCGCTTACCTTATCTTATTTTCGGCGATTTCTTATTTTAAGCCGAGCCGCGTCTCATTTTCCCCATTTTGTATGGGAAAATAAGTAAGAGAAGGGATAAGATAAGAACGACCTATTTAGGTCTTTCTTATCTTATTTCTTATTCTTATTTTGCTCACTTGTACAAAGTCATTTAAATCAATGGAAAAATATTCGTTTTCCGTGTCGACACGTCCAGCTGCACACGTCTATCTTCCGTCCTTTTGCTTGCTCACGTCTTTATACACCCCTGTAACCCCCCAAACTTCACAGAGCCATGGGCCCAAAAACCCCCCAGACACCCAAGACCCCCGTGATGATCTTCTTTGATGCGCGCGAGCTCAGACATCGTGGGGGGGTGTGTTGTAAGTGGAGAGTTGAGCAGGTGAGCGCGCGGCAAGGGTGTGGATGTATAAGTAGACTACATGTGACTTGAAGTCACGCTGAGAGCAGACGCGACACGCCATTTACGTAACACCAAGAAATAGTGAATAAGGGGAGACGCGAGGTAACAAAAATACCCTTTCAAATTTCCCAGCCAAATATTTGATCCCGGAATAAGGAAAAGAAAAATAAGCGGCTATATTTGAAACATACTATTCTCGTTCTCTTCCTTCCTGCTAGTAGAACTGTCCAATGTAGCTTGCCATGCCCATGTTCACTTCTGGCACTTTATTCTACTTGCCTTGTCCTCCTTATTGTTTGTAGCCTTTCATACAAGTAGGGGGCAGAAAAACCGGAACCTGCAGCGCGGCCGGATTATCTTCACTTACTTTTTACTTCAGCCTGTATCTCATTTTCCTACTAGTCAAACATACTTGAAACTTTGCATACACATATAAGAGAGCATAACAATCAATATCTAGGTTAATCCCCGCTAGAACCACCTTTTGCTTTGACTACAGCACATCTCTGATAATCCATAGACATGATATACAAGTTCACCATCTCAATTGGGATATCTTCCCAAGCCTTCTGCAGGTCCTCACATAAAGCCTCATGCAAGGTAGCTTTTCTCTTCTTCGCCTTTCATCCTCAGCAGCATCACACCACTGGGCAGCATTGGGACTAGACATGGCCTGTCGCCAGGTGTCGGGCGTATCAGGGGCAATGGCCATCTGACTCACAAAGGCACAAAGATTGGGAATGCTTTCAAGCCCAAAGTCGGGGTTGCCGGGGTGGGAGTGGCTGCCAAGGTACTCAGCTAGTTCAGCCTCATAGGCGGTATGGCCTGGGGGAATGGAGTCACCAGTGGCAGCAACATGGGCTTGAGCAGTGAGCTCGTTGTCAAAGCGCGGGGTGGTTTTAAAATGTGACCCGACCGAGTGTGTTGGGCAGCAGGGTCAACCACGGGTGGGGGGGGGGGCGGCGGGATCTCATCCGCATACTGATAACCAACATAACGTCTGTGAGGTTGTTCAGCACCTGTTGCTTGACCTAACTCACCATTCCCTTCAGCCGGAGCACCTTCCTCAGTCCCAGAAGCCGCCACCCCATTGTTGATGCCATTGCCATTGTCATTGTCATTGTTGCCAGTGCTAGCCTGATAGTCGATGTCAAGTCCGTCCCGGTGTGCACCATCATCATCAGACTCCTCATGTTTCAAATCTCCACCATTGGCAATGGACCACTCGTCTTGTTCCGGCTCACCAGCATCAAAAACTGTGGAGCCCAAGTCACTACTCTCACTTGCACTGTCAACACTCCCAGCATCGGCGGAACTGCATCTCCCGCATTGGCAGGGACCCCAGCGCGCGGCCCAGGAATCTGGGGAAGGACGGGAACAGTAGAGTCAGGAGGGGGAAAACCATTGAGCGCAGAGACTAGGTGGGGAGGGGCAGTTGGTGCACTGCCCAAGGCAAGAGGATAACATGTTCATCAAAGGCGACAGAGCACTTGCTGACAATCTGCCCAGCGGTAGGGCCCCACAGGCGCCAGGCCTTTTGGTGTGTGGCATATCCAAGCATCACGCAGAGATGGGCATGAGGACAAAGCTTGCCAGTTCGGTGAGGTTTCTCATTGTGGGCCCATGCGGCACAGCCAAGGACACGAAGGTGTGCAAGGTTGGGCAGAGACTTGTAGAGTATTTCATAGGGAGTTGTAGCAATGGACCTGGAGGGGGAGCGGTTCTTCAAATAAATGACCGACATCATGATCTCAGCCCAGAGATTTTCAGGGATGCAGGCTGCAGCCATGGCGGCCACAGTGCGCTCCACAATAGTACGATTGGCCCTCTCAGCAACCCCATTTTGTTGCGAGTTGTAGGGTGTCGTGGTCTGGTGAATGACACCACGGCTCTCGAGGAACTCTTTGAAGGGCACATTCACAAATTCACCCCCATTATCAGAGTGATCAACCTTCAGTAGTATGTTTCAAATATCAAAAAAACGCCGGAAAAGATTTTTCGTTTGGGACGATATATATTTGCTTCTGTCGAGCGTTTTTGGCTGGCAGCAAAAAAACATCACAAACAAAAAAAAAAAAAAAAAAAAAAAAAACAGTTTGTGGGTTTTAGGCCAAACCGTTTTTTGAAAAATCACTAGAAATGAGTTTTGCCAGGAACACCGCATGCATACCACATGTCTACCACGTTGACTTCTCGCCCCCACGCGTGAGCGTGCTGCGCCAGCCTATGCAACTTTTGCACTTCATCTGTAGTTTCGAGCGTCTGCTGAAGCGTAGCCACAACCAGCAGGATGTTCATGATTGTCTCAACCTCCGCTCTCCTCTGACCTATATCTGACATGTCGGTAGGGGAGTATCAAGGTAGTAGAGAGGATGGTGTGGGACTGTTGGTAAGATGGGAGGGGAGGGAGCGTGCTGCTGAGGGGACAAGTTGCGTGGGTGGTCAAAGATACATGGCAAGTGAAAGATGAGCAAGTAATGTTACGTAAATGTAAACAATTCTGGGGTGGACTAACGCCAACAACAAAAAATGGTTTCAAATTTAAAATCGTTCGAGATGAAAATCCCCAGCCAAAGACTCCCCTCGACGGAAGCAAATATCTTCCGAAACGAAAAATTGTTTCCGGTGATTTTTTGATATTTGAAACATACTAGTATGGGGTCTTGCTGCGTCCCAGCTTCTGTAGCCCATTTGACAAACACAAGCAATGCATCCGACTTCTTGGCCAAAAAGAAACCCCAGACCCAGCCACTGTAGTCATCAACAATGACAAGCATGTAGCTCCGACTGCCAGCACTTTGCACACCCATGTCACGAAGATCCATGTGGACTACAGCAAGAGGGGTGTCAGCACGAGAGCTGCTGGAGGGAAAGGGCGGGCATGTGCTTTTGCCCATAACACACCCTTGACAGAAGTTGAGATCACCAGTGAGAGAGCCCCGGAGCGAGCCACCAACCCTGAGGCGAGAAAGAAGGCGGCGGACATCACCGATCCCAAGGTGAGAAAGATGATGATGCCAAATTTCGAGGGGAGCAGCCTTGCCAGAGGGAGCAGCAGGGGGCGAGAGCTTGGCTACGGTAACCGGCAGGGCACAGGGAGGACAATCGACCTGGGGAGAAGGGACCTTGGAGATGTCGAGGATCCAGGTCTCGGAGCGGTACTGGAGACAGAAAATAGTGGCCCCATCCAGGGAGGCAAGACCAGCGTAGTACAGTCGCACCAACAGCCATAAGACGCGCAGACGAGAGTAGGTTGAACTTCAAGCCAGGGACATAGTAAACATCCTGGACCTGGACCACGGCCCCCTCATGGTTAAGCAAGCAGACGTCAGCGGACCCGGCGACCACAAGGGTAGACCTGTCAGCAACTGTCACTTGAACCAGACGAAGAAGAGGTTTCGGGGGCGCGGAGAACCAACTCAGATCACCGGTCATGGTCAGGGAAGCGCCAGTATTGAAGACCCATTCCTTGGCAAGGACGAGAGAGGAGGAGGCCTGCCGCCTGGAGGGCGGCATGGCCGAGAAGAGCAAAACTGGGAGCGTAATGGGCCATGGCAGCCAAGCCGGTGAGATGGAGGCCGAATCGGCGGCGGCCTGCCGAGTCTCAGCGGGAGTGGCACCTTGGCCTGGGGCGCCGGAAGCACCGGTCTGCTGAGTCTCAGAGGGAGAAGCACCCGGGCCTGGAGCGCCGGAAGCACCACCACCCCTTCTCCCTTGTCTCTTTCTATTCCTTCCACCACCACCACCACCACCAAAGAAGTCCCTAGCACTGTAAGGACAGTCGCGGACCCAATGCATAGGAGAGTCGCAACGGAGGCATGGAGAGGAGACCGAGGGAGAACCTTTGTGATTACGGAAGAAGGCATGGAGTTGGTCTTCGGTAGCCTAGCCCGACTGGCTGATGAGGGCACCCGCAGTGGGCAAGCTCCATGTTGCTGATAGCAATTTGGAGATTGTCGAACGAAAGGCAGAGGTAGCCCAGAGCTGGTTGCGCCAGACATGGTGGCGAGAAGGCAAGGCATACAGCAGTTGGAAGACCAGCATCATTTCCGAGTACATCTCGAGCTGACTCAGACTGGCATGCTTCTGCTGAAGAGTCTCCATGTAGTCGAGGAGATCATCGGACTCGGAGGGAAGGAAAGAGATAAAGTCCCGGACCTGCAAGTGCAGGTACTGAGGCCCAGTGTCCCATAGACTCCGCGGAGGGCAGAGTAGATGTGATATGTCTTGTAGGAGGCCGTGTCGTCGACGATGGGGGCATAGCTCTTGGTAAGAGAGCGGGAGAGACACTGGAGGATGGCAGCAGCCACCATGGTGTTGGGAGATTTGTGGTCGTCAGAGAGGTCGGACGAGACAGGGGTCGTCACCTTTTCGGTCGAGGTATCGGGAGGAGGCGCAGTATGAAGGAGGGCCAGGCCTTGGAATTGTCGAAGGGCGCCATAAATGCCATCCTCCCATTCTCGCCAGTTTCTTTCACCTTCAAGCACAGGAACTTTGGCGAAGCAGCCCTGTACCAAGGCAAGTCTCCGATACAGATCGGTCATCGGTTCAGATACACACACAGGAGGGCAAGATATTGATTGGCGGGCGGCAAATTTGAGAAGGGCAAGGCAAGGCAGGGACGTTGGGGTTTTTGGATTGAGAGCAGAGTTGGGTGATGCGCCTAACGAATGATGGTTAGATCAAGTAACACCAACAGAGACAGATGGTCCCTAGGTAGGTGGGGCAGTTCGTGTGTGAACAGGCTCACCCCACTCCGGACAGGCAGGCAACTTGCTTACAATCGATCCTAGAGCTTTACAGGCTTGTTATCCAATTTCTAGGACGACAGAAGTCTTTCACACGGCAAGACAGCTGTTGAGAGGCGCGGGCTAGAATAGAGGTACAGATGATGAGGGTGATTTTGGACGACACAGGGGCTCCGAGTATGTGTGGTCGAGTGATAGCCACAGGGCAATTCGACTAGTAGAGGGACGGTCTAGGACAGGTCTTATCTCAGTCTAGTGGAAGGCGAGGCTCATAACCTGTTGGAAGGTTAGGCTATCTAGTTCGAGGCTCATAACCTGTTGATCTAGTTCGAGGCTCATAACCTGTTGGAAGGTTAGGCTATCTAGTTTGCATATAAAGAAGAAAAATTATGTGTGCGCGACAACATGAGAACCCGTGAAAGAAACTCTCGCGCGCCTATTTCCCTTCTTCGCCTATTTCTACCACTACAAGTTCACACCGGGATCTTACCTCAGTCCTAAAGAACGCACTTTCATTCCCGATTTCAGCAAAACACCCTCCCAAGAACTCCTCCGAACCATCAACCAAGAGCGAACTCTCACAGCACGCCAGTGCAAAAGTAAAGAGAAAGCATTACGCACAAAATTGGAGAAAGACAAAGGAGTTTTTCGATTACAAAAAGCAATCTGCACCGGCTCCACCAAATACCTCACGCCAAACCAATCCCAACCCATCCCACTGATGGTCCAAAACCCCGATAACCCCAACGAATACATCCACAATCCAAAAGAAGTCCTAAACATATGGAAAGAATACACAGAGACCACACTCCAAAGGCCTGAGCCACCAATGCACAACAAACAATGGATGGACACACCCACAGCATGAGCCTTAAAAAGTTCACTCCATAGGGACCCGTTCCAATGGCCCAAACCCATTTCTATTACAGGATTGCAAGCCCTCCTCAGCCATGGAAATACGAAGCCCTCACCAGGCCCAGACAGATGGGAGAAATGGGCACTCGCCCTCTGCACCGCCAACTTCTTACAAATCATTGTAGCACTCATCAACTACTGCACCGAACACAACTATTTCCCACAACCATTACGAGATACCTTTCTAATCCCACTATACAAACGAGGCGACCCCACCATCCCCGCAAACTACCGAGGCATCATGCTCTCACCACTTCCACATAACCTATGCGCAGCATGGCTCACCATCAACCGCAATGCCTATGTGTGGCGTAAAGGTTTCATCCCCACCAGCCAGACTGCCACCCAGCCAGGAGCGAGGCCAGGAGACCTAACTCTAACACACCTTCTCAGCATATACGATGGCTTAGCCAAAAGAGAAAAACGCTCCATACTGGCACTCAAACGAGACCAAAAGAAGGGATTCGACTTTGTACACAGCTCAGCGTTCCAAGACGTTATCTCTTTCTTCGGCCTGCCAGAGACTATAGCACGTTTCGACAAGGCCAGAAGCAAAGATCTACATATCAACCTACGCATCAACAACACCCTCTCCGAGACTATCCACACATCCGGACAGACTAGGCAAGGCTGCCTTTCAGTCCCTTGAAGTACAACCTCACAATGGCGATGTCCTACTGGTGGGTGATGGACTCCATCTCCCAAGAGGACAGATGGAACCTCCAGCGCCCGATTCCAACCAACCACAAACCTGAACCAATCCCGTTGGTACCACCCATTCTATCGGTAATGGATGACACCATCATCTTAGCCCCAAACATCAATGCCCTACAGAAGATCGTCCCCACTAAAAAACCCCGACTACTAGTACAGCTGAAGGGACCATCACACTCCCGCAACGGACATCTACCGGACGTTGATGAAAATGACACCTCAGAAAACCAATTCGATCAAGAAGCCGACCCACTAAGCGACCAGATCATCCTGCTCACAGAGGAGACAGAAGAAGAATCACAATCCCAACCATCTTCCAACAGCCAGGATGACGAGACCACTTCAAACAGAAATAACTCTGAGCACCGTCAACATACATACGTCGCGCCCTGGCTATTCACTAGAAGCACATCAGGATACACCATGCTCATACAAGCCCAAGCCAGAAATGGTCAGCTCCTGACCGCACAAAGAAGAGAACAACGATTTGGAGAGGCAGTGACCGAGTGCCACCTATGCAGCGACCCCGGACCGATCGACAAACAACACATATTTGTCACTTGCAACAGCACCAGGCATATAAGAGAAGAATAAAAAACACAACTGAAAGAATACGAGAGGAAGCTCAAGATGAACACGGGAATAGTCGACACCTTATTCGACAACAACCAATCCTGGATCAACAACAAGTCAAGGTTTTGGATAGGCCACCTGCCTGACTACCATATATACCTGGAAAACAAAGAACACATAGGGGCCTACAAGAGTGCATACACTAAAGCATGCACCACCACCAGCCGCATATGGGGACACTGGGGGAAGACCAGGCAAGCACATCAAACAAGGACAACGGACACAACGACTGAGCCATGAACAGCACACCACCGAAAGAAACCAACACACAACCTCGAACGACAGTTAACCTCACAGACAAAGCCCAGTCAACCACAATTGAGGCATCGAACCAGATCATAAACGCCGCATCCCACGGAAGCGGCACAGGAACGGGGCATAATTGTTGTAGCGCAAGGCAATAGAAATATTGCCACGTCACACAATTATGTTAGCACGCAAGGCTCGCGCACCCATCATCCCAAAATCTACAAATCTACACTACCACAACAGTTTGCCCCTGGAGCATCATCTCTATGATTCCCACAGATACATTGTGACAGAGCTGTCCATCAAACTATGGATTTTGCCTTTCACTCATTACTTTTTCCATTGGGCATCACATCAGCACTTCACAGAGTCAGACTGCCCGAGAGGAAAACAATTTTGTACTTGTGTAGTGCACCAACACTCCATAGGCTCCATAGGTTTGTAGAAAGAGCTCATCTTGACAATATATGTTTTCAATTTTGGCTTCTGTTTGAACATGCACCAGGTACTCTCAGACATACAATACATTTAGACGTGTGGTGCTATTATTGCTATGTTTATTGTTTGTTAATGGGTGATATGACTCCGTAAGTTGTACACTTTCAATCGGACCAGGGACTATAGCTACACGCTCAATCACGCTCGCTTGCTACAAGTAGATGTCAGCTGCTGCTGCTTGAGCACTCACAGCTCAGCGCAGCTCACCGGTTGAAGAAGATATAGCCTGCATTGAGGTATGTGGCTGGAAAGTGTTGATTAGTGGACATGTGGCAGAGTAGAGATCATTGACTTACCATATCCAAGCCATGCACAGTAGGGGGCCAAGAACCAAAGGGTGTTGGTATTGATGTTGTACATCTTGGCCTTGACAATGTGTCAGCTTACACTTGTCAACCACTGATTGAACCCACAGTCATTGCACCAACAGTACCCGTGAGGGCCAACAGATTACCCAATGCAATCTCTTTCTGCTTCAAACCAAAGAAGATGGGTGACCAAATCAAATTGAGACCCAGTTGAGCGTAGTAGAGTTGTAGAGCAACACCAGACTCGTGTCTGAGGGGCCAAAAAGTCAGCCCATATCGTTCAAGGAACTTTGCAACAATACTCACGTTCCAGAAGGTGTGATGGCAGCATCAAATGATTTGACAGCCAAATGGGATGCATAGCCCATGAGGCCATAGAGAACGGTCCAAACCTAGGTCCGTCAGCCTACAATGATTGGTGCTCAGAGACGAGCTTACCGGTCCAAAGACTTCCTTGGGCGGGTTTCCGGGAGGCGGAGTCATTGTCTGATGACAGATTAGCAGCATTCATATTGGGTCTGCCATTGTGTCCTACAGTGAACCAGTTGCTCCTTGAGCTCTGCCCGGTGATGTACCCGCTGGCTGCTCCAAGGCCGATGGGGAGACCGACTGCGCGAGTCAATGTGGGAACAGACCTGGCTGTTGGGGAGACTCACCAGCAAGCACGGGGTTGCGCGCGACGTCGAAGAGGATTTCAGGCAAAGGGGACATTGTGTATTGTGGGATGGCTGAAGGGGCAGCTGGTGCATCGCTTCGCTGGTTATATACTTTACTTTATGCCTCGGCGGTCACCTGCAGATCGTCGAGTGCAGTGACGTCAACATAGATTACGTAATTGAATACTGATCTTTTTTGGTTCTCGCCTCCACATGAGTTGGTCAAATCGACATGGATTGATGTAGACTTGCATGATCAAACACAAGCTGGTAGAGAACCGGGATCCTCGCAAACAACGCCCCTATAGAATCAGCCAGCCGCATCACGCCAATTTCGCCAACAACGCAGACACTTAGTTCGACCACCATGTCACGACGCCCCGACCTCGGATACATCGACCAGAACGCCGAGGAAGTCTCAGTGGCCCCGGCGCCTGATGACCTTACGGGTGCCGCCACAGCAGAGCAAGACGATCAGTCGAGCGGGTCTAGCGTCGAGGAGGAATCAGAGGGCGAACCTTTTCCCGATATAGAATACGAAGTTAGGCAAGGGCACATTGATCCGTTCGATTATGAGGAGGATGAGGAAGATGATGACTGGGATGTCGAAGGCGAAGATTGGGAGCTGGCCAATGGAGGTGAGTTTGTCTTGGCGATCTGACTCAACTTTGACTCGGGTTGATCATGGTACCGGTAGATTTCACAAAACAGTATAATCGAGTGCGGCAGCAGCATGCTGCAGGATCCGGTTCAGTCCCGCTCCCTGCTCGTAATGCTCCCCAGAAGAGTGTGCCCGCCAAGACAAAAACCCAGGGTAACAATATATCGCTCAAAACAGGTGTGGCGACCAATCCAAAAGCCGCTCAGGACAAGCACGATAAAGACAAAAGCGACAGAGCAACGCAGGATCAAGTCTTGGACTCGCGTACCCGTTTGGTTTTGGCGGGTCTTGTGAATCGTGGGGTAATCGGCAAAATCGACCGATGTATAAGTACCGGCAAAGAAGTAAGCAAGTGACTGGACTGGACATTGACTGACACTTGCCTGCAGGCAAACGTGTACTTTTCTCCGCCCTCTCGCGTGGTCAAAATCTACCGGACATCCATCCTCGTCTTCCGTTCGCGTCAGAACTACATCGTCGGCGAGCAGCGTTTCAAGGGAGAGTATACCTCATCGAAAAATCCCCGCAAGATGATTCGAGTCTGGGCTGAGAAGGAGCTGCGGAATCTCAAACGTCTCGCTCAAGGAGGCGTTAGAGCCCCCGTGGTTCACGAGTGCAAGGAAAATGTCTTGGTCATGGATTATCTTGGTGTTGGCGAAGAGTGAGTATTGGGCGGCTCCCCGGTTGTTCGGTACGCTCATCAGTGCATATCCCCAGAGCGGCGCCTCGTCTCAAAGATGCCGAGCTCCTCACAGAATCGCTACCTGGACTCTACGCAGAGCTGATGGTCGCCACAAGAAGGATGTACCAGAGATGTCATCTAGTGCACGCGGACTTGAGCGAGTACAACATCCTGTGGGCCTTTCAACTCTGTCTCGTTGTTTGATTACTATGCTGATAGACCGGGCAGTGTACATGAGGGTCATCTTGTCATCATCGACGTATCCCAATCCGTCGAACACGACCATCCCAATGCGTTTGACTTTTTGCGATCTGACCTCTCCAATGTCGAGGAGTTTTTTGGGCGGCGTGGTACGAGTACGCTGGGACTACGCCGATCCTGGGAGTTTGTAGTCACGGAGAATATCGGTCTCTCCCCCGAGGAAGAGGTCGGAGACGATGGCGAGAAGCGACTCGCTGCTATAGTAGCGGAATGGGCAACGGAGCCCTCCGACAAAGCCGACGATGCGGTGTTTATGGAATCATACATCCCTCGTACTCTTGCAGAAGTTTACGACGCAGAGAGAGACGTTGATGTACTCAAGAGCGGAGGCGGTGACGACTTGATCTACGCGGGTATCACCGGATTGAAGTTGTCACCAACGCCTAATCCACCGACCAAGAATGTGAGATTCGAGGACGGTATTGCCGCAGGGGCATCAGAAGACGAGGGAGAAGGCGGTAACAGTGAGGATGAGGATGAGGACGGCGACAAGAAACCGCGGGGTTTCAGGCATGAGGACCGCGACTCGAAGAAGGCAAGCGCATTCCGCCACAGATCAGGTACCTGGCTAACCTCCATACTCCAGGAGCGCAAGAAGGCTGTCAAAGAGGAGCAGAGGGAGAAGAGAAAGACAAAGATGCCCAAACAGGAAAAGAATAGATTAATGAAGAAGAGCAGTAAACGTTGATCGGGCGAATGTACCATTCTATGGTACAATAAAGTGTGACATTGGTTTGCATGATGTGTATGTAAGATGCCAAACATTGGTGCGCCTAGTAGCAAGATAATATAATAGATGATTTCACAAACAACCCTCCGACGTTATCTGGCTGTGATCGAACGATGGATGGAGGGTGAAGGCGGGCGGGAGGGGTTGGGGGTGGACGGAATATCCGTTGCGTTATTGACCGTAAAGTGAAAGCGCAAACGGTGCAGCTGAGACATATTAGCCACAGTCAATCCCGAGTAAGACTGCAACTTACTATAGGAAGCTTGGGGAAAAGTACAAAGATTAACGCGGCAAAGTTGAGTGCAAAGAGGACGTAATCGTAGCGGGTGTAATGGGTCGAGATCAAGAACCTTGGAACGATCAGCTACGATAAGACATGATACTGCGCATATACTCACAGCAAAATTGGCACACTCGTCAGCCACTTTTTGGCCGGGGTGTACTGGGCACCAGAGTCGATTTGCTCCCAGAGAGTAAGGTCGTCGTAGGCGCCCGAAGTAGACATGGTCGACTCAAAAGGAAGACCGGTGACGTGGTGAAACATGATGAACGAAAACTTGACAAAGGGTCAGCTCGTGGTATGTATCTGGGCTGCACAGTCACGTACGGTGATGTAGCTCAGATTGACGATGGTCCAGCTGACATCATGGGTCATGCCCGGGATGGCATCAATCAAGAGCTTGCCGCAACAGATCAAGACGGGATGGATCAACCAAGCGCCTGACAACAGCGTCAGCGCATACCAGTAGGGCCGGGGCGGTCGACTACGCACCAGGGGCATTGACCCACGCCGCATTCTCATTGTTACCCGCGCCGAGCCTATCTACGACGTTGTCCGGGTCATCGCCCCCGACCTCGGTGACGGTGACGAGACTGGAGCTCCTTGCTCTGCCCTTGCTTGCGCGGAGGGAGGGGGAGTCTGCATTGGGGCTGGGCTGGAAGGGGTTGGGTGCCCTGACGTTGTTGGAGGAGTGGGAACGGACTGTGGCAGAACGGGCTGCGAGGCGGCGGGGGGTGGTGTCGAGGGCGGCGTCCTCCGGGATGGAGGCGACGTTGGGCTGCGAGGCGGAGCGTGATCTGGAGGGCGTCTGGGGGATGGTGAGCGTGGCGGCGGCGGGCATCGTGGCGGCGTGGAGAGGCAGTGCGAGCGTGGGACGAGCCATTGGTCCCGCAACCTGGATTATTTCCGTTGTTAACTGCGCTGTTATTAACCCTGTCACTTTAACTATCAACTCTGCCGTGTTATTAACCTTAACATATCAACTCTGCCGTGTTATTACCCCCAACACTACCACTCGACAAAAAGTCGAGACTACTACTGCACTGTCGCCATGCTCCGCCTCCTCCCCCCACGTGCTGCAGCCCGCGTGCCAGCAGCCGCCCGCGCCTATGCGACTGCCCCCCGCCAAGGTACGCCTCCACGTGGCCCGCCCTCTCGCTGACCACCCACAGACTTGCCGCCAAAACGGCCACGGTTCCAGCCGCCTCGCACCAGATCCAGCACCAACCGCAAGCCGCGCCTCCCATGGGTCCTCAAGACCCTCACAGAGTACAAGGCCGAGAACCGTGTGCCCTCGCCGCTCGCGTATATCAACATCATCGAGGCCGCCAGCGAGTTTGCTTGCTCGCACAGCGTCGACGGTGGACATTCGGAGGGTATCGGATTCCAGGTCGCCATGGCCGCCTGGGAGGACGCAAGACGGGGCGGGATAGAACTAGGACAAAAAGGCCTCGATGCCATGATGGGCGTAGGTCAAACGACATCTGATGGTTTTGCAGAATCTGACTCGCCCACAGTTTGCCGCCGTCTACCCTCATCTGCTGCCATCTCTACTCTTGTACAATCAGGATCGCCAAACTCCCACCTACAACGCCATTGCCCGGGTCGCCCAGACCAATTACGAACTGGAAGAAATAGTACGGGTCGTGGACGAGATGTTCAAGCAGGGTCTGTCGCCCAACTCGGCCACGATCAGACACACTGTCCGCCTCGCTTGCGAGTGGGGGCACCCACGTCTGGGTCTGCAGATTGCTCAAAAAGCGGAGAGCGAATCCACTTTTGGCTTCCGACTGGACCCGCAATCCTGGGTGCACATCCTTATCGCCAGTGCTGACAACCATTACGTGAGTGCATGGTTTTAGCCATAGGCTCGACTCTGACTCTCCTAATTCTAGCTGCATGGTATTGAAACAGCCTGGGAGCGTGTCAGGACGAGCTACACCCCTGACGAAGGCCTCATTATTTCAATACTCAACACAGCAGGCCGATGGGGCAGGCCAGACATCTCGTCTGATTTCCTCGGTCTTCTCCCAGGCCCTCCCCAAGAACACCATCTCGCTCCCCTTCTCGAAGCTTTCTGCAATGCAGGAGAAGTCCCCAACGCCTTCCAGGTTCTCAGCACCATCCGAGACGCCGGACTAGCACCCAGTTTGGCGACGGCGCAACCGATCGTCGCTGTCTTGCAGAATACCGAGGTCATTGATCAAGCGTTCTACACGCTAGAGGACATGCACAGCGCGGGGCAAGCTATTGACGTTGTCGCTCTGAATGCCATCATTGAAGCCAGTGTCAAGGTGGGCGACTTGCAGCGCGCCAGAGCAACCCAGATGGCCGCGGGCGATCTTGCAGTGTCTTGTAACATTGACTCTTTCAACTTGGTTCTGCAAGGCTGCGTGGACAGCAAACTTCGGACCCTCGGTGACACGCTTCTCTCGGAAATGACTGTTGACGGGATCACACCGAATGCCACCACGTACGAGCTCGTCATTGAACTTTGTGCCACCCAACCCTCGTACGAGGACGCCTTCTACTATCTCGAGAAGATGAAGGGTGAAGGCTTCAAGCCCTCAAGCTCTATCTACGAGGTCCTTGTCCGCAAGTGTGTAAAGATGAACGATCGGAGGTGGTCGATGGTGGTGGATGAGATGAGGGCTGTGGGCCACAAGGTGGATACAAGTCTCCTCGCCTTCATCAACAGCGGAGGGAGCGACGACAGGAAGAGGGACCCGGCGAGAGAAAGGCGAGCAAAGGACCAATTTACCGGTTCGAAGAGGCGTAGCTGGCAGACGTCCGGTGCAGACAAGTCAAAAGGACAGTAATCTTCTCCTCACATCATGGCGCCGTCGCATGCCATCGGGACATAGGGGCCATGGTCCATGCTTGCTCTGGCATCGTTTACCCAGTATATTAGAGTGATATGCATGATGCTGGACAGAACAACCCTCGATGTCGCTCATCGCTTGCAACGTAATTGATCCCGCGCGCCCTGATGATGATCACACACTAAAACCCTCCCCGCCGCGTGCATAGGCCGAACTCCGATTTTCTCGTTTCTTTCTTCTTTTGTCTTCGAGACTATCCCCTGCCCTGTTTTTTCTCCCTGGGCCCCTCTCCCGCCAGCCGCCAGCCTCACGTCCAGCACCGGCCACCCTCGCGCCAACGCCGCCAACAGCCCCGCCCAACTCCCAGCCAGCCACAGGCACCGCCGGCTTGCAGAAAATATCGTCAGAGGCAATCTGTCGGCAATTTGCCAGTCACCGCAGTAGCAAGTAAGTCACGGCCACAAAAGGCGAGGACGTAATCTTTTCCTCAACATTAATCGACGTTTTTCGACAAATATCTCGATATTTCGGCTGACCTCACCCCATAGCCGTCAGAACTAGTATTCGGCATCATGTCTGCTGTCTCCGAACAGATAGCGCCCGACGAGGTGACTCAGCAACTTGAGACTCTTCAAATTGATCCCGCGCTCCCCAGGCAATCCCAAGGAAAGCAGCCGCAAGGGGGCCAGCGGTCTCCCAGGCAGGCCGCCTCGGCCAATGCGAGCCATACGCAGCCGTACCAGCCATACGCCCAAGCATACACTCGTTACCCCCAGCAATATCAGAACCCATATCCGTCCTACGTCCCCTATTCCCCATATGGCCCCGAGCAATTGGGCTGGCGCCAGCCTGACTCTGAGCAACCCTCTCCCATCAACCCATCCAACCCTACTTTTGGGGTATGGTCAAGCCCTCCTGTGAGCCCGGCTGTTGGAGCTCCACCACCGTTCCTTAATCAACAGTCCAGACATGGTTCATTTGATGCTGCTGGCATGCCTGGGGGCAGCCCTGTCTACTTTGACAGCAGGTCTTCATTTGGAGGGCCAGGGCCCGCCTGGCCATACCCCGCCGCTCCATCGCATTTTGGCTACTACCCCTCTTATCACCCATCGTCATCCCCCCTCGAGCCAAACATGGCCCAGCCATCAAATTGGTCTGGGTCCCCTGCCACGCCCTACGGACCCGGTCCGAATCATAATCGTGTCTCTGTGAGCAGCGCTTCACGGCCCAGCCCCACTGGCGGAGATAGCAAAGAGCCTGAAAGGAAGCCTTACCATCCTCAACCACCCTCTCGGCGCAGTGATTGGGTTATGTGGGTCGGCAATGTGTGCGTGTCCTTTAGTCCATCATGGCAAGTTTCTTGCTCACATCTCTGTTTAGCCCGAGCAACACATCTCATGAAGAGCTATGGCACTTTTTCAACATGACCGTCCCCATTACCGACCCCATCACAGATACCGCACCTTGGCGCGGCCCTTCCTCCATCTTTCTCATATCCCGCTCCTCGTGCGCTTTCGTCAACCTTTCCTCGCAAGCAGAACTCGACCGGGCTGTCGCTTTCTTCAACGGCAAGCCTCTTCGGCCTTGGGACGCCAGATGCCCTCGAATGGTCTGTCGTGTCCGGCGCAAGGATGACGATTTAAAGTCGGGCGTAGGGGCACAGCGCGGGACGGGTATCCACCGGGACTGGGTGAAGAAGGAACAGGAGAAACAGCAGGTAGCGCCACAAGGGTTGGAACCGATTGCCACGGCGGAAGGGCAGGTACCCGCAGTGTCTTTGGCCAACCCAGCCATCTTGGAGTTGTCCGAGGAAGGCCGAAAGAGAGATTCTTCAGGGAGCGAGGACGGAAAGAAGGCGTCTGGAAGTTATGCGAGTACCACTTCAAGCTTTCTGATCAAGCACTTTCCCCGTCGTGTCTTTATTGTCAAGAGTTTGACAACAGTGAGTCCAGAATGGCAAAAGTGATATTGCTTGCGCTGACCATGGCCCCCAGGCGGAGTTGGAGGAAAGTGTGCGAACGGGGACCTGGCGAACCCAGCGACATAACGAGCCTATCTTGGGTAGGTTGTGCGATTTGTCTGCAGACTTTCGCTGACCTTTTCCTCTAGACCAAGCTTTCAGAACATCACAATCCGTTATTCTGATTTTCGGTGCCAACCGAGCCGGCGAATTCTTTGGTTATGCGCGGATGGTTGAGCCGATCGACAAGGAGCGAGCGAAACGACAACAGTCTTCAATCAGTAGCTCAGCGCCCATGCGATCTGGCACCCAAGAGTCTAGCTTTTTCCTTACTCCTCAGCAGAGCCGGATCACTGTCCTTTCTCCCGGTGAACTCCACTCTCGAGAAGACTCGTACTTTCACCCTATCCACCGCAATACCGACCCGCCAAAGATCCCCAATCATGCCGCTGGCAGTAATTCAATGTCTCTGCAGGTCCTTGACGAGACACGGGCCCACACCTTTGATCCCAAGACTCTGCAACGAGACTACTTTCCCTCGGTCACCCTTGCAATGGCCCAAGAAGGTGGCGATGTTCCCAAACAGTCGTCTTTGACGGTCGTCTCTGAGCCGCAGTCTGTGGAAGATTTGCAGAGAAAGGAGACGTTGCCTCCACCCGAAGAGAATGCGAAACGTGAGAAACAGAACGCCCAAGAAGAGTTTTCAGACGACGGATGGGGACATGCGTTCCGTATAGAGTGGGTCAAGGTGGCTCCTCTGCCCTTCAACAAGACCCGTCACCTCCGGAATCCTTGGAACGCGGATCGAGAGGTCAAGGTCTCTAGAGACGGGACCGAGATCGAACCCAGTGAGTATGGTCGCATGGATGGTGCGGTGGAAGCTGACATGATGATGTAGCTGTCGGCCTACAGCTGGTGGCCGAGTGGGACAAGCCCGAGATAGCACCTCGCTTGCCTTCCAACGGCAGCAACCCTTCTTCATCGAACCGTTAGGGCCACTAGAACGCAGTAGTTCTGGGTCCACGCTAGAGTCTCTTTTCCTTTTCTTTTCGACACAATGCATACACGCCACCATTGCTCGCTCATTTTCACTACTTTCTTTAGCATTTGGGCGCTATCGTAGAATAGCATTTCAGACATCCATGTTGGAGATATAATACACGTATGAACCCTCTGGCACAATGTGCTTAAACCTGTCGCATATGGGGCGTTTAAGTAGCGCTAGACGGAGCGGGCTGCTTTGATCTACTGGCCACTGCCTATAAGCTGCCCAGTCAGCCTCGGCCCTCGGTCCTCTATGCTTCCCACTTGTGATCTGAGGGCCACCATGCTTGTGCCCGATATTCACCGGGCGAAGAGACGAGGACGAAGCAAGGTGGGACTACCCGGGCCAGGGAAGACTGAAGCCGGGGTATTACGAGAAGCGGCACGGAAATAAACGCTGAAAGCGAGTGCGTAGTCCGTCCTGTCGCCCTTGTCGGTCGATCCGTCCACCGGTCCATCCACCGCACGTAGCACCGGAGCACGCTGGCCTGTGACAGTATCAACCAGTATCCACCAGTATCAACCAGTATCCACAATGTCCCGCCCCAGATCCGACCTTGTGGACCAGCTCAAGTCCCTCGGCATCACCGAGAGGACTGCCCTCTTTGCTCTATCTGTGAGTGGACGATCCGGGGTGTGTGTGCTGACGCGGGCAGAAATCGAACAACGACATGGGCAAGGCAAGGAAATACGGTGAGCTGCACGAGACCACGTCGGGCCCGTCCTTTGGCGAGACGTCGGCGGTGTTGCAGCATCTGTGCTGACCTTTCTCCTTTCTCTCCTCTCCTCTCCTCCCCTCCCCATCCCATCCCCGTCACCCAACATGGCCCCCCTCCACCGCTCCTTCTCCCTCCCCACCGGCAACTATGTCTCTCGTCTCAAAGCCCTCAGCGGTCAAGCGGCTAAAGACGAGGTACGTCTTGGCGCCCTCTGACCACCAAAGCTGATCTCTTTCCCAGGTAAGCAATGACAAAGACCAGCCCTCTATCCAGTCTCTCGAGACCCCTCCCTCCTCCTTCCCCGGTGCCCCTCTCCACTCGGCGCCTCTTTCTGACCGTCGGCCGGCCCTATCTTCCATGCGCCGAGCCTCGCACCACTCCCACACCCCCGAGCCCGCCTCGGCCCAAGACCCCGGGTCCGCCAAGCAGCTAGTCTCTCCGTCGAGCAAAAAGGCCAGCCCCCTCTTGGGCTCCCTGAAGAGCTGGGGCAAGGGCTCGCTCAGGCGCAGGTCGGTGGCGGTGGATGTGACTGTACAGGAAGGCAAGGGGCTGCAGCTCGAACGGACGTCCAGTGCCCAGAGTAATGGTACGACCTGTACCGCTGGGACCGACAGGACGGACGGGACCGAGAGGAGGGGTCGCTCGAGAAAGGCGAAGAGTGTCATAGTGCATATACCCGAGAAGAAAGAAGAGCTGACAGATACTGTTCCTCCCCCTCTCCCTCCCAACACCTATCCCCCGACGTCTATTCCGCCACCCCCACTCACTCCGACTCATTTCGACTCCCAGGCATCAGATCTGCTCATGGGTGCTATCAACAGGGGCCGACCAGGGAGCACAACCAGCTCGCCCAATGCGTCTTCAACAGACTTGCGCAAGTCGACCAGCAGTACCGGCGGGGCTCTTGCGGCTCTTGGTCTTCGAGCGGCGGCGCTTGGAACAGCCAACATGGCCCCGCCCAGGTCTCCCGAGAAGGCTGCCGACTCAACTCCTGTAGCCACTCCCGCCGCAACCCTCACCCCGAGGGCTTCTTATCTCCAAGCGTCTAAACCTGTCGGAAGCGGCGACCGCTCCTCCAAAAACCGAGCTCCTTCCCCCTTCTTCCGTGCCAGAAGGGCACGCGACCAGGCAAGGGCGAGGGACACGAGTCCTGAGGTGGGAGCGCTGAAGAAGGATACAAATTACCCAGAGAGCGAGCCGGAAAGTGTGGCTGTGACGAAAAAGTTTAGGCCCCAGGTATCCGCATATGAGGATGGAGACGTGGATTCCAATGTATCAGATGATGGAGTCACCGAGGCAGAGACCGAATTGGACTCTGAGGACGACTTTTCGGGGACGTCCGACTTTGACGAAGAGGGAATCCTGGACGAAGATGGGGAAGTCATCTTTGACGAAGAGACTGAGAAAAATACCGAGGCAAATGCAGTCTTCTACGAAGGCGATGCTGGAGGTCTTGGGGGACGGAGTGCTACCGACGAGATCGACGACAAGCCTCGAGATGACTCTGCAAGCCAGGTGCTCGATTACTATGGTGAAGAGGTCGAGCAAGATCCCCTTGGTGAAGGCCCCAACGTTGTCGTCCCTCCTCAATCGCTCTTCTGGACCAACCCCTCTTCGCGTCAGAAGAAGACTTCCAAAGGCGGACTCCAGATGGAGACGTCCCGCCCGGTGTTTGCCAGGGACAGGTGCACTATCACGTTGACGCAAGGAAACCCAGATGGAGCACTGGAGGATAGTGGGAAGAGGATGAGGAGGTATGTGGTGCTGAGTGATCTGAGTGAGGAAAGTCGCTATGCTGTGGAATGGGCAATCGGGACCGTGGCGCGAGACGGTGATGAGATCTTTGTCATTTCGGTCAAGGAAGATGAGAGCAAAAGTAGGTCGATCTCTAACCACTGGAATGTATGCTGATACAGAACAGTCGATCCGAAGAATTGGGGCAACAACGACAGAGCGCAGAAGATGAGGATTCAGAAAGAGGTGGGTTGGGCATTGGCGTGTGCGCATCGTGCTGACAATCTGCCTAGCGTCAAACGACAGCTCTCTTACTGGTCAAGCAAGTGAACAGTCTTTTGCAAAGGACCAGGCTGCAAATAACCGTCACGTGTCAATTCCTGCATGCAAAGAACTCTCGACATATGCTTCTCGGTGAGTACTCGCTGATGCGTAAACGCTCTGCCACTCGGCGGCTGATCGGGTTGCAGATCTGATCGACTTTTTGGAACCCACCATGGTCATTGTCGGCTCTCGCGGTCTGGGCAAGCTCCAGGGGTGAGCAACTTTTCCAGTCTAGAGATTCCTACTAAACCTTTGCAGTATCCTCCTTGGTTCGACCTCCCACTATCTCGTGCAGAAATCATCTGTTCCCGTCATGGTAGCCCGTCGTCGTCTCCTCCGTCCCTTGCGTAGGACCAACCCCGCCAACTTGCGTCACTCGCCCCGAGTCAGCTTGGCGAGTGCCAGTATCGAAAAGGCCGCCAGCAGCAAACAGGAGGATGATGTGGTCGATGTGGCAGAGGAGGAAGGGACGACAGACGAGGTCGTTATTGCGAAAGAGAAGAAGGGGCAGCAACAATGAGGGTGGGATGTAAGATTTGATACGGATTCGACGCTAGGCTAGGAGTAATCACATTGAGACACCAGTTGTAATAAAGATAGTTGCACCAAGGGCTGGGGATACCGGCACTTGGTTCTTGCGTGTAATGCATTTTGCTTTGATCAGTTCCGTAAGAGAACAAGTCAAGAGACATGGGCGCGTCAGCATGCCGTCCCTAATAAGGGATATGGTGGGCGATCGAAGTGGGAGCATGGAAGATTCCGTCGGATGCAATCTGAAACGAACCCACACAGGGCTTACATACAACGAAACCCTGCCGTTGTTTGGTTCACACAGACGCGGCCGTGTATTTCCAGGGGCGGACCGAGGTGGGAAGCGTAAAGCGACGCAGTCCCAGCATATGCATGCTTGCGTATAGGTGACAGGCCTACAGGTGGGTACGGTGGGGGTTATCAACATGCTTCAGGGGAGAGGGGGTGTGCCGGGGATGCAGGTGGCGGTGAAAGGATTGTCCTCAATCCGCTTCTGATGATTGCAAAGGGATGGCTTGGATCCGCTCCAGCTGGATATAATGCCCACCGAGGAGCATCTCTTCATCATATGCCCCCCTCTTTCACGTTTACAAAAGCTTTAGATTTCGATTCGTACCTCTGTCTATCACACTCTTTCACAAGACACGACGAGCGCTCGGCAAGATGGCCACCGCGTCCGACACCAACATGAACCTCATCGCTATCCTCAGTGGAACAGTACGTAAATTTGTCTTCAGCATGCTCAGCGCTGACCAGTACACTTCAGGCGCTAGTCATATCATTCCATCATACTTACAAATTCGACAAGTGCAAGTGTCTCATTCCCAAAGCTCATGACTGGTTTCGCGCCCTCTTGACAGTGAGTCTACAAAGGCACTTGCCTTTGACTATCTCAGCGATGGAATGGATCTGACCGTGAGAGTAGTGGATGCTTTTGTGCTCCAATATGTGTCTGTTTGCGTGGGCGGCGGGCTACTGCTGTGAGTAGTAGTCTCAGAGCAAAAATACCAGACTAATGAAGTGAATCAGGGGTCAAGTACAAGTTGAAATGGGTATATACAGAAGAGTACGGCGCTATACCGTATCCTCCCACTCTCTACACTGAGCAGTACCGTTTGCTCAACACTCCCCTCATGATCGTCTTCAACAGTCAGTCGTGCTCGTTTGAGGACAGCCAACTTTTGCTGACACCTTTATCCACTAGTCGCCTTCTCCCTTCAAACATCACTCAACGCCGAAGAGGGCCTTTATTGGTACCATCTGATGCGCGCCGTCCGTCAACCCAAGTCGGCTCGCTCATGGCTCACCTCGCCCTACTTTTACGCCTGGATCGTCATCAGTGTGGTCTCGACCACTTTGCAGTGCGGAATCGGATGGATCCACAAGGGCAGTGAACTCGACCTGGTGCACCAGATGTCTGTAGTCATGACCGTTGATGGAGCTGTGGAGCTCATGTGAGTAGAAACAGTCTGCAATCAAAATAGACTAATGAGATCTGTAGAGTGATGTCTGCAGCTTCAATTGTAATCTGGAAGTTTCCTGCTTTCCTTGATACCGTGGTAAGTTCTGACAAACCAAGTGTTGAAGTGGCAAGACGTCTGACAACACTCTAGAAAGCTTCAGGGGCGGGTCCAGAAGTCAGGTCTCGGCTTCACTTCTATCAGGGTAAGCTGGGCGCCACAGTAAAAGAGACCATGCTGATACCATATCCTGTAGAAGCAAACAAGGTCCGAACATTCTTCCGCTTCATCTACTCGACCGGCATGATTGTATTGGGTGTCGATGGTCTGTCAGACAAGCAGCTGATCTCCAACACCCCGTGAGTTGCTCAAAGGCAACGACTCGACAGCTCTGACGCCATCGTAGCATCGCAAGTGACATTGTCTCTCAACTAGTCTTTGGGTCCTTCTTCTTCATCCTCATCATCTCGATCGTGCTGTACCTTCCCCGCTCATGGGCACCCCCCGGAACTCAACACAACAATGTCATGGTAGGCCGCGCCGTTCAACAGCCAGATCACCACCAGCTTGCCAGTGGGGTTGCCCTCATGTCGCTTTTGAGGGAAGGTGGGCAGTGGGATGATGAGGCCATGAAGAACATGACACTGGCTCCGACAAGTCCATACAATCTGGACAATCCCAAACTCTACGGCTCGCAAGACCCCTTGACGGCCAAGGAGAGCGACTGGGAGCTGAAGGGGGATTCTGGAGTAGAGATTCCCAACGTTGTAAGTACAGTCGCTGCCAGGTGAGGGATTCGAACTGACAAGGGCATCAGTTGGAAAACTTTACATCTCCCATCGCAGTCCAGACCAAGGAGAACTACCCTGTGGAGCTCCGTATTCATGTCGAGCAAGAAGTGCACGAGGACCGCGGAGAAAGCTATGTGTGAGGTACGGGGTGATCCAGGGTTGATCTACTTTGGGGCGATGGCGTGTATCGTCGAATGGGGGACTTGCTGGGTTTTTGTTTCTGCAGGGTCTTCTTACGCAGGTGATGTATGGGCGATGTATATAATGCGGAGGGGATGCATGCTATAATGCGCTCTGGACGGACGGATATGGATGCAGAAAACTATACTGCAACCCTCGGAATCGCGAGCTGCCTCCACTTTGGCGACCACGGGAGATGGCGTGCTGTTCCCCGTCTGCGCTATATAACATTGTCTCTTTCCTCTTTCTTTCTTCTTCTTTCCCATCCCCAGCATGCCCCACCACTTTGCCACCCGCGCCATACACGTCGGCAGCAACCCCGACCCCGCTACCGGCGCAGTCGTTCCCACTCTCAGCGTGGCCACTACCTTCAAGCAGGACGGCATCAACAAACTGCGAGTGAGTCCTGCCGGGTAGCACACTATGCACATCTGACAGCCGTACAGGGACAGGGATTTGACTATTCTCGTAGCGGAAACCCCACCCGCGCTGCCCTCGAAGAGCTCTTGACGTCCCTCGAGACTGCCCCGGCCTCCAAGACCAGTCCCGACGCCCGTCAAGATGCCTCGGGGGGCGACTCTTTTGTCTTTTCCTCGGGATCAGCGGCCACTGCTGCTGTAGGCATATGGGCTTCGCTGAGCAAGGCAGAGGGAGGGGCAGGAGGGGCCGATGGGAACGGTGGTGGCGGTCATGTGTTGGCTGTGAACGATGTGGCAAGTAGAGCTTCTGACGCACGGTATCGTATGCTAATGCTGGCATCGGTAGTATGGTGGAACTGCAAGGTTCTTTTCCAGGGCCGCTGGGCCGACCAAGCTGGAAGTGACATATCTCGACATGATTGAAGCTGGAGAGGCGGGCATCCGAGCTGCCATCAGGCCCGACACTAGGGTGCGTCCACTATCCTGAGAAATGATCACGACTGACTCGATGCTAGCTCGTTTGGCTCGAAGTCCCAACCAATCCTACCCTGCTCATACACCCGCTTCCTCTCGTCTCGCGCATTGTCAAGAGTCTGCCCGCCGAGACCAGACCACTCATCATTGTCGACACTACTTTTCTCTCCGCGTTCAACTTTACGCCCCTCGTCGCAGACTCGCCTGACGAAGAGCCGTTGGCGGATATTGCCTACTCTTCCTTGTCCAAGTATGCTTCTGGACACTCCGACATTATTCTCGGCTCTGTCACGGTCTCTCCTCAGACAGCCATGATCCGACCCGAGCTCATCAAGTCTTTACGTTTCATCCAAAACTCGTTCGGTGCTTGTCCCTCGCCGCATGACTGCCACTTGTTGATCCGGAGCTTGAAGACGCTGGACGCCAGGATGATCAAGCATGGACTGAACGCCTTGCGCATCGCATCGTACCTCTCCAAGCACCCCCAGGTGGATAGTGTCAAGTATCCGGGTTTCAAAGAGGACATTGGGTTTGCCGACATTCAGAAGCTTTTGTCTGCCAGCCTCAAGAGGCAGCTCGAGTTCCTCGGGTGGTCTCTCCCTTGGTCGGACCCCTCCGAGAAGCAAGTCGAAGGGCTGAATCCAGACTCTCTTGCATACGTCAGGACGCTGGGCATCCCATTCGGCGGTGTCGTGACGTTTACTCTCAAGAACGGCAGTCTTGAAACCGCCGAGACGTTTTGCACCTCTCTCAAGATTGTGACGCTAGCTGAAAGCCTGGGAGGTGTGGAGAGTCTTATTGAAGTGCCCTCGGGGATGACTCATGCTGTCAGTGATTTGATATAGTGCTGGACGAGCGAGCTGACGATGTTGCAGTCGCTTCCCCAAGCGACCCTCGACAAGCTGGGTATCACGCCTAGCCTCGTGCGCTTCTCTGTAGGCATTGAAGACTATGATGACTTGGTGGAGGACCTGGAGGCTGCCTTTGCTGCGGTCAAGGGCTAGGTTGTAAAGTGTGCCATGATAGACCCGTATATATCTGTATGTAATTGAATGACCTTTCATATCCTTTAGGAGAACTTCCAGTGCTCTTCTCCTCCGCACCCATGCGTGAGTGTAACCAAGGCTACACTTTACTTCATCAACTGACCTCCTCTATGCAGAAAACTCGCTGCCGCCAGAATTACCCTTACTTTCACCACCCTCCGCCCGTCTCATTTCGACACCGCGACCAAAATTATATCCGCCAAACCCAGGAGGCAAGAAGCAAGGTTATTGACGATGACATGAAAGTGTCAAAAAGTCATCGAGCACGGCACCGGTCAATAATAATAATCATCTTCGTTGAGCTCCGACACAAGGGCTTTTTGCTTAAAGACCTGATGGACACAGTAAGTTCTTGCGTCTCATACAGCCTCAATCTTATCACTTAATACCACAAAACAGATTCGAGGCGCTCAGCTACCCAGCCCAGCGGACGAGGACCCGACGGCTGCCGAAGCGCTCTCGACCGCCCCCGGTGAGAGGTATGGCCGGCGACCATGGCCAAATGGCCAAGAAATCTTCTCGAATGTCTTGACGACTCAGGTAAGCTAGAGGTCGAGGTCTTTGAAGTCGACTTCCACTCCCTGGCAGGCCTCTGGGACGACGTGGCGATGCCTGTAGCCTCCAAGCCCGAAGTGAGTATTCATTATCCTCAACTCTCAAGCAGAATCTGATTTCTCCGTGGGGCTGCTACCTCGCTAACTCGGGCAAGATGGGCTTGGAGTGGGTCCCAGCCTACGTCGTTGTCTATAGAAAGGTACGTCCCGGTTTGTATAGTATCTGCAAACTTGAAGTGACATAGCTGATGAGCCTACAGCTCTTGAACTGGTCCTCCTCCACCACAACGCTTCTTGTTCGCCGGGAGAAGGCTTAGTTGAACGACATCCTCAAGGGAAGTTCGAAGAAAAAAGCCAAGGGCAGTAAGGCATCTTCTCGATCCATCACCGCTCACTGACACCATACAGAATCGCCCGGCGAGCGCAGGTCATGCAATAGCTTACACCTTCGCTATCACTATCAGTTGCTGCGCTGCAACATCTGCTTTTGAGGATCTTGTTGCGAATGTCCAGGGTCTGTATGTGGCTTTGCAATAATAGAATCATTCTATATCGCGTTCTGTACACAACCATGCAGTGCATCCTGTTCTTCTACTTTAGCTAAAATGGGGGTGTAAATACGGTGTAAATTAAGTGCCACTTTGTAAAATCGGCGTTTCGCTCAAACGAACGAAAATTCGCCTCCACTTTCACTGGGGTGCTCATTCGCCGTCCTGTCCTTGTCTCCACCCTCAACAGCAAAAATGGTCCGATACGCCTCCGCCCACATCTCTGCCGGCAACCCTGAGAAGTGTGCGTACAGTCGAGGAGAAGGGAGCGTGGAGAACAGGCGCTCATGTGTTCCCTATAGTCGCCCAGGCCCGAGGCGAGTACCTCCCTACTCACTTCAAGAACATGCGTGAGGTCGCTGCCGCCCTCTCTGGTGAGTCGAAGATTATGGGCCAGCAAGGGCACAGCTGAGATCGCGCAGGCATGAACTTGAAGAAGGCCTACACCTACCTCGCCGATGTCCAGGAGCACAAGCAGGTCATTCCTTTCCGACGATTCGCTGGTGGTATTGGCCGAGCCTCTCAGGCTAAGCAGTTCAAGACTACCAAGGGTGAGTGTGGATGAGTTGGCATCGCGGGGAGAGTGCTCACGCGTGTGCGCAGGTCGATGGCCCGAGAAGTCTGTCAAGTTCATCCTCCGTCTCCTCAAGAACGCCGAGTCCAACGCCGACGCCAAGGACCTCGACGTCGAGGAGGTCCTCATCAAGAACATTGTCGTTCAGCAGGCCCCCAAGACCAGGAGGAGGACTTACCGTGCCCACGGTCGAATGTGCGTGGCAAAGTTTTTAGGAATGAGAATGGCGGACTGATTTTTCTGCAGCAACCCCTACCAGGGTCACCCTTGCCACGTCGAGATCATCCTCTCTACCCCCTCCTCTGAGGTCCCCCGTGCCAAGGACCTCGACACCGTCTCCTCCAAGAAGAGCAAGACTGTCCCCGCTATCGAGGCTTAAATAGCATAGATGTAGGGTTGTCGTGTACGATGGATGGATGGCATATCTCAAACCAGAAAATATAGCAGGCGTTGTGAACGGAAAAGAAGGGTGGAGCGGTGAACAGGAGGATTATGTGCAGCTAATTCATGGACAACAAGAAGCGGAGTCGAGGACAAGCGGTCGCGTATACATGTGCAAGTCGGCGAGAGATCGGGTTATGGAAGAAGACGGGATGTTGGTGTGTGGTGATTTGACCGATTGTACTGATGATGCTGTGATCGTGCTGTTGCACACTGACCATAATCAACCTCCAAATGGAGCCTGTTTGAGATGTTGACGCTATTTCCACATACATGAATCACGCAACTTTGTCAGGCGGCCTAGGCAAAACGGTCACCGTCTTGTTTTCCGTGTCGTTGGATATCGTCTCTGTTTTCATTTGGATTTCCCATTGATGTATTTGACAACTGCTAGCTCAGCTGTAACTACAGTTGGTGCATAGGGTAGAGTACTTTGCTGGTTTCTAGATGGGCGAAATATATTACGTAAATCGCCATTGGTTGGTTGTCAAAACAACGCGACGTTAACCACCACCATTGATCAGGCCCTTACGCAAGTTACACTTGCTTTTCACCTCGAATTCTGCCAAGACTTGTACAAATAAGGCCAGCGACAACAGAATCGACCGTCATACCCAACATGAGCAGCTCCGGACCCCCAGCCGACGCAAAGAAGGCGCAACAAGCGGCCCTCCAGGACATCGAAGCCGCTCGTTTCAAGAAGCGTACAATCGACTCCAACCTCGCAAGTCCACCCGGCATCTCTTGTTGACTGATGGCTGACACTTCACTCTAAAGACTGCTCTAGAGGAAAACTTGTATCTGTTTGAGGGTAGCTATCTCGACGAAAGCGCCGCTTCCGGTGGCAACATCATCAAAGTACGTGACTTGGCATCGTCTGGCTAAAACTCATCTGGTCTGCGCAGGGCTTTGACAACTATCTCAAGCCCAACACGGCTCACACGCACAAGAAGAAGCTCGAGGTGACAGAAGCGGACAGGCTTTTCAGCAACAGCTCTGCGACTTTTCAACAGGTGACATCCATCCGATGTGTCTAGGTGCAAGATCACTGACCAGCTGTAGTATCCTCTCCCCAAATAACACCTCTTGCTATCGAGACCAAATGGGACAAATGTTGTATAGAGCCTTGCTGCAGAGCAAGATCGCGACGCTCAGATGATGGGTACGTGTCGAAGCGTCATTGAACGGCGCTCGGCTTGCGTTGCGGATCCCGTTTGCTTGGGGGGAGAAAAGACCTCAGACTTATGAGCTGGGACGCAATTGTCCCTCATGCTTATCCAGACCTTTTCATGAAAGATACGACATTGGTCATATTTGTAATTTAGGAACTTTCTCCTCCGTGTCATTGATTTCATGAATACTTTGTGTCATGCATAGAATATACAAAAGACGGACCTGGTCCATATGCTGTCAAGAAGTGTCCACCGTCTAAGCTCGGTGTTCATTCTCCGGCACAACGTCGTAGCCGGCTCTGCCTTGAGCGCCAGCGGCAGGCACTTCGCCGGTCTCTTCGAGCTCTGGCTCGTGAGGAAGATGAATGCTAGGAGGTGGAGGGAAAATGATAGGTTTGAGAAGGCCGTTGAAAACAAACGTTCCATAGCTTCGAGGTATCAGCTTTGGCAAGTTCCTCCCCGTATACAACGGCACTTACACTAGCATGGCAAAACCGGTCACTTGAAGCAAGGAGAACGGCCACACCAAAGCCTCCCAGCCTAAAGCCAAGCTGACTACCCAAATCCCCAAGGTACGGCAGGTGTCCACAGTGCTTCTTGTGGTGGCGCTGACGCTGCTAGTGACGCTCAAACCGAAAAAGTTGAAGGAGCCGATGGAGAGCATGATGGCAAAGCAAGAGTAGAGCACAGTAGGGGTGGAGATGATTTGCTGCCAGCCTCGAGGGATGTCAAAGTAGGGGGATTTGTCGTGGAAGAAGAGGTGGAGGAACGGCATAGCAAGAAGAGTAGTCGTAAGACCGAAGAAGCCCTCAAGCGTGACCGCTTTCTATACAATAGTAAGACATCTGGTGCAGAAATGGGGATCAACCACTCACCATTGGGTCTACTCGATAGCGAGACATGATCTTCTCCTCTACCACCTACACAGCAATCAGCACGAACAAAGGGAATAGATCTACTCGGCACTCACATATTGACACGCCGTGAAGATCTGGGCAAAGAGAATGAGCATGACGCCGACTGCGACCCGAGCAGGGTCATTTGCGGGCGCAGTGGAAAGTGTGTGTACAAAGTCGACAGGGTCACTGACGGCTCCCTTGACCAAGCTTCCTGAGAGGCCGACAAGACAAACACCCAAAGTAACGATGATCAGGGCGGACCATTGGTACAGATAAAGGTGTCGACGGAGAAAGATGACAGACATCACCCCCACCCAGAGTACAAGGGCACCTCGAGACATCTGGAATATAGAGACCGGGGTGAGAATGAGCCCAACATTCATGAGCGTGGTCCCACATACTGAAAGTAGAGAATAAGTATATAGAGGCGGGGTCTGAGGAAAGTGACTTACTGTCAAAGAAAGCGGGAAACCACATCCAGCACATCCTCCAGCCTTGCAGAAAGTGACCCGCGTCCTCATCCTCGGCCTCCGAATCTTCTTCAAGGTGGACGTCAACGCGAGAGTAGCCTTCAGGTTGAGTAGTGGGGCCTGAGCCAAGCGGAAGACGAGCGACAATGCGACTAAACACAGACGCCTGGGGGCCGCTGGAGGTCTTCTTTTCGCGACCATGATAGTAGCTCCATAGAAGAGGAAGACAGCATCCAAATTCGCCGATGAACATACTGGCGAATGCAGAGTCAGCTACTGCGCTGATCAGGTCGTCCGTTCGCCCATTGGACATACTTCAATGTTTGCCACACCTGATATACGTCGTCAGAATATCGCGCTGTGTCACGCAGTTGCACTTACAGGCTGTTCGAACGCAATGGGAGTGCTTGTATCGCATTGCTCTACGCATTCCATGTCTTGATACTTGGAGCTACATGGCGGCTGTCAGGACAACGGAGGAGCTTGAGGACGGCTGTGACGTACAGGAGACTGTTTGCACAGCCGGTGAGAAACATGCCCGCCACGAGGGTGGAGACCCCCATCTTGAGCACCATCTTGGTAGTATAGGGGCGTATCGATGGGATAGAAAAGGATGTACAGTATAGAGATGCAACAGATGGAGATACGATCGCGTCACAGAGTAGCCCACCGGCCGCCGCCACCTTCGATTACGCTGCCTGATGTTTTGGAGTTTGGACTGCCCATACTATACGACTAGAGTGGTTTACATGCATTGCACAAAAAATCATCGTCCCTCCACAACATCATACTTCTTGCCCCTGATACCCCACGTTCCCCAATTCGTCTTGACACCCACCCTCACATCCCACTCGGCAATCTCCCACTTCAAACTCCCGAACGGGTTCACTCCCGGCGTCAATACCAGCTCAAACTCGTCCGTCACACCCTCAATCGGCTCAATCGGCCCTGTGGGAAGAGCGACATAGTCGGGGAACTCGCGCACCGGCGAGCCGGGAGCACCAGAGGCAGAAGGAGGGTTGGTCCCAAACAAGGCAGACACGTCTCGTTGGAGATCCAGAGGAGAAAAGGCGGTGAAGAAGAAGGGACACTTGGTCTCGAGAATTTGTTGGAGGGGCTGGCGCCAGGAGGTCTGGGCTTGGACGAGAGTCTCGGGAGGGGCATAGGGAACCTCGCTCTCAATCTCGGCGGGCGAGTAGCGGTCTTCGGGAGCGATAGGCTTGCCAGTTTCCTGGTCAAGGAGCACCTGGCCCTTTCCGCTCTTTGTGATCTTTTCTAACAGGGGCTGGTGGGGGAAACCAAACCCGGGCGAGAATGCGAAAAAGACATCCGTGTAAGGGTCAAATGGCCCCAACTGCTCATGAATCTCCTCATAAGGCGCCTTAAGCGAGGTCAAAGAGAGCTGGGTGTTGTAGTTGAAGGTATAGCTGGGCACACCCCATCCGCCTTCCTCTGTGAAGGCATACTCCTGCTTGGCCCGGTCTTGGGCGGACAGAAGGGGCATACCGACTTCAGGGCCGATAAAGTAGATTTGGAAGACAGTACGGGGGAAGAGGTGCGTGAGCTGGGCCCACAGGTGAGGAGGCAGGGTTGACTCGGCACGGGCACCGAGGAGGAAAAGTCGGAAGGGTGGTTGAGGTTTTTCGGGGGCAGTCTCGACGGTGGCGCCGGGGGGGAGGTGCAACACAGAGTGGAGCGCTAGACAACTTAGCTCGATTGTCAGACATCAGGATGACACTCACCAGCCATGCTTCGCCTTCCCTGTCGAGTGATACGCCCATTACCAGACGTGAAGGGTCCGTTCTGATGCAAGATGCCCGCGATGGTCATGGGATACGTCAGAATCTTGGACACATGTCGCACAGATCGATCCGAGTCGATCGAAGGGTAGTTTCTTGTGAAGAACAAGGTGTCCCATGAAGCAAAGTTGACCGCAGACTCGTATGGCTGTTGCTCTGTCGACATACATGAGCGCTGTCCGGATCGCGTAGGCTCTCTCACTGACCTGGCATATTCTCAAACTCGACCATCTTTCGCTCACTCCTCAGATCATGCTCGTCTTCGTTGACCTCCCTCAGCCTCCCGCAGTACTCTTTGTGCTCTTCCCGTCCTTCCTCCCACCTCTCTTGGTCTTTATGCGTCGGCCACCCACAGTCCGGACAGTCGAACGCAGGCCTGACTCGCTCGTGGTGCTTTTCAAAAGAGGTAGGGCAGAGGGAGACTGACTTTATCCGGTCGGCCTTTTCGACGAGGGCCGGGAAGGGGGAGTGGGAGAGGGGGTGGAAGAGGTCGTCCTCAGCGAGGAGGGGGGCTTGAGGGGCAGCGGGGGCGGGGGTGGATTTTTTGAAGAGGCCGAAGAAGGGGCGTGCGTGGCTGGGGAGGGGGCATGGGGTGAGGCGGGTGGTGCTGCGTGCGAGGGGGCGGAGTGCTGCGGCTGAGAGGGGCCGCATGGTGTATAGATTTGTACAGCTGTTATAGGCAAATTGAAATGCAAGAGGAGAATAAATCTCGCCTGCGAATGCTCCCGCGAATTGCTCCCGCCCAAAAGTTGCCCACCGGCCATCATCTCTGACATTTTCCATTTTTTATTTCCAGGCGGCAGCCATGGACCTCGCCCACCTCCCAGTAGAAGTATGTCCTTGAGTGCCCATGCATCCGGCGCTGACAGCAGCAGCTCATACAGCACATCCATGTCCTCGCCCACAACCCCTTTTTGCCCCACACCTGCCGATACATCTATGCCTCCCTCCACGGCACATCCCCCCACTACACTGCCGCCTACCTCCTCTCCCTCTACAGCCCGTACGGCCCAAGCGAAATTCTCCTCCGTGCTCTGCGCCACCCAGTGTGCAATATCGATGTCGCCAAGGCCTTGAACGAGCAGTGGGAGAAGCGGCGGAGGATGGGTAACGGAAAGAGCGCCGTAACGTCATTCGACCCTATGCTGGGCAAGAGGGCAAGGTCGGAATTGGGCTCTGCATCTCCTGAGCCAGCGATACGGCCGCTTGCCGTTCGAGAGCTACCGAGGCGACTGTTCCGAGTGTCAAAACCTGAGCCGCCGATCCATCCCATGATAACGTACATCTTTGAAACCTATTCTCCGTCCCCGAATTCGCACAAGGGCTACCCGCTTTGTCGTGCTGTTCTCCAGCACAATCTGCCACTGATATCGTTCCTTCTGGTACATGGGGCAGACCCCTCGCTGAAAGACTTTATGGCGGTGGAAATCGCCATCTCTATGAAAGACCTGCAGATGGTCAGAATGTTGATCGAGAGGCAGCCAGGAGAAGAGAAAAAAACGGATAGCCCCGCAAAGAGGGTAAAGCTAGGAGATAGAGTGACAGTGGGGACGAGGATGGTGGAGACTGCAATCAAGAAGGGGGCAAATGAGATTGTAAACTATCTCGTGCACGACAAGAGTAGGTGCCGTGGCCCTCCTCCTAACCATGCTTACCAAAGTTCACAGAGGTCATGCCGCCCCTTCAGTCCATCATGGAACTTGGGAAACCAGACGCTCCTATATCAACACCAAAGTCTCGGCCAAAGCAGAAGAGTAATAAGAGGCAACGACAGGCTGGTGTCAGATGACTTTATGACCCCCACGACCTTCACGAATATTGGCTCTCTATTTGTTGTACCTTGTGCGCAAGCCACAATCATGGCGATTATTCATATGCCTCTGACGAGCCTCGCGGCCGCAAGCCAATGCATATCATTCAATCAGCTCGTCTGCTAGGTCCTTTCCTTCTATCAGCCGCCTCACCACCCTATTGAATATCCTCTCCACCTCCTTCACTTCTTTCATCTCTACCGCCCCTCCGTCCCTCCACGTCGTGCACACCCGCAAACCCCGTTCAAACCCAATCACCATGACTGACATCGGACCTTTACCGTTCTCTGTGGGAACCGCCAGCCAAGACATGTCGTCGGCACCTGAAGGGAGGCTGGAGAGGCCGAGGTTGGAAAAGGAGAATGATTGCGTGAAAGGCGCAGGTATACCCAAAGGCTTGGGCTGGGGTGGTGGCTCAGGACCGCTGACAGCCCGAGCGCGAGCTAAGTCGACGGGATCGGTAATCTGCTCCAGTACTCGCCTGGCGACATACCAGAAGTTTTGGCCTTCATAGATGCTAATGTCAAACTTGTGCGCGCAGACATAATTGCCCGTACAATACGCGTGGCCCAGAGTGAGGTTCCGCTCCGACCGAGGGGTCGATGAGGCGAGGCGGAGAGAAGGGGAGTCCAGCCGATAGACCGACCAGAGTGCGAACGAATAGATTGTCTTGAGTACAGGGTGTAGGGTGGGTACACCGTGGGCTTTGGCAGCCGCCTTCAATAGCGACAGGTCTTTAACGGAAAGTGAAAAGATGGATGCTGACGGAGTAGCCTGCGATAACATGATCTTGGGTGGAACACTCGGCCAGATATATGGGCTCGGCGGTTCACCCTGACGGTCAGCTGCGGCTGGAGGGGCAACGTCGACGGTGTCCTCAAAGCTGGGAATGTCCTCCACACGCTCATAAGGAAGATCTGCTATAGAGGGCGCAAGGAGGGCTTGGAGGAGATTGAGAGCCCCATGACCGTCGGCGAGAACGTGGTCCAGAGTTAGGGTGATATACACCCGGGGGCGCAAAGGGTGGGTGTGGACGCCAACTTGCCAGAGAGGACTATCGTCTCGAGAAGAAACGTTTCGGCTCATGCGGTTGCCTTCGTCCAAGAGGAGCTTTGTAAACACATCTCCTTCAGTACCGCTGTCGGCCAAGTACTGATCGTCTTGGATGATCATTGTAGCTGACCAAGGTCCCTCCTCCCTGGTCGCTACCATGTCCCCTCGTCCATAGCCGAACTGGGCATACAGCGTAGGGAAGTGAGCTTGAAGCTCTCCAATACGGCCAGCTAAGAATGCTCTCGTCGGTGCTTGTGTAGAGGAACAGTATGCAGTTCCCAGCGCGACGATGGTAGGTAGTCCTTTTCGACTACGGGACAAGAAATGCTTCTCATGAGCAGCAACTGCAGGTCGCCGCGGTCAGCCGAAGTACTACAGAGGGAGAGGAGCAGCATTCACGGGGTCGCGATGGTTGTGCGCTACTAGTTGGCATGCTGCGAGAGAGTTGGGAGGCAGGCCATCCCTCCGGGGAATATTGCAGTCTGTGGCAGTGGTGGATGCATGGAGGATGGCAGGCACACGCGGACGGGAAAGTCTCTCGCTGCACTACTTTACACTGACTTTACATCTCGTTCGCCACTCCGCCTGTGTCCTCTATCACCCTCTACTTCCCCGTCCCCCTTGCTCCCCACTGTCCAGCTCCCACAGCGCCACCGACGACACCGCCGCCGAAACATTCCGTGATCCGTCTCACCATCGCACACCGCCACGTCAAGACCCTCTACCAGACTGCTCACGCCACACAACACCTAGACGATGGTCGCGCCGGGCCGTGGAGGAGGCCAGAACCATACCTACAGCCAGAGCCAGGCCAACATCAAGCAGGCCCAGGTATGTACCCACGTCTCGTTCGCGCCGCGAGCGACTGCCAGGCGTGTTGCTGACCTGCTGTCCCGCAGCTCACTAGCGCATACCAAGAGCTGGCGAGAGAGCTGGGCAGCGAGAAGCTCAAGGTAGTGGGCGGGTATACGCTTGGTCGGGTCATTGGCGAGGGTACGACTTGCCAGCGCTGAACCACCTGTGTCTCACTGACATACACTGCAGGCTCCTACGGCTCTGTGCACATAGCTACCCATCGTCTGACTGGCCATCGCACGGCAATCAAGAAGGTCCCCAAATCGTTTACCCCCCACCTCACTCGCGAAATTCATCACCATCGGAGATTGCACCATCAGAACGTCGTCCATCTGCACGAAATCATTGCGACAGAATCGCACATATGGCTCGTAACAGAGTTGTGCAGCGGAGGCGAGCTGTTTGACTATCTGGTGGAGAGGGGGCGGATGCTGGAGGGAGAAGCGAGGAGACTATTTGGAGAACTGGCTGTGGCGGTTGGCTGGATGCACAAGGAGGGAGTTGTCCATCGGGATTTGAAGCTGGAGAATGTGCTTTTGGACGGGGAGCTGAGGATCAAGCTAGGAGATCTTGGGTTTGCCAGAGAATGGCAGAAAGGCAGACTGTGAGTCATCTCGTCGTGCATTGAAATATGAACTGACAGAATGCAGTATGGACACATACTGCGGTACAACAGGTCTGTATCCAAGCTCCTTGACCCCCGGCATCGCTGACAGTATCTGCAGGCTACGCTAGTCCTGAAATGCTCGCCTGCCGCAAGTATCTCGGCGTGGAGACAGACATCTGGTCGCTAGGCATCATACTCTATATCTTGCTCTGCGGCGGGTTGCCGTTCGACGACGACGATGAGAGGGTCATGAAGGAACTCATCCGAAAGGGCGAGTACGAGGAGCCAGATTGGCTCAGTGAAGGTATGTTCACTATTGCACAGCTGGGCACAGCCTGACAGCAGTATAGACGCTCGCGCGTTGATACGCGGGATGCTGCAGCAGGATCCTTCCGATCGCCTAACCATTGAAGAGATCCTCACCCACCCCTGGTTTGAAAAGACACTTGTCGATAGAGCCTTCCCGAACGGCGATTCTCACTCCATCCCACCGTCTCCCAACCCAGCTAGCCCCCAAGGCAATCATTCCCAAAGCGACGAGTTTTTTGCGGAGAATGCCATTCAACTGAATGCTGCCCGTCACTTGACGGCGTCTCATGCCAAGCCTTCACCTTTGTCGACCAATCTCCCCACAACACCTGTGAAGGAAGAGTCGGAGCCTTCTGGAAGTAGCGCAAACGGAGACAGTCTCTCTGGGAGCCTGATCGGCACCACTCCGCCAACGACTACGGAAGAGGATGCCATTGTCTTGCCCCGCCACAACAGCGCCGAGTTTAGCACGACCGAGAAAGAGTTGGAACTATTGCATAGATCCAATAGCCACACGTCCACCATCAGACAGGTGTCGACCACCCCCTCAAGACCTGGTTCAATCTCGCGGGGCAAAGCATCATATAAATCTTCTCTCGATGGCCAAGTTGAAGAGGACGAGCAGGCCGAGATACTTGATGGTCACACCAGCTTGCCGCTGATAGACGAGCATCTTCATCTCAACGTCGCTCTTCATTCTCGCACCCCCTCTCGAACGAAACGCCGTTCCGTCTCTTCCACGCTTTCCCTTGAGCGCCGTTTCTCTCATCATTCAGTCTCTCCGTCCACCCAATACGTGACCTATCCCCCCGAAGACTATTTCGCCAAGCTGAACGAGACTCGTCCCCCGCACTTCTCAACGCCTTCTGAAAAGGCATTGTTGAATCAGATGCGGGATATGGGGATAGATATTGGACAGCTAAGGCATAGCGTCGAAACGGAGGCTTGCGATTCAAGTGCTGGCATATGGTGGATACTGCGTGCCAAGCAGGCGGAGAGGGGCGAAACGGACCAGGTCATCCTGGAGCGTGAGAAGGAGAGAGTGAGGAAGAGGGAGAAGGCGGTAGCGATTGCCGAAAAGAAACGGGCAAGAGAGGGAAAATCAAAGGAACGTGATGCGGAGAAAGCAGAGGAGGTCCGGTTGATTGATCAACCAATGACCATACCCGTGACCCCTTCGTTTGGCCCGATCGACCTTGGGCCGCCGGTAAGCAGTGCAAGGATTGAATCGCCGGAGCCGATCATTGTGCCGGGTGATTCACCTGGTATCGAGATGGCTACGATCAGCAAACCTTCTCTCGGCATCAGCATCAATGCTCCCATCTCGTCGACGACCGACGTTCCCGATTCGCCGGTGGGAAGGCGAAATCCCTCTCCCGATTCTCCACAGAAGGACAGAGAACGACTCAAGTCCAGGAGCCCGTCGATGAACATGCTTCAACGAGCTACTTCGGCTTTTGCCAGCAACAAAAAGGGTGAAGAAAAAGAAAAGGCCGATAGGAATGCCGCCGATTCAGATTCTATGGGGGCCAGGGACGAGAAGGGCAACGCGGTGAACGGGAGTGGAAGCTTGAGTGGTTCGCCAACCAAGCTGCGAAAATCGAACCCACTAGTGAAACTGCCGAAAAGCGAGAGCGATGGGTTACTAAGTGCCGGTGCCAGTCAGCAGGCTTCTCCGGCGCCGTCTGGATCTAAGACTATCACTCCAGGATCCTCGCCTCAACGAGTCACGCCTCATGCGACACCCAGAGCCGCATATGAAGCGCGGGACTTCCATGAAGAAGAGACCTCTGTGGCGACACAGATGACGGAAATGGGCGAAGGCTCCAACTCTTTCGGCAAGGGCAAAGGCGGGAAACGAGACAGCATTTGGAATACATTCCGGCACCTCTTTCACGAAGATCGCCGTCGTCGCAAGCGCGAAGCTGCCATTCGCTCTCCACTATCCTCTGAAATTAAAGTGCCTCCGGCCGTCATCCTCTCACGCGGTCCCAACTCGCGCACCCCCGCCAAACGTTTCGGCCCTGGCCCCAGCTCACGCCGAACCTCTCTAGATGGCGTTGGTGTGGGCGGGAGGCCGGCCTACTTTAGGAGGTCAAGCAGCGTGAATTCTCGGAGAAGCTCGATGGGGAGCATGCAGTTGGAGCACCCTCACCCGCATATTGCAGAGCTGGGGAGAAGACGTAGTGGACGGAGTCACGGGAGTCAAACGCCGACTAGTGATAGAGAGTTTGTGGATCATCCCATCTCACGGCCCGGCTCATCACATTCGCTCCATCGTGGTGGCAGTAGGCGTTCGTCCATGTCGATTCGGTCACCCAGTCTGACCTCTGAAACGTCCACCAGATTCAAAAACCCACCCCAATCGCCACTGCTAAGCTACCGCCGACGACCGGCTGGCGGGAACGACTCGAGCCGTGTTCGTCATATCAAGGTCATTCCGGAGTCGCAGATCATGCGCAGTAGCTCTGTCGCCTCGAGTATCCGTTCCACAGGCAGCTCGCGTGCGAGCTCGGTAGACTTTGATTATGAGAGTGGGAGGGAAAAGGACGACGCGTCGTCTTTCAGGTCCGGCAGGAGGCAGAAAAGGCGTAGCGGAAGTCAGCGGTCCTTGGCTCAACAGATACATCGGACCCGCTCCCCCCTTGCTCTCAACCCAGATCAGCTGCAGCAACAGCAAGCAGCCATTATGCGCAAAAAGCCCATCCGCGACGTCTTCCAGAATAAAGGCAAGGGCAAGGGGCCAGGGAGAGAAGGCGAAGAAAGTGATTGGGTGTCGGAGGATGAAGATGAGTTTGCATGTGGCCTGGGGCAGGTAACGAGGAAGGGGGGCGGGGATGTCATGTGGATGAGCGGCCCGCGCTCCTCTCAGTCATCCACGCCTTCCAAGTCTACTGGCGCGGCGGCCAGCTTTCCGAGTAGCAAGATCGCTGTGCCGGTCTCCATGTCTGGCCGTCGAAAGGAGCGTGGGAGAAGGGCAAGTTCCGACGAAGAGAGAGAGGTGGGCAGCAATGGTAGTAGCGGGAAGAAGAAGGATGAGGGACTTCAAGGCCTGGGCTTGGATGTGCGGAGCAGGAGAAACTTGCCGGGGCGAGGGACGACGGCGCCTGGGATCATTGAGGAGGAGGAGGAAGATGAAGAGTGAACCTGTGTGTAATGATAGTCTCTTTTTGTATGACTCTTTTATGTCTTTGAACATTATATACGAACCCTTCGAGGCTTTATAGTTGACGAGTGATACGACCCGCTTGAGTAGCATCAGCATGTTATTTCGGTAGACTGAATCGCTCACCGTGGTGATCATTGTTGAACAGTGCCACACAAGACACGCGAATCGACTACCTCCAGCAGGGGACATGAAGTTACATGGTAATCATACTCGTCATATTCTATACTATCACTTGACATTTTCGATAACGGACATCTGCTAAGCGTCCTCCTGTTGCTGACTGGACTCCATCTTCTCAACAAGCTTCTTGACCTCCGTCTCCCCTTGAATCAACCTCTCCATGATGACCATAAATCTCCTCTCTACATCTTTGACCTCTTCCCTAACCACTGCCGTCCCTTCTACCCAGATGGTCCCAATTCTCACACCTGCCTCATGCCCCATAACGGTACATGAATACGCTGCAGCCGCGACCCCTGCTGCAATCTGGCTCCAAGCAAGGTCGTCCGCTCCAGGCGGGAGCTTGGCTCGTCCTATATTGGAAAAGCAGAGAGCGTCGGTGTAAGGGTTGACAGAGGCCGCTGTCTGGAGGAAGAAGTGCTCCCAGGTGGTAGGAGCTCGAGGGTCGGCACTGGAAAGAAGAGCTTGAGTGGAGTGGGTTGAGGAACGGTCTGTCTTTTGTAGCTTGTTCGGCGAAGAGGGAGAAAGGGAAGACGCCTCGGGTATGAGTTGTTTGTTTGGGATGTATGCCATAATACCCATTCCCATTCGCGCCTCCTTCAACTTGGTTGCGTCAACCAACTCTCCAGCCATCTTGTTCGTCACCTCATAGAACTTTCCCTCTTTACCGTCTTCTCCAAACTTGACTTGGAGATTGTAGGAGCTCACATAGTTGGCCATACAGAATGCATGTCCTAAGGTAGGATTGCGTTCAGAGCGAGGAGTGATGGCGTGGAGGCGGAAAGGAGAGATGGAAGAGTGGTGCTTGGACCAGATGGCGAGGGAGAAGATGGATTTGAGCAGAGGGTGGAGAGTGTAGACGTGATTCTCTGCTGCAGCTCGCTTAAGGGCCGAGATCTTGTCGGCAGAGATGGACAGCATGGAGCAGTCGGGCGACGCGTCGAGAGGGTTGGAGTGAATGTTGGAGCCAGGCCACGAAGGACGAGGGACGAGGAAAGATTGAAAGAATTTGGGGAGCTTGTCGACGACATGACCCTGCCAGATCCTGGGAAGGGCGTACCACAGGGAAGGTTTGATGTTGATGGTGTTTTCCAGCAGCTCAATGTCCTGGAGCTTCTCGTAGGGCAGGTGGGAGATGTCGTTGCAGAGAAGGGCGTCGAAAAGGAGGGAGAGACCACGGCCGTCGACAATGACATGGTCAGCCGCCAATGTGATGTAGAAGCGTTCCTTGTTGGGGTTCCTCCAGACTGAGATTTGCCACAAAGGACGGTGGTCGACATCCTCCCCACACATCCGCTGTCCCTCCTTGAACAGTACCCTCTCGAGTTCTTCCGACCTGTCCACCTTGTCCTCGTACTTGCCCTCTCTCAGCACCTGACCAGGTGTCCAAGGTGCATCGCGAAGTTCTTCCCGCGGGGTAGTAGTACGAAGCCCGGTGATGCGAACATAGAGATGCGGAAAGTGTTCTTGCAGCTGGACGATGCGGGTGGACAGAAAGGTGTAGTCCGGTGCAACGCTGGAAGAGGGATAGGAAGCTGCTATGACAAGGATAGGAGGAGATCCAGTGTTGCGGCGAGCAAGACAGTAGCGGGCGTGGAAGGTGACTGCGCGGGGTGAGTATGAGGGCGGGATGACTGGAGGGGCACGTACTGGGGCGAGACGGGCGCTCGAAGGGGGTGATGGGGGCGGGGGTGGGGCTTGTGCACGGCATGGGGGATAGAAGAAAGAAAGAAAGAAAGAGAGAAAGAGATATGATTGCGGTATATATAATAGATCACAGATCACCGCCTCATGCCTGGCGGGTATCGCCACAAAGTCATACGCGTCGCCGGCCACCGCGCCGTGTTGCTCACGTCATGCACATTCTTGTGTCCTTTAGGATCTACTTGCGTAGCCCAGAGCACCCTCAATTATCCTATACCAGCGGATGTGAACACAAAGGTGTACGTACGTAGTAGGGATGCCGACAAGCTCTGGGCTAAGTTCATCAAGAGTAGCGGCTTGTTACTACGAAGCTGTTCATCTATGGGGAGACTATGGCATCGTACCCATCTGGCGGTGAACATTGAGCTTACACTACATATCAATTCTCAGATGCATACATCACCCTTCTGCCGCCTCCTGTAGCCACCCAACGACGACAAAAGTGACTTGCCACGCGCTGTCGTTCAACATGGGCTTGTCAGGCGGGGTTCGCCGCAGCATCAGAAAAAGGCGCGCCTAACGCCCGCTAGATCAAGAAGTTAAGGGATAGGCGCGGGAGATGGACATTTTCCTCTTTCATTTCGCGCTCACTCTTTTGAACAATTTGAACCATAAACCGGTCACAATGAGCATTCCCGCCGCCACAGCCCTCAGAACACTCCGCTCAGCTGCCACCTCCAGATCAGGTGCGTAGCATCCCAGGCCAATTGTGAGACGTACTCATCCCCACTCAGCTCGCACTTTCGTCTCGACAACCGCCGTCCTCCAAGAATACAGCGTTCAAAAGGGGACCGTGTTCCCCGGAGAGACCCAAGAAGAAGCATGGAAGCGCAACCTCGGAGAGGCTCGTGAATGGCGTCGGCGCAAAGAGCAAACAAAATCTACTATCCCCCTCTTCATCCCCCAAACCTCCACCCCTCCTCCTCAGGCCCGACCCTCCCTCACGCCACATGAAGCTACCCTCTCCACTCTCCTCGCTTCTGGTGCCGCCCTCGGCCACGCGGCCAACATCACATCCCACGCGTATATGCCTTATATCTACGGCAAGCGTGCAGGTCTGTCGGTGATTGATCTGGACCAGACGCTGCCAATCCTGAGGAGGACGGCGGCCCTCGTGCGAGATGTTGTGAAGCAGGATGGCATCATCCTGATAGTAGGAACGAGAGCAGGACATTCGAAGATGATCCACAAGGCAAAGGAGAGGCTCGAAGATAATGGTTACGCCGTCAACAGCTGGATGCCTGGTGTCTTGACAAACTCGGAAACATTGTACGTCACTTTACAGACTTCTGCATAGCTGTCACTAACTACCTATCTAGCTTTGGAATGCAGCCCCTCCTCAACAAGTCTTACAAACCCGACCTCGTCATCTTCCTCAACCCCTCTGAAAACACTCCTGCCATCCGAGAATGCACATCTCGTAATATCCCTACCGTTGGCATCGTAGACACCGACACCGACCCCAGACTGGTCACCTACCCCATCCCGGCTAATATGGAGGTGCGTCATGAGATATTTGCGTTGCCTGATGGGAAAAGCTCACACTGATTTGCAGAGTCTCCGAACCGCCGAGCTCATCATTTCTACTCTGAGCATCGCTGGCCAAGAAGGGCGTCGGCTGAGGTTGAAGGAGGCTGAGAAGCGGGCCCGCAAGGCTGCTAGGACGAACAGGGGGCCTAGGGAGAGGCAATCATAAAAGGAATGAGGAAGTGCTATGCTACTCGAGAAGCTCTCGAAAGTATGCATATCCCATCGACTAACAAATGCTGCTCTACGTCTGCCGCTTTTCGGTCAGGTTTCATCCAAACCTCTACCCAGTCCCCTTGGTGTTAGCGTCGGTGGCTTGCGTGACTGCCCTTTCGCCTCCCTGCTGGTCCGGCTCTGAAATTCCGGTGACGGCATCATCTTCTCCAGAGTCAGCTTCAGCACTTAAACCTCCCATGCCTTGCCTCTTTGCTCGTTACCGCCCAGTCGGTGCCCTGGTCCCGCAAAGTTGTTGCGAGCAGCTGCGCTGGTCCTGCTGCGAGACGTCCCTCCAGCAGAGTTGTTGGAGGAGGTAGTCCCAGGAGCAGTAGAGTATGCTTCATCTCCTGGACAGATTCATTGATCAGCGTTAGTTCCTTACCTTGCAGGTGGTGGTGGTTACTGACCACCTGCTGTCCGGCCCAAACGGCTCCAGGGACCGCCGAACGCATTCCTGGAAGATGGACTTGCTAAACAATCCAACGTCAGCTGATATGGGTGTATCTACATACAAGATCACCGAACTTGGGGGGAATCGCGAGAATCCAGACCCTTCTGTGCCTCCTGCGCTGTTACCGGAATAGCTCATGATGGTGTCGCTGGTTGGTAGATTTAGTAGTAGTAACGGGTGCAATACTGCAACTGATTGTATATCTTGTGTGGTAGAGTTGAGTGAACACCGAGGTGCTTCGACCTGTCGTTTATACGTCCTGCTGTTGTCTTGTGCCATGCTTTACTAAGCTAAGCTTCGATCCCATCAATGGAAAACAAGGTTCGATGATGAGAAATGAGGACGTCCCCGAGCCACGAACCCTTGTTCGTCAGTGATATTTCTGCGTTCGCGTCGTAAAGTCCCGACAGCACGCATTGTTGATAGACGCACGCGTCACAGAGCATGTTTGCAGTGTTCCACTAGCTATAGAAGACCCCCATCGAATGAGCTGGTGCCAGCTCGCAAAATTGAATCGACTTCGGCCTTCCATTCGCAGCAGAGTCGGAAGGCATTCCAAGAACACCTTTGTTTGGTCAGCTAAATAGGTCGGTACTAACTTCATGAAGACAGCAGCCACTTTTCGCCTAACGAGTGTCCAGTGGTTTTGGAAGGCGACTATATGTCTGAAGGCCGCAAGGTATATTCTAGATACATCTATGATTACATGTGAATTTAAAAGGCTTCAAATCTGAACTATCGAAGGCTCTCGCTCTCATTCTCCTTGTCGAGGTGTTGGACATCCAGCCTCCGGGCCAGCACATCTGCTTCCTTGGCCACACCCGTCACAGAAGCCGCCTTCTCTACCTCAGTTGCCCGTTGGTTTTCTTCATGTTCCGCCATGAATTGCTCCCATTCTTTCTGCTCGGCCGGGCTCATCGGCTCTCCACCCTCGCCCACGGCATCTTCAGCCAACCCCAGCTTTTGCGCGTCCATTTCGTCTTTGGGATAAGGCTTTGCATTGACGCCGCCCTCGGGTGTGACTTCGACCTCGGCGTAGGTGGGTAAGTCTTCAGGTGCTGGTGATGCAGCAGCAGGGATATGGGGGGACGTAGCACGGGATGGCTGGGCAGAGTTGACATTTGATCGAGGAGGGAGTGGAGGAGCAGATGGAGGAGGAGAAGCAGAATAATGGGATGTTGAAGAAGGCTGATGCGTCAGAGACGGCCGGTTGGGATGACGTGAAGGTAGGGGCGGTGGACGTGTAGGCACCGGCGCGTGAATATTTCCCAAGTCGCTCATACTCGGGTTATGACTCCCTGGCCTCGACGCCCGGCGGATCTTTTCCGTCTCGGGATCACTCTCGTACTCGTGACCGTCTGTCTGATCGGGGGTGGGAGGGAGCTTGAGGACTTCGCCGTCGTTGAGCTCGAGTTGAAATGCGCCTTCGGGGATGATAATGTCGAGTGCGTCTCCCTTTTCTTTCTGAGCACGACCCGACTCGGAATCGGCCAGGGCCTTCATCAAGCCACTAGCTTCAATTGGCATCTTGACTTTGCCAGATAGCTGCAGTCGTGTCAGATTAGGTCAATGCGATGAGAATGTCACTTACAATGTCGCCGGCCTTGACGCCGGGCCAGTGGTACATTGCCTCATTCTCCTCAAACCTCTCAACAAAGACTTGAGCCACCAGCTCCACACCCGCATACATCCCTCGACTTCTGACATAACTGAACAAGGGCGCCTTTTCCAAACCAGCTTCGACAGCCGCACCAGCACCATATGGCCCGGCAGCGACAGCGAGCTCGGCACCGATGGTCGCTTTGTGAGTCCTGAAAGATTGTAGAGCCTTGGCAGTGTTGATTACAAGTACACAGTCGTAGACATCTACCCCGATGAGGAACTGCAAGTGGGGTCAGGACAAGTAGATGGGATGATGACAAGACATACACCTGTACTCAGATTATTCGGCGTGATGGATGCAGGGGGCGACCATGCTGTACAGTTCAGCTTTGCGTCATAACCGCAGCAACACACTCACATCCATCAGGCAGCTTGGCCACAACGAGTCCAGCTCCACCAGCGCCACCGAACGGCGCGATGCCCGACCGCATAGAAGTAAAGATGGCAAGACCTTTTGCTTTCGCAATGACAGCAGGTGGGATTTTGCGTATCACCTTCTTCTTCTTCTTTCTTCCGCTCTCGTCCTCTTCCTCTTTGCTCTCTGTGACGAGACCGTCCACTGAGGATTGGTCAGCACACGTCGTTCTAAAGCCACCGACATACCAGTGAATGCCCTGAGAATCCTGGCACACTTGTCCATTTCCTTGATGAAATCACCCGTGACAGGCCAGAAGGCCTCTGTGCCGAGCCTCTGCTCTGCAAAGTTGTTGACCTTGCCACCGAGGTTATCCGAGATAGCGACACCTTTGTCCAGGGCAGACTTGCCCCAGACGCTGCTCTTCGACTTGATCTTTTCCTTCCATGTCTGCTGGGATGGGTCGGGAGTGGTGGTGGTATATGTCCAAGAGGTGTAATTCTTGCGTTTGGGGGGAGGGGGTGCCGAGTCAGACATAACGAGATGGATGAAAGAGAAGATAGGAAATGGACTGTTTTGGCTGCGCAGAGGGATTCTCGAGACGTCGCCCTCCACCGGCCTCGGCTTCGGGTGACGGGTTGAGGTGACATCGCCACAGAGGCAATCCAGACTTCCAGAGTAAAGTATGTATCCATCCCGTCTGGGCAGGGGCACAGGGGCACAGCCTCGTCAGTGCAGGGGGAGAGGAGATGTGTGCATGCTCGACCAGCTGTAAATCATGTTTGTCCCCGGTCTCCAGGCTCACTCCACTCTTTATGCATCTGCAGTTCCTTCAACGTTCACGTCATACAGAGGCGCGAGGCAGGAGTATAGAGTGAGAATGCACACCACTTGGGATCCACTACGAGTCGTCTGTCAGCGTCTCGATCCATTGAACCCGCCACACTTTGAAGCCCTCAGTCTCGCCTTTACTTCCCCTTCCACACCCTACAGGCCTACTACTCGCCTACTCTGGCACCTACAGCATCCCGAAGGATTACTGCTACGATGCACAGAGAGCAAACAGAGGCCCGATGTAACCTCCAGACTCCCCGCTAAAAGCAGTCCAAGACTGCCGAGAAGCCTGTCGCCTGGGTGGGTAGCTACGGTTTACCAGATTCTTCGTCACAGGGCTGATGCAGGGGGACCACGGTCTTACCTGATAATGTACAGAAGTCGTTCTGAGATTGTAGATTAGTAGATTAGTAGATTGTAGGAAGCAGAGAACCAAATGGAATTGTTTTGGCTGAAAGGCCGAAATCTGCGCGTCTTTCGTCGAGTTAGGCGTGCAGGGTCGCTTTGTTGACATTTTGGATTCCGACCGACTTTGGGTCATCCAGCTGTATTAATATCTCCCACAGAGGGCGCCCCATGGCCACAACAAAGCACAGCATCAACACATCAGCATGAGTACTGCCTCGATCTGTCGCAACTGGGTCAACGGGTGAGCATACCCTCTTGCTCCAGTGCATGTCTAACACCCGTCTCAGCCACTGTCGCTTCGGCAACTCGTGCAAGTTCTACCATCCCCCCAAGGGGCAACAGGCGGGAAACAGCAAGCCCCAATACCAGTTTACGTATGACCCACGCCTCTTTACTCGACATGCGAAAACGACTGATCATGATGCAGCGAGGAAACCATCCGGAATGACCTCACGGTTGAGCTGCCGCAATACATCCTGTCCAACTATGGTGCTGCCAAGTTCGAGCCAAACCTGATCTACGACGGCGATCTTTCGCCAGAAGAGCTGAGGTACAAGAGCTGGGTCGCTCTGAACGAGAACAAGGGGCAAGAATACGTGCGTCAATTGCCACTCGTCAAAACAAGTACTGACGCCACTCAGGTGCAAGAGGAGCAGACTCTCATCAACAACTCGAAGCAAAAGATCATGAACCTGGTCACCCACCTCTCCAACACCTTTGCCAATGCGCAAAAGCTCCATGAAGCTCGATTTCTAAACGGCGAGATACCAGGGACTCAGTCGCGGCCAACCTCCTTTTCCGAAGCTGCTTTACTAGCTGCTACTCAGTCGAGCGCTGGAGCATTTGGCGGAGGAAACACAGCAGGAGCTTTTGGGTCATCAGGAGGATCTTCCTTTGGGTCCGGTGGGGCGTTTGGCAGCAATAAGCCGGGTGCTTTCGGGGGTGCCCCCACAGGCGGGGCTTTTGGGCAGAGTTCGTTCGGAGGCAACAGCAAGTCTTCAGCGTTTGGAAACGGCGGTGCTTTTGGCTCGGGGAGTACTGGAGGGTCAGCATTTGGCGCCACCCCCGCCCCCTCAGGAGGCGCCTTTGGGTCGACAGCTGCTCCAGCAGCTTCCGGGGGCGGGGCATTCGGTCAGTCTGCTTTCGGCGCCAAATCTGCATCCTCTGGATTCGGATCATCCTCGTTCGGTTCCAGCACTACCCCGTCAGCGTTCGGGGCTGCGAATCCGCCAACCCCAGCTAGTACTGGATCCGGTCTCGGCACTTCTGCTTTCGGCCAGAGTGCTAAACCTGCTGGCTCTGCATTTGGAGGGTCTTCAGCCCCTTCTGCTTTTGGGGCACAACCTGCTGGCTCGGCATTCGGCTCTTCACCTGCACCTTCTGCGTTCGGGGGCAGCTCAAATCCATCAACGTTTGGTGCATCGGCATTCGGCGCAAAGCCAGCAACGACGGCCCCTTCTGCGGGCTCAGCTTTTGGCCAGTCAGCTTTCGGTGGCTCTTCTCCTGCTGCTCCCTCAAGCTCGGCGTTTGGCCAATCCGCTTTTGGTAGCAGCCCTGCCCCTGCTGCACCTACATCAGGATCTGCTTTCGGTCAGACAGGCTTTGGGCAAAAAGCGAGTGCGTTCGGGTCCACACCGGCAGCGGGTACTTCAGCGTTTGGAGCTGCTCCAGCATCTGGTAGTGCATTCGGTGCGTTCTCGGGCGACAAGCCGGCTGCTGCCAACCCCTTCGCTGTACCTGCCGCACCCTCTGCTCCAGCCAACCCATTCGGCCAGCCTGCTCCCCCGGCAGCTCCATCAGCATTTGGCCAAGCTGCCCCAGCTACGTCTGCATTCGGAAGTGGCTCTGCTTTTGGGGCCAAATCTGCTGCCACCTCTGCCTTTGGTTCAGGCTCTGCCTTCTCCCAGCCTTCAGCATTTGGTGCGGCCCCGCCCCAGGCATCGTCACTCCCCCAGCCGGATGGCGAAATCCCGTCAGGCTGGTCGTGGTCTGACCCTTGGACGTGGATAACGGTCAGAGACGCGTTGGAAGATGGAAATTTGGATGAGAGTGTGGAGACGGCGTATAGGAGCGATAAGTTTGAGCTGGGGGGTATACCTACTCTGCCTCCGCCCGTGGAGCTGCGGGGATAGGGGTCAGAGTCGAGACTCGAGACTGGCTATATGTTGTAATAAATTCCATTTACGAATAAATCATTACTCATCATACCTTGATCGGCGTGGGTGTCCATGTTGCATGCCACAAAATGCAATCGAGAGTCGAAACGCCCTAAACAGACTTTGCGTCCTCTAGCTTTTACAGGCGTGTTTACTCGGAGCGCCGAGCATTGATATCCCGATGTCCTTGACTCTAGATATCCTCAATGAGCCTTTTCAGTATAAAGAGCATCTTGAGCATGTACATATGTATAGCGAGAGAGGGCGGCCATGTCCGGCGCGTCGGAGCCAAACAATGGCCAGCGTCCTCATCTCCTCTCTCTTCCCTCCACGACATGCATGCTATGCATGCTATGCATGCTATGCATGCCATACATGCTATGTAGTACTGGGTGCCGCTGTACCGTCTCCACCTTCCCGATCCGGTGAGCCCTTTGGGAATTCCTGCACGACGCTGCCCCTTTTGAGCATCTGTGTGCATTGGTCTCGGTGTGTGTCCCATTCCCTGATCTCTAACAACATCTCGCCCATTTCCTCTTTCCTTTTCCATCTTCTTCCATCCACCGCCGGTAGCCCGCCTGTCCTGCCACCCCGCCCCTTTGCACACCGCCGCCTCACCACTCAGCATACTCACACCACCATGTCGCTCGTCCCAGTCGGCGCCCCTCGTGATGCCGGTGAGCCATTTTGCGCCCCCCTGCGAATCCACAACTAACCATCTCCAGCTATCACCATCGGCCCCTTCAAGCCGGCGTACGTCCAATGTCCCATACATGACATGCCAGCTCATCTCCTCCCAGACGACCAGGTTACGGCCCAGTACTCTCCTACCTCCAAGCAGCCCAGCTCACAACACCACTCAAGATTCACCCCCTCCTGCAGCTCCGTACTTGGGACCCCAAACCCTATCCAAAGTATCTGGCTTGGAATGCTATCGAGGTGGGTCTCTTGCTTCTGGTGAAGGGGGTGGATAAGGCAGGGAGCACGGGAAGGGAGGGGACAAAGGAGGGGCGAATGTCGGAAGAATGAAAAGAAGACGGGTTCTTGCCGGGCGGGGCTGACTGACATTCTCGCAGCATCCTATGTTTGCTGCAATCTGGGTTGACTTTGATGGTGAGTTCAGACAGACGCACGGCAAGGAGGGTATCGCTAATCGTTACACGTAGATACCGAAACCGTAAGTTTATGGCCCAACGTGGAAGGACGCTTCTTACCAGCTGCTTCTTTCTTTGTCAATAGGAATGTGAGTACATTAATGTCGATTTCCCTGACTGCGACTGACCCGTATCCAGGGATCAAAGAAAGAGGGCAACCAGCAACATCGCCGATTGTGGAAGAACTCAATCTAGGGCACGTCGAAACGGGTTGGGCTATCCGAGTCAGAAATCGTATGGTGCGTCCCCTTTCTGTCAATCTTAGACTCAAGCTCAACGTTTTGAGGAAGGGTATAACATGTGAGGATGTCTTGTTTGCAATGTGAGTTGAATGTTCTCGCGGTAGTGACATGGGCTGAATCGTACCTAGATATGACTTCTTCGCGTCACCACGTGAGTCCTCGAACCCCCTGAGTGAGGATCAGACTTTGAGCTGACCCTTGACAGTGTATGTCGACGAATTGGGAGAAATGCGTAAGCATCTTTGTTTGCGACAATGGGCGTGGCTGACGTATGCGCCTTGACCATAGACCCTCGAGCCGTTAGAATCAGTGTGTCGACTCTTTTCGTTCTCTCTCTGCACTGTCGCTGACGATATCTCTAGTGGAACAGCAATAGTACGTTGAACACTGTCCTTTACATCACCACCACCTTCTCTCACCCAGACACCTTCAAATTATACGGACACTGACTTGGGGTGCAGCTTTGAGAAGCGTAGAATGGGTTTCTTCGAGTATGTACTCGTCACAGGGTGATTGAATGGGGCTGACTCACATTGCAGCTTGATGGAAGGTTACCGTAAATCGGATGCTCTTCTGGGTGCAACGTACTTCGATGGGTACTGTCACCTTCTCACTTGACGAGCCTTTGAGCTGACCGTGAGGATAGTATCCACAATGATCCAGAAAGTGTTGAGCGGCTCAAAAACAAGTACAACTTTCACTCCTCCAACTTTTTGCTCCTTCGCTTGGGCAACTGCTGAGCTCTTCGACAGCTTTACTATTTACATCACAGATCTTGTGTCGGCTGGTGGAAAGAATGGTGGTGACAACGTGAGAAAGTAGGAAATCGCATGGTGGTCAGGGAGATCCAAGTACGGACAGGAGTGTAGCGTTTTTTCTCTTTTCGTATTATAAACAGGCCGCTGCATATAGAGTAGACTATTGTTGTGATTACTATGCATCTCGATTGCAAACCTGTAGTGAAAGTGCGCACTATACAGTGGGTATTGAAGCATCTTCAGGACCTCAGGTCAGTGTCCATTCGAGGGCGACCAATCTGTTTGTCGCGTGTTTGTGGACGGCGTGAAGGAGCAGCTCAGGAAAGGACTTGTAAGCAGCTTGTAAGTGACTTTTTTGCTGTAAACATGTACCATCGGCCAACGATACCGCACACCCATCTATCTGTACCGCACTCACTCAGTTAGCTCCTACGTATCAATTCGTCCACCGTCTCCATCCCCTTCCCAAGATGATCCCAAAGATCTGTTCTACATCTTCCACCTCACTTCTCCTCGCAGCCGAGCCGTCCTTGAAACTTGTACTGAGCCTGATACCATTCTTATGCCCCACAACAGCCACCGTAAAGACCTCTTTTCCCAGCCCGTTTGCTACCTGTGCCCAGGCTAAATCCTCTGCGCCTTCCGGAAGCGGCAACAAGCCCAAATTGGAGAGAGCGAAACCAGTGGTGAAAGGTGTGGGAAGGATCGCGTTATTCAGAAGGAAATCTTCAAAAAGTGTCGGTCGGCAAAGGTCGAGATGTAAATGCCATCAGGAATTTGGGCAATCATGCCCATCCTCATCCTGGCAAGCGATATTGCCCGAGGATTGCTCGTGTCATACGACACCTTTCTGGCAATAGTCCAAAAGTCGTCACCGGACTGGATGTAGACATCAATTTGGTGCGAGCTGACATAGTTGGAGAGGGCGTAGGCATGGCAGAGGGGCGCGTCTCGTTCGGATCGGGCAGAGATGGCGACCAGCCGAAAGGGGCGCAGAGTATAGCGGTACTTTGACCATACCGCCAGGCCGTACATAGCAAGCAGAGCCGCATTCAAAGCGGGCACTTTATGCAGCCTAGCGAGTGCTTTGGGCTGGGAAACGTCGCCCGAGGATAGGCTAAAGAGAGGAAGTGCCGAGGGAGAAGCCAGGGGCGACACGTCGATCTGTTCTGCTGGCCATGATTTCGCAGGGGCGAAGTACGTTTGGAGAAAGCTGGGAAGGCGGGGAGAACGATGTGAGAGGGACAGCAAATACCAAAGACGGTCTCATGTTGATTGTATCCTCAGCCCGCGGAGTTGCTTCCAGCGTGTCCTGGGGCAGGTCGGAGATGTTTTCGGCGAGAAGAGCTTGAAAGAGATTGGCCATTGCACGCCCATCTATCATGACGTGCTCAACGGAGAGTGCCACATATACTCTGCACTGAGAGGTGCTCGCATAGACAGTGATCTGCCAAAGCGGAGCATTGTCAAAGTCCTCTTGCATCATCTTTTGCCCGTCGAGATGCAGTACCGCAGCAAACTCTTTGTCTTTGGTCTGTTGAGGGAGATAGACCCCTTTTCGGATTACCTCTGAGTTCTTCCAAGGCCTGTCCCGAAGGATCTGTACAGGCTCCGTCGTGTGCGCTGCTGCGACTTGGGCATAGAGCTGAGGGAAATGTGTCTGAATCTCGGCGATCCGGCGGGCAAGAAAGACATCTGAAGGCGCAGAGGCGGATGATGGGTATACAGCCGCCATAGTGGTACTAGCTGAGTAGCCAGCGTTTGTCCGAGCGAGACGGAGACGTTCTCGCAGGGCGACTACAATGGCATGTCAGCATCATGCACTTGCCTGCCGCGAGGCCGAGAACTGACGGGGACGCCCGGGTGATGGCGACATGTATTTGAAACTTGAGAGGGGTCGAGAGAGAGGATAGGGGGGGTGCTGCCTTACTGCAAGAGGGCGAAAGATGAATGAAAAGAAGAAAGAGATGATAGCGGTCTGTAGACGGCACCAAACAACACCGGTGTTACTAGGCGGACATGTCCACCGGCCATAGCTGGTACACAAAGACAGGGCGGACAACTTGTATCTGTATGCATGCTCTACTCTGGGATACCGATGCATCACATCACTGAGCAAAGCGACTCTGATGCTGACTTTGGAGATGGCTTGGTGGTTTCCTTCGGAAGCAGCTTTGCCCAACGTCAGCGTTGCGTTCGAGACGCCTCGCGAGCAGCCTCCTAACTTACATTGACCATACGAGCGTGCATCGGTACCATCACGCCTCCAGGGAATGACGTTCCTTCCGGGATGTACCTATCGGATGAATGCTGAGCCGTGCTCTTGCATAGACAAAGGACAAAGGAGACACTCACCCGCCATACTTCAACACTGTCATCTCGGGCAATTGAGCACCCAAAGGAAGCATCGTTCCAGCTGGCGCGTAGAATCCTTCCTGGGGTTTACCGAGCACATCCGCCAGACAGGCATCACCATCCTGGGTCGCTCGTCAGTCATCTAAAGAGGCACAACATGAACCGACTTCTGACCGACTTACAAACTCCAGATAAGTCCAGCTCGGCTTCCATTCGCCTTCCTTGAAGTAGTCTTTCCCGAGGTCGCCTCCACCCAGCATCTTCTCCACCGTCGAGGGGTCCGCTTTGGACATGTACTCTTTCCGCTTCGCTTTCATCTCTTCCTCTTCCTTCTTCTTCTGCGTTTTCTTTTCCTCTGCTGACGCCATGGTGTGAGCGACGCTGGCGATTACTTGTGAGCAGTGGAGCGAGAGACGGTTGATGGGCTGGGGTAGACGTTTTATAGAGCCGCTGGGGTGGGGGCTCGGCCGTTTTGCCGAGAAGAGCACCTTTCACAGCTTGCGTGCTTGCAGGCAGACCCCTTTAGCCCAGCGGTTCCTTTCTTCACCCTACAGCTTGCCGCAGACGACTGGCTGCCCCAAGTCCCCAAGTCTCACAATGCACGTTGGTGCCAAGTGGACCATGAATGGATGCGATGATCGTCAAGGGTGGCACAAGGATGGACCATATCCTCTTGTACTGCGTTATCGGCCGATACGGGGATAAAGGGGCGACAACAGCTGGGGCATGTCGACGAGGTGCTGAGACAGAACGACGCTCTCTTTGATCATTATACCATCAAGTGTACATTTTAGCCCTGTATAGTCATACTGTCAACTATGAATCACAACCACAACTTCACCCCCTCTAGGCTCTGGTCAGCAGAAGCCTATGTTCGCATCCGGAAACACTCACATATTGCCCAAGACCGCTGGCATTGTGTCACGCTTGGGGAGTGCCCTTGACGTGCTGAAGAGAGTTTTGTAGTAAGGGGCAAAAACCTTTTCGTTATTGTCGCATATGAGAAGAAGAAACTATGAAAAGACTCTGATACGTGTAACAACGGAGAGCACGGTCCACAAACACACAACTAATCTATCTATTGAATGAACGAATTACACAGATGACCCTTTAACATGACACATTGACCAACTCTTCCACACTCTCCTTTCCATCCACCAACCTCTCCAAAGTGACCCTGAATATCCTCTCCACATCCTCCACCTCGTCCCTACACACCACTGTCCCATCTTTCCACGTCGTCCCAATTCTTACGCCCCCTCATGGCCTACCACCACCGCCCCGAACACCGAGCTTCCCATGGACGAGGCAGTCTCCGCCCACGCGAGGTCACTTGCTCCGGGAGGCAGTTTGACGAGGCCCAAATTGGAGAATGCTAGAGCGGCATGGACCGGAGTGGGAGAGGACACACTGCGGAGGAAGAAAGCTTCGTACTGGGTCGGTCGAAGAGGGTCAGGCTCCCCTGATGGAGATACGTAGGGTCCGCTAGGAATGTAGGAAAGCATGCCTATCCGTAATCTAGTGTCGGACAGAAAGCGGTCGGTACTGAGCTCATGCGACACATTCCTAGCCACCGACCAGAAGCTAGCGTACGATTCAAACTTGATATCAACTTTGTGAGAACTGACATAGTTGGAAAACGCGTAGGAGCAGCCTAGGGAAGATTTGGGTATAATGATACTTTGGCCATATGGCAAGTGCGTAGATACACTTCAATACTGGGCTGAGCGTAGAGACGCCATGCGTTCTGGAGATGCTTTTGACGGCCGACACCTCTTTGGAGGAAAGCGAGAAGAGCGAGTAGGCGGAAGGAGCAGTAAGAGGCGATTCGGCAATGAGATGTGCAGGCCATGACTTAGCCTGTATTAAGTATCTTGCTAGAAACGACGGCAAGCGAGGGAGGATGATCTCCTGCCAAACGATGGGAAGGGCTTGCAACAAGCTCGGCTTCAGGGGAAGCACATCTTCGTCCGGAGGTGTCGTCTCGAGCTTTTCGTACGGCAGTTGGGAGATGTCTTTTGCGAGAAGCGCATCGAACAGGTTGGCTGTGCCCCTCCCGTCCTGGAAGGAGGAGAGGAGATGGAGAGAAGGAGAAAGATGATCGCTGCAAATGTACACAAAGACCATCTCGACGACAAAGAGAACAGCAGAGACGAGGACGGAAGCTACGGAACACCGAGCACTGGAAGTGGACTCCGCGGCGGTCAGCTATGTACATGCATCCCTTCTGGGGGCGACTATGAAACAGTGCATGTACGTGACAGTGTACGCTATGCCAGGTCATTGACATTGCTCTTCCCCTGGATGAGCTTGTGCACGATCACCCTGAACAGCTCCTCCACGCCTTCCACCTCGTCCGTCCTCACTGCTGCTCCCTCACTAAAGATAGTCCCCACCTTGACCCCTCCCTCATGGCCGATGACGGTAGTCGAAAACACCTCATGCCCCAACCCGTCTGCAACCTGTGCCCAAGCCATGTCCTCCGCGCCCTCGGGAAGGTGCACAAAGCCAAGGTTGGAAAAAGCCAACGCAGTATCGAGTGGTGTGGCAGATTCTGCACCCTTGAGTAGAAAGTCCTCGAACAAGGTAGGCCTGAGGGGGTCGGGAATCCCAGTCGGGGATGTGTAGAGGCCACCAGGGATTTGTGACAGCATACCCATCCTCATACGCGCATGCGAGATGGACTGCTGACTGCTCAACTGATCCGAGATAGTCCGCGCCACCGCCCAGAAGTCTGATCTGGGCTTGATGTTAATCTCAAGCTGATGGGAACTAACATAATTACCCAAAGCATGAGGATGCCCGAGTGAATCGTCTCGTTCGGATCGAGCAGAGATGGCCACGAGCCGGAAGGGACTGAGGGTGTAGCGGTACTTGGACCAAATGGCCAGGGCGTAGATGGCATTGATAACGGGATTGAGAGTTGGTACGCCATGCGCTTTGGCAATGGTTTTTAGCTGCGATACCTCGTTCAAAGACAAGGTGAGCAGCGAAAAGGCCGAAGGAGATGTCAAGGGAGTAGCAGCAATGAGATCGGCAGGCCATGCTTTGGCGGGAGTAAGGTACCTCTGGAGAATTAGGGGGAGTCGGGGAAGGATGAGATGATGCCAGATAAGGGGCAAAGCAAAGGCCAGAGTCGGCTTCATGTTGACTGTGTCTTCCACCCCTGGGGTCGTTTCAAGCTTTTCATAAGGCAGACCAGCGATGTGCTTTGCGAGAATGGCCTGGAGGAGGATGGCCATCCCCCGACCATCAAGCAGCACATGGTCGACAGAAAGAGACACGTAGACCCTCGGTTTGGAGGGGCTGGTGTAGACGGTGATTTGCCAGAGCGGGGCCCTTTCGACATCTTCTCCAAGCATCCTCTTCCCGTCAAGAACCAGCATCCCAGCAAGCTCCCTGTCTCTATTTTCCTCTTCCGAGTAGACCCCTGTTCTCAACACCGCGCTGCTCTCCCAGGGGCCATCTCTGAGAACCTGGCTCGGCGAAGCCGTGCGGGCATCTTGGACTCGGGCATACAGCTGTGGGAAGTGCGTCTGTATCTCTGCGATACGCTTTTCCAAAAAATCTTGGGTAGGGGCAGAGGAAGACGTAGGGTAGGCAGCGGCAATGGTGATGATGGGCGGATGGCCAGCGTTTCGTCTGGCGAGGCTGAAACGCTCGTGGAGAGAGACTAAAAAATTGTCAGGACAGGCGAAATGAGAGTAGGGGACATACGCGAGCGAGATTGATCCATGACAGTACCAAAAGGGAGAGAGCGTAGTGTCAAGTATGTACAAAGTATGAATGAGAAGAATGAAATGTAAAAAAGCAAACCGACCAAGATGTGAATCAGGCACTGTCGGGCGCCCGAACTGATAAGCCCGCGAACTGCGATAAGTTGCCACGCCTGACGCCAGCTTTCACGATCAAGCGAGGATAATCCTACACTTTGAAAACATACCTACAAAGATCGAGATGGCATGGCATTATACAACTGGTACAGACCCAAGTCCACGCTACAGATAGTCCTCCTCACTGGCGTCGTCGTCGCTGGCCAATGCCAGTCGCATTCTCTCATTCTTCAGCCTTTCCTCCTCCTCTTGCTCTTTCGTCTTCCCCCCCCGACTTCTCAGACTTCTCCTCCCACCGTCCACATGCGGGGTAGGTTCCGCCTTAGTACTCTTGCCCTTTCCTCGCGAGGTTTTTGGGATCTCTAGAATCTCGTCTTCTGACGTTTCTTCTTCCTTTTCTTCAGAGGGCGTCCTAGCCTTGCGTTTCCCAGCAGCCCGTGTGGACTGACGGGGCGGCTGTCGCTGACGTGTTGCTCTCTTGCTAGGTGCAGGAGAAGTATGAAAAGGCAATGCGGGGGAAGAAGCATTGGATCTTGGGTTGTTGAAACGAAGCATGACCTTTGGCTTTGTTGACGCTTGTGCCTCCACCCCCACCTCTTCTTTCTCTTTCTCCTCTTCTCTCTCCAGCTTGACTTCATCCTTTGGCAGAGCCGGCTCAGGGACCCCGACTTCCTCCATGCCTTCGTCGACCGCATCCTCTTCTTCCCGGCCGACACTGTCTTCCCATGCTTCAGTGCCCATCTTGTGTGCCGCAGCCAAAACATCTTTGGCCGTTTTGCCACCTGGCTTGCGAGGGAGGTTGTTGGTGTCCTCCGGGTCCGGAGCCTCGCCAAGTGGGTTGGCAGTGTCCTGAGAATGATCAGTGGTTTGTCGAACCCTTTGAGATCCATCACTCACGCCTGTTCCACCATATTCTTCCCTCAATCTTAGTCGTACCCTCAAACCATTCACGAGTTTCACCCAACGCTTCAAAGCTTTTTCTTCCCGTTTCACCCGCTCTCTCTCCTCGGCAGCTGCGGTAGATTCTTCGTAGGCTTCAAGCACGAGCTGCTTGTTTTCTGCGGCGACGACGATACCGCTGAGGGTTGGAACAGCGCGCTGTTTCTTGAACTCGAAGCCAGTCTAAATAGACATGTCAGCCAGACAAATGCGGGTGAGATGAGACGTACGACAGCTTCGGCATAGCTTATGTTCAGGCTCTTGGCAACTTTGGCGATACCCTTGTCTATGACCAGTCAGAGTCGTGGATGCTACGGAAAGAGACTTACAAGGCAGATGCACAGCTCCAACAGGCAGCATAGTCGGCGCATACAAGTCAATGTTCCCAAACGCATTCCTCGGAATCACCCCATCCACAATCGCGGGCGGCACATACACTTCCGTCTGCCACTCTGCATACAACCCCTGCTCCATCTCTTCCCCTTGCTCCTTTGCCAACTCCATCCGCCTCCTCTTTTCCAAAGTCACCGCCCTCTGTTTGATCCATTTCAACGGATCTTGGTTGGGCTTGGTGATGCGGCCGGATCGCAACCAATTTTCGGGGGTCTTGACTTCGAGAACAGAAGACCGACGGAAGACTGGTTCGCCTTTGAAGTGGCCGATAGGATTGGTGTTTGCGGGGAGTACCTGGGTCTGGCGGAGGTGGCGTTTGAGCACGTATCTGCGACAAGTCAGTCTCAGATGTGTTGTTCAGAGATGAGACCTACATTGGGTGGTCTTTGAAACCGCTCATATGTTGAGGCATCTTTTCGCTCTCCTGACTCATCTCAAGCTCAGCATCCTCAAGATCATCTCGGTTCTAGTCATGTCAGTCGCATCCACACGTGCAACTGAAGCTTACGTACCAGTCGATATGGCCGTCGCAAGAACCCCATCACACTCTGACTCCACCAATCCGCCTCGTCGGAGCGCGTGGGAGGCCGCAGCTTGCTCGTCTTGGCGTAAAAGTTCCTGGTGTACCGCAGAGTCACGTCCCTTGCGTATCCATCTACCACACTGTCAGTACTGCGCCCGTGAAAGAAGAGCAGGACTCACCTTCCTCAAACGCCACCACATACAACATTCTCACTGGTCCGCTATCACTCGTCGGTTCATAATGCTGCTTCTTCCTGATAACTCCCCGCACGGGGTCAACAGGTATCCAACGCTGATCCGACCTCGAAAAGATTTCTGCCCAAAACACGGGCGGCTGGTCCGAGAGATCTTGCTTTACTTTTCGTTTTGACCCAACTTTTTGCGGCGGCGGGCGGTACTTTCGGAGTCGATACAAGTCGGCGGGATCTTTGAGTCGCCTTTTCCCAGCACCTCGGGTGTTGCTCTTCTTTTCGCCATCAGAAACACCAGGTATAGGCACTTCCTCCATCTCGTCTTCATCCTCGTCATCCTCATCGTCTCCCATACCTTGCCTGCTGGCCACCGTCCGCCCGCCCTTGCCCGCACCTTGTGGCTTCTTCTTCTTTGTCCCTGCCTTTTCCGCTTTCCAGGGAACAGCCTGCAGGGATGTGACCAGTCTCGCTCCAAGCCCAGCTGCTCGGGCGAGAGAGACAAACAGCTGTGCAGAGACGTCCCGGGAGCCTTCTTGTTGAAGAGCCTTTTTCATGAGCGAGTTGATTGAACGGAGTCGCTCCCCACCACACTCTTGCTCGAGTGTCTCGAGGACGGGATTCTCTTCTCTTGCTTTGCCCTTCTTGCCGCTCTTCTCCTCTTCGTACTTTGGTAACGTCCTCAGCTGCTCCTTTGGGATAGACTCGATGATCTCTTGAACGTCGTCCCATGGTCGTGTACGGATACCGAGGGTATAGTCGGAGATGTCGAAAAAGGTCTGGGACCACCAAGTCACGAGGGTCTGGAGAGCATCAAAGAATAGACGAGAACGCTGAGCTCGATCGGGGAACCGAGATGGAGGAATGTTGAACGCTGCTTGAAGGGGATGTGGGAGGAGCGACAGGAGTCTGGCCTTGTGTATTGTCAGGCATGTAAAGTAGAATATGAAAGCTACTCACTTTCAGGAGCGTATCGTTACACCACTTGTTCCGCTGACTAGAGCTTGCGAGCAGAGCAATTACATGCACCTTGTGCACTTCCAGCCTCAAGGCCCGATCTCTAGCTGTCATGGGCTTTTTTCTGTTCATGAGTGCTATCCGCTTCGCCTTTTCTTCTGCAGTCTCTCCGCCAATCTCCAAATGAATCACGCCGTCATCTTCTTCTTCGTCTTCGTCATCTTCGTCTTCGGCTGCATGTTCCCCGACGAGTGGTGTTGGTGTGCCTGTGGGTTGGGATATAGGTGTGTTCTGGTAAGGTGATGAAGGAGCTGTTGGTATTGGCACTTCTTCAAGACCCTCTTCTTCTTCGTCGTCGTCCGAAGATATCACTTGAACGGTTGACGTGATTGATATCGGCGATACAGCAGTGGATCCTGCAGTGTGTCAGCTGCTGTTGCAGCTCGGTATAACTGAATACATACCGATGCTTTTGCCTTTCCCTTGCACTTCTTTCTCTCCTCTGCCCTTGTTGCTTGTGGCCGGACGGGGGGTGCTTCTCGATGAGCCCGCCGATGCCGCCGGCGTAGCCTTGCCACTCTGTGCCGCTGCTGGGCTGCCGTGGGGGAGGGTGGCGGCGATGGCCTGTATGCCCCGTGGCCTGGGGATGATCATCTTCCGCTTGGGACGGGATGCACTCATGGTGGCGGTGATAGGGGGCCAAACAAGAGATGCATGCAAACGGCCATCATGGCGGGTCCAGCCGCGGAGATCGGGACATGTCCGCGGTGGAGGCCGATCGCGCTTTGACGTCACCGGCACTGTTTCTGGGCCGACTGTTGAGAGGATCACATCATCGGGTTGTCTGTGTACATATAATAGTATAAATACAAGTCACAGCCTGGGTCACAACATCAACTGCATATCAAGTGCGTCTCCCATCTATCTCTTTCATCGACTAATCAAAGCAAACAGTATGTCTTCCATCCTCCGCTCCACCCCCCGCATCGCCCGCCACATCCGCTCACTCAGCACCTCCCCTAGACTAGCCAGCATGTCGCCCCCTGCCCACAAGATGTCCGTCTTCCCCCGCATCACCACCTCTTTGCCCAGCGAGCACGCCGAGTTCAGGAATGTGTTGTGGACAGGAGAGAGCAGTCAGCTCGTTCTCAGTAAGCGTCTCGATCTATCTTCCCAATGAGACTGACAGAAATGCTAGTGACCATTCCAGTGGGAGGCGAGATCGGAGAGGAAATTCACACCGTCGACCAGCACCTTGTGTTTACTTCGGGTACAGCCCGAGCAATCGTCGGCGGAGAAGAAAAGGAGATCAAGGCTGGAGATCTTGTCATCGTTCCCCAGGGCACCAAGCACAACTGTGAGCACAACGATCGGCCATGCGGCTCCACAGTCTCTGACTCTGTCATCAGTCCTGAATACCGGCCCCACCCCCCTCTCCCTCTTCACCGTCTACGCTCCAGCCGAGCACGCCGAGACGACAGTCAACCAAACCAAGGAAGAAGGCGATGAGCTTGAGGACGCCGGCAAGGATGAGCCTCCCAAGTGGGCTCAGAAGTAAACGCGGCCTTTCAGACGGAAAGAGTAGTCATCGAGAGAAGCATGTATTGGTATATTATCTGCATAACAGTGGTGGTGTGGCTGTTGCACGCCTTTTCTAGGACCAAAAACCAAAAGTGAAATAAAATCAGAAACCAAACCAGATTACTCGCCCCATCCACCTCTCTCCCGCCACCTCTCAACCTCCCTGACGTACTCTCCCAACTTCTTCCTCATCTTTTCCACCGTCTCCGTCCTGTCCCATTCTTTCCTGTCAACCCACACCTTGTCAAAGAGTGTCGCGCGCAGCTGCTCGAGCTGATCGATCGAGAGGAAATTTGTCTCGGCCTCCAACTCTGACTGGAGCAGGTCCAAGGCGTGAGAGGAAACGGTGAATCGTGGGTACGAGGGGGGTGGAGTTGGAGCTCGGGGCAAGGGCTCGGGCACTGGAGCTGTGGTCGTGGAAGGCTCGACAGCGGGCTGGGAAGAGGTGGAAGCTTCATCGATGATAGGCTCGTCATCGCGGGGCCTCTTCTCCCGACCATTGCTCTCGTCGTCCTCTTCTCTGGGGCGCTTCGAGCTCGAGCTTTCGATCTCAGCGGGACCAGCCTCACCCGTCTCTCCCTGTACCTCGCTTTCGACCTCCTTCTCCTTTGCCTTTTCTTTCTCCAACTCCTCTTTTCTCCTTTGCCTCTCCCTCTTCTTCTCTTGCATCCTCTCCGCATACCTCTCAAACTCTGGCGTCCATTTCGAGTCAAAGCCGCTCACATGCAACCTCGCATTCGCACCCATCTCGACCATCTTGGCGTGCCTTTCAGGATCGTTCAAAGTGAACGCATTCTCCTCGATCTTGGCGATATCAGCCAGAAAATCACTGGGCTGGAAGTATTTGTGGCGGACAAGACGTCTTTGGATAGTGTCGACATCAATGTTGTGCGCTTGCCATGTGGGGGCAGCAGGAGGAGCTGGCACTGGAGCTGGGACAGCCTCGGGAGCTGGGGTAGACCTGGCTGTAGGGACGAGGGAAGGGGGAGCAAGCAAGGCGGAGTCCGCAGTAGAAGGGATAGCAGTGGGGTCCGCTTCGGCAGGAACAGCGTCCACCTCCATGTGGTCACCATTCACTTGAGGCTGGGCATCTTGCTCGTCGATGGGTGCAGCAGCATCAACGTCTACCGGTGCAGTGGCAGTGCCGTCAACAGGAGCCGCAGCAAGAGCAGCCTGCTCAGCCAAGAATCTTGAATATGTCATAGCGTCCTCCTGCACTTTTGTCAGCATCATTCTGATCACCAAGACGAGCTCTACTCACCCTGACACTAGCAGCAACCTTTCTGTACCTCTTCATGAATTCTTGCACCAGATTGGTAAAGCTGACCACCATCATGTTCCTCGCCGCTTGGTCCTTCTCCTCTTCTCTCGCCTTCTCCGCCTCTGTGGGCTGTCGAGGCGGAAGAGGCTTTGCAAGAGGCAAGACTTCAAAGACCCTCTTCTTTCTCGGCACACCATCAGGGAAATCTGTTGGGGGCCGACGGACAGACTCGACGAGATCGGCAAAGTAGGCTTTGCGCTCGGCAGGTGCAGGAAGTCCGAGTTGAATTTTGTTCTCGGTTGCGAAACCAAACCAAGCTCGTACGTCCCCTGGAAGATCGTCGACCGATCCATCGGCAAGAGCTAAAAGCAGGATGGGGTCTGAGGGCGGGATATCATTGAGGAGAGCACCGAAAGTAGATCGAGCGAGCTCAGGAATGGTCTGAGACCACTGTGAAATGGAGGGGATGAAGATGACGGATGGTTGGTGACGCTTCGCCTCGACGAACAATTGCACAATGGCATTCTCGACAGACTGAGTTATTGTGAGCATTGTCCAGAGTACGATGAAGCCACTCACTCGTGTAGAGTCACCCATCAAAGTACCCAAATCCAAGCTTTGGACGTGGTAGCCTTCAAGATGGTTCAGCACCGCGGGGCCGAGATAGGTCTGACCCATGCCAGGCTGCCCATGGACGAGCACCCTCGGTCGGAAGGTTCTCAACTTGCTCAGCGCTGAGTACGGAGATAAGCATGTGTTGCACAGTACCGAATGAAGACTCACCCTGTACCATCATGTGCTTTTCAAAGCTATCCTCATCTTCCTCCTCATACTCGGCCTCTTCCAACGCAGTGGCGTGCTTCTTGGGAGGGAGAACATAGTCCACGGCATCCTTGAGACGCTCCAAGGGAGAGGACAGAAGTGAATGCAGGTGGGCCGGGAGAGGAATGGCGGGCGAGGCCGTGGATCGAGCGGACGATGGCACAATTTCTGACTTGACGTTAGCTCTGGCTGCAAGATATGCTCGGGACGTACTCTTGACAGACATCATGAAATCCTTGGCTTGCACTTTGATCGTCCCCAATTCCAATTCCAGCCTATCAGCTGTCTTGTAGATCTGCGGATACCTTCTCTGTATCGCGTTCAAGGCCGCCTCCGTACTCAGAGCTCTCAAATCAGCACCCCCATACCCCTTTGTCATTCCCGCCAGTCGATCGAGCATATCATCCGATAGAGGCGGGGTCCACTTTCGAGTGTTGATGCCAATGATCTTTTTACGAGCTTCACGATTGGGCAGGGGAAAGTAGAATTCTCGGTCGAATCGTCCAGGTCGGCGAAGAGCAGGGTCAACGGCATCGGGCCTGTTTGTAGCACCAATGACAATGACCTGTCCTCGGCCGTCCATACCATCCATCAGCGCGAGAAGGGTGGAGACAAGACTGGCGTGAATCTGATCCTGTTTACTGCTTCGTACAGGCGCGAGACCGTCTATTTCGTCGAAAAAGATGATGCTGGGTTGAGAAGCTCGAGCTTCTTCAAATAGCATTCGCAGTTGACGCTCCGCTTCACCGACCCATTTTGAAAGGACATCTGCGCCCTTGCGCATAAAGAAAGCTAGGCGGCATGTTAGTGTTGAAGAGAAAAATGACGATTCTCTTACAAATATTGGTATTGCCATTACTGCAAGAGGCAGCTAGAGCCCTCGCCAATAAGGTCTTACCCGTACCGGGAGGTCCATGGAACAGTACACCTCTCGGCGGGGTGATACCAAATTGTTGAAAGACCTCGGGATAGAGTAACGGCAGGGCCACCATTTCTTTCAACTGGTTGATGTGGTTGTCGAGACCACCGACATTATCGAATGTGACATTCATATCCACTCCAAGAGGGTCGGCGTCGGCAGTGCCTGTATTTTGTCAGCGTAAGATTCGAGCTTGCCTCGGGGACATACTAGATTTGGGGTTGATTCGACCAAAGTTGGGCACATCTGATGGCCCACCAGCACCGCGGGCTGCTACAGCGGTACCACCACCAGGGATAGACGCTCCAGCAGCCCCACTTTTCAACGGCGAAGCGAATTCCATGTCGTCCTAATAATCAAAAGTCAGCTCGGCTCTATATCATACCGTTGCGACTCACCGAATCACTGGAATCAGGATCGCCCATAGCCTGTGATATACCCTTCCCACCAAGGTTGAAAGGCAATCCAAACTTGACGCCCATGCCTCGCAAGCCGCCCCCTGCCCCAACTCGTCCACTCGGCCTCGATGCAGCAGCGATAGCCTCCTGCATAGATATTTCTTTGCTGATATCTTCCATGGTCGGGATATGGTAGTTGACCTTGGAAGTTCTCGCCCGCAGACTCCTGCCCTTCTGAGGCGAGTCTTCGTCGGTAGTAATGACTCTTGCTTTGGCAGCGGAACGGGCGCTGCGTCGAGTAGGTATGGTGGTGGCACGAGTAGACCGAGCAGCAGGACGCCGGCGGCTAGAGCTGCGCCGCTTGGACCCGTAGCCTTCCTCATCATCATCCTCCACAAAGTCGTCTTCATCGGGATCTTCGTAATTGCCGAGAGCGTCGCTGGAAGCATCATCGTCGGGCGAGTCTCCTTCAGGCTCAAAATCTTCGCCGTCAGCTGAAGAGTGTCGACGGGTAGCTGCACGCGCACTGCTTCGTGTGGCACGAAGAGAAACACCGTTGACAACTTGAATCGGCTGCTCTACCACTGTAGCCCCGCCCAACGAATTTCGCGTAGCTCTTGGGGGGAAAGTATTTCTGGGCGGCGGGCGCACCTCTTCATCTTCATCATCCTCATCTGGATCCAAGATGATCTTTCTCTTTCCTCTGGTCCGCGACGATCTTCTTCCGTACTCTGGACTAGCTGATTCAGGAGGCTGACCAAATTCTTCTTCCAACCTCACAGGCGCCTTGTGATGCCGACCCGACCTCGTAGTAAGCACCGGCATCTCTTCCTCGCCAAAGGCATCCTCATCAATCTCTCCGTTCGCATCCTCGTCCAACGCTTCATCAAACTCGTCTTCGTCCTCTTCCTCCTTGTACGTCACTTGCACTGCTGCTCTCCTCGAAGACCCGCGCTGAAGCCGCCCGGTGCTAGATGCGATCTGGGGCTCCAACGCAGAGGAATCCTGGGCAGTGTGAGACGCCCGCCGGGAAGAACGACCTGATGCCATGACAGGTTCCGAGGATGCTTGGGGAGCTGTAAAGCGGATTTTAATGGAAGGAGTGGCAGATGGAATAGTGGCCTGCGGAGCAGGGTTGACAATTGTATTTACAGGGGCTGCGGTTTCGGATGGAAGGGTGTGGGGATAGGGTGGATTCGATGGCCAAGCGTTTCGCGAGCTTGACTGAGAGGGAACCTGGATGGGGTAGGGAGACAACTGCGCCTGCGCTTGATATTGATACGGATGTGATGGCGACGCGATGGGGATAGTGGAGACTGGCTGGTAAGGACCTTTTGATGGAGAAGCAGCGTACGCGGGAGAAGGGCTGGGTCGTGCGTCCGAGGTTGATTGGTAGGGATACTGGCCAGAGCCGTACTGGAGAGCAGGGTCAAAGACGGGTCGCTCGTTCGTGTAATAGGGGTGCGACGCGTTCTCTGGAAAAGCTCTGCTGTTTGCCCCTGCGGGTTCGTACGCGTCGAATGGGGCGTAGTTGCGTTGGATGGAGCTCTGGGGGGTGTCCTGATACCTGGGGTCTGGATAGCCGGCGGGGGAGTACTGCTGGGGGTACTCGTTGTAGGGGCGGGAGGCGTTGTACGGAGGATAGCGCGGGGTGGAGGCGCTGGGCGGCATTGAAGCTCCGACTGCTGCGTCGGGGCGGGGGGGAGGGAGAAAGAGAAAGAGAGAAAGAGATGCCAACGAAATGCAGAGACAGTGGATGGATGAGGGAGATGCAGAGACGGCGGCCATCTCCACCCCGGCTATACATTCCTATTTATTATTATTATCTCTCTTCTCCAGCCCATTTATGCTCGCTCTATCCCGACTGGGGCGAATCAAATCACAACTGCCCCCCACACACCGTCTCTGCAGAATGGCATCCACCGCCGCCAAGGACTATGGAAACTTCAAGCTCCTCAAGAGCTTTGACGTCGACTTTGCCCCTATCCAGGTGTCTAAATGGAAGAGCGAGAAGACTGGCCTGACTGTTGTTCTTGGAAAGCACGATGCTCCTATCGTGCGTCTCTAGCTTTTATTGAAGGTGTACGCTGATAGCAGACATAGACAAACGGCTACTTTGCGATTGCCTCTGAAAGTGTGTCAAGGCTTTTTGATGTAGAGCAATGCTGACTCTATGTAGTTTTCGATGACACTGGGCGGCCTCATACTCTGGAGCAGTGCGTATGCGCTTTCCATCTTTCATCCACTAACCCCCCACAGCCTGGTCTTCCTTGGTTCCAAAGAGTACCCCTACAAGGGCGTTCTCGACCAGCTCGCAAACCGTGCTGGCAGTAACGGTACCAATGCGTGGACGGCGAACGACCGTGAGTATCCATTACATGCTCTAAACACGTTGCTAAAGGCGATCACCTTAGACACTGCCTACACAATCGCCACAGCCGGTTCTGAAGGTTTCCTCAAAATGCTTCCCGTCTATGTCGATCACATCCTCCACCCAACCATCACCGATGCCGGTTTCGTCACCGAAGTCTATCATCTGAACGGCAAGGGTGAAGATTCTGGTGTTGTGTACAGTGAGATGCAGGCGAGGGAAAACACTGCCGGGGATGTCATGGCGCTCGAAGGGCAGAGGACTCTTTACCCAGAAACGTCTGCGTACAGGAGTGAGACTGGTGGTCTGATGCACAAGCTGAGAGTGCTTACAGCTCAGCAAAGTGAGTGCAGAATGATTGGCATGAGGCAAGAGCTGATCACTGCGTAGTTCGTGATTACCACTCTGCTTACTACCAACCCTATAACGTGCGTCTTCAAGCCGCCAATGACACCTACTCACGTGCCCGTAGCTCTGCCTGATCATCGACGGCGCTGTTTCCATTCCCGAGCTCTTCCAGGTGCTCAACGACAAGGTTGAGCCTTTGATCCTCGCCAATAAACCTACCACCTCCCAATCCGTCGCCCCCGCCGACTGGAAACGCCCCTTTGTCGAATCTTCCACTTCCAACCCCCTCTCAATCGGACGATCCATCACCAAGGTTGTAGAATTCATGGAGGAGGACGAGTCGGTTGGAGAGGTCATGATCACTTTCCTCGGCCCGCCCCCTATCGACTATACGAAAAACTTGGCGCTCAGCATCCTCGATAGCTATCTCACCCAGTCGGCTACTTCGCCTTTGAGCAAAGAGTTTATCGAGATTGCCAAACCTCTCTGTACAGACTTTTCATTCTATGCTGCCGACAGGGTCAACAAGAACGAGGTCGTCGTGTACATCTCTGACGTTCCGGCCAAGCACCTTGAAGATATCGCCGACAAGCTCAAGGCCAAGCTTGCCAAGATCGTCAAAGAAGAGGGTATCGACATGGACCGAATCCAAAGAGTCTTGAAGCGAGATGAACGAAAGCTGCTCGACTACATCGAGTCCCAGCGGACGGATGTCTTGTCGGACGCCATCATTGGTGATTTCCTCTATGGCGCGGCGGACGGGTCCGACCTTCCTGCCGCCTTCAACGATCTCAAGGACTATGCTACCCTCCATTCCTACACTGCGCAGGACTGGGTCAACCTCCTCGACCAATACTTCGTCTCTGCTCCCTCGGTCACTATCGTCGGCAAGCCCTCGGCGGCATTGTCGGCCAAGATTGAAAAGGACGAAAAGGAGAGGGTGGACAAGCGCAAGGCAGAGTTGGGAGAGGAAAAGTTGAAAGAGTTGGAGAAAAAGTTGGAAGAGGCAAAGAAGGCTAGCGATGTGCCTCCCCCGAGCGAGATGATCAAGGACTTCCCTATCACTGACGTAAGTGATGGTTGCTCATGCCTCCGTTCATGCTAACGTTCATATAGCCCAATGGTCTTACGTGGATCCCTGTTGAGACTGCTCTCAACCCCGCCGTTGGTGACAACGCCAGGAGTGACCAGGGTGAAGTCCAAAACATCATTGACCAGGATGGAGAGAATTTGCCCTACCAGGCTCATTTCTCTAGTGTCGAGGTGAGTAATCTTGCGTATTCTGCAACTAGTTCGCTCACTCAGAATATCAGTCCAACTTTGTCACCGTCATGGCGCTGTTTGACACTATCAACCTGCCCATCCACCTGAAACCTTACCTCACCCTCTTCCAGAACGCCTTGTTCAGCCTTGGCGTCAAGCGTGCTGACGGAACTGTTCTGTCGCACGAGCAAGTTGTGAACCAGCTCGACGAGTTAGTTGCTCCAGTTCACAGGATCGACTCTATACTGACTGGATATCAGCTTGACTGTTTCTCAACTAGCCCACTTTGAGATCAAGGGCAACTTTGCCGAGGTCATGGTGGTCAGGCTAAAGGTGCAGAAGGATCAATATGAGGAAGCTGTGCAATGGCTCAGGGATCTCTTGACTGGCGTCATCTTTGACAAGGAGCGGTATGCCCTCATTCTTCTCCATGATTAGCTCAGCTGACAGCCTGCAGTCTCGGGGTCATCATTGCCAAGCTCACCCAAGAATTGCCCCAGGAGAAGCGTGACGGCAACACCATCGCTGTTGCTTTCGCCAACCAGCTCACCTACGACTCTTCCAAGAGTGCTTCTCAAACATGCGACCTGTTGGCTAGGCTGGAGTTCATCCCCCGTGTCGGGGAGATGCTGGCGGAAGGAGGCGCCAAGGCTGAGGAGGTTGTGAATGCTCTGGAAGAGCTCAAGCAAACTCGTGAGTTCATATTGCGATTCATAGCAGATTCCAGCTAAAGACTACCAGTTCTTGACACTAGCAAGCTGCGTGTCGCTGTACAGGGTGACATCACCAGCCTGCCAAACCCCCGTTCGGTCCTCGCTAGGTCATTCTTACAAGTCACTCAAGCTCAAGCTTTGGCGCCCCTGTCTACCTCCAGAGAGACCCTGACCGAGCTCGGCAAGAGCCCTTCCAAAAAGTGCATCATCATTCCCATGCCCGCCATCGAAGGTTCCTATGCTACATTCTACGCTAGCGGTCCTGCCGGTCATGCCCACCCCGACCTTCCTGCTCTCCGACTGGCCTCGTCTGTGCTGAATGCCCTCGAAAGCTACTTGTGGAAGTCGATTCGAGGATCGGGTCTGGCATACGGAGCGCATGTAAGGGTGTATCCCGAAGCGGGCCTTGTTGGGTTTGATGTGTACCGGAGTCCTAACGCATGTTTGGCGTACGAGGCGGCGGGCAAGATCATGAGAGGTTTGGTCGATGGATCGGTGAGTCTTCCCCTAGAGAACTTGGAACGACGCTGACAAACGACCAGGTCGAACTTGACCAGGATTTGGTGGACGGTGCTCGTTCCAGTATGACATACGATTACGCCCGTCGTTCCGAGACTGCTGCTACTGCCGCTACCACCGCCTACATCAACGAGACCTTGAAGGGCCTCGGCAAGAACGCCGATCAAGATATGCTCAAGCAACTCCCTCAGATCACCCTCCCAGAGATCCGGAAGGTGATCAAGAAGTACCTGATGCCGATCTTTGAGTCGGAGACTGCTATCGGTGCTGTCAGTGTCTCAACGAGCAAAGCGGAAGAGGTGGAGAAGGCGCTCGAAGGGTTGGGTTTCGAGGTTGAGAGGAAGGAGCTGCCGGTCTTGAAGGGTGACGAGGATAGTGAGATGGGAAGCGTCAGTGGAAGTGACGCTGGGAGTGAGAGTGGGAGCGACGCCAGTCAATAATGATTAGTGTTTGCGATTATGGGTCCGACACCATGCATGCTGTCATACGTTCGGGAGGGGTGGCTGGATACAAAAGTGCCAAATTCCACGTGGCCCCGTGGTTGCCTTCTTCGGCCACCACCGCACGTGAAGTCAAGACATACAACTCCAATACAACTCAAACAGCCCTATATACATATACATCTTCTTGCCGACCACGCCGCCTTTCACCTCACGCAGCTGACCACTTGACCTCGTTGACATCCCCTGCGGAAAGAGCAATGGTGTCGTTACTGAAGCTAATCGTACTATCTCCGTCATGGTGTCTGCCCTCTTCGTCGACCCAGGGACCTCGATTGACTGATGGGCGTTTATATACGTCTGAAGTATCAATTGGAGAGACTGAAGTCGTCACGACAGTGTCCACCTAAGGGATTGTGTAAGTCAACCATACCACCACCTCGAGCATTGAACTGACTTGAATCAAAGGCGGAGTCATCAGCTCTCGCGCCCTCTCCCGATCCTTATTCAATATGCCTATGCGTAAGTTTTCCCCATTACTGTCCACCATGCCGAAGCTCCTGGTCAGACGCGGCTTCACCCTACCTCCATCTGAGCTGAGACCGCCCGCGCCAGAAAGTCTCTCCACCCCGTCGGCTGCTAGCCGGGCGTCAAGGATGTTGCGCACAGTCTGACGGCCAACAAGCGTATGGAGATAAGAGTTCCAGTAGAGAGCTGGGAGAAGGGATGTGCAGATATGGCGATAGTCGACTGATCAATGGTGTTAGTGTACTCCTCAACATCAAACCCCGACTCACACATCGGGTTGCCAGGCTCAGACATGGTCGCGCCCAATACGACAAGCGAAATGACTGGAGGAAGCCTACAAGACACTAGGTGAGTCATCTAACAGATGTAGCAAGCATATCCAGTACTGACATGGTTTCGTAAAGCAAAGCAACCAGCCTCGTGAAGAGTTTCTTTTGCTGATGAAAGATGCTGTCTTTCGATCGGAACAGCAAGAACGTCACTACATGCCGTATGAGCATTTATTCCACTCAGGCGATAGCAGTCAAGTCACTAAACAGAAACAAAGTCCCATCGCACGTAATGGTGATCGCAATCCAGACTTTAAACAACTTCTTTGTTTCGAGTGTCCAGGCTCCGACCCTCGGCAAGGCGTCAACAGTCAAGAGAGGAAATTGGAATCCATGAGCAACAGCACTGCGGTCTTGTAAGGGTGCGAATGATCATCATATACAATACTCACACGGACGACGCTACCACTTGAGCTACTAGACCGCTTGCAAAGATCGCCGGTACCCACCACTGCTTCCCCGACATTCTGTACGATCTGAGCGCGTAATACGATCCGGTAGCGGCATTGAAGAGGGAGCCCATGAGCATGATGACCATGTCGATAAAAACGAGATCCCGATGGAATGTAAAAGGGTGCTCAGTGAGACCGTAAACGCAGAGGTAGATCTGATGACCATATCAACATGCAGATCTTTGACGACCCAGAGGAAACGCACCTGAGAACAAGACAGCGCCAGCGCGACACTGCTCAAACTGTTAGCACTCACTCGCCACAACCATGTTATGTTCTGGGGGCTTACACGTTGACGGTTGTTCCAACGGCAATCGCGATCCTGAGAATTCTGCTATCGGTTTTGCGAAAGTAGTGGTGGCAGTCGGAAGTCTTGTTGATCAGTTCTGAGACCAGCATAGCCTGAAAGACCGCTGCCAAGGCCGCCCACCACTGGGACAAGCGTCAACCACTCCCTCTATGTTCTTCAGCTGCAACGTACAACTGGTATACTTCCTTTGGCGCCCATGGCCTCCCAAAGAAGAGCGCTGACTTCAGTGAGGTCCGTGGGGTCCGTCGTGGTTGTTGATGCTGTGGAGTTAGACATGTTCTAGAGGGTACGTGTGTTCACCTGTCGGAATATGGAGGATGTGGGCAGCATCTTGCCAGACGAATCGTCTTATATCTAAAACCAGAATACTCTCGGGGACCCAGGAGACGCCTACCAAGTCTCGGGCTGGATCACGGCATGTGTCATCCTTGACCATCACAATCGAGACATAGATCAAAGACAAGAATCATACCCACAATCAATCACAGGCCTCACAGGACGCTGCTTTGGCTGAGGAAGTAAGGGCTTATAGCATACTATAAAGCCGGAAGGCCGGAAGACATTGATCGCGGCTGTTGATGTCGGCACACAGAAAGAGCCGTGTCCGCGGAAAGTTGCCTTTGATGTCTGTGTGTGCAAAGGTGGTAGGGAAGTAGGCCCTGACAGTCCAAGCCTTCCTCTCGTCTCATGCATGACCATCGCCCCATGTAAGACTCCTCTTTCCATCGGATGCAAATTGCGGCAATAGGCTGTCACAAAGATTGGATCAACATGATGGTGGTCAGAAGGATGCACTGCCTGTAAGGGTAGGCGAGGTGGTGCGCGACCTAGGGGCGGTTACGCGGTGGATCTAGCTAGGGGCGCCAGATGTCGACCTTGAATAGACTGGATGGATGAAGTATGGATATAGGTGAGGAGGTTTATACGAGAATACATCGGTAGGGAAAAGGATACGCAGACGCGGCACGATATATATATATGGGGACCTCATCTCGCGGCGCAATCCCGCCTACGAACCCTGCGTTCCATAGTACACGTCACAACATATCCTCCTCCTAGCCAGTCTGTACCAATCCCTTACATTCCCCCCGGTCTAAACTGAGCGTCCACGCGAAGATGGGTCAGATAGATTGGGCACCTGTTGCTGAAGGGTAGCAGCGGCGATGGAGGAAATATGGGGTGGGTTGGGATGTGGGTGGTAACAGATAGGCGTTGGGGATTCATAACCGCCCCTAGGTCGCGCACCACCTCGCCTACCCTTACACTGCCGCCCCCGTGTCTGCGGATGTGAAGATGCAACGGGGATCAGGATACTTGCTACAACATCTACCGCTATTGCGTGATACTCTATACCAAACAGAGGTATCTTAGCCGACGGCTCTCATACCTTCGTCTACAACGCTTGCGCCTGGAAGTTCATCTCCGGCTTCATGACCCTCTCGGATAGCAGGCCCGTCCTCTGCTTCAATGGCGCTATAGAAGGCCGTCTTCTGCCCTCTCGAGAAATAGAAAGCTTGCTCTTCTCCCCGGATTACAGCTGCTGTGATGAGGCAGTACCTAACTGACTGGTAGATAGTCAGTGCCTGTAGTTGCGCTGGCTTGCGAGTCGAACTCACGGATCCTGGCACCTCAAACATGCAGTCCACGAGCACCTCCTCCAAAACTCCCCTCAGTCCTCTAGCTCCACCGCCTCTTTCCAATGCTGTCCTCGCTACCTCTTCAATTGCTTTTTTTGTAAATTTGAGCTCGCTTCCGTACTTTTCAAAGAGCGCCTCGTATTGTTTCAAGAGGGCATTCTTTGGTTCGTTCAAGATGTGTACAAGATCGAGGATAGAGAGGGGGTGGAGAGTGGTGAGGGTTGGAAGTCGCCCAAGAAATTCAGGTATGAGACCATAAGTCGTCAAGTCCGGTGTTGATAGACCTTTCAGGGGAATTGGGTTGAGTTTTTGATCAGCTTCTGACTGTGATTTGGGAAGAGGTGCCCCGAAGCCTATGGACTGGAGGGTGTCAGTGTAGAGCAGAATCAATGACCGGAAACCTACGCCTTTCCCAAGTCTGCGATTGACAATCTGTTCCAATCCCACAAAAGCACCCGACAGAACAAACAGAATGTTGGAGGTGTCTACAACAAAGGTATCGCCCTTGTTGGCTGTGTTCCAGTCAGCTTTAGACGCGTGAACCTGAATGAAACCACGAACCGCCTCCACCACCTCCACTATATCCAGGCAAGCCCTCCCTCACACTCCTCTTGCCACTTCCCAGCCCTCTGTTCGTCGGGTCATTGGGATTCCACCCGGGCGGGTCCCTTTCAATTCCCTTCGCATTCAACTCTGCTTTGGGGGCTGGACTGGGGGCGCTAGGTCCGCTGTTTGAAGACGAGGTAGGAGAAGTGGATGATGAAGTGGGAGTAGAAGCAGACGATGTCACTGGTGGGGGTTTAGCGGTGAGAGTGAGGGTAGTTCCTTCGAGAAGACGCAATAGAGCTTGTTGAACGCCCTCTCCGCCGACATCACGTCCACCGCCCCATGATCCCTCGCCACCGCCTCCTCGGCGAGCGAGCTTGTCAATCTCGTCGATGTGGATTATGCCCAACCTGTAGTAGATGTCAGCAAGAGAACAATAGTGTAAAATTCACCTACTCGGTACGATCAATGTCATAGTTGGAGGCTTGTAGCAGTCTCAGAACGCAGTTCTCGACATCTTCGCCGACGTCTGTAACACTCGTCAGCTAGATACTCCGTCACACGCCGAATCTCCTTACACCCGGCTTGGGTATACGCCGTGGCGTCGCAAGATACAAATGGCACATCCAATATATTGGCTAGCGTTTTAGCCATCAAGGTCTTTCCTGTACCCGTAGGCCCTCTGAGCAATGTCAGCTACATGAAGGTAGTAAGTGTACAACGCACATCATCAAAACGTTGCTCTTTTCAATGACAACATCATCCTTCCGCTTCACAGCTGCACTCTGCCCAGACACGCCTCCCTGAGTGGCCGAAGACGTAGAAGCCTGCTTCTTGCGCGACTTTCCTGTTGAGGCCACATCTTCGCCTGATCCCTTCCGCCGCTTGATCGCCTGACCCAGCAGAGACGGCAGTGGAGGTGGGCGAGAATCAAAGAATCCCGATCGTGCTGAAGTTCTGAATCAGTTCCTATCATCAGTGCCGTAGACGCAACTCACCCCATTGACCTTCCCGAGACCGTAGTGTCAACAAATCATGCGTCAAAGTCGGGTCCGCCGCCCCTCCTTCCATTCCCGTCCCCGTCACTCTACTTGGATCCCAACTCACTGCATCTTGAAGTTCCTTGTCTAATCGAGTAGACACTGACGGGCTCACCGTCGCTTGCCGAGGGGAGGGAGGATTTGGGACAGGTGTTTCAAGGGTTATGAGTGGCGCTTTAGCTCGTGGGGGCGGGGACGGGGGTTCTGGCTTTTCTTCTAGATGCTTCAGTCGCGGAGCGATACGCTGGTAGTGATTGAACACGCTGGCGACAAGGACGGTCAGCGGTATCGCTAGTATTGACTGGCACTCACGCCACTGATAGTATCCTCTTGGCTCGATCTTGACCGACTATGTATTGTGATAGGTGAGAGAAGAGCTGCATACAGCATGTCAGACATATATTGAGCGCAGAAGTGGTTTGCTACACTCACATCCTTCGGGGAGCGTATCCGATAGTCAGCGGCGGTGAACGGGTCGTCCTCGGGCCTCGAGGACGTGGAGGCTGAGCGCCTTGGAGGGCCAGCCGGTCCCAGCAATACCCTTGCCAGCCTGATGTGAGCTCTGAGGATCATGGGAGAATATGCCGCTGGTGGTTGAGATGGAGACTGAAAAGAACAACATTAGGATGGACATGGCATGATGGATCGCGTCGCGGCGGTGGAGGCTCTCGCTTCTTTCGGCTTTCCCCGCCCGAGGTCTCTAACAAGCGAGAGCTTCGGACGAACGAACGTCCTCAACTTGCTCTCACTTCTGGCTCCCGTTATAGACTACTGTGCTCACACAGCTATACATTGACTATTGGAACTGCATTCGAAGGCTGACTGTACGGTACTAATCATTCAGCACACCAAAGTGATCAGACCAGAGTCGAGATCATTCTCGCTATATACCAAGAGATGCTGCCCGTCACTCATAGATGGACAGCTGGTAGTGTTACCATACTCGATCAAAAACTCGGGCTTGCCAGCAGCCAAGAAGGAATCGTAAAAGTCGCACTCATCCCATTCATGCTGAATGCTGTCAGCTCGTCGTCTCTTGTCATCGTGGTACGAGACGGCTCACGCAAGACTCTATAACGGAGAAGTCGAATGCGCTGACGATCTCAGACTGCCACTCGGTAGTCTGTCCGTTATCGTCCACAAGGAGGCTTCCGGCGTTCTTGAGATCGATGAGCATATTGTTGTTGGCCTTGGCCGTCGACGAGAGCCAGAGAAGATAGTCGACTTGGTCTTGAGCTGTATTGCCGTGCTGCTGATCGGCATTGGAGAACTGCCACAGTGTGAGCTCAAACCCTTGATATGACTGATCGACGAAGGCTTACAGAGTCGACGTTGTCAGGATCAACACCGTCACAGCCCTTTGCAGCCGCCTTCTCAATTCTCGTCGTCATGACGCTCTGTACACTGGTCTTGCATGAGTCAGAGTGAATATCAAGCCACCACTCGTTCCAGCCGTCGAGCTTGTTCTCATCCGAAGTACATCCGTCATCAGTGAATGAGTCACCGGCGGCGCACACGCAGGAGGCGTCGAACGAGCTTGCGTCAGGCCTGAAATCGAGACGGTCAGCGGGATCTCAAAAATGAGTTCTAAGCAGACCTTTTGGGCTCCCAACTACCAGGGGAGAAGTAACAAATTACAGTCTTCCCGTTAGCCTTGTACTGGGCACTACGTTTGATATCAGCTGCTCCATCTTCTTCACCCTTGATCAAGACATCTCACATGGTCTCAGCGCTAGTGCCTTCGGCATCCACAATGTACACCTGCCCATCGACAGAGACTCCCGTGTTGGTCGAGACGATAGGCGAATCGACGGAAGTAGCATCAAGCTCATAGAGAAAGGTCGAACCGAGCGCGACAGAGGAAGTCGCATTTCCAGTGGCAGAAGGGCTGGTTGCCGAAGCAGTGCTTGTACCGCTGGCGATCTCAGTAGATGTGGCAATGATAGAGGTGGCCGAGAGTATCTTACTCCCTACTCCGGATTGGTGAGAGGTGATGGACGAAGCCGATTCATCATCTGTCTGGCTCGATTTACAAGCCTTTCGCCTCATGTCAGCTGAAATTTGCAGCATGGAGCTAATTTGACTCACCGGCGCACCCAGTGCAGGCCTAAAGAAGAAAAGAATGGAAAATAGAACAGCAGCAGGAAGCATGGCCAGCGTGTGAGGGGGTGCGGTAGGTGGTCAAAATAGTGTTGTGGGTCGGGCTGCAATTTATGGAAGGATATGGGCAAGGGGAGAAGAACCAATGGTCTGGGTGGACTTCATTCAGCCATCCATTGCGTCTTCTATACTCTTGCTTCCTGAACAGTTGCTCGAAGGATGTCACCTGATGATTGCGAGATCTCTCAATCCTGAGTTTCAAGGGGCGATCAAAGTCGAGCTAGGCGGTGGAACAGCGAGTGCTCGTAAAGGCCAGGCTCTGTGTGTTGCATCGCTCTGAGATATCCAGGACGAATCGGTAAGAACGACAACAAAGGAATACTTGAAGAACGGCATTGACGACGGAAATGGTAGATCCGAAGGAGGGTCAGGGAACACGAAGCCCTGAGCTCGGTCCGGGTTGGGACTCTTTGACGTTGTCTTCTGTGGTCACTTTGCTTCAGGAAGACCGAGGACTGAAAAGCACAATGCCCTTTACAACGTTCCCATTTTGGGGGAAGCTACAAACATGACTATGGCCAGCGGCGACAAGGCCCCTTGATTGAAGGACTCTGCCAAACTTTCCAACACCTATGACACTCTTCATCCCTTGATCATACTCCCGCTCATGCCCGGGGTGATCGTCCCTGTTTCTTTCCCCTGCCCATTCTGTCCAACCTGCTTCCCGGGCCTCATCCAGAACTTTGCCCTCCCATACCTCGATACTGTCACTACACAATCCGGCAGACAATGCACCCCCGTCACGATCGTAAAGTCCACCAATCTCGACATGACCGGCTGGAGTACAGGGACTTCGCTACGCGGGAGAGCGGGGTGGTAGGTACCAGAAGGGTTCTGGAACAGGTTCGACATGCTACCTGGAGGGTGGTTGACCGTAGCAGAACTGGCGGGAGCGATATGGCCAGAAGCAGAGGTGGGGAGATGATGGTGACGTTTGTGTACCGCGGCGGGTGAAAAGTCCCACTACAACACGTCAACGCTGGCGCATCTGACAAGTTGAAGCCACTCACAAAAATCAACTTTCCATCCTCACCGACACTCGTGAATCGATAAGCCCTCGCTTCGCCCTTCATCTGCTGGTCGAAAGCTATCGATCTGATATATGAAGTGTGTCCTTGGCAGCGTGCGATGATACGGCCGTCGTTGGGGGAGAGCAAAGTGATGAGATCGTCTTGACCGCCGGCCGCAAGGAGGCGAGAGTTGGGAGACCAGGCGAGCTGTACAAAAGGTCAGCGAGTTCGGAGAAGAAATGAAAAGCTTACACAAGTAAAGGCTCCGTAGTAGCTAGCATACGTGTCGGTGATGCTGAGATCGGGTCAATACGTTAAAGCACGGGCATATAATCAACTTACTGCTCCTCTGCTATATCTATTATTCTCAAGTTGCCATCCTCGGATGCGACAGCCAGTAGCTTTGCATCCGGCGAATATGCCATTGCTGTGCATCATTAGTCTCGTTCTCATGTCACGGGTCCCGGCTTACCATTGATCTTGTCTCTTCCCACTCTGATCGCAGCCACTGGGTTCTTCCCCGCAAACGACACCGGGCCCTTGTCCTTTCCCTTTTCCCTTTCCACCCCTACAGTCCAGTCTTCATTCTTCCACTTGAGCAGCTCATCATCAGCCTCCTCCTTTGCCCCTACGCTCGCGCTCAGTCCAGCCACGCTCCCGTCCAGCCCTGAGTCCCCTACACTTCCTCCCAACTTTGTACTACTCCCTTCCGCGCTTTGCCCTCGAGCACGGCGCGCCCATTCCCTTTCGAAAAAGAGAGACCAAGGTTTGGTGGGTAGAACGGAAGTAGAGGCGTTGATGGGGTCTTCGAGACCAGTGTTGAACCGAAGGATCGTAGAGTCGGCGAACACGGCAAGGAAGTGGGTTGGTTGGCGTGGGTCTGGGTAGATGGCATCCACTCGATTGTTATTCAAGATGCCCTATCTAGGGATCAGCATCATTGCGTATACATCAGATTGATACTCACGTTCTTGTTTAATCGCGTATACCTGCCGAGAATGGGATCCACCCATATCAGGTCGCCCGATTCGAGACCGACGATGCAGTCCAGACGGTCGACATTTGCAGTTTGGTGAATGATGGCGTGGCTCGTGACAGCATGCCGAAAGTAGATCTTTGCGAATGGCTCCTGTGACAGGTATCAGCAATGTTGATGTGATCAAATTCTACGCACTCTGATTTTCCCGCCCTGCTCGCCCCAAGCCCACTGCCGTCCCATATTCCAGGTGCCCCACCTCACAGTTTCGCCCCCGAACCGTCCCTTCTCTGACAAGATTCGCTGAAGATTATCAACGGTGATGACCCGGTCAATGAGATTAGAAGTGCCTCTCAGACTCGTCTTTGGGCGAAGAGCAGCGTTTGTGGGCTTTCCAAAATGCCACTTGGATTGTGCTGTGGGAGGCGACATGGCAAATGGTACAGATTGAGGCTCCGATGATTGGGGCGATGACGAACTAGACGACGACGAGCCGTTCGACGCGTTGGGATACTGGCCTTCAAGCGCGATGTTCCCTTGCGGCGCGCTCCCATCGCCCTTTGCTCCTTTCCCCAGCAGACCCCCAAAGCTGCCTCCAGCGCGCGAAGGAAACCAGACACCAACCCAGTTCATTTTGACCGGATGTGCGGGCTCCCAACGACCGTTGACCTGGTACGACCCCGCACTTGTCGCAGTCGACATAATCGCCGGACCCTGCGGGGAGGGAATGGGCGCGCCTGGGCTCATCATGAACACGGCAGAATTGGGTGTGCTCCTATCGACATCAACAGGGGCAGGGCTGCCGATGGCGGGAAAAATGGAGAGCGGGGGAGCGAGGCAATAGGTGCCCTCGGGAGCCTGGAACTGACTCGGGATTGTGGCTTCTGCGACTTTGGGGACGGCGGGGGCTGGGCGAAAAGCCGGGCGGATTGTGGGGACATTTGTGGGCGGGAGATGGACGTACAGCTCCATTGTTGCTGGAGAAGACAGCTGAAAGAAGTCAACAAGAGATCAATAAATAGTAGTAGTCATGTTCATACTGCCGTCGTCGGCGCGGTCCGGCTTTCGTCCCCGGCAGAGTTACGTAAGGATAGTTGACAGCGTCGGTGAGAGCCGCCGAGTCCCGCCGTAAATATGACGACAGTTGGAGTTGGAGCAGAATGCAGAAACGGGTAGCATCTGGCCCAAAATTGACCCGTTCACGGGGTGGCGTTCTTTTTATCCTCTTCTCCTCTGACACAGATATAGACATTGTGCACATCTATACAGTCCTAGACCGAACATGTCCTCTGAAACTCCAAAGCTCTTCCAGCCTATCAAAGTCGGCAATGATGAGCTCAAACACCGTATCGTCATGGCCCCTCTCACTCGGCTGAGAGCCTCTTTGAAGACTGCTATTCCCTCTGACTGGGCGATCGACTACTATACCCAGCGAGCATCTGGTATGTCATTTATAATGACTTCAGAACATCGCTGATAAACGCAGAGGGTGGTCTCGTCATATCCGAGGCAACATTTATCGCCGAAGAGCTCAAAGGTTACGACTACGTCCCTGGAATCTACTCGCCAGAGCAAATTGCCAAGTGGAAAAAGATCACAGATGGGGTGCACTCGAAGGGCGGTAAAATGGCGCTTCAGCTTTGGGTACTCGGGTACGTCCTTTGATAACGTTGTTTGGTCCGTATTCGGCTAAAAAGGCACGTAGCCGAGTCGCCGATCCCAAGGTTATCCCTACAGTATGGTCTGTGGGAACCATAAAGGATCTTTCTCCCAGTCCTCATTCTGCTGATCCCGAGGACAAGGTCCTTACCCCCGCCAAGGAGGAGGATCTTGACCGGTTTGTCGGCTACTATGTGCAAGCTGCCAAGAACGCTATGGAGGCTGGCTTTGACTATGTGGAAGTGCACAACGCCAACGGCTACTTTTTGGACCAATTCGCAAGTCGATTCTCCGCTATAGCACCTCAAGCTGACGAAGTATAGCTTCAAACAAACTCGAACGACCGCACCGACCAGTACGGCGGCTCTCTCGAGAACCGCATCCGCTTCCCCCTTCGCGTTATTAACGCTGTCTCTGACGCAGTTGGTCCCCAGCGCGTTGGTATCCGCCTATCCCCATTCTCCGAGTTCCAAGGGATGCGCATGGAAAAGCCCCTCGAGACGTTCGTCCCTTACGTAGAAGCCCTGGCCAAAGCGCAGCCCGACTTGGCCTATGTCCATGCCGTGGAGGGCAGGGGCCTTGGAACGCCCGAGGACGAGTGGTATGTGCAAGACGATTTGGACCCGGTCAGGCAGGCGGTACTGGGAAAGAGCAATGGTACCAAGTTCTTCGCCGCCGGAGGCTTTACGCGCGACAGCGCCATTGAGCACGCCGAAAAGTATCCAAACGATCTCGTGACGTTTGGAAGATACTTTATCTGTTAGTATAACGCCCATCGAGAAGAATATGATAGCTGCTGATACGATACTAGCCAACCCAGATCTTGTCGAAAGGATCCGCAACAACTGGCCTTTCCGCAACTACGAGCGTCCCACCTTCTACACCCAGACCGCCGAAGGTTACATCGAGTGAGTCGGATGAAAGAGCAGGGGCCGTGGCTGATCATCTGCAGCTGGGAGGACTATTCTCCGGAGAAGCAAGCTCTTGTCCAAGACGAAGCTGCACCCACTGACCAAGTCAAGGCCAAGGCTTGAGAGCGTACACGCGCAAAGGCCGTCGTCCTGGATCCTGGATATTCCCGAAGACGTAATCAATCCCGTAAGGCTCTAGAAACATGCAATGATCTATATGTGAGCGTACCTGTGCGACCACATCCCCCAACAGCATCCAAGCGAGAGGGGGCTTAACGTCAGCCCAAGCGGATTGGGGTGGAGGATGGGATGGATGTGGGCGCAGGGTGCTTATTACATAGAAACGGCCTGTTTTGCATTGGCCATCAAACTATGTGATTCGCAACAGGACTAGAAGAACTTCAAGAGGGTCTCCTTTTCTTCCGTCGACAGTGGGAATATGATGTCGTTGAGATTTTCGTAATCATAGCAGTCAAGACCGAGAAATGGGAGACAACGAGCAGTGTGTAGTTGAAAGAAAGAAGAGAAGAGACTACGAAGCAAAGCACTAGAAATACAGAACACAAAGATGAAAAGTCCAGTCTTGTAAACAGATATCTACTTCCCCTTCTGTCTCAAGCCCACTCTGCGCTCCCCCGCGTCCTCTCCAACAGACCTTTTGCCCGCTTCACATCCCGACTCTCGACCAGTATATTTGCCGTATGGAACGTGGACGAATAGAGCATCCTGATGGGTCTTTTGACGGACGATCCAGCCAGCAGGGAAGAGAAGCGTGTGACGAGGCCGGATTTGTCTATACTCGAGTTAGCTACAGATAGAGGATGATGGGGTTGTGGACCTACCGAGATGGTAAATCCCTTCACCATCACCGTGGCCAGCATCGCTAAGACTTCGCAGATCCATCTGTAGACACCTCTTCTTGCCCTTCCCTTCATTCTTCACTTTTCTGCCCGACCACCTGATGGGAAGCTCCACAGCATGTAGCAGCGAGGGCGTAGGGAAGCTCACTCTGACCTCCGGTTCGATGGCGGTAGCAGTGATGTTGGAGGAGATTGACCCTGGGGAGTATGAAGCGAGGTCGATCGAGTGGATGGACTGGGTGGTTTGGATGAATTGCGTTTTGTGGTCGATTTGCGTATGGGTGTGAGTGTGGAATACGTGTAGAGGCTCATAGGGTGTACAGGGCAACGACAACACTTTCCTATGCCCCTTCTCGAATGCCTCCACTACGCCTCCATCCAACTCTTTGACTTCTGCACCCTGCATGTCAACCGGGGTCTGGATCTCCCACTCCACCCAGTCGTCATCCTCCTCCCCCGAATCTGCCGCCGCTTCATCTAGCCCAAGATCACGGTCAATCCAAGCAAGCTCTCCTCCAGATTGCACATGATCCTCTTCCCCTGCTTCCCCCGCTGGAAACATGGCTCGAAGGATACGGATCTCGGTGAGGAGGGAGGCACCGTCTTCGTTCCGGGTGTATGAGATGAAGGGGCGTTTGTGGGTCTGACTAGGGGATAGATCGCGTGCTGAGCGGGAGGGCGCTAGGCGTCGACGCTCGTCCTCGAGCTCATCCGCTTCTCCCTCACTCTCGTCCTCGTCGTCAGAAACATCCCTCACGGGCGAATGCACAGCGACAGCCCTCTCTGGCCATACCAGAAACTTGCGTAGTCGCTCGGCGAAACGGACTTCGGCGGTTTTTGAAAGACCAACGCAGGCAAGAGGGTGGGGAAGGACGGTTATCTCTGGCTGTGGGGAGGGGGTTGGAGACGGGGATGACGAAGTGGAAAAGGAAGAGAATGAGGAGGAGGCGGGTGTGGGGAGAGGGAGTGGTCGACGTGGGGAAGGAGCAGTGGGTGATACGTGCCCTACCAAGAGTCAAATTGAGACACGCAAATGGAGCAGGTCACTTACAACCCTCTTGAGAAAATATGCCTGCAGCTTTCTCAAAGTCCGACTCTTTGACCAGCAAAAAGTCTGTAAAATAGCTCGACTGGTACAGGATAGAGATACCAGCACGAGCCAGAGGCGCCGAGACGTGCCGGAGATGTGGTGAGTCTATCAAAGTCAGCATGCTGTGCACCTTGCAAAGTGATGGGACGTACCATAGTTGCCAACATCGTCTTCATCCCCCGAGGAGATCTCAAACACCCGCCAGTCCGGGCTGATGAGCACTTCTGAATCGGCGGTGGCAGCCCATTCCTGCGCCATGAGCTGTACGGAACCAAACATCGACATCTATATAAGCGGACATTGCCGTCGCGTTAGCCTCGCCAAAGGGAAAACGAGGCTGCCACTTGCCTCGATGCGGTTGGAGGTGATGTTGAAGAACTCGGGAGACAGGCGCTCGGCGGCATCGAGGGTCCAGTATATCTTGCTGGTGTATGCGTCGGCGAGGGTAAGTGCGATAGGGATGTGGACGATGGCGACGGGGTCCTCGAGGGCGCTGATGAATGAACAAGTTGTCTGTCGTCAGCGGGGGGGCATGGAGGACGGCTCTGTGGGCGGGCTTACGTTATGGAGATGTCGAGCATGGCGATGAGATGGGGGGTATTGCATTTCCCGTCGCTACATTATAAATCCCATCGTCGTATGATTTTCTGATCGCTGCATCAAAGACACACTGCTTCTGGGGCCTCGCGGCGATGTCCGACGTGGGGGACAACAATGGGATGCTGGCTCCGACCGGGAAATGATCACAGAACCATCTCTGCGCCCCTCCGCCATGTATTCCCGTGGCCATTTTCTCTTTCCCCGCAGCCAAAGGGAGCAGCAGGCGTGGGGCGGGGGTTTGCATTCGTCAAGGAACAACGGCGGGGGTTTCTCGATGACACCAGCCACGAGCACTATACGCCGTGTATGATCCGTCCACTGTCCCTCGCTGTTGTTGTTGTGCTGTGTGGCAGCGTAACCAGGAGAGCGATGCGATGGGGAGACCGAGCCTACCATACGCGCTGCTATGTACAAGTCGATTCATCCGCTCCCAGATTCTTCCGCCTAATTGAAGGCGACCATCAAGTGGGGAGCCAGAGTGGGGGGATGCTGGGCTGATCAATAATGGTCTTTCCGCGTTGGCTGATGATGCAAGCCATCCCCGTTCTGACTGCGTTGTCCTCCATCATATAAAGTTGTGGTGTCTCTTTGCTATCCACCTGGGTTGCCTTGATCATCAGCGCTTAAAGCTACCGAGCAAGATGTCTTTTTGCAGTATCTCCCCACCTGCCAGAGTCAATCAAAGCGTCGCCTGAGCGCAAAGACTAGCGTTCCGTAGTTTGTGAATCCTCAGCGGCTTACGGCAAGACACAAAGATGAACCTAGTCGTACGTTGGTCGCCCAACAAAGAACGCTTCACAAATGTCATCATCATCAGGCCCGATGTCCAACACAGATGAATTAAGATCGTCTAGCTCCATGTGGAACAAGTTTCTCGCGGAACGTTGCTTCTGTTATCCCGCAATTCGTGCCGAGAGTCCATTCCCTCGAGCCATGTGTAACTCTTCAGAACAAACTCGCCCAAAGGCGAATCACAGGAAGCGCCGACATATGCTCATCGCCATCTTCCTTGCATGACTTGGACTATGAAAGTTTCTAAAGACAACCGGTGGCATCAAATGAATGCGATATATGAAACTACTATGATGGCTATATGCAGACAAACGAACGTGATATGCAATCTTCTACTATACAAATGGAAATGTCGTCTAGCGACAAGTGACAACACATCAAGAGTCGTAAAAAATCGTTCGGGCCTTCAAGGCATAAACAGCTTTCCTTCTATTCACCACTCCCTCGACCTCACCCTCTCACCACCGGGACTGCCCATGTTGACATCCGCATCCTCAGCAAACAATGCCGGTTCGAGGTTCTGTCCCGCAGGAGGCCAAAGCAACGCTGGCTGTATTCCTTTCCCAGCCCCGCCGTCATTCCGGCCGATGGGCTCAGGCGTTTCCGGTTCGCGCAAATACGTGGGTTTCGTAGGGGTAGCGTGCGCATGGAAGGGTGAAGGGAATCGCCAGCCATCCATCGAGGGGTGGATAGCCTGAGGCGTACGGGTATGGGTAAAGCGCCTGTTGACAGGCGTAAGCAGCGGCGAGGATTCAAACCCTCTCGGAGGCAGCGTCAAGCTCCCAGGCCTGGCTAACGGCGGCGGGGACGCAAAGTCGAGGTTGATACTCGGCCCAGCACTGTCGGCGTCAAACGTCAAGCTTCGGCGGGTCTCGAGTGTGGGTGAGGTGCTTCGGCGAGTAGACGTCGAGGGAGAGGCGGTAGCGAGGTAAAGCGCGGTGTGGGATTCAGAGAGGGATGACTGGTGCATGCCCACCAGGCTGGCTGGACGGGCGGGTATGGCGGGAGAATGAGGAGCAAGGGCGCTTTGCGATAGAGACGCACGATGGCCACGGAAGGGCGCATCTGGCGCTCGAGAGGGAAGGACGCGCTTCTTGCAGCTCGCCGGCGACGGCGTTCGGGGAGGACCAAAGCTCGATGTGAACAGTCTAGGTGGGGGGAGGTCGTCGGCGGTAGAGATATCTACCTCTTGTTCTGGCGTCAGATACGATTGCTCGAGATGCAGAATCTCATCGAGAACGTCTCGCATATCTTGACCCATACCGAAAGGCAGAGCGTCCGGCGTCTGCTTTCTTCTCCTAGAGCTCATCGAGCGTCCTTCCCCACTTTTCTGGTGACCATGTTTGCGCATAGATGAAGGCGCATAAGGCTTGGGCGCTTCCGACCTCAACCACTCTTGTTCATCCTCTGCCTCCTCAATCACACTATCCACATTCACTCCACCCCCAAACGCCCTCCTAGAAGCGTTACTCGCAGTCGACGAATTACGTGACAGGCTAAACGCGGATGAGGCGAGGGAAGAGACGGACGAAGCTGATGATCCGTTACGCGAGTGACCGCCGCCGTGCCCGCCCACGAGGTCGGGAACACGCGACATGGATGATGATGTGGACATGTTCGTGCTACGGTTGCTGTTGCCGATAGAGTCGCCCATGCTGCCTTCAGCTCTCCGCCGCCGTCTCTCCTCTCGCCTCTCTTGGCGGCGTGCGTCGGAGCGAGCTAGTCGGCGGTAGTGCGACGCCTGCCACTCTTCGTCCTGGCCCGTACACGAGTCGAGGGAACCCGCCGAAGAATCTCTCGGCAAGCTTGAAAGGGCAGACCCGAAAGAGGGCGGCTGGTTGCCGGCGTCAGGGATGTATAGTGCGCGCGCAGGGGGTTGGTTGGGTTTGTAACATAATGAATTGATCGCGTCAGATCGTGCACAGACTATCAATGTCGACGCGTCAGTCACTGCCATCCTCAACGCGCAATGCTGGGACTCACCGACACTGCAATAAACGCCATCGTTTGTTATGGGTTGCCCGCAGAAACACGCGTTTCCGGGGTTGGGACTGGGCGAGAGGCTGAATTCAGAGTCGCTGACAGCCTCCTCAGCATATCTGGCGCCTGCGCCGTACATTGCGTCCGCTCGAGGGATGATAGTGGGAGACGTGTATTATCTCACTGTCGTTGGCGAGGCGTAGTATGATTATGGGGTGAGCCTGGGGGGAAATTGTGGCCGCCTGGGTGTGGTGATGAGGGGCTGAAGGGGTCGCTTGCTGCCTGAGCTGACGTTTTTGTTGCGATATGGACAGTAGGAGATCGCTGATCTGCCGACAGGGGACGGTACAGGGGACGCAGGGGAGACGGGGGGTGTTCTGGGAGAAGAGTAAATGGGAAAGGCAAAGACAAAACCAGACGGGTGGCTGTGAATTGCGACGGAAGCAAAAAGGTGCCAAACAAAACAGGCCAAAAGCGTAATTCAGGGAACGGTAGTCACCGCCCTAGAACGCGTCGCGTCGCGTCTGCGCCTGCGGTGCTTCAACGCGAAAGCCCAGTCGGGGAAGGGCATGCTATGCATGTCACATGCGTGCACGAAGAACTGTCACGTTGCTACTTTACTCGATATGAATTACAGCCCGAAGATTGAACACAAGAAGGTGAGGGAAATCAAGAGAAGGGCGGTATTGACACTCATCACATCTTCTGCTGATCTGAGTCCGTACTATCTACGTTTGTTCTTCCAATCTCGGATGCATTCTTCGACCATTTGGCCGACAGCACTGCGATGCTAGAGGCACATCGAAGGTGGAGCAGAGAGGTGCTATCAAGAAGACAAGTATTACCATCGTCGTCGTAAGCCTGTCGTGGGTATTTTAACCTCCGCGGCGCGGTAGTACTAGAACCTCAGTACTGGAGGGCACGCACCAAGGACAGATATGCACCTGCAGGGCACAAAGGTAGGGTGTCAGCATATTCAGCATACCTGCGTTACCCGGCGACCCTTGCACAAATTGGAAACCTGACATTCCATTTATTTTCCTGCGGTTAGAGCAGAAATGTCCACTCCGCCGGGCTCAGCAAGCTCTATCTGTGACAGTTGATCTTGACTTCTTGAGCGTCGCTGGGATCGCTAGCGGAACTGAAGCCATCGGGACCTCGGATACTCGTCGACTCCTGCACTAGTTCGTTCTCGTTCCCCAGGAGGCGTCACGACCTACCCTCAATGAGCGCAAGCAACAAAGTTGGTGGGGGGAATGTAGGCGGATCCACTTCTGTCAATACGAGAGTACTACCTCTATCAACTGCCACGAATCCTCGTAGAAATTTACTTCCACCTGCTAACTCGTAGCCGTATATCTCAAGAAACGGTGTTGCCTTATAGTGAACAGTCTGATGAAAAGGACATACCAAGCGGACCACTCTCTGAGCAGTCTGGATATATGACTAGAGCAATGAAACGCCCAGCCCACGTAGAGGATGATGGAGACTGGAACGCTATCCGACAAGCTTCTGTGGGCCCAGAGACACAATACCGAGTCACCGCCAGCATTATGTCTACAGGTGATGCGCGAAGAAGTGGCTATGATCATTCATTATTCTCCATCAAAGACAAGCAAAGACATACGCTATGGGGTAGGATTCCATGGAGTATCAGCAAATTGTATTGCGAGGGTTTTTTCACTCCGTCCTTTACAGCGTCCTTTACTTTACCTGCCACTGCTCCAACAGGCTCTTCGATTTTGCTATCCGAGAGGGACCTCGGCAAATTCGGTGGAACCATTGGCTTGGGAGAAGCAATCTCGCCGTAGTATGTCAGCTTGGCTTGACGAAAAGGATTGCCCTGCAGATAAGAATCTGCAGTTCAACTACTTGAGGTTCAAGCACAACTCGAACTTCACACTCGAGAACATCCCAATCGAGATCTCAAGGCACGGGCCAGATGGGGAGATGACCCATAGCTCTCATGTCGTAGATGTTGTGGTACAGAAGAAGGACATATACTCGCGATGCAAATGGGAATGACCCGCCGTAGATGTACTGCACAGCTCGTTATTATAATGTCACGCCATTTGGATTAGGCAGTAAGCTGCTCAGACCAATGATTATTACATGCGAGTCGACCACCACGACGGGTTCCGCTCGCGCTCCTGCCTCCTGTCCGACCAGCTTATGTTTACATATACTATTTAATCATCATATCTTTCAGCCCCTCAGTCCCAGACCGACGGGTTCCCAGGACCTTTGAACCCTCCTACCAATGTGAGAAACCTCGGCAGAAGGCTATTACTGGTTTGCGAAGGTGGTAGGAGGGGTGACCGGTCCGTTATTATTAACTCTCTAGCTGTTGAGGTCATGGATGTGTCGATCAGGTGATGACGTGACGTGGCAGCATGGCCATATAGCAGCCACTCTGCAGGCTGGTGTCTAGGGGTAGAGCAGCTGGTAATCGTAGCTGGCGCTGACCAAGGTCTATCCACCGGTGGCCGTCTTCTCATGGGGTCGGTCTGTTGTTGCTGCTGGTTCTTGGCTTGGATCTGGTGGTGCCAGTGAGTGATGTCTTGTAGATTGCTCATGTTGATTGTTCAGAGGTGACCAGGTACAGACAAGCCGACAGTCTGCGTGATTGTACTGGTCTATAAGCGTGGTGCTGGTATTCACTTGTTGGATGAACACGCTTCGTGATTGGTTTTTATGGGCGGATTTGACAAAAGGTAAGAGCAGCAACCTTGACAAGATTGTCGTAGTAAGGATATAGTTGTTAGACTCACCCGGCGCGACATTATTATACGTATGGTCTTCCAGTGTGCTCAAACACAGAGTCAGTAGCTGAAACGTACAAAAAGGATAAACTAGACCTTTGTAAAAGATCTTCCTTTGATCACAGCGACGGTCGTCCGTGGAGGAGACTTCGCGACGTCTCGAAGTGGGTGTCGCCTTCGCTACTATGAACCGTGGTAGAATCCTGAGTGCAGCACCATCGAAAAATGACATGTATACTGCCTGCTTGACGGTTCGAAAAAATGACATTACGAGCTCATGATAGGGGTATGAAGAAATACGTGATTTGCGATGCGACTCATTACTTTATTATACAAGACAGCCCTCCCCTTCCCCCTCTATACAAGTTACGAGGATCCACTGGGACCAGGCCCATCGTCATAAGACTGCAAAGACTCGTACCCCATTCTCTTCGCATAGTCGATAATCTCCATCGGCGACAACCCATCGCCCCTGCTCCAGTTGGCGGAACTCGACCTAGGCCTGAACTTGCCGGCCCTGGCCTTGAACAACTCTTCCATGTTGAGCGGGCCAATGTGACCAAAGTACTCGTCAGGGTCGATTGTTGCTTGGGCAGCAAGTGCCTTGTTGAGTGCGGGAGACTCGGCCCAGTCGGGACGGTTGAACTCGCGAGTGGTATCATCGTCGGGGTCAGAATACCTATGGCCGGAACATTAGGACATGCAAATCAGCAAGAGTGTGAGATTGACGTACTCGGAAGCAATATCAGGCAGAACAATATCTTCTGAATCCTGCTGCTGGACCTTCTTGTCCAACGACGCCTGCACCTGCTGCCAATTTTGAGGAGGCGCCTGAGGCTGAGTGTTGATAGACTGTAGTTGCTGATGATGAGCCTGGTAGAGCAACGACTGCTTCACACCGTGACCCTCCATCTGCGAAGGCCTCGAGGGTTGACCAAGGGGTTTCCTCTCAGGGGCAGACCAGGTTGCCGCTTGGCTCTCCCTTTGCGCGGGAGGTTGCGCGGGCTGGCCCACAAGTCTGATAGTGGATGACTGGGTCTGAGAGTCGGCAGTACGGAAAGCGTTTGGACCCATCTTGGAATCGGCGGTGATGGAGGAAGAGAGAGTGGTTTTGGTGGGTCGGAAAGGCTCTTTGCCTTTGGCGAGAGATTGGCTGGGGGCGGCGACTCGTTTAGGGGCGGGGGCGGCGGTCTGAGACTTGTTAAGAGCAGCAGCGAGCTTTCTCTTCTTGGCAGCTTCGGCTTCGGCCTGCTAAGTTGTTGTCAGCTATCAAGTCTACGCGCTGTCTATTGATAATTACCTTGACCTTGGCGGCCTCGTCGGCCTGTTCCTTCGCCGCCTTTTCTTTGGCCTTGAGTTCCCTCTCCTTCCTCCTCTTCTCTCCCTCCGCCCTAATCCTGCGCTTTTCCTCCAGCTCGGCAACTTTTGCCTTGCGTTCCTCCTCGGCCCTGACGCGCTCTTCCTCAGCCTTCTTCTGGGCGGCCTGTTCCTTGCGCTTTTCGGTCTGTTCGCGAAGAGCAGCTTTGCGGACGGAGGCGGCTTGCTCCTGTGGATGATAGTTAGTACCTTATCGAAAGAGAATGATTCAACACACCTTTTGAGCAGCGGAAGCAGCTTGTTGCACACTCTTCACGGGCGCAGCGGCAGGTTTGACGCCCAGCGCCTTGGCAGCCATGATAGAAGCATGGTTGAGCGTGGTGTTTGTGTTCGCTGAAGTGGACGTGAAGAGAGAAGCATGCGAGGCTGAGGGCGTCTTTCGGTGGTTCTGAGTCATATCAGCATCTTGCGTGGAAGTGTATAGGTGATACTTACAGGTTTGGCAGGGGCCGCATCTTCCTCATCGACCTCCATCGCTTGCTGAACACTCTTGCCTTTGCCCTTCTTCTCCCTCTCCCGTTCTTTCTCTTCACGCAGCCGAAGCTTCTCCTGCTCTCTCTCTTCCCTCCGTCGGTCTTTCTCCTCCCTCTCCTTCTGCTCCTTCAATACCGCAGCAGAAGGTTCATGTTGGTGCTTCTCCTTGCGATCATGCAGCGCGGGAGCTTCCTTGTCCAGGGGCTTGGCAGGGGTGGTCGAAGCAGGAACAGGGGAAAAAAACCTGGTGTGTTGACCTTGGCTCGAGGTTCGGGAGTGGGACGGTTGGTATTCGGTGACCTCGTCGGGGATGATCTCATCAAGCACAGACTCTTCATCTACCATCTCTTCGTCTTCATGATCTGTCATGGTGCCCGCTTGAGCAGTCGGGACGGCAGAAGGTCCAGAAACGGGGGCGACGAGGGCAGGCAGGGCAGCGGGTTGCGGCATGTATGAAGGGTGAATGGAGTGTCGAAGCGTCGGTTTGGGAGGGGGAGAGAATGAAGGCGTAGTCGATCTCGGTTCCTCCTTCTCCACCGCCTGAGGCGCAGGCTCCTCTTCCTCTTCCTCCCCGAGGATCATATCCTCGTCAACACCATTCCTCGCAGCCCACATAAGCTTTTCGAGCTCTTCCTCCGCAATCTTTTCCTCCTCCAGTTCCCGAGCCCTTCGCGTGGCTTCATCTTCACCAGACTCGGCATTGCCACCGCCAAAGTTGAGCAACCCGCGAAGGAAACCGGCGCCGGTACTCTTTGCTTGAGGCACACGAGCGGCGGTACCAGCAGCAGGAGTAGCCTTTTGTTTGGCGAGGTCCTTGGCAGTCTTTTCGCGCAGCTCGTCGAGGGCTTTGGTGACTCGAGAGATTTCGGGTCTCTGTGAATCATCTTGAACAGGCCTGCCTTGGGAATGCTGGTCTGACCCGACACTGGCGGTGCCAAACGAAGACGGGGTTTTGGTAGGGAATAGCGAAGCCTTGGCTGGCCCAGGGGTAGTCGTGGGGAAATGAATGGTGTGCGCTTCGGAAGCTTTCGCCACCTTTCCAGCTCTTTCATGTTCATCCTCATCCTCGTCCTCGTCATTATCAAGACCCTCGTCGCTCTTGCGCTTGAGACCGCTGATAGGCGCCAAGCTCTTTCGCAACCCTGAAAAGTCCATATTGGCACGGTCAGGCTGCGAGGAGGTAGCATGCGACTTGCGCAAAGCGCTTGGCTCGTGGGCATGGGCCAAAGGAGGAGCACCTGTCCCGAGGGCTTTGCTGAGCCAGGAAGAACGGATGCGGTGGGCAGGTTGAGAGTTGGAAGTGAATGATGTTTGGGAGATGTTGGTGGGAGCAGGCTCGGAAATGACTTCGGGAGCGGTCTCGGTGTTGGTTTCAATTTCAGGCTCGACACGAGTATCCACCTCCGGATGAAGAGGAGCAGTGGGTTCTTCAACTGGGATGCCTGCCATAGGCGGTGTGGCAGCTTTGTCGACAATAGGCTCTGTCGCCTCTTCCTCCACCGGCTCCCGATTTACCTCAGGCTCGGCCTCAGGCGCGACATTCTCAGCCACAGGCTCGTCTTCCACCTGCTCAACATCCATAGGAACATCGGGTTCTTCCACTTGCTGCTGGACCTCTTCCATGGCGGGCCCAGCAGTCTCTTTCTGTTTCTCAACCTCGACCGCTTCTTCACGTTCGGCAACAGGCTCAGGCTCAACCTCCATATCCTCTGCAACGACAGGAGCAGGAGCAGGTTCTTCCTGAGCGTTATCAGCCTCTGACTCTTTGTCGGGCTCGCCGGCCATGCGTTCTTCTTCGTCGACCGCTTGCTCGACATCTTCGACGGGAGGTTCCACGACTTCAGTCTGCTTGGCCTTTTTCGAGCGCGTAGATTTGGCAGGAGATGCCTGAGGCGCGGGATCCTCCTTTTCCTGCGCCTGAGGCTCAGTAGCAAGAGTCTCTTCGACCTCTGGTTGCTTGCCGTCAGCCTTCTTGGATCGCGTAGATTTAGACTTTGTTTCGGGAGCTTGCTCATCAACCTCCATGTCTTCCTCTTCCGGCACCTGCTCCGGCTGCTTCTCAGCCTTCTTGGAGCGCGATGACTTGGACTTCATGTCCTTTGTCTTCTCAGACCTCGAAGATGTCGAGGCTTGTTCAGCGATGGGCTTCTTTCCCTTCCTCGACGCCGCTGAAGGCTTTTCCTCGCCCTTTGACTTCACGGCGTCATCAGCGGGGGAGACATCATTGGCGATATCGGCCTTCTTGGGACGGCCTCGCTTGGCCTTGGATTTGACCGGGGAGGAGATGGCAAGTGGTTTGGCAGGCTTGGACTTGACAGGCGAAGGCGAAGGGGAGGTGTTGATGTTTATAGACCTGGCCCCAAGGTGCAGAGGAGACAGTGCAGGACGATTCTGTGAGAATGACACGTCAGTCTTGGCTTCACCGTCTGAGATGAGTCCACACGTACGACCTGGTTCGAAGGGCTGAGAGCCAATCGCGCATTCAACCCCTTGATCTTTTCAGTCTTCTCCTTGGCAGCAGCAATAGCAGCACGCGTCTTTTTGACAGTCTGCGTCTTGGAGGGAGTCTTGATGAGTTCACCGATAGGTGCTCTAGGGTGCCGAAGTCAGCACGATGTGATGTTTGTCGGCTTGTTTGGCGCGATTCTGCACGGCGCATCGCCTTCCACCATCAATGTCAACAAGCAATCGATACTCACTGAGGCAGACGGTCGAATATCTGTGCCATATAGCCTTCCAGCCAATCGTAGCCCTTGGTCTCTATGGCCTGGTCGAGCTCGTCGAGACCCCTGCTGGCGGTATGCTGGAGGCCATCCTTGAGGTTGTGGGCATAGTGCCCGAAGGTGGGAAAGTCGTGGGTGAGGGGGGCCATTGCGGGCACTCCCTGTCTACAAGATGTCAAGATATTAATGAGCGATAGAAACAGATGATGGAAAGAATACATGACAGGGAGCGTTTGATGCAAACAACCAGGGCGGGGGTCGCCGCCTTCCCCCTGAAATAAATCACGCTCGCGTCAAGAGGCACGCATGGATGGGGTGTCAACAAGTCAGTCTGCATTATCTCGTTGTTTGGTTTCCCTCTCTCCCACATCCTGTCTGTCCATAGCAGTAGGCACTATAATTGCAGTGGGCAACATGTCCAGAACAGGGGTCAAGGTAAGTCATATGGCGCTGCGTGCGATCCAGCTGACGCGCCTGCTTTTGTAGACTCGAAAGGCATGTGGTCCTCATATCATCTTGATCGTTTACTAACCCACTTCTAGGTCAACACCTATGGCAAGAAGACCAAGACTGTGAGTGATATATGATGCTGGCAGAAACCGAGTTGACCGGATGCAGCAAATCATCTCTATCCACTCTGACCACGACCAACAATCCTCTCCCGCCGTCCGGCCTCTTGCCGCTCGGCCTGTCCTCCAGAGTAAACTCTCTCAGGACAACTATAATGTCTACTCGGCCACTCCCCTCGCGGTACGCACCTTGAAGGGGGAGGTGTCTGCGAAAGATCATGGCACACCGACCAAGTTGAACCAGCACCTTGGGAAGCGGGATGAGAATACGCCTATCAAGGTGAGGGTGGCTGGGAAGGCAAACTCTTCTATCTTTGGGCAACGAAAAGTTCCCAGGAAGGGACTCAAGCCGGGCATCTTGATAACACCCCCTTTCCCAAGTAGGGTCGTGAAAACCATCCCCTCACTCGAACCGCCGGCATCTCCTACAGTCGATCGACCTGTCGAGTCTGTCCTCACTCCCAAACCCGCCACCACCGCTCTCCGAGCCAAACCCATCGTTAGACGGCGCCTGGTCTTTGACGGTGTCGCCATCCCAGTCGCGCCCGGTCACAGACTTGCAAACATGGACCGCCTTTCAGCGCAGATGGCGGAAATCACCATCACTGAAGATCCCTCTCCACGACAAGAGAAGTCGAAGGGCAAGGCAAAAGCCACCACCGACCCGGTGCAGAAGCTAGTGGAAGGATGCATAATCAAAGCTGTCCACGACTTTACGACCCTTCTCCGGAACTTTCCTCTCCTGTCATCTTCAGCCAAGGCGGCGGTTACCAAAGTCGGTGAAGCGTCGTATTCCGAAGTCTTTGGGTTCTCCAGCCCTGTTGATACAGAGTCGGACCCTCTGGTGATAAAGATCATACCTCTTCTCTCTGAACCCGGAGACGTGGAGGGTGACACGCCTATGCCCGACTGCAGCGACGCGGAAGACGTATTACGCGAGATTGAGGTGACAAAGCACATGTCCAATGTCCCTGGTGGGGGCTATGTCCAGTTCAAGGGGTTTGTTGCGATACCTTAGTTCTCGAATTCCAGCTGATAAGTATACAGAGCATATGTGGTAGAGGGCGAATACCCGAGACAGCTTTTGAAGCAATGGGACACCTACAAATCCACTGAAGGTTCCGCCAGCGTCCGTCCTTGTAAGCTTCTCTCTCGCCTCTTCCCCCAGTAACTGACACGCCCACAGCCGCATTCCCATCATCACAAAAATACGCCCTTATCGCGCTTTCCCACTCTGGCCAAGATCTCGAAGCATTCCGATTCGATGCTTCTCGGGGCTGGGTCCAGGCAGCTGGTATCTTTTGGCAAACTGCGAAAGCGCTGGCCGAAGCTGAGCAGTGGGCCGACTTTGAAGTGAGTCCCAGATATAGAAATGACGCTAGCATTGCTGATCGTCTCTCTAGCATCGAGATCTCCATGAAGGCCAGATACTCATTTCCATTGACCCCTCCCTTCAACCCACCGAGGCGCTCAACTATCTCTCGCCAACCTATACTTCCCTCACTACGACCATCATCGACTTTGGCCTCTCTCGCCTTGCTCTGTCTCCTCACAAGACACCCACCTGGTCGTCCCTTCCAGAAGAGTTGTATGAGGGTAAAGGAAAGCAGTGGGATGTGTATAGAAGTATGAAGGACCGGATTGACGGGGACTGGGAAGGGTTCCATGCCATCACCAACGTCCTTGTGAGTCCCATTTCAATTCGATCTTTACTACAAGCTGATACATCGTCGCAGTGGCTCCAATATATCCTACAATATATCCTCACCTCCAAGTCGCTCCGCAAACCGCGCGTTGCCCCTGCTGCCAGCACCAAGGCCCGTAGGCCCCGCGCGCCGACGCCTGAAAAGGCAGCGAACGAACAAGCGTACGAGATGCTCCAGCAAGTCTCAAAAGTGCTTGCTTGGAGCTTGGAGGGGGCCAAGAGGCAGGGGCGCCGTGGAGCGGGAGAGACGGAAGAGTATGGGGTGGACAAGATGGGCGATGCGGCGGGGATCGTGGCTTGGGGTGAGAAGAAGGGGTGGATTGTGTAATCGGTTTCAGACTTGGGATTATATGTCAGAAGGACTTTTATTATTATTAGCAGGGAAAGCTTTGGGATACGTCAATTATGTATGAGTGTAGTTGTAGCCTTGCTGGTAACCCGACATGGCGCAGATACCAATTGTCAGTGCTATCGCTCGGACATGACAACGTTCTTGATGTTGCCTGGTACACCATCCCTTATAGCTCCCCATGCGTCGGTCTAAAAAGGGGCGAGCCACTCGCGTAATCATCAACCTTCAAGTGCATATCGTATGGAGTTGTGATTATGAGTGGCAAGAGAACTTAGTGGGCTTCGGGAGACTGTGTATTTGGTCAGCCTTCAGCGTTGTTTCGAGATGGAGGGCAAAGGGTCACGTACGTTGGAAATGTAGTCAATAGCTGTAAAACACAAGTCAGCTTCTGGATCACGGGGTGAGATGAAAGCGCAAGCCTTCCCCAACGACTCGCCGTCAAACCAGCAAGTGGAGAATTGACTTACCCTTCTGCACAGTGGTGATCTCATCGGCCTCGGCATCGGGAATCTCGATAGCAAACTCCTCTTCAATGGCCATGACGACCTCGACAGCGTCAAGAGAGTCGAGACCGAGATCGGTGGTGAAGGCGGCGTTGTTTGTGAGCTGCATAATGCAAGTAGCGAGGGCCGTAGTGATGGTGGGGATAGCGAAGAAGGATCAAGGTGGGAATAGGATGTCACCCAATCAGCGCTGCGTTATTTCCCCAACGTCCACTTCCACGGCTCTCGCTGCTGCCCCCCGGATGCGGACGGACGACTCACCTTGGTAGCGTCCACCTTCTCAAAGTCCTGCAAGACCTCCAAGACCCGCTTTGTGATGTCCTCCTTACTGAGGCCGGCGGCGGCAGAGTAGGGGCGGAGGGCGAGGGCGGGCTTGAAGGCGGGCTGGGGGCGGAGGGCGCGGAGGGCGGGTGCTGTGAGGGCGGGGCGGGCCGCACGGAGGAGGGGCAGGGAGCGGAACATGGTGTTGGTGTATCGAGGGAGGAGAGGGAGCGGATGATAGAGGAGAGTGGGAATCGCCGCAGAAAACTCCGCACGTGGCGATTGCTGCTGCTCTATCCTTCTCTATCTTTTGCCCTCTACATACACCCTATACTCTACACGATGAAGCACGGGATCAACCAGCGCAGGCTCAACCGCATGCCCGCCCACAGGCTCGCCCTCCTCCGCAACCTCGTCTCCGCCCTCCTCCACCACGAGTCCATCAAGACCACCCTCCCCAAGGCGAAGGAGGCCGCCAGGATGGCCGAAAAGATCATTACTCTCGGCAAGAACAACACCAACCAGTCACGCAGCAAGGCCATGGCCCTTCTCATGGCAAGTCGCCCACTCGTCCATGCATCCGCGCTGACATTCCGCAGCCTCCACACCATGCCCCTGCAGAGCTGTACAATGCCTCGAGCACAAACCCCAAACCCACCCTTCCCCCTCTCGACTACCCCTCATCATCTGTAGAAGACCCCGAACAATTCCGTCCCCCGACCACGCTCTTGCCAAAACTCTTTTCTACCCTCGCCGACCGTTATGCCGCCCGTCCAGGAGGATACACCAGGATCCAGAGATACGGTCGCCGGCCGGGAGACAATGCCCCGCATGCGATCCTCTCGCTTGTGGACGGTCCTAGAGATCTCAAGTTTGAATTAACCGCGAGGGCGGTGGGCAGGGAGGGACTTGACGTGCTGGGCAGTGTGCACACCCGGGAAGAGCTGGCAGAGCTGAGCGAGGGCGATTGGGAAGAGCTCAGTGAGAGGACTAGGAGGGATGTGGGCAAGGTGTTGAGATATAGAAGTGAAGAGGACAAGGCGTCGTTCAAAGAAAAGGCCAAGCACTACATGGTGCGTGATTTTCATTCATACAAAGGTCAAGCTGACCATACCCAGGATACGCTCCAATCCGAGTCGGCCGCCCTCTCTGGCCTCCGCAAACCCTTCATCTCTCCCACAGCCCGCCCTTGTCTGACACCCTCAATAAACCACCCCAAATCTGGCAAGCCGCAATTCGCCGGCGAACGTCTGTCGGCCATGTCGGTCCTCAACACTGGTCTCGGTCTGGCGCGAGGCCAGCTGGGCAGGCAGAGAAAGGTGATGGGGCAGGATGTCGACAGGACAGCGAGGATCTGGGAAAGGAAGCAGGTGGACGGGGTTCAGGGTGAGATCGTCAAGAGCGCGTAGAGAGTTGCATGTAAACCATCCATTCATGACCATGCGCTGAATCTCTCGTCCCCGCTGACCTTCTTGTACAATCCCACGGGTACATCCCCGATATAATGCGTGCTGCGTATACGCGTTAGACTGGTATTGGTTGGGATGGAGAGACTTACTCCCCAAAGCCTCCAACGTAATAAATCTTTTCCAGGTCCATTCTCGCCCACTCTGAGAAATGCGGCGAGCCCTTCTTTCCAGGCAGCCAGCCGCGGGCATCAGGGTGGTATGAGAGGTAACACTCTGCCAAGTCGGTCTCTTCTTCTTCAGAGAGATCTCGCAACAGCGTCACGTTCTGAGATACGTCAGCAGGTCACATAGAAGAAACAAGACGTACACCAATCAAAGCCACCCTCGCTGAGCTCATACTCGTCTCTCCCTTCTTCACCCCCTCCGCCAAAGTATACGTTGCATAGTGGTGCGGGTGTTGCAAGATGTTTTTGCTGGATTGAGATATAGGAAGGATCAGGAATGTGAGAGATGGTGCAGAGTGGCAAGGCGCATGGTACTGTGGATAACTTAGTTGGCGTTATTTCAGAAGAATAATGTGTACCTCGGGAAGAGCAAAAGGCCGGCCTTCCATCTTTGGCTTGTAAGGTATGAACTCGTCCCCATTCTCATCGCGATGAGTGATTTTGACACCTGGAGCAAGCTGGGGCGGGTCATCGGCAGACGCTGGGAATACGTTCGACAGAGTGCCTGTTGTGACTTGATGCACCAACTTTTTGATGTTGATCGCTACATTCGATCAGTCTAGGCTACCAAGGTATTCAAACGATCTTACCAGCATCAAGAGCACTCTCTTCCCTGGGGCCTTGGACCATGTCGAACGGCGGCATGTGCACCTGATTGAATCCCGAAGGGGGGGCGGCCAGAACGGCCAACGCGAATACAAGTAGTTGCAGGAGCATCCTTCTCAGGAGTCAGGAGTGCTCTCAGTACTGCTACATCAAAGCGAACCCAAAGCGAACCCAACATGCATCTATGGGAAGCGCGGCGGCCGAAACAACTTCTTATGTAATGACGGGATTACCCCGCCACAGCGGAAGCATAATGCGGTGTTATGGTTTTGTGCGAAATTCGAAAGCTCGCGGTGTGCGCCGCCGTGGATGATTGGAAGCGAATTTGGACACTTTCGAGGTTTTTCTTCTATTCGTCAAGCACCCAAAACGGAGGATATTGCCCATCATGGTGAGTCGACACACGGCGGGCGCACAGCAGGGCGAGGGGGAGCGGAAGGGACGGAGGAAAGGAGAGACACGGCGCGAAATGAGAAGAATCGGGAGAAGGAGAAAACGCCCCGCCAAATACACCGCTCGACACCCAGCTCACATCCCGTGTAGGACCCCGAAGGCCCCGTTACCCTCCGAACCTCCAAGTTCATCACCAACCGTCTCCTTAACCGACGTCAATTCGTCCTCACCGTCCTCCACCCCACCCGCCCCAACGTCTCCCGATCCGACCTCTCTGCCAAGCTCGCCGCGCTCTACAAGACCGAGAAGGACCAGGTCGTCGTTTTCGGCTTGAAGACCAAGTTCGGTGGTGGTTCCTCTACCGGTTTCGGTTTGATCTACGATGACGAGGAGAGCCAGAAGAAGTTTGAGCCCAAGCACAGGCTCGTGAGGGTGAGTGCTTGGAGGGTCATTGTTTCAGGGTGCATGCTGATGGACGTGATTAGGCTGGTCTTGCCGACAAGGTCGTCAAGCCTTCCAGGAAGCTCCGAAAGGAGAGGAAGAACCGAGCCAAGAAGGTCAGCCGAACTATACTTTTTTTGGAATCGCCCACTGACGCCGTCCACAGCTCCGCGGAAAGGCCAAGGGAAAGGCTGCCGAGCCCGCCAAGAAGAAGTAAATTGCTCCATAGTGGTGGCTTTGGATCCTTCTTTGTGTGCTTGGGGGATGTATTTTCATTCTTCTCTGCAGCACTTGATCGAGTTGCAATATCAGATCGAGGGGACACTGGCAAGGAACACGGAAGGCGGGAGATTGCGTTGAGGAGGTCGGACGTCGTGTCAAGAGGCCAAGGGTTGAAAACTGTACTCACCTGTCGCTTTCGCTCGCTGGTTATTGGGGAACAACTTTTTTTTAGCTCGTCAAATGTTTGGGAGGTGACAGTGACGTGTCCTTGTCCCTTCTCGTCATCAAACAACATCACGGAAAACAGCCTCAAAATCTTGCAACAACCTTTTGAACAAGAGAACAATCAGACAACCCCCTGCTGCTTGTCGATGGCGCCGATACATTCTGCTGACCGTGTCTCAAGTTTGGCGGTCGATTGCTCAATCAAATCACGCCACTTGAAGTATACCAGATGATATCAGACGTATATCTCAATCTGATAGGGCTTGTTTTCGAGGACGTAGTCAGCTCTGAAGGAAAGAATACAATGATGGCAGATTGCGAGTGAATATTAATCACTTTACGCTACGTTACGGAAGCTTCTTAGAGTGACTCCCAGTACATATTGTCCAATTCATTCTCGCTACTGCTCGCATTTCAGCGGGAAATTCTGGGAGACCATTACAGTACAAGTAACAACTCGACAGATACCCGTTCACGTCAATACGCGTACTGTAGGTCCCTCAAACACAAGGAGCTTTGTTTGTATCCTGACCCTGGAGCCTGTCAGTCAACATAGCCATGTCCACCGCGTGCAGATTTACGACAATCCCTGCGTACTTGGGCATTCGCTTGAAGCTTGTAGAAGATTGGATGACGTTTGCCAGCTCCAGGACATGGTTGCCCACGCCACCGGCGATGACAATAGGTAGATCTGGTTTGCTAATCATTCGTTGTCGTTTGTTGTTTTGTATTGTCGAGTCATCAATCAACATGCTCAATTGCCCTGCTGTGGACTACACCATGCAGCATTTCTTTGCCCTGCCCACTTGGACACTGCTTGGAGAAAAAAAATGCCAATGCATCCCACCCAGCCCATACCCTACACCCCTCCCACTCCTACAAAGCGACTCTAGTATCGCTCGAAGGGGCTCTTCTTGCTCGCCCTCCTCTTCTGGATCTTCTCCACAACGTGGTGGTCCCACTCGGCACGCTCAGCATCTTCGGCGAGGACTTGCTCAATGTAAGGGGTAAGGTATCGCTCGTCCTAAAGCCTCGGTCAGCTCGAGTCATGCACAAAAGACAAGATGTACGCACTTGCTGGGCAGTAGTCCACTTCTCCTTGGGAAGCTCCTTGTGGAGAGCGGATTGGATGAGACCCTGTCGTTGACGGAAGACACGGTCGAAACCGGCCTTTTCGGGGAGACGGGAGATGGCCTACAGTCCGAGTTAGTACTGGCCTCACGCATTTCGCCGCCTTCGCAATCATCCTCTCTATACCGGCATATCTGAACATCGTGGGCCGCCCGGCCGATTCCATGATACACTTCTCTCTCATTGTCCAATCCGCGTGGATCCAATCTCAAATTCCTCCATCTCGCCGCCTCTCGTCCCAATCTCCCGCTCTATCCATGAATCGTTCTCCATCACTCACCTTCTGCATGAGGGCGGTCTCCTCGGGGACCAGGTCGTCCAACAAGTAACCCTTCTGCCTGTAACCAGCGGCCTGCTTGTAGAGGTTTGACCACCTAGACCAGTACTTTTGGATACCAGAGTGTTGGCGGATCCAGGGAGCAAAGCTGTTGGTTCATGGATTGTTTTTGAAGGGTGATATCGATAGGGACAATGAAGGAATCAGGCGATGGGCGATTGTGGTTGAAGGCAGGCGTGGGTGTTTTTCAGCAATATAAAGTTCGCGTCCGATCGTAAGCTCTCCGTTCTTTTTCCCCACCGTGTCTACAACACTCACGAAGGACCCAGGGGGCCGTTGCCGAGGACCATCTTGACGACTGAGGGCATGGTGGATAGTTTATGGGATGAGGGAGAGCACCTTGGACGAATGGGTGAGCGCGGATTCGCTTGCTAGAGAGGGGATCGGGACAGTCCAGCAACAGAGCGGCGTTTGGTCGTGTGGCGGGCGGCGACCACCGCTTGTTGACGTTTTGGCCAAGTCGCGTTATGGATATGACTTTCGAGGGATACTCTACATCAATATACCTGAGCGAGAGCGTGCAATGGCCTCGGCGACATCCCAGAGAGCAACCCCCCGGCAGCGCTCGACTTCAACGGCCTCCATACGGGCCATTTCGCCCCAGAAAGGCTCAGCCGCAGCTCAAGATCAGCTCTGGGCAGACATGGACCCCGAAGACCGCAAGAATGCCCAGGCAAAGAAGCGCCACGATGACGATGTCAAGAGGCATTTGGGGGCTGATAACATCGGACCAGGAGAACCCCAGAATGAGTGAGTGTGGTTGCGATCGTGACAGAGTGGTGATGCGAGGCATTCAACGGTGATGCAAGCACACTCCGGCAAGCGTGTATGCATCGCAGGAGGACTTGGAAACTCAAGGAGAGGTGATTCGAGCCCAGGAGATGTCGAGAGACCATTCGTAAACCAAATGATCCCCGCTATTGTGTGCTGACGTCGAGTCTCCCCCTTCCCTCATAGCTGGCAAGTCGCCTACATCTGGTCCTTCATCCTGAAATTCAACCTCCGATACCGAATAGCGCGTCTTGAATCGATTGAAGAGTAAGCTCACCTCTGGCGCATTTCGTAACGGGCGGTCAAAGCAGTATAGACGCGCTGACGCGTCATTGGTCCAGCCTTGAACGGTGTCTATATGAGCCCGTCGCGAACCGACCTGATGACATCTTTGAAGGCATCCTAATCTGTTTTCTGTCCAACCTCAAACCTGGGTCTAGAAATATCAGGTATGTCTCTCCCTTTCCCTTGCTTCTTCCCGTTGCGCCTACCCGGCTGACGCCGATCCTCCGCAGCGCCGAAAACATCCAATCCAGCATCTCCTCATACATTTCCGAGAAGCTCTCTGAAACCTCCGAATGGACCGTCTGGGACCGTCCATGGCCACTGAACGAAGAACAGCGCGCCTCATGCTGCCTCACAGATGACCCTTATCGTGCAGAGCTTGGCCGGTTGAGATACCCCGGCGAGCCGATGGGGGCGCGGGTGGAGAGGAATCCGATCAAAAGAGTGGAGGCAAAGGGAGGGGGGCTGTTTGAGATGGACTGGAGGGACAGGGTGGCGCTGATGAGGCAACTGGTGGACTGGCAGTGTGAGCGCTTCTTCCTTGCCAGATTGATTTAGCTGATAAGGCTCAGTGACGCACTCGGCCAACATTCGAGATACCGTCAATACTGCCTCTTCATCCTCAACCACAAAACCCAAGAAAGGTTCCAAGAAGCCCGTAGAAGAAGTGGGCGCTATCAACGTCGAGCCTCTCGGTCTCAACCGCGACAAACAACGGGTCTGGTCTCTTGACGGTACGTACGCTTGTATGATCAAGGTCACCACTGATTTATCCTGATAGATTCATGGCGTTTATATCGCTCCGGCAATCCATTCAAGCGTCCATGTCCTATGGAATCCGTCTCCGACACGAAACAAGACTACCTCGCCTATGTTGAATCTATCGTTGCGTATGGGGCCCAAGAGCAATCGCAGGCGGCTTATGAAAAGGCCCAAGAGGATGGCTCAAAAGGAAAGAAGAAGGCAGATAAGGGTAATGCTGGGTACAAGAAGTGGGTGAAGGGGGTTCAAGATGAAAAGAAATTAGGACAGGCTTTGGAAGGGAGAGTGGAGAATATCGAGAAAGAAGAAGGGGTCAGTTCCATCTCTTCTTTCGGCCCTCCTCATCACTCATGTCGTTGCAGAGGGTACAAAGAGCAAAACGCAAGGTTGCTCAGGTGGTTCAACTACAACAGGCTGCTGAAATGCGTGCCACCAGAACAAGACGGCCAAACAGAAAAGTCGACTACAGCTATGGTGACAGCGAAGTACATTTGACGGCCTCTTCTGTCCGATCTGATGCTGACTCCCCCAAGCAGGAAGAACCGATTCCCATCTCGCCCCCGCGGAAATCCACCCGCCCTTCACGGTCCGGTAGAGGCGCCCCAAGCGACGAACCCTACCTTGCCTTGGACTCGCGCGGTAGGCCAAGTATACCTGGCATGGAGTTTGGTTTGAGAGGGAATAAGAGGAATGGGCTGGATGCTGTGTCTGAGATCGTTGATGTGGAGGGAGCTGAGGAGCTGAATGGGGAGAAGAAGCCGGGAATGAAGGGGTACGCGTGGGTTGGAAACCCGGATGCAAGCTCGCCAGCAGCCAACGGTACTGCCAACGGGGAGTCGACAGAAGCTTCAACGCCTGCTCCTGGGGCGGGGGAAGAGACACCCCGCGCGGATCAGTCTCGGGGAACATTACCTGCGGAGGAGATTATTAAAGTTGATCCCGAAGATGGAGAGAACGGAGGAGGAATGGAAGAAAGCACAGAAGGGGCTATGGAGATTGACGAAGAATAGACCCAGAGTTGTTTTGAGAGAGGCGTAGCAGTCATACAACATCTTTTCCTGGCATTTTGTCTTATACAACCTTCCGCTTTTTCGAATCAACACCGATCTTTGATGGTTACAATATGCATCTGCATCATACATATCCGATCGGATACATGCCATATATGCAACATTTTTTCTCATCTCTCACTCCCATCCCTCAAGCCTCTAGACTCCTCATCTTGGTCATGATGCTGGTTCTCTCCATCAGCGTCAAACTCGACACCGCCCTGTTGGGACTGAGGTGGCTTGGAGCCATATTTGATACGTTGGGCGAGGACAGCTGAACGAGAATCAGCGTTATGCCGTGAAGGGAGCTGGAGGACGCACCAAAGTCCCAGCAGACCAACATGATGGCGGTGATTTTGAACTGTATTGGGTTTCCCCGCAAGAAAAAGTATACCGTCCTGGTGATCATAGGTCAGCTGATCCTGAATCTTGAGACAGAATGGACTCACTTGAACGAGTCTCCAAATATCCACCCGGCGAGAGCAGATTCTCGGAAACCGTAACACGACTTGTTTCTATAGTTGCTGATGAACTGGGGAATGGGGAGAGTTGATTCGATTGTAAGTGCTATCAGGCCGATACTACGCCTTGTCAGCCGGATGCCGAAGCTCAGAGAAAGACGTACGTGTCGATATACCACATCCATCGACCCAAAATGACCTGCAGTATCCCCAAAACGACGATCATCCCCGCCAAGAATTCCAGATAGCTCCCAAATCCTTCCCACTGCCAGAACCCGAACGGCCTGTTACCGGCCTTCAACCCTCGCCACATGTTTTTCAGACCGCCCTCATTCAAGGGATGCTGGTGAGGGGCGAACGAGGAAGGGCCTTCGGTGTGTTCGATCTCTTCCAAAGACTGATCGTGATCATGATTTGAAGGATCAATGGGGGTGTATGACTCTGATCCCTGGGATCGGGCAGAAGGGGAGTAGTGAAGGCAGATGGCGAGGAGGCCGAGTTGAGATAGTATTAGAAGGATCGACTGAATCAGTAGCGCTTTGACTGTTGTCAGTCCAGCAACAAACGTGTATCTCAATATGCCTTACGAGTTTCGAATCGTTCTCCTAGCCAAAAGAATATACGAATGATATTGGCGATAATGACAACTCCGCAAACGTCTATATAGAAGGCGTCAGATCAAGAGGCATGACGTGTTCGGCATACCATGGGAGAAACCGGAAGAGTCTCTACGTCGTGTCAGCTTCGATTATAGAGGGGCGAGGCGCTCTTACTTCTTCTTCACAATACTATACGCCTTTTGGTAGAGTGTCAGCACGCTTTACTCTTCTAGGTGCGGAGAGACCGACCTGGTCGGCATATACCAGGGGTGGGCTGTCGCAAGTAAGCTAGGCTGCGTGACATGTAGGTGAAGACGTACCCCACGGCCATCCCTATCGATGCCAGCGTTGCCACTATTGTCATGTTTGCTTGATGTTTATGGTCTTTGACACCAACATCATCGTCATATGAACTTCCTGGCCGTGCGTGCGTGCTAAAGCGCGGAGACCCCCGCAAGGACAAGGTAAGGATGTTAGTTGTGGCGTCCGTCGGTCCCCACTCCGTCTCCGGTTCGCCGGCTGTGCATTGCGATGTTTCTCCTTCTCTCTAACAGCTTCAAACAGCTCCAGTCATTAACATGGGCATCTTGACTCGTATATCCTACATGTGGCAGCAATTCATCAATCACGGCGGCAACCCCCTGATCTTCTGGCGAAGGCCTACATGGTCTGTTGACCAGATCCCGGACCAGTCTGGCAAGGTATGCCCATTCATTCCCACACCCATATCCGGGCTCATTGTCGTGAGGCTGTCTTAATCACTGGAGGCAACTCTGTAACCGGATACGCCACCGCCCTCGCCCTATACAACGCGGGTGCCAACGTGAACATCGCCTGTCGGTCTCTGGTCCGTGCTCAAGAGGCCGCAGAGGATATCAAGAAAAACGGGGATAGGGGTACTTGGGGCGTCCGCTACATCGAGCGAGCCCCTGGAGATGAGAGTAAGGTTGGAAGCATTGACACCCTCACACTGGCTTCAGGAAATGTAAGGCGATCCCTTTTCTTGCCGACCCGGTCGATGCTTAAGCTCTTCTCTGTGCCCTTCTTCTTCACTTTGATTGTCATTCCCGAGATGAGTAGACCATTCAAATATGTACATGTCATTATGACGGTCTATGTGCATCAAACGGCGTGTTGTGTGCGGTGGTCTTCCTCGCGTACCATTCTTCCTCATCCGCGCATTCTCATTTATCATTCGGGTCAATTCTCTCCTGATAATCAAGGAGCAGTTGGGACCTTGGGTGCTGCCTGCCTGGATGCTCTCGTAGGTAAGACCCCCGGCCTCACTGTGTATGACCGTCGGTCTCAGTTCCGGAGGAAGTCTCGCGTCAGCGTTCCTGCCGGCTGCCGAAGCCAAGCCGAAGCGATACGTACGCAAGGCTCCAACCAGGGGTTATATATGTTCTTTGTTTTCGATTTCTCATCACACTTCAATCATCACCAAGTATGGGAATAGTCGCCAGCTTCCTCCACTTTTGGCATCATTTCGTCACCTATAGCGGCACCCCCGTCGTTTTTTGGACAAGACCCAATTGGTCGGTCGATCAGATCCCTGATCAGTCCGGTAAAGTAAGCCCCCCCCTCCCCTTTCCCCGTATGTATACCCATACTCACTTTCGTTAGGTCGTCCTCATCACCGGAGGTAACTCGGGGACCGGATACGCATCTGCCCTTGCCCTATACAACGCTGGAGCCAGCGTGACCATCGCTTGTCGATCTCTTGCCCGCGGCCAAGAGGCTGTAGAGGATATCAAGAAGAACGGCGACAGAGGTATTTGGGGTGTGCGCTACGATAAGCGAACCCCGGCAGAAGAGAGCAAGCTTGGGAGTATCGACGTCCTCGCACTTGACCTCGCAGATCTGGCCAGTGTCGAACAAGCTGCCGACGAGTATAAACTGTGAGTCTTTGCCGAGTGTCTTTTGTAAGGATGAAAGTGATGGGTATCAGTCGGGTGAAAAGGCTAGACCAGCTTTACTTGAACGCTGGCATCATGGCCGTGTAGGTGGCTCCTTTCTTCTACAGACCAGGCTGACGATGAGAACAGTCAGGAAGGTCAATGGACAAAGCAAAACTACACTCTTCAATTCGGCAGTATGGTGCATTTTCACTCTCCTCTCTCTCTGCAGCTTTCGACTGACATTCTTTCAGGTCCTCGGACACCAGCGTCTCACTACCCACCTCCTTCCCATCCTGCTCTCTCCCCGATCAGAGCCCGCTAGGGTGATCAGCCTCTCTTCGGTCGGACACAACTTTGCCCCTCCTGGTGGCATTGACTATACCTCGGTTTTGCGTCATCCTGACGATGTGGCCAATCCCGACGGATCTCCCAAGAAGGGAAAAAATGAATTAGAGAGGTGGCCAGAGTATGGGCAAGCCAAGTGGGGCAATATTGCCATGGCAAAATACCTTGCAGACGCATATGACCCGAAGGAAGTGATTGCGGTCGCTGTGCATCCTGGTAAATCATCTCCTTTATGTGTGGTCGGGAAGCGCTGACAACGAGATCGCAGGATCGATAGCGACTAATCTGGGAAATCATATTGATTTCGTGGGCTGGGCGGCATCAAAGGCCCATTGGGCTCTAGTACGTTCTTTAACTCTCTATGTTGGGAAGCATGATCAATGCTGACATCGGTATTGTCTATGTAGGCCCCGATGACCTTTTCCCCATCTCAAGGCGCGCTCAACCAGCTCTGGTCTGGCACCCTACCCGCCATGCAAGCCCTGGAGTTAAACGGCAAGTATGTGGTACCCTTCAGCCATGTATTGGATCCCAGAGCGGACCTATTGGGAGAAGAGGGTAAGGAGAGGGCGAGGAAGCTCTGGGAGTGGTGCAATGAGCAGGGTAAAAAGTTCGAATAGCTGTTGAGCAACTTTCGTCTTCTCCCCTCGGAGCAACATGCGGTCGCAATCACTGTTGATGTTTTTGTTTTTTTTTTTCTCCAGTTGTCCAGCCTCTCCTCTTTGGTGACCGGGCTTTTTTGTGAGGATGGAGCTACTCGAGGTTTGTCGTATAATCTTGGATGGGCCATGAATGACAATGATCGGACGGCGCTCACTCGCGAGCAAATGTGTCAATTTTCGTCTCACCTCACCTCGCCTATCTCTGAGCCGCATTCGCACGTTACTATCCGCTTGAGTCCTGCAAATATTGTCCTGTAGTTTTTTGGCAATACAGCGACGGTCCCGGTAGGCCTTCTGTCGGGACCGCATCACGGTGCTAGAGGGTTTGATACATATGTACTCGAGTACGAGTAGAGTACTCGTACAATACAAAACCTACATGTTGGATGTCCGTCGGCCTCTTCTTCCCATCCTCCTCCGCGAGAGTGATCATCCTCTTCTCGGTTGGGCACAATTTGGCCCCGACCGGCGGTATCAACTATCTTTCCGTCGTGCGACACCAGATGATGTGGCAAACCCTGACGGGTCCCCCAAGAGGGGCAAGAACGAGCTGGACAGATGGACCGAGTACGGGCAAGCAAAGTGGGCCACTATCCCCATGGCGAAATACTTTGCGAATACATATGGCCCAAAGCAAATGATTGCGGTGTCTATGCATCCTGGTGAGTCCATCTCCTCTCAAACTCTCGTTACTACGTAGTAGCTTCTGCCGCGACCAACCTGAGTGCTCATATTGGTTTCCTGGGCTGGGCGGTATCGAAAGCACTGGGCTCTGGTGCGTTCGTCTACACACTTCCTCTTGCCTCGTCTGTCAGCCCCGATCCTGATTTCTACTCCGTATTGACAGGCTCCAATCCTCTTCTCCCCGTCCCAAGGTGCGCTCAACCAACTCTGGGCTGGGACTCTCCCCATCGCTCAAGCTCGAGAGTTGAACGGCAAGTATGTGGTGCCTTTCAGCCATGTCCTGGATTCCAGAGGCGATCTTCTGGGAGAAGAGGGTCAAGAGAAAGCGAGGAAGCTCTCGGAGTGGTGTGATGAGCAAGGGAAAAAGTTTGAATAGTTCGGCTCGAGCAGCTTTGTTCCCACACGTACCCTTCTAAGGATGGCTGCCCGCCTTCCCTCAAGACATATTTTTTTGGCATCGGCACCACGATCTTGATCTGCCTATCTTTCTCTGATCAGGCCGACGTGCTCATATACTCCGCACCGTATTTTTTTTAGAGATAAACACTATGATTGACGGTTCCAATCAGAACAAATTACATCGACGCGATTGACTTTTTTTCACTGGCCCTTGACTTTGTTGCGGTGTCACGCCAGGTGCTGCAATCCAGTAGTGGACGAGGTTGGCACATTTTGAGGCCTCGTCGTAGAGCGAGCCCATTGTAGCTCTGAGCATCTCGGCCGATTGTTTGCACATTGTGCAGAACATTGGCTACTCGAGTACTCATACAGTACAAGAGCAGCAGCGAATTTGGTGATCCTGAGTAACATGACCGACCAACAACAACGCGTCTCATCGCCTCGCAGTTGCCAAGAAACCATCGCCTCGTCTCTCCTCACGTTCCCTCCTGGGAGCCTCTGCTCATCTTTCACCGCTTTGCCTGAAATCATAGATCGACAATGACGAAACAGTGGACCCTGGCTTGCAAGGACGTCGTTAATAACCTCGTAGCGACGAGACGGACCTTTGTTGCCTAGCAGCCGCTCGCCGCACGACACCTGCCGCAAGGCGCATCGCTAGTCTGTCTATGGTATATGCCTTACGACGCTTACAAGCTGTGGTCTCAGAGGTGTGTAGGAGCTTGGAGACCTGCTCCGGAAACCATACACGATGACACTGGAGCTAATGCCATCGTAGTGTGGAGGGACAGTTGCCTCTTTTCCCAACTGACACTTTTCCTTGCCCTTCATCTTCGACTCTCTTTATCTTTTTGGCTGGTCCAAATTCACTTCTTTCCCCTTCCACCCCCCTCAAATCCGGCTTGTCAGCCTGCTCTGCAAGCTGATTCCCATCTCTTAATCGCTCTCCTCGGCTACTTATAATCCTCCCTTTTGGCTCTATCAGAGAAAGAAGATGCCGGTCATCGAAATCGACAAGAAGGGTATCATTGGAGATCTGTTGGGAGGAGGGGATGATAGCAGTACCGCGCAGGCGCAAAATACTCAAGCGGCGAAGACTGCAGCGTCCTCCAGCACGGACAAGGACGCCACTACGTCTACTACCACCAAGGCTGGGAAAACGGACTCGGCTTCCTCTGCGAGCGACAAGGCTAATTCGACTTCTGCCGATTCCAAGAATGAAAAGGCCAGCTCGAGCTCGAGCGATAACTCGAGTGCCACTTCGGCAAACACTGCTGCTTCAACCAACGCCAAAAATGCCGCCAACTCTGCGACGTCAAAGACGTCTGATTCGTCGGCTGCCTCATCCACCCCTTCTTCTACTACCTCTGCGAGTAGTAGCGAGACTTTTGCGGAATCTACCAGCAGTATTAGTGGAACGGCTACATCCACATGGAGCAATCAAAACGCTTCCGACTCTGTTTCGTGAGTTTTCAACACGTGCCTGCTTCATGGCTGACCTTCGTAGGAGCAGTTCGGACTCTGCAAAGAGCAGCACCAAGGCCAGCACTACCGAGCTCGGCGACAATGTATCGGCTTCTCTATCCTCTTCCTCCGCGTCGAGTACTGCTTCAGTGGCCGCTGTTGCCGCCAACGCTTCTGCCAACACCGGCTCTAGCACGATATTCAACCCGGACAACAAGCTTTTCCCTTTGGCCATGGTTTTGGTCTCGCTCGCTGGTAAGTGGACACAGTCGTAGACGGTGATGTTTTACTGACCCGACTCCAGGCTTATTTGTTATCGTCACAACCGTCGTGCTTTTCATACGAGTTTTTGGGTGGAACAAGAGACGTCGCACAGAACGTTGGGCCATTCCATCTTACATCGGCTCCGACCCGTCTTTTGAGCCCGTCGAGCCCAAGAGGTTTGAGACCATAACCAACAACATTGCATCCACCAACCCCGGCCAGCACGACAACTACAACTATGTTGATTACCCTACCAACGCCTCTGCCGTCAATGAGCATCCTGCGCGACCTGTTCGGGCTCAGTACGTCGCTGCTTCTGGGCCCACTCCCAACCCGTACGACGGCTATTATGACGAAAAGTCGCAGCACCTGGGGTCACCCGTACCATCGTTCAACACCCAGCGAGGTTATGACGAGCGTCCTCCTACAGGCGTCTATGATTACGGCGCGCAGTACCAGCAGCCTTCTGTTCCCCAGCGAAGCAACACCAAGTCATCTGCCTACTCTAGCAGCAGTGGCGGGTCTATGGGGGCCCAGATGATGGGTCAAAATCCTAGCCAAGCGGGCTATGCCAGGAGGTATTCGGGCAGCGGGCAGAGTTTCAAGTCTGTTACCAGCAGCAGGACCGGGAGGAGTAATGGCGGAAGGTTGGAGAAGGGAAGGTACTAAGTGAGATTCTTCAGGTTATTTTGAAGGAAGAATATGGAAAGTGGAAAGATGGCAACATGAGTTGTGTAGTAGCTAGAATCAGCGTCGTTCATTTCAAATCTAATTGCCATGAGCATATCTGTACGCTACTTGCTGTACCTCGATCTGATCCTAGTTGCTTTCCGTTCCCAAGGCCTACTACAGGGCATTTGTTCACGTATTCCATATCACCATACTATATATCCACACCCTGAAAAGTCTCATATGAAGCCCGAGTCTCGTTGACCGTATCTACAATCTACGCAGCCCCCTTAGATCTTGACCTCCTTCAGCTTCTTCTTCAACTCTGCCAGCTCGGCCTTCAAAGCCTTGGCCTTCTTCACCTCCTCCTCCTCATCACCTTGCGCCAGACCCTTCTTGATGGAAGCCACCACCTGACCTTGCACCTCCACCTTCTTCTCGAGCTCGCGCTCCTCGGGCGTCTTCTTGGCATCGGCAGCAGCCTGGGCAGCCTTCTTGTCGGCAGCGATCTGAGCCTTACGGGCTTCGTGCGCGGCCTTCTTGGAAGAAGCATCGTTGGCAGCAGGGACCTTGCCGCCTTCGGGGTGACCGCCAGGGCCGGAAGGGGTTGTCTCGGCGGCAGCGACAGCATCACCACCAAATTGACGCTGCCACTTCTTCTCCTGCGCTCCATCCACATTTTCAATCTTCTTGAACAGGTACTCGGCCTTACCGAGTACGTGTCCGGGCAAGATGTCGACGCTGAACTCGCTGGCCAAGCTCCTCGCGGGGGCGTTGACTTGCCTGAGGATACCATCGCAAGTGTTGGGCATGAAAGGGTGGAAGACAGCAGACAAGATGTAGATCAAGTTGACAGCGTTCAAGAGCACCTCGGCGCATCGCTCGGGTTGGTTGGCGAGCAAAGAGTTGTCGAGAGAGTTCTCCTGGAGGTATTGGTTACCACGAGCAGAGATAGACATGGCCTGAGAAAGACCGTCTCGGAGCTTGGTGTCGTCCATCAACTGACGGTACTTTGTCAAACGAGCGTTGATGTCGGCGACAAAGTCCTTGTCGATCTGCGTGGTGGGGGTAGGGACGCCACCGGCGAGGTCGGCGGGTCCAGGGACCTTAGAGTCGTATTTGGCATTGACGAATTTGATCACCTGTAGCCTATTAGTTCTGCCTTGTGACTTGTAGCTCTACCCACTCGGTTGACAAAGTTGCCCAAGTTGGCCAGTAGCTCATTGTTGTTGGCCGTGATGAACTTGCTCCACAAGAAAGCAGAGTCGCTGTTTTCGGGTCGTTGAGAGATCAGATAGTATCTCCAGACCTCGGGAGGTTGACCTGTCTCTCGCGCGTTGTTGCCAAACACACCGACATTTCGGCTCTTGGAGAACTTGGTGTCTTCGTAATTGAGATACTCTGCAAGGTTGTGAGATGATGACCAAATAACTATGCCATATACTTACGAGTACTGGAGATGTTGTGCAACATGGTCCACGGCTCCTCGGTACCAAGCAACATGGAGGGGAAGAGCACAGTGTGGAAGTAGACATCTGTTCACGACATCAGCACCCAGTCGTCCAGGCGCAATGTTACTCACTGTCTTTACCCATGAACTGGTAAAGCTCAACGTTGTCGGGGTTCTTCCACCACTTTTCCCATTGGTCGGTGAGGGTAGCGGTAATGGAAGGGTAACCGACAGGAGCATCGAACCAAACATCTACATAAACGTCAGAGGCATCCCTGTAAGACCCTCCATGACCCACAGATGACCTTGCCCTCTAACGCCTCGTCCTCCTCCTTGTTGCCAATCTTGGGCACCTCCACACCCCACTTCAGATCTCTTGTGACCGCACTAGGCCTCAAACCCTCCCCAAGCATACGAGGTTCCACAATCTCTCCCTTGTCGGTGATGACTGCATTCGTGCCCCAACGACCCTTCACTCTGGCCTGCTGCATCCATTCGACCAGTTTGGGCTGGATGAGGTCGAGCCTGATACAGGCATGGGTGGAGGGACGAACGGAGAGTTTGTGGTTCTTGTTTCGCTTACAACGGGGGCTGAGGAGTTGAGTAGGAGAGGAGAAGGTGATGCCGCACTTGTCGCACTGATCTCCTCGGGCATCGTCATACTCGCACGCAGGACAGATACCTTCCACGAATCGATCAGCAAGGAAAAGTTTGTCGTCCTCGCAATAAGTCTGGTCGGCGGTCTCGAGTCGGAAGAGATCTTTCTCGTGAAGGCGCTTGTAGATGCCCTGGGTGATGTCGGTATGCTCGGGAGTACTGGTACGGCCCCACTTATCGAAAGAAAGTTGGAACCAATCGTAGATCTCGGTATGGAGCTTGTGGAACTTGGTACAGAGCTCGTACGGAGTGACACCCTCTTCGAGTGCCTGCACTTCGAGTCAGCCAAAGGACGCCGTGGTGATCACGCAATGGGACAGATATCGCATACCTTTGTCTCGGTGGCAGTACCATACTCGTCAGTGCCACAGATCTAATGCCAGATCAGCTTATCCTAATCATTGGCTCGACAGAAGCGTACATAGAGAGTGGGAACGTTGAGTGTTCGGTTATATCGAGCAAAGACATCGGCAGAGAGCGTAGAGCTAAGGCATGTCAGCGACATTGCTCCCAGCTCCATCGTCGATCGAATGCTGCTATGCACGTACCCAATGATGTTACCAAGATGAGGGACGTTGTTCACGTCTGTTCCAAAGTGCAATTAGCAACCATTGCCTGATGCGCCACCATGAAACATACAAGGAAGAGCAGAAGTGATGAGGACATTCCTCTGACCGTCCTTGGGAAGACTGCAAGTTCTGTCAGAGTCATACTGACCTGATGTCTCCCGACCACTCTTCGCCATTGCACCTCCGAGCGCACAAGGGGACTTACACAGGCCCGTCTTTGGGATCACGGACCTCCATGAAGAGGCCGTCCGCCTTTCTGATATGGTCTGTCGACATGGCGAAGATAGTAATCTCGAAACTGAGCAGGAAATGACCACAATTGTCGAAAATGTCGGAACTCTGCAGCTCATAGAACGACTCAGAGAAACGGCACCAAATGCGAAGCGGCGTTCCCCGATCTGCCCTCCACTTTTGGACGCTCGATGTTTTGGAATTTTGCGACCATGGGCTCGAGGATAGTCATCACCAAAGACAGCAAGTAACATGTCCGCCCTAGCAGCAAGAAGGGCTGCTGCTATCGCCGCATCTGCTGAACCGCAACTAGAAATTTCCATCGGCACGGACGAGCTGAATGGAGCTGAGGATTCTGGGTCTGCCTCTGGATCTGGCTCGGGGTCAGAATCCGCCTCCGAAAACTCGGAAACGTCCGCAGAGTCCGACGAAGAGAGTATAGACATCATTGTGCCCTCTCCCAAACGCCGGAAAACGCAAAAGTCAAGAAACACTTCGCCAGAACCAAAGAAAGCAGCTCGATACTTTGTTACGACCCCCGAGACAAAATCAAAGGGCAAGGGCAAAGCGAGCGTCTCTATAGCTGAGAGGCAAGTCAAGAGGTACTCCCCGGCCGCTCCCGATAGCGATGAAGAGGAGGAAGAGAAGGGAGAGTCTGTGGGCGATAGTGATGAGGATATGGCGGAGGATATGTATGGTGAAGCGGCTGGAGATGTAGACGAAGGGCGGGTGCAATGGGTGCAGACCAACGGTGCTGGGTCGTCCCGGCAAAAGTATGTACCTCCGCACATGTGTCCCGGCTCTTGTTGACTCTAGGTAGACCTCAACAGGCCGTGTCAGAAACGACATCCAACTTTGTACCTCAAGAGAACGTCAACCTATTCAGACTATCTCAAGAGGCACTCTCAGCGACTGGCCTCGAGGACGAATTCGCTGGGCCCGGCATCATCATTAGTCTTGCTCCCGACGAGGTATGTCGCTTCACGCTCTCGGAACTTCTAGCTGACAATGTAAACAGTCATTGGTGATTGCAGGCGCATACATCCTTACTCTCCTCCAACGCTCGCTCTCCCTCTTTTCCACCACCATCGACCCCTCATCGACCCCTCACCCCATCTACGCCCCTACCTCCCATCCCCTGCCTACTCTCTCCCCATCTACGACCACATCAACTCCATCGTCCCTCTTGTCTAAACTCAAATTCCCCAAACAGTTTTTGAAAAAGAACGATAGGACCATCTTGCTCATCCGCGAGAATGAATGTGGAATTGATGGGCTGAGATACGGCGCTGTACCCGGTTTCGCCAATGCTTTCCTCGAAGAAACAGGCATCTGGGGTCTTCGAAACGTCCATCCCGTCATTGGCTCGTTCCCCACTCCAGTCTACTCTTACCACAGCCCTTCATCCTGGGATTCCGCCCTCGCTTCTTCTACCCAGCTCCTCCAAGGCGAATATGCTGAAGAGTCACCTTTCGTCGGGCTCGTCAAGGGTCAAAAAAGGAGCGGTAAATCTACTTTTGCCCGGGGGTTGTTGAACACGCTATTGGGCAAGTATGAGAGGGTTGCGTGGCTGGAATGTGATCTGGGTCAGGGAGAGTTTGGGTGTGGAGGTGTGGTTGGGCTTTGGGTGGTTGAGAAGCCTGTTTTTGGTGTGTCCGTTTTCATGACCTGACGATTTCATACTGACTGAAATCAGGCCCGCCGTTTACCCATCCCTCGTCACCCGTCCGGGCACACTACCTCGGTACCTACACCCCGCTCACCTGCCCTGACGAATACATCTCCTCCATTCGTCTCCTCCTCTCCCACTTCAAATACGAGCTCCAATTCCCCCTCTCCTCCACATCAACATCAAGGAACAGCAATGTGCTGCCGCTGATCATCAACACGCAAGGATGGGTCAAGGGTCTTGGAGAAGAGCTGTTGAAGGGAATTGAAGTGATGGCCGAGCCGACGCATGTCTTTGAATTCGAGGCGCCCGTGCAGGAAGGTGGTTTCTCTGGCCCGGGGTGGACGCAGAGCCCCCCATGGTCGACGGCGCAATTGCCTTACGACCCTTCGAACCCGACTTCCATGGTCGAGCTGGAAGACGACGTACAGGGGAGGAAGAGCTACAAGCTAAAGGCTGCACCGGTATCGCCCCTCCAAGCGAGATATACCCCCGCCGACCTCCGAGTCTTGTCCAGCCTCACCTACTTTCACTCCACTCTACCTTCATCCTCGTCCTCTGTCCCCTCATGGGACTTTGCGCCCCTCGCTACAGTGCCGCCTTACGAAGTGCTGCTCTCTTCTGCCCAGGAAGCTGCGTTGAAAAAGGTGTATCTCATAGGAGAGGGCAGCGAGGGCGTCGTACCCGAGGACGTGGCGCTGGCGTTGAATGGGGCCGTGGTAGCGCTGGTGGAAGACCTGAGTGCGGATGAAGAGGAAGAAGGGGTTTATGTCCAGGGTCGGCTCCCGTCTGTTGGCGAAAGCGCAACCACCCTCGGTCTCGCACTCGTCCGCTCTGTTTCTGCCTCTTCTTCCGGTTTCACCCTCCACCTTTTGACACCCTTACCACCTCACCCTCTGTCCCGCGCCAATGCCATCGTCAAGAACGGCGCGCTCGAACTTCCCTTGCCCGGGTGGCTTGACAGTCGTCCAGGCGGGGTCCGTGAAGAAGGGATGTGGGGACGAGGCTGGGACGAGGTGCCGTTCATGGAGGTGGGCGGTATGGTCGGGGTCGTGGGCGGGGAGAGGCGGCGGTTCAGGAAGAATATCATGCGCAAGGGACAATGAGATGCATAGTAGAATGGAACCAAACATCACGCGCCAAATTATCTCCCAGGCACGGTGGCACTTGTTCGAGATGGTGTGATCTGTTTTCGTTTCTGTCACCATCGCTGCCGGCCATCTCCGTCGTGTCCTCGTCCATTTATCTGTAATTCTCGCTGATTATTCCAGATATGCGGGCGTCGGGCAGCACGCACGTCGGCTTCCCCCGCCGCTCACTCAACGCTGCAGCTGCAAGGGTCATCTGGCGTCAGCAATTGCACATCGCTTCCCACCTATATAAGCGCCCCCTGTGCATTCTATCTCTGCAAGCACAATGCCCGTCGCAGTCGCACCCCCCGCCCCCATCGAGTCCCTCAAGGCCTCCCTCGCCGCCGCTACACTCGGCGACGACAAGCCCTTCGACATCCGCGCTTACTCCAACTTTGACACCACCCCCTTCATCGGCACAGAGTTCCGCGAGTGGTCCAAGGACGGCAAGCCCACGCTCAGTATCCGCGATGTACTCGGCAACGACGCAAGGCTCAAGGCCCTTGGTCGTCTCGTGTAAGTCCATCTTCTTGAGATAGTGCTGTGCTGATGAGAGACCAGGTCTGAGCGAGGCGTAGTCTTTTTCCGAGACGCCAAGATCACACCCCAAGAACAGATCGTCCTCGCCGACGCTCTCGGTCGCCTCGGGGGCAAGCCCTCCACCAGCGGGCTCCACGTCCACCCTCTCACCGCCGAAGGGAGCGAGTTGGGTGACGAGATCAGCGTCGTCTCCCACAAGTTCGTTTTCGACAAGGATCACAAAAAGACCGATACCACCCTGCTCACTAGGCCATTTGGTGCCAACACCTGGGTAAGTTCATCCCCTCTATATATTCGAAAAGATCTGACGAAAGGGGGTAGCACTCGGATATTACATTTGAGCCCATCCCTTCGGACTATGCCACCCTTCAACTCCGCACACTCCCCACTACCGGTGGCGACACTCTTTGGGCCTCTGCATACGAAGCCTACGACCGCCTCTCCCCGGCTTACCAACATTTCCTTGAGGGCCTCACCGCCACCCACTCTGGCCAGGGATTCGTCGACATTGCCAAGCGGTCCAACACTACCCTCCGAGAACCCCGAGGGGCGCCCGAGAATGTGGGCCAAGAGTTGAGCACCGTGCATCCTGTCATCCGAACCAACCCAGTCACGGGGTGGAAGGGCATTTTTGTCAACAAGGCGTTCACCAAGAGGATCAACGAGTTGACTCAGCGGGAGAGCGACAAGCTTATTGACTTCCTAACTGAGCACGTTTCTGCTGTGAGTGTTTTTCGAACTCTATCAATGGTGTGCGCTGAACAACGAGTAGAACCACGACTTGATCACGAGATTCAAGTGGGACGAAAACAACCTCGCCATCTGGGACAACCGATCTACTTTCCGTACGGCCTTTATATCCTCTCGTACATGACACGAGCTCATCTGGACTGCAGACACCGCGACCTTTGACCTCGACGAACAAGAGCGTGTTGGGACCCGTTCCGTTTCTCTGGGCGAGCGACCGTACTATGACCCCAACTCCACCGGTAGGCGAGAAGGTCTCAGGGCTAGACAGGAGAAGCTGTGAGGCGTTGAGCCATGTCGAAGAGAATGTTTCCTTGTAGAAAGTTTTAGTCTGAACAGCGTCCAAACCTTTGTAGGGCGCTATGAATCCATTGCATTGTTATCAATTGTCACCAACAAAAGATAAGAAGGAGATGACGTAACAGGCGCACATCAAGGCGATCCTTTATTAATTCGAGGCGCGATCAGGCGAGTTTCAAGAACGTCCTATATATAGACAGCGCGGGACGATGGAGGCTTGTTTGTACTTGCGTATTTCTGCATCCCACTATTCCTCGCCATGTCGCAGATACAGGAGGAGCAGAGAGGAGGCGGCCCTCCCCTAACGTCAACAACTCATCTCAATCCCCCCCAAGCCAGTACCGCCCAAGGGGATGCCCAGCTCCAAGCCGAGCACCAGAGACATCACCCACTCCGCCACCACCACTCCATCCTCTCAGAGACCGAAGAAGAACTGACGGAGGAAGAGCTCATCGAGTACGAGAAGGGCGTTCTGACCTGGGAAAAGGCCAAGAACTGGAGGTTTTGGCTGAGGAAAGAGTGGGCATGGTATTATGTCGCTTTTGTGCTTATTGTAGCGGTGGTGGCCTTGATGGCATTCTTCCATCACTCGGTGAGTTTGACTTTCGCCTGGCAGAGGAGAGCTGAGAGAAATAGATCATCAACTGGTTGTCGCCTTTCGTAAAACGGCTACGCGAGCTGAAGGGCGGATTTGCTATTCCAGCAGCCATCCTATTTGTACTCTCTTTCCCTCCGTTGTTTGGTAACGGTAAGTCGGCTGACTGGAGTTGTGATCCCTCTGACATCGAGCGCAGAAATTGTAATCGTTCTGGTCGGGTTGGTATGGGGTCTAGGCAAAGGATTTGCTATCGTCGTCGTCGGCCTAGGCTTAGGAGAGCTCTGTGTCTTTCTGTGAGCCTGTTCTTGTCAAAGTCTGATTGCAAGCTCACGCAAATGTGTAGAATGTTCAAGCACTGGTGCCATACTCGAGCTGAGCGCATGACTCGCAAGTCACTAAACTATGCGTGCTTGGCGCAAGCTATCCAGGATGGAGGATTGTTGATGGCATGGATCGTTCGGCTGAGTGTCATTCCCACGCAAGTATTCAGTGATCTGACGCAGTATGCATTGCTGACATCTTATGCAGACATTTTACTACTGTAAGTCGCCACAATTAGAGAGCTAAGACATTTTACTGATGCCTCGGTGCAGGCTGTCTTTGCGGTGTGCGGTCTGCCGACTTGGGCTTTCATCCTAGCACTGATCGGTGCCCTGCCGAAGCAGCTCATCAGCGTTTACGTCGGAGGCATGTCTCCTCCCCCTGCCAATTAGTCCAAGCTGACCCTACCCAGTCGTTCTCGGCAACACAAACGCTTCGACCGACTCGCATGTCGTATCTGATTGCGTCTTTGCTGCGTGCGCCCTCATCACCATCGGAGCGCTGATATTCATCTACAAGAGAATGCTAAAGGTGAGGAGGAAAGTGATATTATCGATGAGGGAGGACTTGAAGGCGAGGCATGTGGATGTGGGGGCGGTTGGTGACATTCCCGAAGACGGAGACGAGATGAGACAGACCAAGAGACATGGGATATGACTGGTGACATGATACTACTGCATACAACATATACGAACAATGTACACGAAAGCCGCTTTATCGCTTGCGAGACTTTTTATTCTTGTCATTCGAGAAGCCGTACCTGGAGACACAGTCCGGGCAGTACCATGTTTCTGGCAGAGGCCCATTGATATCCACGCATTTGACATGGAACTGTACAAACGTCAGCAATGGCAAGAGCGAGAAAGAAGCGACTGACCCATTCGTAGACACACTTGTCGTTGTCGCACCCAATCATCTCTCCGTAACTCTTCTGCTGACAGATACAGTACAGCGTCTCATCCGTCTCCCCCTCTCCATCTCCCGCATCGTTCATATCCACATCCGCATCGTCTGGCTCCCCATCCGCATCTTCATCGCTCATGATGGAAAGCTTTCTCGACGACCGATGTCCATGACCATGAGAGTGGTCCATGGGGCCGTGGTGCGACACATGGCCAACAGGCGACGGCGCATGGGAATGGGACGACCTTGCCGACAAGGACGGTCTCGGTGCAGGAGGTGGGGGCATAGCCAGAGCAGGGTGCTGCACCTTTGGCACCGGTACGGGCGCTGCCACCACCTTTCGCTTCTTGACCGCCCTGGCATCCGAACCGCTCCCCAGCCCACCGGGGGGAAGTACAACCTCCACTCCTCCCATTTCTCCCAACCCATTCGCAGCCTTTTCGACTTCTTCCACCGACATTCCTCCGACTTTGACCCAATGGTCTTTGGCGCGCTCTTTTGCTCTGTTGACGATCCGTTCAAGACGCTCAGCAAGATGAATTTTTTCATCTTGCAGGGCAGAGATCTGTTGCCACTCGGTTTGTATCTTGGTGAGATTTTGAGCTTCCTTTTGGGTCAAGTGAGAAGTGGGGAGGGGCGCGCCGGGCGGTATGGGGAGAGGGAAAGTGGCAGTCGACGGGGGCAAGGAGGAGAGGGATTTGATAGGTTTGGTGAGCGAGATATGGCGGGAGTTGATCCGTTGAATAAGTTCTGGGTAGTATCAGTACGCATCAAGACTGTTGGGAGGATGTCTCACGGGTAATGCGAATATCCTTTTCTCGGATCTCCTCAAGCAAGAAATTGACCTCTCCCGGTAGGTTTTCCAAGCCTATGCATCCTTGTCAGCACATCCATCACACTGTGCCAATGTTTTTCCTTCGATATCGCGTTTCAAGCCCAGGATACGAGGCTGACCAACCTCCGCGCGTCGGAAAAGCGAGAAAACAACTCACTAGAAATGAGCCCTGTGACTACATGGGCGGCTTCTTCCGCATTGAAATGTGGGTGGACATGGAGAGATGGAGGAAGGGCCATCCTTAATACGTGGGAGGTTGATGGATGGTCGCCGGACGGGTGTTTTATATGGGGCTTTTCGTGTAGAGAGTGGCAAATGAAGGAGGAGAGTGAACAGCGGACATAGCCGCTTGAGCGTTGGCTGCTGCCTCCTGGTATAACCGCGGTATGCTTATGGACAGTAAGAATTTGGAGTCAACAACAAAGGCGGGATGTGTGAGTGGTCTAAACAGCTGTCTTAAGGTTAACTCCTGAGAAACGGCAGTCCTCCGGGGCGTGGGTTCGAATCCCACTTCCGTCATTCTTTTTGGATTATTTGGCTCCTTTTTTGCATATTGGTCCTTAATGTTAGACGTCCACTAGGGGCTCTTCCAATGTACATTTCGGCCCTCAATATATCCATGATGTTGCAGACAGTTCACCGCTCCGCCTCGCTGTGCAGCATTGATTGTAGAATGGGCGGGCGACTTGCTGACATGATTCATGATGAGCGTAGCTGACGTGAGTCGCTGTTCAAGTTGGAGGTGTCGAGCCGCCCACCTCTAGTCCATACACTTCTTGTCAGACACAGACTAGTCTGTTGCTCAGTGTCTTGTAGAAGGGAACAAGACGTCCCACAACTTCACAAAGAGGTGAAGGCCAACAAACCAAGCACCACGTTGAATGACAGCAGCATGAAAGCGTTTTCATACCTCAACGTCCGATCCATGTCCCGTCTCCCTTCAGACTCCAGTCACCAGTCAGCGACTAGCACTCTCTCTCTGCCTCATAGCTTAAAATAGTGCATGCATGCATAGCGCAGCACCACCAGCCACCCATCAATGCCTCCAATCCGTTACGTAACTCACGCGGCCACCGCCGCCCTTGAAATTTCGCCACGGCCAAACCCCGCATAATGCCGTGCACCAGAGACTGTCGCGATTTTCGAGGTTCGCTGTATACGCTCACGTTCGCTCATCCCTCAACCCCAACCAACCTCAAATCAACCGCCAAAATGGGTGCGTTACTATCTGCAGTCGACATCTGTGCTGGGAGAAAAAGACGGGACAATCGAGGGCAGGAAATGGAGGCGACAATGGAATGCAGGACGGAAGGGCGAAGTGCTGCTCGAAAGTCTCGTCCATGGATCTTATGGGCGGGACGGAGTGTGCAAATGTGGAAGAGAGAGGCTTGGAATTGTCTCATGGAACAGATGGAGACGGCGAATTGATATTTGGGGATTGTCGCTGATTCTGTCTCTAGAGAACGACAAGGGTACCCTCGTTGACTTGTACATCCCCAGACACTGCTCTGCCACCAGTGCGTTTCCTTCTGATAGATATGCGGAGCTTGCTTACCATTGTACCTCCCTCTGCTCATCTTCCACCCACTTTTGTCAATCACAACCACCCTCTTTCCAAAACCAACAGACCGTCTCATCACCGCCCAGGACCACGCTTCCATCCAGCTCCAGGTCGCTGACGTTGACGCCGACGGCAAGGCCATCAAGGGCTCTGCCACCACCATTGCCATCTGTGGCCGAATCAGGGCTCAGGGTGACTCTGACGACTCCATCAACAGGATCGCTACCAAGGAGGGCTGTAAGTGTATATTCTGGTGATAAACTGAAACATCGGCTGACATGAAGTAGTGTTGAAGAACGTGTGGTCTTACACTCACTAAGCGGTTGTAGCTTTTGGGAGGGTTGGGATGCATCTTTTCGACTAGCAACGAGAATCAGACTGGGACAGAAAAGGATCGTGGGATTGCATCGCATTTAGAAGGACATCAGGATTGTGGGGCAAATCATCGACTTTCGTGGCTTTCACCATTTGACATTAACAGCCGGTCATCGACACAGTCAGACGGGCTCAAAGGAGGTTGAGGAGGAAATTGGATTTTGTGGCGACTTTGTCAATCAAGCACCGACTATGTTCTGTGTCTTGTTGGCTCGAATGGTAGAGACTTTGTGGACAACAGTGGCACGGTCGCATCATCAGATCGAGAAAGGGAAGAGGAATTACGTTTTGAGGACCGCTTGTATCGTCGTGAAGGTCTGCTTACCCAGGTCATTTACATGCCGCCCTGCTTATTTGCCACCCGTAACATCAGCGATAACGTCAGGTCAACTCTCCCAGTAGATTGACATCTGTCTTTAAAGGGGTCTTGAGAGAGCTGCGACACGCTTCGCGTCGTAGTCTCATATTTGGTCAACAGGATCGTGCGGCTTTGTGTCGAGCCAGATGTTTGGTTATGATCTTGGACGCATACGAGGCGCTCTAAGTGGTGCTACTACATCTATCTATACTGTCGAGTGTGCACAATCAGGTCATTCCGCTTTTGAACTTGCCTCACACAGCTACACCGTTCTGCTCTTGTGCAGCCTCTCCATGAAGCAACGCTGCCCGTTCATCCGGCGCTGATCCCTCAGCGGGTGTATTCAGCTCGGGGGAGTACAACGCAAGACTATAAAGCGCGACAGTCAGAGAAGTGATTCGATACATGCTATCCGTACATGTTTTTACAAAGCAAGGGCGATGTAACTACTCAAAGTCAGTCATGAACATTATCGAGTTTGTTCGCGGCAGCTCACCCAGCAATCATGGCCAATCCACCCAAAGGCGTGACAGGACCCAGAACCTTGACCCCCTCCCACTTCCTCCCCAACACCAGCGCAAAGATGCTCCCCGAAAACACTACAGCCCCTCCGGCAATCATCCCCGCGGCAACCTTGTACCTCCTCGTGCCCGCCCCGGCCAAGAATCCGGGGTGGAAAGAGATCGCAAGGAGGGCGAGACCGTTGTAGATGAGGTAGTTGGAGGCGACACCAAAGGAGGAAACCTGGCGGGGGGTGAGGGGGGGCTGGGCGTTTTGGAGGCCGTGAGAGCCAAATGCGCCCGTGGTGATGCCCAAGGCAGCTGGGAGGGTGAGTATTGCACGACTGAGATTGACGTGGGACCTACTGATGAGTGCTCCTGATCTAAATACGAGGGCAGGGGACATGGCTGGCTGTGAGTGATGAGGACACAACAGACAATGAATCCCTGCGTTGCCTTGCGATGTAACGTCGCCAACTTCGCCCGAAGGTCACATCTCTGTCACGTGACTGACAAGGTGAGCTCCATGAATCAGCAGTCAACAGTTCGAATAGTCTGGGATACAATGCACATCATGGTGGCAACGAGATCACACTCTGGGATCGGATCCTCTAGTGTTCAGGATCATATACATCTCATTACTGGCATCATCACTACCGATACTTTCTAGTCCGTGTCATTACAACTCTCCATCCCATTCAAGAGCGAGCTCTGATATCGCTGTCAGCAGCGCCCATAATGAGAGGCCAAGAACTTACCTATCCCTGTGCTTCCCGTCCCCTTTCCACGACCCTGACACACATTCCCACCACCCCGTCCCAGGCCTCGACCATCTCCTTTTCCCTCGCAATCATTCCGTCCAGGTACTTTTCGAGTGTTTCTTTAAACTCGATCACGCGCTCTCGCTCAAATCGGGTAAACTCCGACTTGCACAGTTGGGTGAGGCGGAGATAGTCTTGTTGCAATGACTTGGCACGATCTTCTGCCTGTTCACGAATGAGCAGAGGTCCCTAAAAGTGAAGAAGGGATGCTTACCTCAGCGACGTCACGCCCATTACCACCTCTCTTCTCCCAAACCCCCTTCAACCTAGCAGCCTCCCTCCTCGCCGTCTCAAACTTTTTCCACCCCTCAACCCTCCCAGCCCATGCCGCCCTCACACTGCCAATGAACCGCACATACTCTTCCGCCAGGTTCAACATGTAAGCCACTTCGTCTTTGGCTGCCTGTTCCGTCTGTGCCTGTGATCCAGCGAGGAGGTTGGCCACTTGCGCGAGAAGCGCGGAGAGGGAGGCTCCCAGGTCGGATTCCGCCAGTGCCGAAAGGGACGACGAGAGTTCGGCGAGGGAGAGCGAGAGCTCGAGTCGATGCTTGCTAGATACCTCGAGGCCCTTGGCAAGACTCTTAAGCTGGGTTTCAAGACTGTCCAAAAAGATTTTACGGCTTTCAAACCAGTCGTCCGTCTCGATAAACTTGCCGCTGCCTGTCCAGCCGCTCAACAATCCACCCTTCTCGGCGATAGCAGGCGCAGAAGCTTGTTGGGCTGCCACCTGATGTCTCCTCTCTTTCGCCTCGTACCCAAAGTTGTCCGACTCGAGAAAGAGTCGCAGATCAGGGTCGAGCTGCAAGATCGGGTGTCCCACAATCTTTTTCAGACACCTCTCTAGAGCTCGCCGTCTGGTCTCTACAAACGTATCTTCGAACCGCCCCCAGGGATGTTTCCCCGGGACAGGCGGCACAACCACACCGGGGTTGTTGCTCTCCAGCATCTCGACCAGCCACAAAAAGTCCGAGTATCTTCGCAAGCAAGAAAAGCTACGCTGGCGGTAATGCGGAGAGGACGTGGACGTGCGGATAGTGTAGAGGATATAACCTCGGACCGGGTCGCCCATGCGAGTGGGGTCGGAGATGATAATTTCAAAGTAGGGGAGTCGTTGGCGGGAGGGCGAAGAGTTCTCGGTGGGCGTGGAGATGGGGAGCGCAGAAGAGGGCGCGGTGGGGGTGGTGGGTTCTTCCTCTGTGCTGAGCTCTTCGGGCTCGGAAGATACTTGGGAGAATGATGACGATGTGCCTGGCTCTTCCCAACCACCTTCGTCCCCTCCCCAGAGCTCTCCGCTCCCGACAGCAGCACTACTCGCTCCGAGCGGCCCACCGCTTGCACTACCAAACAAACTCTCGCCTGTTTCTTCATCCCCATCATCGTCCAGCGCGCCCCATCCTCTACCGCCAAACCTCGCACTGACGGGCGTATGCTTCTCCCCAGCCCAGGGAATGGTGCTCTTTGGAGTCGACTGCATCGGCGAGTCGGCTTTGGTGGGAGCACCATCGGCTGGAGCAGCATACGGCACAGACCCGCCCACACTAAGCCCTTCGAACTTGTCCTCGACTGGGTCATCTGGTGCATTCAGCGGCGAGACCGAGACCCTGTCTTCCGAAGGCGTCGTCAATTGCCGCATCGTCCCATCATCTGACTGAGAATCAACATCTTGGCTAGAATTGATTGGGAGGGGTGAGGGAGTGGGATGGCGGCTAACCACGGGCGTGGACACTTCGGATGCCGGGAGAGGGACGTGAGAGGGACTTGGCGGTGTCTTGGGCGGGTCGGATTTGGGGGATGAGGGTTTGGGTGGTGAATGCTGGGCAGTTGGAGTCACCGATGTCGGTGTGGTAGCATGCACCTCCTTCTGATCTTCCTTGACCGGCTTCGGGGCAGGGGCAACCCTCTCTGACTTCTTGAATGCCTTCTTTAGAGACAGTTCGGGGTCACTCTCTGCCATCAAGTCTTCATCTATCAGCCCCTTGAGCAACACTTCTTTCCCCTGCTTCTTGTCTTCCACTGCCTCCTTGGGCACTGAACCCAATTCTTGAGGGGGGCGTGGTGGGGAGAGTGGTGGAGTGAACGGCTGGCTCGCGGGGTCTATTGGTATAGACGACGACGCCGGGGCAAACGGATTCGAGAATGGGTCTTCACCACCCGCCATCGGCACTGGTGAAGCGAATGCACTCGAAGCGTACACTCCCTCCCCTGGCCCGGGGGACAGAGCCCGCTGCTCCCTCTCGCGCGCAGCAATGACCGAAGGAGGGTCCGGTTGGTCGTAGTCCTTCTTCAGCTCTTGGACGTAGGGAGATTCCCCCACGTCCTCCCGTGCACGAGACGGAGATGATGCTGCAGCGGGGAGGGGGGCAAAGATGGAGGCGCCCATGTTGGCGAAGGGGTCTGCACTTGGGCCGTCCGCTGCGAAGGGGTTTGCCCATGGGTCGGCGTCGGCGGGGGCAGGGTCCCATCGTGGCTGGGAGGGGCGGGTGGTGGAAGAGAGGAGACTGGCGAAAGATGCTTCCTCGTCCATGGCGGCTTGCTGAGGTGGATGGGTGGCAGCGAGATCATCACGGACGCGGTGACCAGGAGCGGTCACCGCCGACAGTGATAGCAACGTCCACAACAACGGGCATGATACCAAGTAGATCATAGATGACAGCTCAGCAAGCATAGCACCAAGTATAAACGTTGGCAGCATGCAATGTGGACGGCTCGAGAAATCACGGCGCGATGCACGGATCACAAAATCATACCGAGGCTGTTTACAAAAGAACTATCAGAGTACGGAAAGAGTACAAGCAAGCATTTATGAGGCGATTTGGTAGTGCTATGAGAGCGATCAGCTGGGCAACATTAGAGACACGAGAGGACATACAGCTTCGTCGATGGTGGTAAACACATGCCCGTTCTCCGCCAGCCAATCCAGCACCAATCTTGAGAGCCATCAGCTTTATGACCCGCCATGGTCGGACCCGGTACTCACGTAAACTGCTCCAGATCCGTGCTTCCAGTAGCTTTACTCAAAGCAGCCACATGCATACCATCGTCGTGATTCGGCCCTTCGCGTTCCAAAATTTGCATGATTGCGCGCGCCAATGGGTCCAGCTCGGCGTAGGGGTCGGCGCCACCATGGTTGGCAGCGGCAGCTGGCTTGGCGTAGTCGGAGGAGGAAGCTGTAGGGGCGCGGTACTGCAAGGACAGTGTCAGTAACGCGTGGATGGCAATGAACGAAAGCGCGTACGTCGGTGGTAGCTCTGTTGGCTCCGGCGTTACCAGAAGTACCTCCTCGGAGAAGCAAGCTGACGTGCAAAGCTTTCAAAAGATGGTGCTGGATCTCGTTGGGGTCTGTTATGGGTCGGACGTGGGTAGCAGAGACATGGCGCTTGTTGTTGTAAGATTTGATGGTGCCCATGACGCCGATGTAGCTATCTTGCCTGTAATACCGTTAATATAGATTCAGTCACGAGGAGGTGGCCATACTGGATGCCGTCAGTCTTGCCGGATTGGTCGTCGGCAGAGTCAAGCCAGAGCTTGACGTCCACATAACCTGTTCCATCTCCAATCTCATAGGCCACATTTGTCGCTGTGGTCGACGCATTGCGCACAGATCCCACCAGCAAGACCTATAGACAGTCAGCATGTATGAACAAGATTCACTCGACGTGATGCCTACCTGGGTGACGTCCTCGCCATCGATGGAAAAGTCGGCATCCGGATGGACTTGCTGGGCCTCGTTGAATTGTTTAATCGTCAAAGGTCGGATGGTAGCGTTGCCACGAGACTAGCAGCGAGTCAAATCCATCCGTCCCATAGTCGCTTGATGCGCACCTTTTTACCACCGGGAGAGTCCTGGGAAGACCCGTAGTCGCCGTTGCCGCCGCCCGCCACGTACCCCCCGCCAGCGCCGCCGTAGTATGGGTTGGAACCGTCGTCTACACATAGATCAGTATGCTATCGTCCCTCTACACCCCTCTATCCCACTCACAGTTGCTCATGTTGGTTTATATACTTGCGTTGTGACTGAAAGAGAGAAAAGCAGTTGACTGGACCTACGCGTCGGCTCATGAGTATTCTCAAAATACTTACGCGTTCATAAGTAACTACGGTGTAAGTATCTGCTCCCGTGTTCTACATATCTCTGTCAGGTGACTTGGCCGTTGTTTGGTTTGTTTGGTTTGTTTGGTTTCCCTGCCCGCCATGTCCCTCAACCACATCGACCCCGCCCTCCATCCCACCCTCGACTCCATGGCCAACCCAGAGCACCACGACCACCCGCCCCAGGATGATGCCACGGGCATGAACCCCCTCAACGAATTTGCACAGCAGGTCCTCGGCCGCGAGGCTGATGCCGAGAACCTCCTCGACTTTGGCCGCGGCCACTCTATCCTCGGCGAAGAGCAGAGCTTTAACGATATCCTTCAGGCAGAGGGGAGGAGACGAGATGGGGAAGATGATCCGTCCAGACCGTCGCACCCTTCGCATCCGCAAGCACACCATCACCATGCGGAGGAAGATCAGCTCGAGGGGGGCAATTTTGAGCCTGAGAATTCGCTTGATCAGCAGTTGACGTCTGAAGAGCTGGCCAGAGGCGGGGCACGGCAGATGAGGCCAAAGAGAAGAAGACTGGATGAGGCCGGGGAGGACGGGCAGCCGCTTGACCCGCAGACATACGCAAAGAACAAGAAGGACAATCACGTGCGTCTCTCTATTACTTTTTGTGGTTCTTGCTGACGTGACTCGTAGCGTGAAGTCGAGTCTCGCCGGCGGCAAAATATAACAGACGGCATCAATGAGCTATCTCAACTTTTACCACCCGGCGCCCCGAAAGAAGGCAAGGGCCAAACCCTCAAACGCGCAGTGTCATATATCCAGGATATGCAGGCGAGAATGGGCATCCCCCCCGGATCCCATGTGCCTGCTTCGTCATCAGGGGATGCACCCACGCTCAATGAAGCGCAGAATGCAATGGACGGGCAGGATGGGTTGGGAGGTATTGGTGGAGGACATCTGGGAGGTGAAGAACAGATCTCGGGGCAGCTGAGGGTAAGCCTCTCCTTTGAACGTCTTTCAAATGCTAACGTATCCGACAGCTCGAAATATCCCATTTGGAGACTCGCTTGGCCGAAGAGCAGCACCGCGCTTCCGAGGCGGAACTAAGTGTGCGCGCGGCCGAAGACCAAGTAGCAGCGACAACGTTTGAGTTGCATAGGGCGGCCGATGAGAGGGACCATTTGAAAGCAGAGCTGGAACGAGTGAAGAAGGAGCTTGCAGATCGGGAATGATATAGGAAGAGACCGCTAGAGGCGAACCTAAAAGGGAATTGTATACTTATCAGGGGTGTACTAATGTAACATTTTACTTTTTGGCATCAAGTCATTTGGCTTTCCAATTCATATTCAAAAGAATAGCGCGCTTATGCTTATGCGAATTTCTAGGGACAAGACGCCCAGTGGAATCACCTCTATGATCGACTATATTGTACACACGCTGACAACGCAGATCTAAAGACCTTTCCTCCAATGCTTCTCTGCGTACTTTCCAAAGACGTCCTGAATAGTCAAGCCTTCGGCATAAGGCTTCATATGGGATGGTTGAAGGTTGATAGTAGGGTCAAGGGTATTCACTGCTGTCACTGCATCTTTTTGTCAGCTGTCGACTAACAAGGGCAAAAAGAGTGCAACGCACAGAAGTCATCGAGGGCAAAGTCCATACAGACAACGTCCATCTCCTGGTCGTCCGGCATATCTTCAGGGAATGGAGAGGAGACAAAGTCGGGTTGAGCCTCGTAGAAAGGTACTGAAGCACCATCAGTAACAAGGTCTGACACGAATAGTGGCCGGCTTACCGGGTATATGCTCGATATCGTCTCCTTTCCCTGGACACTTGTCTTTTGTCACAAAGCCAAGCGTCCTAGGCTTGACCTGGGATACCCCTTCCAAACCCAAAACAGCCTGGTCTCCTCGCCCCACGGTTCTCAACCTCGTCTCCTCCTGCTGCAGCTCATAATCCAAAGATTGCTCCCTCATCCAATCTTCATAGATCCTCTGAACACGCGCTTCTTCTTCTACCGGTGTGGAAGGAGTCAACGATGGAACCAATTTGGAAGCGCCATTGCGGTTCATCTGGTCTGTGATGTTTCGAGCCAGGCCTGCTGGAAGGCGGGTGTATAGGAACGTTGTGCCACTGGGGACGAGTAAGCAAACACGATCCGTGGGATGCACAGATCACTCACAATGGAGAAACTGTGAGTTCGTCATTCCTGTCAAATCTGCCTTGGAACTATGCGAGGTCAGCATTGCACGTCTGAGCAAGATAGTGGGCAACATACGAGGTCAAATCGCAAGCTCCCGGCATTCCCAACAACGAGTCTCTCGCCTCCAACGTCACCCTTTTGCCCTCTACCCCGCTCTTTATCCTCCAGAATATCTGGAATGACCTTGTCTGAAAACAACGTCGCTACCGAACGGGGATGACCCCAGGGGTGTCGAGTCAAAAAGTAGTCGTGCGGCGCCAGACCATACAATTTGGTGATTTTGAGTGAGGAAGAGAGGCGCGCAAGAGCCACTTGGATACGACGGCCAATGTCCTAATGCCCATGATCAGCGAGTTGCTCCCGAATGATAAATACATGGGCATACAAGGTTGAACGTGTCATCCGTGGTGTTGGTGTGCCACTTGTACCTGCAAATACAGCATCAGCTCAGGCTAATCGTATGAAGTAGATTGGAAACGCGCGAGACGGGGTTAGCATCGAGATATCGCCTAGCAACGTCCAAAGGCTTTCCATCATCATTGTACGAGGGCAAAGATGATCTGCCGGAAGGGGTGAGTATTTTCCCTCGTCAACTGCGAGATGGGACATACGAAGTGAACGCTACGGACTCCAAATATCGCCCGGGTACCACGCCGATAGCCCTATCGTCATATTGGACACAGTCCCTGACATGCGTATGACCACCTGTCCATGATATCAGCTAGTGTCATCGAGGTTGAAAGAAAAGTTATCGGCTCACCGAAGAAGTACACGGGGACCTTGGGGTGCTTCTTGCGGATGGCATCAAACACGGTCATAAACTCCCCCGTTTCTCCACGGACCGGCATATGACCTGCCACAACACTGGTATAGTACATCAGTATGAACATGACAAGAACATAGAAAGTAAACGCACAAGTAGTCGGGAGCTTCTGTGATGACATCCTGGAACCACTCCTCCTCGACAACCTTTGAAGGTTTCTGGACAGTGATGCCCCTATGAAGGATTGTCAGTCAGTCCCGGGGCGCAGATGGTCCCGCGCTTACTTGTCGTGCGCTTTGACTGTTGGTCACAGCATTAGCAGAGACTCTCTCTTGAGCAGCTCGTCACCTACAGTCAAATATCACACCGAAAGCTGTCACTTTGCGCCCCCTAATTGAGCGATCAGTCTGGTTGACTGTATCAGGTAGCAGAAACTCGTACAGTTTGGTAGTGAATTTGAGATGCGTTTTGCCGAGAGGTACACTCTCAAAAGCATCCCCTTTCGGGATGGTGATATTGACGTTCGAGGTCACGTAACGGCCATGCCTATACATGGAGTATCAGCACCTCGCGCGACTAGTGTAGTTCACAGATTTCCAGAGGTCAGACGAGAAACTCACCATCTCTCCTGATTTTCCCATTCCTCGTACGCGTCTTTGTACTTGTACAGCTCATGATTTCCACATGTGATGATATCATACGAAAGGAGAGAGAAGATGTCCTCGGCGGAGGAGGCAGAAGTCGCAGAAGAAGACACGAGGCCCGAGCCGTCGTGGTGATCACCAGCGTCACTGGAAGTACTGGTCAGTAGAGCTCCCCCCTGACCTAAGATTCCACCTACACGAGTAAGAGATCGACCTCCTTCTCCTCCGCTATTCTCCGCATATGACTGACAAACGAGGCAAAGGTTCCATAGTCGCCAGAGTAATTCTACGCATTGTCAGTCGATCGCTTCGTTTTGGTAACTAGGACTGCTTACGGGCTCTGGCCATGTCGCCTATCGCTCTTTGTCAGCAAGCAATAGTAGAACGTCAAAGGCAAGACCATCGATCAAAGGCATGCCCACTGAACACGTACATGCTGGTGCCCCAGTAGCCAACCTGTGAACTTTCATCAGCTCACTCTGACCATACGATTCGATATAAGCGCACCATGAGAGTCTGATATGCTAAGAAAGTTGGCATCCTTCCACTCGAGCTGTCTTGTTGGTACCGGCAGATCCTGAGGGGCGGACTGATAAGCGGTGGCGGTGAAGGCGAAGAGGGTGACGCCTAGTGGAAGAGAGATGCGGGACCTCATCCCTGTCTTCAGTAGCAATCCTAGATGAGAAGGAGGCGAACAATAAGGAAGTCGAGAGAATAGTCAAGAAGATATGAAAGAGGACTTGTTGGTTGTTGCCAGATCCGGATGAACGCGACAGGCGGTCATCGCCGTCCACCGGGTGCCCGAGCTCTCTTGTGTACCCTGGGTTCCAGCCATGGATTCCTGCTCATAGACAAGGGGGTATGTGGTCCTCAGAGACAATATATAGCAACTCATCAATAGCGAACTTTATCTCGAACGGAACATGAACAGTTGACAAGCAAGCATGCCATCCGACATTATGCCGCTCTTGGGGATTAAAATCAACGTGAGTTCAATGCAAAGGGGTAATCGAATGAGTCTGTTGAGATGGGAGCGGCTGTCGGTTCTTAGGTGCAGGAGTATATGACGGGACCCAGCAAGTAGTACCCAGGGAGACATGGACCAGTGACAAGTGCGCAGTGCCAATTCAAGTTGAACGATCATGGAAAAAAAGCATGTCAAAACGACTGACCGACTGACTGGCACACTCTCTTCAGGGAGCTAGAAACAACGTATATCCCCCTCCAGCTACCAAAGTCCCCTTGGAGATTGGAGTAAGCCATCTAAACGCACTCCGTACGATCACAGCTCGCAGAACCCCAATTCACCGGTTACACGGAAGGCGGCCCTCCCCGCTGGTCGCAGCCGGCAGCCCGAGAATCACTCTTCTCTTGCACATCGATCCACCAAGCCACAACTATGTCTCTCGTCGACCGCCTCGCCTCCCAGGACACCCTCCAGCTCCTCTCCACCGCCACCTCCATCTCCCTCATAGGCGCACTCAGCCAGAGCGGTACAAGCACCTACAACTTTCCTCTCTTTGTACGTCTAAAGCCCCACCAGCGACTCTCGGCGGTCCGTTGAGTGACTGGGACGTATGGAGCACGAATACAACTGCGGCCGAGTACTGCAAAGATGCTGATGGCTATCAGTTATTCGGCATCATCGCGCACGAACAGAAGAGCTCAAACACCGCCTTCCGTCAAGTAAGCTCCTTTCCCATATCATACATCTTTCATGTTCACATCTAAACCCACGTTACCATCCCAGTTCCTCATCCTCCTCCCAATCACCGGATTTCTCGATCTATTCACCCTTCTCGTCAGATCGCAATCGTCCATCCTCACCTGGCTTGCCATCGTTCTGGTAACGCTCCTCAAAGTCCCCCTGTGGTTCAGCGGCGGGGCCGCCCTGAGGGAGAGAGGCGGAGAGCTCGGTGGGTTTGGAGGTGTCGGTCTCCCTGGGGGCGGGGCCAATAATAGTGCTGGGCAGGGAAGTGAGTACTGCACATGACACATGATCCCTTCCTTCCACTGACACGAGCCAGATTGGAACCTTCCCATGCCCGGCAGTTTCGCCGGAGCGATGCCCAGAGTGTTCTCGGACAATGGGAACGGCAGTGGTACTACCCAGCCTGCCTCCAACAACAATGGCGCAGGTCAAGCTCAGACCCAGCCGTCGGGGCAGTTCCCTACGAGCGGTGGATTCAGGCTGGGCGGGGAAGACGATGAGGGTCAGGGTCATGCTGCTGGCCAGCCCGGTAGGAATGGATATCAGACCATCGGCTAGACTCTCCATCTCAGACCGTTGTGTAAGAAATACGATCCAGGTTGAGTACAAATATTTAAATGTTTTTAAAATGCATGAGACGGACGTTCGCTACGTAAAAGGAACACCAGCTTTGACAGCTAGAAAATCGTATAAAAGACGAGACCGTAAGGGTAACGCCAAAAATGATAAAGGACAAAGTTCGACCTCGTGACTGCAAAAGCAAACAGGAAAATGATCCTACTTTGAGCAGCAACAAAAGGCCTATATATACTCGAGAAAGAAGAAGTAAAAGTTGAAACGGAAGAGTCATTGGCGCCCTCTCGCGCTCAAACCAAACCCCGTCATCTCCCACTCGAACCAGTCACCTCATAACAGTTGTAGTTGAGGGACCAGGAGTAAAAGAGATGAAACGTTTAACTGGGGGGTGGGTGGAGGCATACGAGGAACCCGTGCGGGCCATTGGGGCAGACTGGAGTTTGGTCTGTGGCGAGATGTGGAAAATGAGGGAAGAGGGTGAAGTTGGAAATTTACAATGTGGGCGAGATCATCCCAACCAGATACCCGCGTTGCCAAAGGTGTAAGGGCACGAGTGAAGATGGTGGATGAGGGGGTGGTAAATATGCGAAAGAGGTGACAACCAGTCAAAGAGACCACTCGTGTTTGGGGGGGGGGGGGGGGGAAGAAGGGGCTGAATCAAGGTAACAGGGCGCGTGATAAAGACATGGAAAGGAGATGGGAGCGGTGAAAGGAAGAATGATAGGGGAGCGGTCGAGAGAAGACAAGGAAAGGTATCGGGTCGCTTGATTGGGAAGAGAGTCTCCTGCTAGAGTTGAATCTGTCGTAGTAATTGTCTAGACTCTCGGCGCGCCGAACCATGAATCCTCCTCCCCCTCCTCTCGCCTTTCCTTGGACGATGAGAACTGACCCTTCTTTGTTGTTTAAAGAAGTGTCGCCCATGTATCCGCTCACCAACCACCAGTGTCCCTCGCCCTAGTTTGGCTTCGAAGTTGCCTCTGACTATCTTGCGCCTGTGCTACACCACCGTCGTTAGGCACTACTCGTCTCTTGCCACCAGAAAGAATATGCTGACCCATGTGATCATCCCCGGCCGTGCCAGATCCGGACCCGCTGCTCTTGGGCTGCACAGACCAGTCAAAGACATAGTCGTACTGGAAGCCTTCACGGACAAAGAGGTCACGGAAGAGCTTGCGGAGGTAAGAGTAGTCGGGCTTGTCATCGAATCGAAGCGAGCGGCAGTAGTTGAGGTAGATGGCAAACTCGTTGGGGTAACCTCGGCAGAGGACCTCGGTGGGGGTGGTCATCTCTGTAAAAGTGATTAGCAATGTAGCGGGATTGGACGTGGGCGACGTACTCTTCTCCATGATTCGGTCATACTTTTGCTTCTTGGTAGCAGCCTTGAGACCCTGCCAAGGAAGTTGGCCACGGAGAAAGTACTATGATATTGTCAGCGCCAGAAACTCGTGAGCCAAACAACTCACCATCAAGACGTAACCCAAAGACTCGAGATCGTCCCTTCGACTCTGCTCGACACCCAAATGCGTGTTGATAGAGGTGTATCGGGCGGTACCCGTCAAGTTCTTGTTCTCCCTGTAGGGGATATGCAAGTGGGTTTTGGGGTCCCTGTACTTTTTGGCCAACCCAAAGTCGATAACATTTACTTGATTGCCTCGCTTGCCGACGCCCATCAAGAAATTGTCGGGCTTGATATCACGGTGGATAAAGTTTCGAGAGTGAATGTACTCGACACGCGAGATGAGCTGGTCGGCGAGGAGGAGGGCGGTTTTGAGGGAAAACTTTCGGTTGCAAAAGTTGAAGAGATCTTCAAGGGACGGGCCAAGGAGATCGAGGACCATGGCATTGTAATCGCACTCGGTACCGTACCATCTGACAAAGGGGATACCGACACCACCGGCGAGGGTCTTGTAGACCTTGGACTCGTACTCGAGCTGGGGGTGCTTGGCCTTGACAGACTCGAGCTTGATGGCAACCTCTTCGCCAGAGACAATGTTGACACCGAGGTAGATATCACCTAAACGGGGTAAGATTCACTCGTGTGTAGAGGGCAGGGCTTACCGAAAGAACCGCTTCCAATCTTTTTCCCGATCCTGTACTTTCCGCCTACGCGAAGATCCATGGAAGTCATTCTGTAGAATGGCGCACGGTGTTTTGTGATCAAATCAGGTGGGGATGGATATAGAAATGGTTTTTGGCGAGGATGCAGCACAGTTGATGCCAGCGTTTGGGGTGGTGTTTTGATGTTTGGGTGCGAGTCGTCGGTGGTACACGAGGTAGCGGATGGTTCGAGGAGAATGAAGCGAAACGATTCGAGATGATCAATGAACCGAGCGATTTGTTTGACAAGACCCCAGAATATAGGGAGCGAGATGGTTTCGGGGAGAGTGTTGGGAGGGGCGAATTGGGACACGGCGAGAGTGTTTAAAGGGACCAAGGGCCGAGCCAAGAGTGTTGGGGATGGAGCGGAGTGAGGCGACGATGTGAAAGGATGTCGTGTCCAGTGGGGACAAGTCGAGATGGTGATTGTGAAAGGGAGGGATGGCGGCAAGTGGTAGAGTGGAGAGAGAAAAGAGGAAAAGTTTTCGTCAGCGATGATTCTTATACGCGCGCAGTACTGGCAAGACAACACGACACGTTCCACGCATGCACCCTTCCTCGACAACGACATGCACCATCAGGACCCTCTCTGGGCAGACGAGATGATCTCGCACGGGTCTTGAAAGAACAATTCGCGGCGGATGGATGCAGTGAAACACGCTGATGGTCCCTTGAAGGTTGTCTCGCTCTCAACCCGCCGTGGTCCCCAACGCATTTTCGTCTTTGTCTTGTGGGGTGCGGGTTCATGGAAGATGGCAGCAAGACTCACGTGGAGGTGTTTGTTGTTGGTGGCTGCGAGGGTTGCTAGAGGTAGTCGGTGGGATTGAAGCGCGAAAGGCGTGTGGCTGTGCGATGGGAAATGGGAGGGCGCCTTTTTGGTCCAACGGGATGTGAAAGGAGCGGGCGAGAAGGGAGCAAGTGGAGGTCGCAGTCAGCGCGGTCTTGCGGTTCCTTTGTGGCAGCGGGGACTTGCCTGGGTGGGATGGGATGCATGGCGGGATGGCTGCACTATACTACTAGCAGCTGTATGCGGGCGGATTACATAACACCGCATATCCCCGGGCGTGGCACACACGCGTCAGTCTTCCGTGCGTGAGCCGTGTCTACTCACAGCATACACCATGGTAAGCAGCATCCCCGTACTAGAGCCCGCTGACCCCCGCAGGCATTCCGTCTCGTCCCCGCCACCGCCCAGTCCTCCCAGGACCCCCACGTCGTCTCTACCCAGGTAAGCTATAGACACGCCATCCACAACGTACTCACCGGTGTAGCCAACGGCCCACGCCATCTCGGGCACCCACGATACTTTCCGGTACGGCCTCAGATCCGCTGCTCAAAGCGTAGCCCCCGACAACATCAGCCCTCTGCAGGCTCGATTGGAAAAGGCAAGTCCGGTGTCATGTCCCAGACGGATGGATCTGACAATGAGCTATAGTGGAAGCAGACCCAGCTTGAGTTGCAGCAAAACATGCAACGAACCACTTTTGGTCTGGCTGTGCCTATGAAGCAAGCCATGGAGATGAAGCTCGTCTCCGAGGCAAGTCTTATAGTACACTTCTCGTCCTTGTTCTAACTTGTCGACAGAACCTCCACAACCCCCTCCTCGACCAAGCTACCCCTTCCGGTCTTCCCCTCGGCGGCGGCCACAACATTGCCCTCGAGATTCTCGAAGGAAGAGATGAGAGCATCGATGCCGACGAGTTTATGGGAGGCGGCATCAACTTTGGAGAGGTCTTGGATGTCAACGGGGCTATGGAGAGGAAGAGAGGGATATGATCCACGCCGAGATGGCATACGGATGATTAGAAGAATGTATTGTATATTTATGGCTGCCCACAAGCAGTGGTGATGCAAACTGCATGGAACTCATGCCGGCGGCCGCCGCAGATGGGTGTACTGTGTATGAATATGCATAATGTGTGTGCAATGTTACAGAAAGACAGCTATATGGAACAGATGATAGACCCGAAAAGAAAGAAATATGTAGCCTCGTCAACCCACACGCCCATTACCATCCATCTCTGTCCCCGATAATCACGTTGGCACTGTATTTACGCCTCTGTGTAGCCCCTTGTATGGGAACCGTTCACGAATAGCGACTTGTTCAAGCCATAGCAGACATCAATTTCTCCGCCCTCTCCTTCTTCGCCTCCCTCTCCTCCTCAGTCTTCTTTTGCTTTTCAGCCTTGGCAGGGTCGACTTCTTCCACCTTGGGCTCCTCATCAGCCTTCTTCTCCTCGTCTTTCTTTGACTCGTTGGCGTCGCCATCGACAGCGATGGGTTCCGTGGTGGATTCAGACATCTCGACGTCGCCATCAGCGGTAGGAGCACCCTCGGTGGTGGTAGGGGCAGGAGGAGTGATGATCTTTTGAGCGGTATCGATCAAGTTCTGATTTATGGCAATCAGCAATTCCCCTCTTATCAGGAGAACTCTACTCACGGTTCGAGACAAGCCCTGGATGGTCTTTAGATACTCCAGCACAGTAGGCAGATAACTCTCTGGCACCTGACGACTGATCAGCACCATGATGATTGAATGATGAGCCAAAAAAACATACCTCGGAAAGGTTGAAGACATTTCGGATCAACCAATTTTGTTTGGCTTTGCTAAACTTCCATTGGGTAGAGGGCGTCTCGGCCGGGGGAGAAGAGGCAGAGGTTTGAGAGAGGGTAAAGAGATGGGCATAGAAGATGTCTACTAGAGAGTCAGTGTAGAACACACAAAGTATACGCTGACGTACTCTTCTTTCCCTGGTCACTCAACCTCTCGTCCAAAAAGATCTTTTCGCCAGCATTCTTCTCCTTTCCATCACCGCCCTCTGCCTCGGCAGCAGCCTCAGCCTTTTCAGCGTCAGACTTTTCTCCAGCCTTGAGCGACTTGATCTTTGACCTCTTTGGCTTCTTGGGCTCCGCTGGAAGGGCAGTTTCAGAGGTCGAGGGCTCGGTGGGCTCGGCAGGGGTCTCCTCGGCCTCGCGCTTACGCTTCTTCTCCGCCTTCTTCTCCTTCTTGTCCTTCTTGTCCGTTGTGGGCGTCTCGGAAGCTTCAGTCGCCTCGACAGTAGGTGCCTCCTCGACCACTTTGCCAGCAACCTCTTCCACACCAGTCACGACTTGAGCAGCAGCCTTCTTCTCTGCCTTCTTGTCCTTCTTGCTCTTCTTTGCCTCCTTCTTTGGCTCTTCGTCGGCTTGCTTTGTAGCCACAGCAGACTCGGCGGGCTCGGAAGACTCGGCAGAAGCCACCTCTGTAGCTGGAGCAGGCTGTTCCTGCTTCTTCTTGTCCTTCTTTTCCTTCTTCTTCTTCTTGCTCACCTCCTCGCTCTTCGCCTCGTCCGCTTTCACTTCCACTTCGGCAGGAACGACCACGTCAGGAGCAGCGACAGGCGAAGAAGCCTTCAAAGCCGTCTCTACACCGCCCTTTGATTTCCTCGCTCTAGGTTTTCTCGGCTTCCTCTCGCCCTCCCCTGGTGTGTTTACAGGCGTCTCTGGCTTTGGGGCCTCAACGACCACGGGGGAAGCAGCCACAGGCGTGCCAGGGGCAGAAGGGGCAACAGAGGCAGTCGATGGACGAGCTCGTTTACGCTGCTTTTTGGGCTTTTGCGGGGTGTTGGTGGTGTCGGCGGGTGGGGCGGGGGAGGAGGCAGCTTCGGCTGCCATTTTGATGCGAGTTTTTGTAGTGTGTTGAAGAGATGCACCACAGAGATGCGAGATGCACATTGACTTTTCGAAAATATTTGCATTAGCCCAAGTTTGTAATGCATTCAGCTTTCAAACTCTAATGGGATTTGCCCTCGCGTCGCGGTCGTGCGTATTTTGTCGTCTTATTCATCTCTTTCTTTCGCAAACCATCCCGCTGCCTCCCATACATCTCCTCGCATCGGGGCCTTATTCGACTACAATCCAAGGACAGCCCATCGCCCTTCTCGACATCGCATCGACCTCGCCCTAGAGACGCGCACGCCCCGAGAACAAAGCCTCAAGCCATCCCCGCCACCATTCGCCCCCTATTCTCTACAAACAAATAAAAGCATCTAGACCATGGGTCTATCGCTCTCCCGCGTGTACTCTTCGCTCTCTTCCCTCGCTTTTTGGGGAAAGGACAAGGAAGTCAGGATATTGATGGTGGGGCTGGATTCGGCAGGCAAGACGACGATCCTGTATCGGTTGCAAGTGAGTGGGGGTTGATACGCATAAAGAGAACACATACTGACTTGAGTAATCCCAGATTGGAGAGGTCGTTTCCACCATCCCAAGTATGTGTCAAAAGGCACTGCCCCTCGAGCGGTCCCATGCCCCGAGCGCAACTGACGCACAATCTACAGCTATCGGATTCAATGTTGAAACGGTTTCCTATAAGAATATCAATTTCCAAGTATGGGACCTTGGAGGGCAATCCAGCATCAGACCGTACTGGAGATGCTACTATGCCAACACCCAGGTTCGTCTTCGATCAATCTCGCTATACTTTGACTGACTCGCCTGTGCAGGCAATCATCTACGTGATCGACTCGTCCGACGCCTCTCGTCTCCCCACCTCCCGCTCCGAACTCTTGACCATGCTTTCGGAAGATGAGCTCAAATCCGTGCCCGTGCTCGTCTTTGCCAACAAACAGGATGTAGAAGGGGCGTTGAGTCCAGGAGACATTAGTGACAAGTTGGGATTGGCGGGGCAGGAGAAGGGTCGGGAATGGAGTGTCAGGGGAAGTTGTGCGGTCAAGGGTGATGGGTTGGAGGAGGGGTTGGATTGGTCAGTGTTATCACTCGTTCACAGGTTTTACTTGCTCATCTTGTTCTAGGCTCGTCAACACAATACAGAAATAAGAACGCTACTCTTTGTACATACTCAACGTCATTTCTCTCGCCGTTTTCACTTTCCATATCGGTCTAAACAACATGTACCAAGTAGGACAAACGGTTGTGGCGACCTCTCCTGATAACCCCGTGATACATTACTGACCCATTAGCCATTCGAATAATATGTGCATGTGATCGTAAGTGACATTCTTGTCCTAAACTCGTTTCTAATACCCCATCCCGTTCATAGGTCCCTGTTGTCCTCCGTTCCCTTGTTGCCAACTCGTTTGGCCTGAACTTTGATACAGGGTTTGTGCACCCCACTGACCCATCCCCTGTGCCTCCTGCATCTGTGGCTGAGACACACCGTTCATCCCCGGCGGCATGTTCTGCTCAGGGCCGGCACCCCCCGGAACTTGTCCCGCTTCCATACCCGCTTGTATCTGACTGTACATTGCCAACCACCCCATCAACTCTGCTCCTCCCGGCTCTCGTCCCATACTGTTTGTCCACGCTTGACCAAGGGCCACCCAAGCAGTAGGATCAGAGGGGTCGAAAGAGTGGAGTGGAAAGTCTTCGAGGGTCAGTCGAGTCGATTCAGGAGTGGGTTGCGCAGCTGGTGTCTGGAACGGAGGTTGGGGATTGATGCTGGGTGGGGGAGGTGGAAGGGAGCTTGTATGCGAGGGAGGAGTCATTCTCACAGCAATCCCAGACACATTCCCCGTAGGCACAAACGGCTCATCTCTTCCTCTCCCGGACGGTCCGTCATCTGCGAACCGTGCCCGACGCTCCCCGTTTCCAAACCGCTGTCTCTTCTCGGGCGACCTCGACCTCGCTCTAGCCCCGCTGTCATTATGAGAGTGGGACCGAGACATGGGCGCAGCCATCATACGGCCATCATCGGAAGGCCGGCGGTAGTCGTCTCTACTCCCATCACCTCGACCCAGCCTGCCAATATCTCTCTGCTCGTCCCACCTATTTTCTCTCCCTGCGCCCGATCCGGATGGCGAGAAAGCAGAGCGAGGCATCTTGGGCTTCTGAGGCGACGAACGATGCTTGTGACCTTCCTCACTGCCATTCCCATGCACCTGATCATCTGTAGACGGCTGTGAAATAGGCAAGCCGGAAGTGATCCCTGCCAGGGCCGCTAATTGTTTAGGATCTATACCCAGAGGTGGCGGCCGAAGGGAGTTGCTGGAGGAAGGGACATCTGTAGCGGGTGTGGATTTGGTTGACTGGGGCATTGCAGTCCTGTGAACTGTGTGAGCCTTTCCTGGGGCACACATAGAGTCGAAACGTACGTTGAATCAGCTGGCGCTATGCCAAGCATCTTTGCAATCTCGGGGGGCAACTCTCCAGGTTTCGACCGTTCCTCTTCTCTCCTATCTCCATCCTGCTCCGACGTTCCATTTCCCTGCTCTTTGATCTCATCGAATTCGTTGGAGATGTCGTATCCCGAAGTCCGCCGACTAGGCTTGGGAGCTCGTGAAGAAGACGAGGCTGATCGGCGATGGGGCGGTTGTGCAAATTTGGCTTTGAGCCAGGAGGGAGGGGAGGATGGCGGAGTTGTCGAACGTTTGTGGTATGAACGAGAGGCTAGAAGACAGTGTCTCAGCGTATGTTACATGTGATGAACGACCCTGGGAAGTAGTAAAGGTAAATGATACGAGAACCGCAGTCAAAGCACAGTGGGGGGCACTCTTCCTCGGCCAAACCGCTGCAGCCATGCTCATATCGAACATTACTGTCCAGCCCTGGCGCCTTTGGGACTCTCGACCAAAGGTCTGTGACGCGTTCAATCTGTGCTGTCAAGTGACAGCCTGCTGAAGCCTTTCTCGGCGACCGCCCACAAAGAGGGAAGACTGATACGGTCTGGGTCTACGGGGGCAATCTCTCATACGCTGCCTTTTGTGCTTTTGCATCATCTTCTGGCGGCCGGAAAGTGGGAAATGCATGCCAAATGATGGGGTTGATGACAGCGCACATTGTGCGTGAAAGTGGGGTGGGGTGTCGATGAAGGAGGGGATTATACGTATAGGTACAATGTAGTGATCGATGTTGACAAGCCCTACAGTTTGCCTATACGTCCAGCTCGGACTGAACCGAGTGCCATCTTGACAGGCCTGTCCGACTGTTCTCAAACATGACACCACACGTAGTAATCCCGAGACACGAGCGCTTTGAAGTCCACAATACCAGATTACGAGCTCAAGAATACCCGATCGAGAAAAAGGCTGAGAGAGGAAACCCGGATTTACCTGATGTCGTCGACTCTTTGTCTCTGGAGCCTCTGCTCCCGCTTCCATTCTCCTCGTGCTTTGACGTTGAGGTTGAAGTGTCAAGTCGGATGCGTAGATCGTCCAGGCATGATTGATTGAACGTCCCGTGCTTTTGCCATATATCGATGATCTTGCGGGTTTTTTCCTGGTATCAAACGTCAGTAACATGGACATGTCCGGTTCGAGAAAAATCCCACCTTTCCTTCCGTCCAGACGCCTCCTTTGCCGTCAGCCGTCATCCCCTTGACCCAGCTTTCAGCCACCCCCTCCATCTTGTGCAACATTTTCGCCCTGGCTCTTTCCAATCCCTCCGCCCCCTCTTTTGGTCTGCCTTTGCAAGCCCGGACGATGGCATCAAACACATAGAGACTTGATACCCGAGCTTGAGAACCGGGTGGAAGGGACGAGTTGAGCTTGTAAAAGGTCGTAATGAGCTGTTGGGCGTCCGGCGCGAGAGACTGGGCCAAGTCGGCGAGTTTGGTGACTTTGGATGCCGAGAGATGGGGGGCTTTGACAGTCGTTGAGAGCAGCGAGGTGAACTCTGCCAGGTCTGCCATGGCGATGGCGCTGAGGAGAACAACAAGGGAGAGATAGAAAAAAGATGGTGATAATAGAGGGCGGGGATTTGCGGTGTTATGTAATGTGGCTGCTTATGACGTACAGCATTGCATTCCCGTACATTGGATCTATTCTTCTCTTTCTTTCATCATCTTCTGTCTCAACCACCATGACTGTGGGTAGCCCCGCAGCCACCCATACACTGCTGACCACCGCCCACAGCTCTACTACTCCAGTCAGTCCGCTCACATCTACTCGCCCCTCCAACGCGCTGCCTCGGTGTACACCCGCTGACCCGTCAACAGTATGCTTTGCTTTGCTCATGGCCGAGCTCGGCCTCTTCTGCACCATCGTGTGCCCCATGCCCTTCGCGCTCCGCAAAAAGTAAGTCGCAAGTTGCCTCGAGGCAAAGGCGCTGCAGCGCTGACCACCGTATAGGATGTTCCACTTTTTGAGCGAGAACCCTATTGTAAGTCGCGTGGCAGGCGGTGTAGATGAGTTGTAACTGACATAATCGCAGGTGGCCAAGGTCCAATATGGTGTATGTGGCTAATCTCAATATCGTTCTAGACGTATCGCTGACTAGCAGTTTCCTTTCCCTCTCAGCTCAAGATAACGTTTATGTGTGTATAATCTCTATTCACGTTTTGCTACCTCAAGCTGACTGTCGCCCAGATTTGTCGCTGTGTTGTTCGTTGATGCGCTCCAGAGGATGGTCAGGATCGCCCAGGAAGGTGAGTCGCCCGTCATCTGCACAAGGGGAGACTTACTGATGTGCTGCAGGCGCCACTGCCAAGATGAAGTCTGACATTTCTGATGTTCGCGCCGAGACCAACTAGTCAGCACTCTCCGTCTTACAACAGAGCCAGGATTGACACTTGTACAGCGCCGCCCGACGATTCTACGCCCAGCGAAACCTTTACCTCACTGGCGCCACCCTCTTCCTCTCCCTCCTCCTCGCCCGTGTATTCTACATCATCCTCGACTTTATCACTGTCCAAGAGTCCTACACCGCCCTCCAGGCCAAGACTGCCAAGGGCTCTGGTGCCTCCGGGGAAGAGACTGAGCAGCTGAGATTGAGGGTGCAAGAGTTGGAGGCCAAGGAGAGGGATTTTGAGACCTTGAAGAAGCAGGCGAACCAGCAGAACACCGAGTATGGCAGGTTAGCTGATGAGCACAACAAGGCTGTAAGTTGGTCGTTTTGGTAATCAAACTTTGTGGCTGACATCTTCAAGACTGGTGCCGTGTCCAACAAGAGAGTTGATTAGAATCTTGCTTGCATCGATTGTCTGAAGAGACAATCCAAAGAAAAGAGTGAAGAGAGAAAAGACTGATCATGAAGTATAACGGGTGTAATGTAGTATGCAGGACGTAATACACGACTGTAGCACGGATTGCACTTCGCATAGGAACCCAGGCATCTTCCATATCGCACGCACAGCCGTGGGATCCTGGTCAGTGAAACTTCTAGAGCTTTGGCAGTCTTTAGGGGCGTCGGCTTATACCTCCATCATCGTCGTTGGGAACATGATTGTCCCACAGAGGTGTAGACGTCTCGAACTGTCGAGTAGGTGCTGTTCTCCTCAAAGCTGGGCAACACAGTTTGCACGATGCTCCGCCCCTAAATTGTTTCCGTCCTTCGTGCCAGACGGGCCGTCGCCATGTTCGTTGCCCGTGCGTCAAACGGATCAGAGTGATGGATGATGAGAAGGAAGGAGGGTTGCATGTTGACTGATGAAGAAGGCACTTCACAGCGGTCATTCTCGAGCCGCTTCAGTCTCTCGCCAAGAGTCTTGTTCAAGAGTCAGAGTGAGTGAGAGTGCAACAAGGCAGGTGTAAATGTCACAAGCTTCGCAGCAAGGCGAGAGACATGCGCATGGTCTTATCTTAGGTCTTAAGCTCTGGGGAGTAGGGACGCGGCATCAAGCCAAAGTGTACTAGTTATTGAGGTTTATATCTTGCTCGTTGCTCCAGCTTGCTCCACACATGAAGCACACCTTTTGTACCCTTTGGACTGTTAATTTCTCCCCGGGCCTGATAGCACCAGCTAGCGCGAATAGCAACTAGGCCCCCAACACCCTCGTCATCACGAAACATTGACAGCTTGGTTTCGTGATTTCGTCTCCTCATCAGCACCGCAGAGGCGTGCCTCCTGCATCACCTGCATCCAGAGCAAAGAAGGAGATTCTCATTCCGTATTCCAAAGCGCTCTGATCTTCCAAGGATCCCAGGCACAAGACTTGCTCGCACCATTGTCTCTATCGTCTATCGTCAACCCCATATCCATAACACAAGAGATCGAGGCAAGGTGGATCAGATATCAGGAGGCCCGGGAGGAACCAGGAGCAGGATCAAAGGGTAGTAACGGCGGCCACGGCGGTAGATGCCGCTGACGGGTGACAGCATCGTTAGCTAACCTCGGCCTCGAACGGAAGTTCGGAGTTGATGATGTTGTAAATGACCCGATTCCGGAATAGACACTACTGTACTCAAGACGATAACACATTTGAAGGCGAGCAGACCAGCTCTGACCACAAGAGTAGTGCTCTGCAATTCAGAGCCATCGCTATGCAACCAGCAGCAAACAAGCACCCGCCCCCAAAAGCTCGCAAAGGACCCCACGTTATCAGGGTGTCAACAAATGGACAATCAGGTACACGGCAGGCACGATCAGGGTTGAAGTTTGTTTTCTTTTTCGCCCGCGATCTCTGCTGCTTGTTCGCTCCAAACGGCTGCGGCGTCTATGATCTCTGAGCCGGGAATCGTAAGCATTACGTGGGGTGCCGGTGCCCAACTTGATTTGTTTAACAATGAAGATTCTTCGCGTTCACCCACTCTCTTCCATCTCAAGTCGAGGTGCGTTCCCTCTGTCTCGCGCCCCCACAAGCTAATACTCCGTCAAGCTTTACCCTTTCTCCTATTTCGGAAAAAGGCGCATTATTGCTGGCACTACCCCCACCCACCGTCCAGAGCCTATTCTCTATCGAGCGACAAACTTTCCACTGTCCCACCGGCCACCGAACGCACCTCCGCCCCGTCCCCCCCCCGGCAACGCAGATTTGTCATTCCCAACGTGATTCATCATGGGCCGGAAGAATAAAAGCAACAGAAAGACAAACGCATCTTCTGGCTCTGCCGACGCGAACAACTCTTCTGCGGCTACTCTTCGAGACGAACCTCCCACTGGCAGACAGCACAACAACCCGCTTTCGACTGTCGAAGAATCCCCCATCCCCTTTCGCTCTTCGTTACCCTCGTCTCCCACAAACTCTCAGCTCCCCACTTTCAACTTTCAACACTTTGCCAGTCTTGTAGAAGAAGACGGTCAGTTGTCGCCTACTGCCATGGATCCCTCTAGGCGCTCATCAGCGAGCTCGCTCTCCAGCGCATACCCCCTGCCCCCTCACAGGCGGCGGGCAACGACGTCTAGCTTGGAGGATGCTCCTGTCCTTCAACGGAGGGTCTCGGCTCACAGTCTGGATGATGACGACGAGCCAGTCATCCGCAGGCGACCATCAGCTTCCAGCTTGGACGACCCTGCTCCATCCTTTGGGCTCGCTATTCCCCAACGACCCAGTTTGACATCTACTCCTTCGGAGCAGCCCCTCTTGGCCGCCGAAACCCCCAGGGACGAGGAGAACTTTGAGGTCTCTTCGCCCGGTGCCGCACAGCAATTGGATCACCGAGAGGACTCTACCCCCAAAACATCCTTTTTCAACAATCATTCCTCGTCTGCTCCCTCAGCGGCTCCCAAGATCCGTATCAACGATATGCCAAACTCTCCCCCTGTCCATGATGACTCCAGAGTCCCAACTCCCCCCGTTATCGCTTCTCTCACTGCTAGCCCCTTCGCCCACGGCGTCAGAAGGCCTCATCACTTGCAGAATCAGCCCCCTACACCCACTACCCCTATCAGCCCCACCAACATGACTCACGGGGTGCACACCAGGCAGTCATTCGCGAGCGTTGGTAGTCCCTCATCCTACCCTCCAAGGAACTTGGCTGGTGTCGGGACTGGGATGGACAGCTCTAGCGCTCTTGCTGGCCCTGGACCCAGTACGGTTGCCGCTGCTACCCCCAATGCACCTACACACACTGCAGGCCTTCCTAGATCTGTCAGCACCGTCACCATCAACGCACCGGGCGTCTCTGCCCGTACCACCGGTTTCGATCTTCCCAATTCTACCAGCCGAAACACCATCGCCGAACGTCGTGCCATGCGTATGAAGCAGACCATGTCGACGAGTACGAGCAGGAGATCGAGGATCAATGACATGGGGACGACGGCTAACAAGCCCGTCAAGGGGGTTTTGAACCGAAAGCCGTTTCAGAGTACTAGGCTCAAGGGAGAAATCTATAAGCCGTGGTTGGAGAAGAAGGACCCGGCTTTGAGGTGGGCGAGGTGGATTACCATCACCAGTATCTTCATCGGATTTGCTATTGCTGGTATCAGTGAGTTTGGTGATTTGTATCTCACCGAGTTGTGGCTAACGTCAATCAGTCTGCTGGGATGGTTATCGGTCAGTGCCCAAGCTCGGTACCGTTTGCTCCATCCTCAACGAAGAATGGTCCAACGGCATCGACTCCAGTATATGGCAGCACGAAGTCCGTACCGACGGCTACGGCCCTGGTTCATTTAGTTGGACTACCGCCTCTTCTAACAACTCATACGTTGAAGACGGCATCCTCTACATTGTTCCCACCCTGACTTCCGATACCATCGGCATCGATGCCGTGACCAGCGGATACACTCTGAACCTTACCGCCGACGGTACATGCACGTCCAGTAACGTCTCGCAATGTGTCGCCGTCTCCAACTCTTCCCAGTTGACCGTCATCAACCCCGTCCAAACGGCTCGGCTGATCACCAAAAACACCGTGTCGCTCAAGTATGGCAAAGTGGAAGTCAAGGCCAAATTCCCGACTGGTGACTGGCTCTGGCCCAGGGTCATGTTGTTGCCCGTGAATGAGACATATGGGGCATGGCCCAGGAGTGGACAGATTGACGTGAGTCAAGTGATGATTACATCCGACCTAAATTTCTAAACGAGTATTTCCAGATCATGAGCGGCCGAGGCAACAATGCGTCTTATGCCGGACGAGGTGTCGATTACGCACAGTCGGACCTGCATTGGGGTGAGTCTTTTTGGCGCTGTATCAGTTGAAAGTTGACCCTTTCCCAGGACCGACTACCGCCCTTGACAGACTCTACTTGACTTGGGGTTACCGAGAGCAGCGCCGAACGTACTACTCTGACAAGTACCACACTTTTGGTTTCGAGTGGAACGAAAACTACCTCTGGACATACATTGATTCTCGAGTCTCCCAAGTAGTGTCGTTGAGGTTTAACAAAGAGTCTTTCTGGACGCGTGGAAAGTTCCCGTCCACCTACACCAACAACTCTGATGTTGTCAGGTTGACCAACCCGTGGTCCTCTTCCGAAAACAACAATGCTCCTTTCGATCAGAGTGAGTCACATTTCAAGCGCGCCTCCTCCCTCGCTGACGTATCGTTGTAGAGTTCTATCTTGCGATCGATCTGGCCGTTGGCTCCATGGACGGTTGGTTCCCTGACAGCGAAGGTGGTAAACCGTGGACGGATGATTCGGCCTCTGCCATGTCTGATTTCTGGGCGGCGAGAAACAAGTGGAACGGGACCAGCTGGAGTTCGGATCCCAAGACCAGAGGCTTCGCAGTAGATACGGTAAAGGTGTGGGAGGTCTGTTAGAGAGACGTATAGATTTTGGGCTCATTGCAAGTTGTTACATACCATATATATTCAGCATATTCCATCCAAAATCTCCTTGCATTATTGATCCTGGTCAGAATGGATAGACGCATGAGTGGACGAAAGCAGGTTTCGTCATGTGGGCCATATGCACATAGTGTACATGGGTTGTGTATACAATATAATTGCGGTGTTTGACTAGATATGAACATGCCTGTGCGGTACCTGTGTAACCCCGTACAACCTCAGGCATCATGCGTCAGATGCCTGTCTAGGCCACTGGAAGCACATACTTTAGCACACACGCGTATATACCAGACAGAATGAAGCACGTACCTCTCTATAGCACGCAAACAATGCAAGTTGCGACTCTTTCAGTCTGTCTAGCTCCCTCCTGTTGTCGTCCTGTGTGGCCACTCCGTCTTTCTCATCCTTCTCTATGGCCTGCTTCAATTCTCCCATCATTCCTTCTTGAACTCGAATTTTAAGCTTTAAAGCTTTGCGAGAACCATTCTTCTGGACGCAGTCGCGTAAGGGACTGAGACAGGCCTTGGCGCAGAAGGGGCAGATCTGTCGACTGGAAGATGAAATGACTAGACTGGAAACCGGAAAGTCAATACCTGTTCCCATATAGCAGTAAAACTTACCCTTCTGGGGACCTCGATTGAATGATTGTCTCAATAGTCTCTCGCTCCTTCCCCTTCCTCTTTAGAGGCGCCAAAAGACCCTCTTCTCGCAGCTGTCCAGTCAACAGCCTCTCTGGCGCCTCTGGCGCCTCTGCGCCCACCTTTTCTGACGTCCTCTCTTCTGGATGTTTCAACGTCGTTCCTGCGAGCAGAGTCGGCGGTAATGATTTGCTCGTCTGGGAATGTGACAGTGATACGCCCCCGTTTGTCTTGTACGAGGCAGGAGAGATCGAAGGTTCGACGGGAGACGGCCCAGGAATGCGATAATTCGAACCTATCCGACCGGCCATGATGAGTAGGTTACGCATCCTCTCCAGGGCCTTCATACCCAATGCCTGACGAAATTGGTAAGTGACACAGTACCCCAATACCTCTATAGACGGAGACTCACCTTTTGCTCAGCGTCATGATTCTGCTCATGATATACCCTGGCAGCCTTTTCCAGAGTTTGCACACCGAACATTTCTGGGCAGTTTCGCAAGTCGTGCTTTCTAGACTTGCATCGCTCGCAAGGGTCCCGTGGTCGACTGGTAGAAGGGCCAGCGGGCGAATCTTGTTGGAAGCCGCCCGGGCCCGGGGCGGCATCGGAAAGGTGAAAAGGAGATGGGGCCATGGGTTCATCCGGCGTGGGAAACCCAGAGGGAATGACCAAGCTTCCAGGTGTGCGGTCCGCGTCCCTCATACCTGCCTTCCCTCCTGGATACCCCAAAGGTCCTGGGTGTGCCTCTGGCACGACATCGAACCCGCTCCTCAACAGCTCCTGTATGGCCTTCACTTGCTCATCGTTTGAAAACCACATTGCCTCGCCATATTCCGCCAGGCGTACATCGATATCTTTGGCCAGAGAAGAGTAGGCGTCCATACGCTCCACCGGTGTCACCTCGGGTAGGCTGATGATGGCCCAGCGATCGATGAGAGAAAAGTCGTCCAGTTCGCGAATGACGTGATACATCCACTGCACAATATTTTGTGCTTCGGCGATTTCCCTTGGTACTTTAGGAGTCGGTTTGGAGTGGGTGCTCACAAAGTTATCCGTCTTGGATCGCCCTTTGTCTCCAGCTCCTCTACCGTGGATAGCCTCCCACAAGCCGACCATGTGATCGTGCACATGTTTGGATGGTAGAGGCGGGGCGGAAGGACGCTGAGTTTGGGGCTGGGGTGCTGAAGACGTGGGCCGGGATGACAAGGGTTTCTTGTGCTGTCCTCTCTTAAGGGACTTTGGGGGATGATGAAGACTGGGTCCTACTTGAGCAACATGATGACCAGACAACAGATCCTTAAGATCGTCATCAGGAAGAGGGTCGTACCCGGACAAAGGCGAGTCCTTCTCTGCATCAGAGAGGCCGTTGTTGTTGACCCAGTCCCCGTCAGATTCTCTGCTGCCCTGCCCTTTGCTTTGACGCCTTTTCTTGTTTGGTTTCTGCGGGGTGTCCTCCTCATCGAAGATGCGATAGATTCCCTCCTGAGCCTTTTGCTTTCGCCTCAAGCGTCCGTCCTCCAGTTCTCTGGCCGCCTTCTCCACTCTCTCTTTCTCTATCGTTGCCATGAGCGATTCCCAGTCCATCTCATCTTCCGCATCTATCTCGCCCGCATCATTTTTGTCGGTTATCTCGTCTTCCTTGATTGCATCTCCCTCTGCCTCCCATATTTTGGCAAAGGCGAATTGGGCGCCTCCTTTACTGACACCTGCCTCGATCTCTCCATCGTCGACCTTGCGATGTTTCTCTGCCATGAGCTGAGCTTCGGCCTCGGCGTCTGCCTCGACCTTTTCTATGAGCTCATCCACACGAGCAGAGGTATAGTTGATATCAGGAATGTTGATACCGCCATTTCCGTACATTCCGGCGACGTTCTTGACGAACAGATCCTCGTAGTCGTTTTCGTCGGGCTCTTTTCCTAGTTGTTGGACAACAAGGTGATCAAGGACCATCTTTCTTTTGCCCTTGTCGATGATGGTCTCTGTGATCAATGTCAATATAGCTCACCATATGCAGAAAGTACTTGCCTTCAACAGAACCCTTAATCATCAATTTGAACACCAACACCTTCTTCGTCTGGCCGTAACGATGCGCCCTGGCGATGGCCTGTAAGTCTTGATGTGGGTTGAAATCTGGATCGTGCAGAATGACTGCTCATCGAATAAGTCCGGGTCCCTGATGCTTATCACCATACAACAGCAATACGTACCGGTGTCAGCTGTAGCCAGGTTGATACCAACTCCTCCCGCCCTTGTCGTCAACAGAAATACACCAATAGGCGAGTTTGGCGCATTAAAAAGGTCCATATTCTTCTGTCGGATAGCTTGTGGAGTGTCACCATCAAGACGCAGGTAAAGAATGTTTTCACCGAAGAGAAAATCCTGGACTGGAAAGAAAGACAAGGGTCTGTCAGAGATGCAAACGGGAAGATGGAGGACCAGCTCACTTTGATCCAATGATATCTTGAACTGAGAATGCGAGCGTGGTATCAGTCCCAGCACATGCGCCTGTCAAGTCATAGAAAACATACCTGCGAAAAAAGCAGTATCCGATGACCCTTCGCCATCAATTTCGGTAAGAGCACCTTTAAGAACTGCAGCTTTCCACTTGAATTCACCAAGTTCCTGTGCAATTCTTCTTGGGGCAGGTCGCGCACCTCCAATTCAGGCTCTGCCAGGTATGGATGTTGGCAAACTTTGCGCAACTACACGCCGAAGAGGGTGGCTTGTCAGGACACTGAAACACGAGAAGAACAGGGAGTGAGACGCACCTCCATCAGGATATTCCTGACATTCTTCCCGCGGGCGACTGCCATCTTGGTCGCTGGATCCTGGGCGTAGGAAGACGAGAGCTGTATATGAAGAGATGTGGAATAAGGTGGATGATAAATGGTTGATGGAATTCAGTCGGACGCGCCAAGCGAAGACCTCGAAACCAAACAACGATGACCGCGTTTAGCGTTGTGGCAGAGATGGCAGTGTAGTTTGAAAACCTGCATATGCCATCTCATGTCCTGACTCGTGTCCTCTTTTGAGCTCCAGACATTTGTCGTTAAGAGGTTCACAAAGGAGCACCAGAACACCGATTGCTCGCTTCTCCCCGCTTGATAAGGGCAGGTATGGGATCCCAGCCGTTGCAGAATGTATATAATGCATTCTATAGACCGCCCTCGACCTTGATCTCCAGGTCATCCACCCGTTTTATCAACCTCTTCAGCTCTTCCGACCTCGCAGTCAAAGCCGCTTCCATGGGCTTGATCTGTTTCGCCGAATAAGCTGGTCTGCGCTCGATTTCTCGACGTTTGGCTTCATTTATGATTGGCACTAGTGCAGACAGCTGGCTACGTAGCTGCAATGGGGTGTCAACACACGCTCAACGGAGAGCAAAAAGGCTTACCAGCTGTGCTTTCTCGGCCAACACCTCCCCACTCCCAGGCGGTCCTCCATTGACCTCGAAGTCCAGCCTGTCCAATTCATCAAACCATTTCTTTTCACCTTCTCCCAGTTCCCCGTCCTGCTGCCTCCCAACACTCAGATCACCCAACACCTTCTCCACCCTCTTCTGAATGCATTCTTGTCGCTGAAGCAGCTTGTTGGCGCGATCGAGCGTTTCACCGCTGGTCAAAGAAGTGACGTCGGCACGACACTGGGCGATAAGCTTGGCGTGGCGGGCGAGTTCCTGGATTTGAAGGTCGAGACGGTTTTCGACAGTTTGAGATGCTGATCGCACAAGCTGTACACGAGATTGGATCTGTGAGGAGACAGCGCCGAGAGCGGATAAGTGGTCGCTGGTAAGAGAAGTCAAGGGCTTGGAAGAGTCCGAAAGACGCTCTTTGAGGGTCGCTGTAGGGTTGTAGACAGGAGGCTTCTTGTCACCCGGTGAACGGATGGAGGCCACAAGATGCTCAGCACTGAAAGGCTTCTTGAGAAGCGACTGATCTTCGATCATCGCCTTGGGTTCCTTGGCGGCCTTGCTCGATAACAAAGCTGACGAGTCACCAGACCGGATGTCCAGCTCTATGTACGCCACTTGCCCAGTAGAAGCGAGCGCAAGGAGACCATACCCAAGGGTGATGTTACAGAAGCTAACGATACCCGTTACAGGGGTATTGGGAACGCCCGCACTCTCTACCAGCCTCAAGACTTGTGTCGGGGGGAGCTCGCCTTCTCCTTCGTCGTTGTTCAGTTCGTCAACCAGGTCCCGGACGCTGATAGCGTCCATGCCAAAAGCGTGAACAAGATACAGGACATCGCTGTATAATGGGTCGCGAGAGAAGGTTGGAGCGTTAGATCCAATAATGAACGGATCGTTGTTGGGGAAGGGTAGTAGGATGGACTCCACAATGTGCAGAACAGGTTCGGCTGGGGATGCGTCCTGCTAGGCGTCAGCTTTGAAAACAGGATCGATTTTCCCACTCACCCTGGAGCTCATCCATCTCATTTCCGGCATCTCGGTCTCCACACCAATGTCAACCCGGCCACCAGACCAGGCGATCCCGATAACAACTTCTCTCATCTTCTTTTTCCCTTTCACGTCTCCCGAATTTCCATCCTCCGGCCCAACTTCGACGATTATCAAGTCCGTGGCAGATTGGTCCTCTTCCAGATCACCATCACCGTTCGCAACTTCCTGGGGGCCGGGTGAGAAAACGAGGGGACCTTGTCGAAGGAACGGTCGATGGGAGCCTGGAGCGGGGCCGCCAGAGACTGTCAGGTGAGGTGGTCGCACGCGGACGCTTCCTTCTCGTGCTCTGGTACCTGTCTCCTCAGCAGGGTTTGACGGCGATCCTCTGCGCGTCACAGACTGACCCAAGGCGCTCTTGCCCAAAGCCTGCTTTGGCTCGCCATCCTCCTCTCTCCATGCTCTCGCCTCTTCCTCCTGCCGAACTTGACTGACGAGCGCATCTACCCACTCAGCTTGTTGCGCCATTCTACCGACTCCCGAGTTTCCCGCTCCAAAGACATCTCGAGCCTCACTCTGCGCTCGCGCTAACCTTGTATCGACAAAGGTTTTGAGAGTCTGGAGATAATGAACGGGCATTTCGGTACGGAGCGGGACAACGGGGCCAATGAGATATATATCACCATTGGCGAGAAGACAATATACGATGAGAGGTGAAAACCCGACAGAGCTTGGACCAAAGGCAAATGAGGTAGCGTATCGAGAAAGCGGGTCGATCGCAGTGAACTTTCGTGCGGCACGGCTGCGTTCTGGCAAAAAGTCGAACGTTTGAATCGAGTCGTGTGGTTGAAGGATGTCATATTCTCTGCATACGAGATGAGCTGCCATTCCACAAAAGATGCAAAGGACTTACCGAAGCTTTCCGTTGGCACAGAGAACCCAGAGGGAATTCCCACTCTCTCCCCAAGGATGCCATTGCACGCTCGTGATTGTGTCATTGGACGCTTTGGAGAATTGGAACTCGTCTATTGGTATCGAGCTTCACCTTGTCAGAATGTGTACCACAAGGGCTTTACTGTCACTTACTGCACTTCTACAGGTCCTGACCCTGACTTGGATTTCGGCAATACGACGACAACCAATTGGTGGTGTCCAACAACGGCGAGAAGCTTGCCGGTGGTATTCACGATAATATGATGGATAGGGAACGACAAGTGCGGCGATTGAAGAGTCTGCCTTGTCTTCAGTATACATACCATTGTTGAAAATCACTTGAACTCACCTTGTAAGACCCTACAAGACCATCTTCTACTTTCCATCCACCTTCATTGAGTCCCAATCCCATCATCCTCACTTCCTTCCCGACCGCAACGATCAAATCTTTGTCCCTGATTGCAACCCTGCCATTCTTCTGCCCCAGGGGCTCGTCGTCTGCCGAAGGTCGGTCCAAAAACTCCCACTCATCGTCGAGGGTGGAAGACGAAGGAGGGGGCACAAATATGGAATGTGAGCTGATAGCCGAGAGGGATACCGGGAGCGTGTACGCCATGGTGAACAGGGCGACTGTATGGTATAAGGCGTCTCAGTGAAAGTCGAGAGGTCAAGAGGAGTATCATTTGATCCCGCAATCTCGAGTGGCGATGTCCGCCGGCGCGTCGAGCGCGTTTCGGCTTTTGCATTCCGTCGTTGACGTTCGACACAAACAAAGTCAACCCTCTGTCGCCTGTCTTCCGTTTATTCCACTATCTACTCTACCGCTAGCCCAAGCAAACACAATGGCCTACTCATCTGCCTCTCGGTCACATCTCCCGCGCGAGTCCGTCTATCCCCAACCGCCTTCGTCTGGATACCTGCATGCCCTCGAGGACTGTGTGCAGGCCACAGAAGCGTGCTCAAGGACGCTAGGGATTGCACTGGAAAAGTTTGAACCGGGAGTGAGGGATCTTCCTCGTTTGACAAAAATCTTTCGCCACGAGCATGTGAGTGCTCCCGCTATCAGCTTGCAATGATGCTAATATCTGTGCCGTAGCACTTCCTTGTGCTTCCCGAACCGACTATCACAGCCCACAAAGCCGCTTTATCGCACTCGATAGCGCCTCAGATTGATCAGCTGATAGCAAGGGCTGATAGAAGCGTCAAATCAGAGCAGACCAAGATGGCGAACCTCGAGGAGAGAGTAGGTTCAAGCGCGGCCTGTCTGTGAATTTGGGCTTACTCTGTCCCAAGTTGAAGATTCTGGAGTCTGCCCGCCATCGCCCAACATCATCCCTCCCTCCCCTCTCCTCCTCCTTGCAGTCTGCTGCGGCTTCATCGCCGAGTCCATCACAAGAAGACACATCTTGCAAGATCACAGATCTCAACGTGAGAGAGCTGAGCATTTTGCAACGAAAGAAGGTCATGCAGCTCAAAGCGAAGAGAGAGAGGCTTGAGAAGGAGATGGCAAGACTCGAGGGAAGCGCGTAGACAGCTGGGAATCTCTTATATTGTATGTATTCCTATGTAGCATCAATACTGCCAGCTACAGATCCATGGATACAACCGTACATATGCCTATGTGCCACAAATACAACTCTGTCATAGCTCACATATCTCCTAGCCCCCCGGTCTCAATTCCAAAGAACCCTGGATCGGACGCCGCCAACATATCCTCTATATCACTCACTATACTCGTGGGGTTGTATCCCAAATCAAAGAGCATGCTCATCGATTCTTCCCATCCAACACCCACGTTTCCTGCACCTGTCCCACTGTGGGCAGACCCGCCGACACCAAAATCTAATGGCTGATGTGCAAGACCACTAGACATGTCTGGAGCGCCGGACCTAGATCCTTGGCCCTCTAGATGGCTGTTGAATAACAAGCAGACCTCATCTGCCCCCGGGTCCAGACGTCCAGGCGCCATCCCACGTCTAGGAATACTTTCCAATACCTTGCTCAGCAGCTTTGCGAGATACGCTGAAATATGATGCTCGTCTGCGCTGGAGGCAGCTAGAGAGTCGATCAAGGTATATTCCAGATCGATGATTTCTGTATCTGGCTGACCGATGGCCCCGAAAGAGACGGCCTTCATCAGAAAGACACTCGCAAAAACCTACCCAGGCGTTAGGGTCCCCCTTGCTCTTTGCTCACCCACACACAAACTCACAAGTCTAGTAAACACTCTACAGGGACAGTATCTCAGTACACCCTTCTTCCCCATGACGATCCCGCACCGTACGAGCGACAGTGCCGCATCCACCGCTTCGAGGATGAAGGGTCCTTCCACGGCAGTCATGACATTGGTGTGGTAGACAGTGTCGTTTGGATGTTGTAGCTTGTTGCGGGAGCGAGTTTGTGCAGCGCGCATTGCTATGGCATTGGCGTACAATCTTGTGTAGCGTCAGCATGGATGAAATGGAAAAAGGCAAAGGGGAACGCACTTGACATGATCAAACTCCATCCTCCATCTGATCTCTCTCAACTCATCCTCCGTCAATGCCTCGCCTTCTCCTTCCCTGAAGATATCATAAGTCGGTAGGTCCTCCGCTTGTCTCCTCCAAAGCGAATCGAGTTCGGGCTTGAGCCGGTGGAGAGTGATCTCGAAGCGGTGTGTTTTAATCAAGTCCGCAGTGACGGAAGGGGTTATGTATAGCAATTCTTGGAGAAACCCTATCAACTGCAAAACAATCAGCAATGAAGACTTTCGCGGATCAAACTTACGTGGGTGAGCTCAGCGACACCGAATATCTCGCGCCAGGCGATCTCGGAGCGGAGAAAGGTGACAACGGAATCGGGAGCAGGTATGTCGCGAGATTGCACAACGAGACTTTCCCACCAGCATGTTGACATTTCTGACTAGTTAATATATGGCAGATCAGAGAGGATGGCAGTGCTCACTGGCTTGCACGAGAGAAGCTCTCCCAAGTCGGACTGATGCTCTGCTTAGAGTTAGCACCAGCCACCCCCTGGTGGCACTCACTGCCTGTCTGCCGAAAGGCAATCTTGTTGACATCAGCTATCATGCGCATTACTAAAGCCAAAGGGTACGCACGAATCCACGCATTATGTCTCCTATGAGAAGACCACGGCGGTTCGACATTGCTGGTCATATACGTGTTTTCGTTCTGAAGATTCAGCTCTTGCGCTATCCTTACTGCGAGGCCGATCAGTGTCCAAGAGGCATCATCATATATGGTACATGGATTCGGCGGGCGTCTGGAGGCAGGAGGCGCAGAGGGGGCGATGAGACTCGGGATGGGCGGCCATTCGGAAAGAATCAGGAGGGCTTCGACGGTGCCTATCGTTCTTGCAGATGTACTATACCTCCTCAGTCTACATTCCGAAAGGCTTATGATGAACTCACTCTCCCATGGACAAAAGACCGATCTTTGACGATACCCAGTTCATCAACTTTCCTTGAATCACATTGGATCGTTGCGGCTCTTTCTCGTCGAAAGAGTGACCGAGGTCGAGGTATCTGGCTGCTGTACTGACAAGAGCAGCCAGAAGGATGGGCTCGGAAAGGAGGGAGCTAAAGTTCTGGGAATGGAATAGCTCATTGGGCACCACAGGATGACATGGGTTGAGGTGGTCCTTGTAGCTACGCCCGTCAGCGCATGCCAAGCCTCGAAAATACAACTTGCCAATCGAGTAACAGTGCCGCCTCCTCTGCTGTGAGCAGCCCATCTCTGACTGGTATCCACCTCGCCCAAAGACCTGCCTGGCTCGGCCCCTCCCCACTGGTAGCACTCTCTGACCGCTCGTGCGAGGCGTCGTACTCGGCAGCCGCATACAGGATGCGAAGAGCGTCAGCGGGATTTTCCAAAGTCTCGCCGCGGACAAAACGAAAATCTTGTGACATGCCATGGTCAGAGGCTGGATGACGAGAGAGGGGAGTGCTAGAATGTATCCGGTCCAGTGCGCTGGAACATGACGTGAGCTTGATTGCTTGCCAGCGACACTCGGTACCTACCTCGGCCTTGAAGTCGCTGATGATGTGGACGCCACCGGGGACTTGGCCACGCTTTCACTCTCCCTCTTTTTCCTGACCAGTCCTTTGGGTCTGGAATACGGCTTGCCAAAGACACACTGCCTGCCTGACCTGTGACATCGATCGCAAGGGGGGTCGTGGGGGGCATCTGGGTCACCCAGGTTGCACTTGAGCTTGGCGATTCGGCATGGCTGGCATGCCTGGTACGCTCTGACGTGTGTCTTACCGCTGGGGGGTCTTGTTGGCGCTGGGGGCATGAGGGCGGCGGCAATAGAGATAACACGGAGAACAGATTATGGATATCCGACAATAACCGTATCGGAGTCGCCGCCGTGCCTGGCTCGATCACTGTGTAGCCGAAAGGACCCGGTCAGCCATGTGTATCGGATCTTGAGATTAGAGGCCGCCTCGCTCCGAACAGGGTATATAAGACCCATCGTATCGCTTTTCATCTCTTTCCATCACTCTCCATCTCTCATCATAATGTCCACCAAGCCTACGGTCCTTATCGTTGGCGCCGGCGAGTTTGGCGCGTCCACCGCTGTCTCTCTCCTCAAGACCGGCAACTACGGCAACGTCACCGTCGTAGACCGAGCCCCCGTCCTCCCTGCGATGGACGCTGCCTCGTGCGACATCAACAAGGTCGTCAGGTTCGACTACTATGACAGAGACTACTGTGATCTCGCCAAGGCTGCTATTGATGAGTGGAACAAGGACGAGTGGAAGGGCATCTATCACCAGTCAGTCGTTTCACTTTCTTCCAGAACCCCGCTGACGAGTCGCAGACCCGGTGTTTGTATCCGATGGAACGACGACGGCAGCTACGATGCCAACTACTCCAAAAAGGTCTTTGAAAACGTCAAAGAAAAGATCCCATCTGTCTCTCTTATCTCTACTCGCGACCAGTTTGTCCCCCACCTCGCCCCCAATAACGCAACCATCCCCGTGACTGACCCCGCTTCCAACGCCCTTGGTTACTTCAACCCCTACGGTGGATGGGCGAATGCTGCTGGTGCCGTTGAGAAACTCTACAAGGACCTCTTGGCTCTTGGGGGCACGCTCGAGGCGGGCGTTGACTTTGAAGAGCTTCTTTTCACCGAAGGCGGCAAGGACGTCCGGGGTATCCGTACCAAGGCTGGAAAAGAGTACACCGCCGACAAGGTCATTGTCGCCCTCGGATCTTGGACTGCCGCCCACCCCGCTCTCAGTGGTCTCCTCCCCAAGGGACTTTTGACTGCCACAGGCCAGGTTGTCGCTGCAGTCCAGCTCTCACCCGAGGATGCCAAGAGATACGCCGATATTCCTGTCAGTATGCACTATGATGGTTCTGCATTCTACATGTTCCCTGTGAGTACTTGGTAACCTTGTAGATGTATCAAAGCTGACAAGGATATAGCCCAACAAGGATGGTCTCCTGAAATTCGCTTTCCACGCTGCGGGCTTCACCTCTGAATCAGGTGTGCCCCGTACCGCTACCGATCCCGAAGCCGTACAGTGGACAGAAGAGAACAAGAAAGGTAAGTTGGTCCAAAATGACTTCAGAGCGAAGGCTGATCATGCTCGGCAGGTTGGATCCCCAAAGCTTCCCTTGCCGGTCTGCGTCATCAGCTCGACGTTGTCTACCCCGAGCTCGCCAAGAGTCCGTCCTGTTTCTCTATTGATGAACCATAATATCTGACATCTGTGCAGTGCCAATTGCTTATAGCCGAATGTGCTGGTACTCTGACGTCGTGGACGGTGATTGGGTCATCGACTATAGCAAGCAATACCCTTCCCTCATGTTCGCTACCGGCGGTGCTGGACATGCTTTCAAAGTAAGCCTCCATATATATACTCTTATGTACATCACTGACATGAGGCAGTTCCTTCCTATCATCGGAAACCTCATCCGCTCGCGTTTCGAGAACACGCTCGAGCCCCATCTCGTCCAAAAGTGGAGAGCGTCCCGAGAGAGCGCAGCTGAGGACCCCGCGCGGGCTGGTATGCAGAGAAAGCCTTTGGATTTGAACGAGTTTGTGGGGGAGGCTGAGCTTGGGGGTGTCACTGCTTGAGGAAGGGCTTAGCTGAAAGGGATGGGGTCTGGATTTGGCGTTGTATAGACGGTCATACATCAAGTTGTAGATGGGTTTAGGGGTTTGTGAGATGCATCTTTCTGCTGTCATTATGGCATTGTGGGGCCATAGGGTACAAAAAGAGCTGCTCAGGAGCTGCTTACTCTGAGCTGTGGCTTGGCTGTGGCTCTGGATCTGGTCAGCGCCAGGCAAGCGCGCTAATTTGATTCCGTTCGGCGTGTCACCTTGAGCAGTCCTCCGAGCTTCGTTCGTTGTCTGCGAATTCAACATCCTCATCTCTTTTTCTTATTCCCCCAATCTTCCAGAAACCCCACGACCTACCGTCATCCACGACTGGGCTACGCCTCGACTACCCTCTGCAGGCCGAGACATCCACTCCGCCCTTTCGGTTACCCGGCGCTGCGACAACGGGTGTACCTCCCGCCCACTCCTCAAGATGCCATCAGCACCCATAGCAACCCCCCCCGAAGAGGTCATGAACCCCGCCGATGAAGAGTTCTACGCTTCGTACGTGCCTCCCTTCCCCCCGTCATCTTGTGAGTATTGCTGATGTAGAAGGGTAGATGGGGTCTCTGTATCCTCTGCGTTCTCCTCATCGGCGCTCTCTGCACATCATACTATCTCCAAATCAAGAGGATCAGAGCAGTCCACGAGACGGTAGTGTCGATCTTTGCAGGGATGGTAGTGGGGTTGATCATTCGGCTGAGTCCGGGACACATGATCAGAGAGATGATGAGTTTCAAACATACATTCTTCTTCAATGTGCTCCTGCCGCCCATCATTCTCAACTCTGGGTACGAGCTCAAGCAGGTGGGTGTAGTTCTAGTAGAATCAGGGCTGTGCTGATGGGTGTGATAGGAAAACTTCTTCCGGAACTTTGCGACCATTCTCACTTTCGCCTTCCTCGGCACCTTTATATCCGCCGTCGGCATTGGAGTCCTCGTCTACATCTGGTCGTTCCTCGGGCTGGAGGGTCTCAAGTTTACCCTCCTTGAATGCCTCATCTTTGGCTCGACCTTGTCAGCAACAGACCCTGTGACAATCTTGGCTATATTCAATACGGCCAAGGTAGACCCTAAACTCTACAGTATCATCTTTGGTGAGAGTATCTTGAACGATGCTGTCAGTATCGTCATGTACGAGTAAGCCCTATTATGCCTCTTGATTTGGGACCAAACTCATACGCATCAAGGACCCTCTCCCAATTCCACGGCGAAGATATCTACATCTCTTCCATATTCCACGGTGTCGGCATCTTCCTCTTCTCCTTCATCACATCGATGGCGCTTGGTGTTGCGTTCGGCCTTGTGTGCTCTTTGGGACTGAAGCATTCGCATCTGGCGACATACCCGCATATTGAGAGTTGCATCGTGACGCTAGTGGCGTATACCAGTTACTTTTTCAGTAACGGTGTTACCATGAGCGGTGAGTTTCTACCCACTGAACACGGGAGAAAGTGCTGATAAGCCTTAGGAATCGTGTCCCTCTTGTTCTGTGGAATAACGCTCAAACATTATGCGTACCATACCATGTCTCGAAGAACGCAAAAGACGACAAAGTACATGTTTGGTGTTCTTGCGCAGCTGTCTGAGAATTTCATCTTCATCTACCTCGGTCTGAGCTTGTTTACCCAAGACGTGCAAGTATTCAAGCCATTGTTCATTCTCGTCTCTGCTGTACGTCCTCTCTATTGTGCATTTGCGAGACATGCTAACAGATTCTCAGATCGCTGTGATGGCTTCACGCTACGCCGCAGTCTTCCCTCTCTCGGAACTCATCAACTGGGTCTTCCACACCCGCGGTCAACGTGCCGAAGAGCTTCCCCACTCGTACCAAATGATGCTCTTCTGGGCCGGTCTGCGTGGTGCCGTCGGTGTCGCCCTCGCCGCAGGTATCACTGGCGACAACGCGGACGCCCTCCGTACGACGATCCTTGTGGTTGTCGTGCTGACTGTGATTGTGTTTGGAGGAACGACCTCGAGGATGCTGGAAGTGCTGGGGATCAGAGTAGGGGTGGAAGATGAAGACGCGAGTTCCGATGAGGAGGAAGGATGGAATGCGTACGGCGGGCATGGAGGGTTGGCGTTGCAGAATGGCCCTGGGTCGCGCCAGTATGCTGGTCAGAACGGTCGCGCAGGGTGGGACAACCCGTCAGAGATCGACCTTCACTCTCCAGGCGATTCGCCTTACTCCCAATCTCTCAAATTGTCTGGGCAAGACGCGAGGAGCCGGCAGTCGAGCAGAGGTTATGGCGTCCGCAGCGGTTTCTCCACAAACAGCGAAGAATCCGACGAAGGCGAGGTCCTTCCTGCAGCTGGACCTTCTGGCTATGCTCAAAACGCTTACGATGCCGAAGCCAACACTCCCACTTCCGACGCTCCCGGCGGGCCGGGTATGATCTTCCGCGACGGCCAGTGGTTCACTGCCTTGGATGAACGATACCTCTTACCACTGTTCTCCAACTCGGTGACGGCGAGGCGGCATAATGCGAAGAAGGCAGTCAAGCGGGGTACGGCAGCGGCGGCGGCTGGCGCTGCTGGGTCGGCCTCTGGTGGAGGGAGCGGGGCTGGGACGCCCAGAGGGGTCAGTTTTGAGATGGCAGATGAGGGTTACGGGGGAGATATGGAGAATGAGATGGGAAAGAACAAGGCATTGCCCAGGACTTTCAGGTGAGCTCCAATCCATTCATGTTGTAGACGTCACTAATGAGGTCATCAGCGGCTCTGTGTCCGATTTCTTCTTCTCGAAACCCGACTCTCCCGTTTCTAGTGGAACGTCTCCATCGCTACCGCTAGATGAACGTGATCCGAGAAGGAGTCTTGGAAGAGATCAGAAGAGTGCGGGGGGAGATGGGCGATAGGGCTTGAAGGATGTGTATTCTATGGTTAGATGTTTTGCATGAACATAGCGTGTGTACAAATTTGGATTTGCGTGCCGACGGACTGTGCTTTGTCACATTACATGCAGACTCTACGATGAATCGACAATGGGGAGATAATCTGCATCTCCTGCACAGAGGACACCTCACGGGAAGTCAAAGCACGGAAGAAACGGGCTGCGGCCGCCCCTTTCGTATTCGCAGTAGCTCAGAGGAGAGGTTCTGCAAAATTGACAACAGCTTGATATGAAGCGCGACGCTCGACGCTTGGCGATCAGCAACTCGAGTCCGACCAGTCGAGCAGTCACTTCATAGCCTGTCGGTACAGTCTCTATCGCCAACGCTCACCACACTGGATTTATACAATCCACAACTCGCCTTCCCCTGCAACCTGCACAATCACGTCGTCCCCATCCTCAAACCACCACCCGACTTCTTTCAAGTCGCCTCCTGTCGTATGAACTGCCTTTTCCTTCTGACCTCCTTGATCTTGGCGGACTGTCCATACGCGTATACGCGCCTTGGAATCGAGCTGGAAGAGACGAGCTGCTTTGCGCTGCAGGAGGGAAAGAGGAGAGGATGGTAGGAGGGATATAGGAGAAGGGCCACCGGAGAGGTCGGCATTGTATGCTTGTAAAGCTGGAAGAATGAGTCACAGACCAAGCGCCTTGATTAGTGGACTCACTGATCATTTTCTTCTTCAATCCACTTCCAGCCTTCTTGACGCCATCACCATCCTTCTTTTCGACCCTTCCATGCAATCTACCCAACTCGTCCCACCTCCCCCACGTCCCTTCCTCCCCGGGATGTGTTTCCAGATACCTCTCCACGTAGCCCAAATAGAACATCTCTGCATCTCTCCTCTCCCCTTCTGTGATGGGAGTGGAGTTGAAGATGGAAAGCCCGGGGATCTTTGCGATTATTATGGACCTCTGAAGAGATGTTTGATGACTGACGGATAAGGAAGGGGTTTCAGGCGGTGCTGGCGCATCTGACTCATGAGGAGTATTCGGGAGGGAGAAGCGGAATGAGGTTAGGCTAGGGAAGAGGGAGGGAAGAGCGTCGATGGATTCCCAAGAGGTAAGTGACGAGCCTAGAAGGGTAAGACGAGTGATATGTGGCAATCGTGCCGAAGACCGAGGTATGGCAGTGACGGGTGTGAACGATAGATCCAGTGACTCCAGACTGGTAAGGTCAGTATACAGCTTGAAGGACATCACAGAGACATACCTGTCGAAATGCGCTATGAAACTCATGACTGTGTCCCAGCTCTCGAGCGGGCATCCACCAAGCTTGATCTCTTTCAACACCTTCCACGCGCTCAGGAGTACCTCTTTTCCCCCATGGTAATACAGGTTGCGCAAAGTTTTATTGGCTTCCAAATGAAGCACTTCTAGTGCCGGGAAGAGGCGTGCCAAGCGAGGGATCTCTGTGCAAGGGAGAGAGCAATCGGAAAGATGGAGTTCTTTGATTCTACTGAAAGCATTTCCATTCGTTGGTCCAGAGTTGGGCAAGGGATCATACTTGGAGTGACTGTGATTCTAGTCAGCGAAGTGCCGCTTACACGCGCAAATGAAACTCGCCTCAGAGTCAGGACTTCCAATCCTTCGAAACAGCTGGCAATATCCGCGACCTCTTCCCAGCTTCCCAGAAGATTCGCTTCCAGTCCCAACCATTTCACGCCCTTCAGCCTGTCCTTCATCTTGGCCTTTACCTCCTCATTCCCTCCTCGTCGACTGATGGACTCCGTACCAAAACCAATATTACGCAGCTTCTCAAAGTTGTTGAGCCTTTGACGCGCCTTGTGGTATTTTGCCTCGACGACGATATTGCCATTCGAGGAGCCTAGTATGATCTCTTCTTCATCCTTGCCCTCACTTTCTTGAGAGTTTGTTTGTGATGCTGGATCAAGGAGTCCGTAACGCTCTTCCAAACTCTCTACGAGGCTCTTGCCTTCCACGATCTCTTTCCCCGTTTGGTATTTCAAGAAAGCACCGCTTCCTTCCTCTCGCGTGTCGAAAAGTCGAATACCTTGGAATGTTCCAGAGTGCTTCCCCAATGTCGGATCGTCGTACTCTATACCAAGCCAAACTTGTTCAGATGTGAACGAAGACGAGGGGTCACTGGAGGGAGGTAGAGGCCCGATGTAGCGGAGGGTGAGAGGACGGCGTGATTTGGCGTGAAGGTAGCGCCTGTGTAGCGTGTACGGAGGTGTACTAGAGGGAGGCATGGGGGAGCAACAGAAGGCAGTATTCAGAAAATGACGAATAGTTTGAGAATCAAGAGCTGCTGTGGCTGAGCGACGGATGGCCGATGACGGCGGTCAACTCCGCCAGGTGGACCTATGAACTCTCTCCTGTCTTTTCGCATTCTCATCACCCCCACACACATGTCAAGAGCTCATCTTCAGGACAGCCAATACGACAGGGCCCCGCCCATTCAACGTCGTTCATAATCCACACCTTTTTTATTCCAGTAAATTGCTATAACAGATACAACCAAGACCAAAAAGATTCCTTAATCCACGCCACAAAGCCGCCAAATCCTCTTCCATTCCAAGATACGGTTCCTTACACAAGCCGCCAAAGGCAACATGAACGCTCAGTACCCAGCGATGAGGTCGGGGGTGTTGACCCAACGAGGGAGCTGGAGAGCTTCAGCCTTGGAGGTAGACTTGGGGTCGTAGTATGGTTTTCTGTATCCCATGTAAGCACACATGTAGTGTCTATCTTGGAGGCAGACTTACTCTGCAAGAGAAGAGACTCGAGTGCCGTGGCGTTCACCATCATAGTCATAAGACACCGTATGGATCGTCGTTCTCTATCAACCTCAAGTCAGTCTTGCCCTTCAAGAACACTAAACAGAAAGACGAACGTTGTCCCAGATAGCACTCGTTCCCGGAGTCCAGTGCCACCTGACTTGAATATCGGTCGACCTCTCATACACTCCGTAGAGGTATTCAAGGATGGTGTCAGACTCGGGTTTGTCGAGGCCTTCGATACTTGCTGTCATCGCTCGGTTGACTATCGCCCATGTTAGGTGTATACTCAAGAAGAGAAGATAGAAAGGACGCACTCCAGAGGGCTTTCCATCCGGTGACGGGGTGGGTACGGACGAGAGGGTGGACGCGGGTGACGTATTTGGCGTCGCCCTCGGGGTCGTTGGCGTCCTTGTACTTGTGGGCGGAACGATAGACGCCGCTGTGGGAAGTCAGTCAGCTTGGGGTACATGTCGGGCAAGATGCAAAAAGAGAGACATACTTGAGACCGTCGATGAGCTTCTTGAAGGTTGGAGAAAGCTTGTCGTAGGCGGCGTAGCCGGACGCCCAGAGGGTGTCACCTCCCTATAGATATGGTGAGTACTCGAAGTCAAGCCAGGGGACCTACTCACCACTTCGGGCACAGTGTCTTGATGGAGGTGAGTGTATCCAGGAGGGAATGCTATACCACCCGTCAGTCGCCGTGTCGCAAAGACGATCCACGATGCTCACGCAAGTGAACGAGATCGGTGTGCCACCCGAACTGTCCGCCGCCGTACGGCACACGGTGGCTCCTACCATCCTCAAAGCCCTTGAAGGCTTTTTCCCAGATAAGAGAGACACCAGAGTCGAGGCCGGGGACTTGAGCTGCTTGGGGGTGGCGCTCGATCTCACCGTCACCAAGGTATAGACCGAGGGCTGCTTGTTCTTGAGGAGAGATGTCTTGGTCTCGGAAGACTGGAGAGACTTAGCCTTATCCTAGATATGGTATTGCAGCACTCACAGACGACTGATCGCTCGGCGACAAGAAGGGCAAGCTCGTCCTTCTGCTTGTCGGTAAGATTCTTCAGCTGAAGTCCAACGATTTCAGTCTACAGAGAGTATGGTGATCAGCTCGGCCCTTCACAAGTAAGTTGCCAACTCACTCCGATCCAAGTACCGAGATTCCTGACCTCCTTGGCAGCGCCAAAGAGAGCCTTCTTCTCGGGGTCAGCCCTTGTGCCGGGGTCGACATAATCTCGCAAGCCGTTTTGGATCTGGTGTACATCCTGGACAAACTCGGGCTTGGGAGGGAAGTAAGGGTAGCCGTTAGAGAGGTCGATGCCTGCCTTGAGGTATCGCTTGAGGGTGTTGTCTGGGGGAAGGGTAATGTCAGCTTTGGAGGCCTGGAGGCGGGCCTTGAGAGACTGGATGCCCTCTGTGGAAGACTGAGCGGGCGGAGCGTCTACTGCGATGGGGGCCATGGTGCATGGGGGTTCCCTGTGGCCCGAGGTGCAGCTATATAGACGTTGAGGGATACAGCGTTTGTCAGCCTCCACTCATGCCATAGCTCACCATCCTGTGGCTGCACGGAGATGCCCGAGATCCTCAGCAGGTGGACACGGTTGGGCTTGGGACACGGCAGGTGGAGGATGGCGTGAGATGAGGATTATGCCCGCCGAGAGTGCCAATGAGATACCGTGCATTCGTCTCCCATCTATCCCGTGCACCGACCGAGCATGCAATGCATCCCGGCGGAAGTGGCACATATGCAGTAGTAGATTAGTAGGCATAACAATATGCATAGTGGAAATGCTTCAACTACGTAGGCGCGCCACACCCGAGAAGTAGGCATGCAAGCCCTCCGCCAATAACTTTGCGCGTTTTGCAGCCAATGTTTGGTCCCACTTTTGCGCATCTCGACCATCTACGCAACGAGTTCAGCCCACGCGGCTACACTGCGCCTGATACCAACCAGGTGATCTGGCCAAAGACACATGTCAGGGGATGAGGGCTACCGAGCTATCTAGGTGCGTGTATTAAACTCTCTCAAAGCCATGCTAACTCTGGGGACTAGGCTTGGAGAAATTCTGTGTCGTACAGCGATCCCAAGAGCTCGCGTTGTCGCCACCGCAAGTGTCGGTCAGACTCGATGTCTGCACAAACGGGTCAAGCCTACCTTCAGACACATCCCGAAACAGATTAAGCCCCATAGCGGGGATGACCTACCTCCTCTCAAAAATCTACTCCGCTCTATCCGAAAGAAGCAGCCCTCACCCACCAATCACATTATAAGAGCGCTCGAATACCCCATGGACCATGCCGCCCTCATCGAGATATTTCCCAGCATTCTGGCCTCGCTGCAGAATGCCAAATTTCGTAACAACTGGAAACTTATCCGCGCCTTGCTGCCCCATCTGGGCCGCTTGCGAGAGGTCGTGCTGCTCAAGAGAGTACTTGATATATGGATGGCAAAGGTGGAGCAAAGAGTAGAGCTCGCGAGGGTGGAGGGAGAGACGCTGGAGCCGGAAAAAGTGGAGAAATGGTACCACGAGTTTCTTGCCGAGTCGGCCTGGCATTTCTCCAAGGCCGATAGCTGGGTAGCAGGGCAGAGCGAGCCTCTACAAAACGTCGCTGTCCTCCAGTACCAAAGCACAGTACTAGTCAAGCATCTACTGCAGACTTTGGCTATGCTGCCTTCCTCGTCAACTTGCCGACTACATCTTTCCGCGCCTTTTTTCGAATGGCTTTTCGTCAAGCGGCATCTCGACTACGATTTATGCCAGACTCTGCTATCACATGCTCTGCATCACAAGATCCCTCTGAGCACAGGTGTCTACAGTGCCGCTGCCATGGTCGCTCTCAAAGAGGGTCATACCAGCGAAGCAATGGCGCTCATGAAGAAGAGAGAACAAGAAGGCGTGCGCGGATATATCGGGTCTGACGATCCAATCAAAGAAGAGAGAGAAAATGTGGCATCCGTCATTGCCAACATGCTCGTCGCCAAAACAGGCAGCTCGCCCGAAACCCTCTTACAAATCCTCGAACCATATCTCTCTTCCGAACCCCAGCCCCTACCCGATGCTTCTGAAGCTTGTAACGATATCGTCCTCTACCGACACGCCTGGTCTATACTCCTCTCGCGCCTCGCCAGAGAAAAGACTGTCACGTCTGAAACGCTCCTCGAGCTTAGTGAGACAATGCCCGTGAGCTGTACCGTCGGGCATACCATGACCTGCCTCGTGCACGGGCTCATGCTCCGCGGCGAACTCAACAAGGCTTGGCAGATCCTCAACGCGCTCGCCGATATGGAAAGGAATGCGACAGACAAGGAGCGGGGGAGATACTTTGACAGAGTGGCCCTTGCTGTTGGGGCGCAAGTCTGCCACGGCCTTCATGGGCTCGACGCGGCTATCGAGTATGTCGATAACTGGGCTTTACGGCCATGGCAGTCTTTGCCTTCACCGGGCCAGGTCGATAATAGTATCAAGCTTGACCGTGTCTGTCTCGACGTCCTCCTCGGTCTATGCAAAGCCGAAGGCGCCGTCAGCATCGCGTTCAGACTGTGGAAAGCGGCTTTGCCGAGGTGGGGCGTCTATGCAGATGACTCGAGCTTGAAGGTGCTCGTAGACGGAGCAAGGTATGCGAGTCAAAACAAAGAAATGTCTGAAGAAGAAGTGTTCAGGGAGAGATGGCGAGATATGAAAGCTGGATTCTCTTTCAGGCGCAAAGAGGTGGAAGAGGATCAATTCGAGGCGTACGATGCTGCAGGCTTCGCCAAAGGTCCCACGTCTGTCCTCCTTGATCCACCGAACAATACTTGGCATGACGAGCATCGCGAGAAGCCATGGCAAATTGCGAGGAGCGTGTTCAGGAAGGTGCTTCTGGGCAATTGGCCGGGGCTCAGTGATGTGGTATCCCCTTTGGACGAAGTGGAACAGACCATGATGGACCGCTTCAGCGCGCTCTTTGACGGTGACTCGGGGATAACCCACTCCACTCCTCGTCCTTCTTCATCCACTTCCCCCGACACACCTCTCCCCGCCCCGCACGCACCATACACCCACATCTGTCCTTCCTCATCAGCCTTCCACTCTTACATCGCCCTACTGGGGTACTACAGCCTCCCCCAAGAGATCCCGCTCAGTTTTGCGTGGATGCGCTCTTTGGGAGTAAAGCCAAAATGGGAGACATTGCGCTTGGGATTGATGTATGTGGGCGAGGCCGAGGGGCCGAGAAGGTGGGTCAAGGGGCCTGGAGGAGAGAGGAGATTGGTGAGGGATGAGGAGGTTCTGAGAGAATGGTTGCAGGGATGGTTGGAGGATGATTCGCGGAGTCTGGAAGGTAGTGAGATGAGCGTGCCGAGTGAAGGTGATGTGGCGGAGTTTAGGAGGATGTTTTCTAAGAGGAACCAGAGGATCACTGCCGAGTAGGCCCAATGCAGCACTATCAACACCTAAAGACGTCGTATCGCCTTCAAGGGTACAGCATCAAGTCATAAGCATTCATTTCGCGTCACAATGGCAGCGTATAGTACAAGATCGTAGGATTCCGTCTGGGGCATTCGTAGGTCTCGTAGTGGTCATAAATTCACAGTTTTGCAAGTCTCGTAGTGGTCATAAATTCACAGTTTTGCAACAGCCTTACTCGTCTCCCCCGTCGTCGGCACCATAATCAGCAGCCGCTTGCTCGAGAGTGGAGCGCTTGTAGATGGTTATATCATCATCGTCGCCTTCTGGAAGTCGCTCCAGTATAGCTCTGTAAATGTGATCAGCGAGGATCAAAGGCGCGTTGGGATTACTCATTCGCATTCACAAAGGAGCTCTGTGCAGTACAGATCGAGGTTCAAATCACAAGGATCCCTGATATGAGCATCAGTATCCAAACCGAGTAACCCCTAGGAGAGACTCACGTTCCGAAAGGCTGCTCAATCATCGCCGCAATCCCTTCCACTCCCATGAATGTCATTGATATACAAAACATGATGAACACCATCTTCCAGCCGGTAGAGTCGACAAGAGTGAAGGGAAGGATAAACAAGTACAAAGAGACAACCTGCTTGAGGTGGACGCAGAAGATGTAGGGGAGAGGGGTTTGGACACTGCGACATTGTCAGAAGGGCAAAGGGTGGGAATGATAGACTTGCATTCGTTCCATGGAACCTAGCTGGTCGGTCATGTTGGAGACGGCAGCTTGTAAAGCGTTCATACCCTTTTTCACGGTCAGCTTGATACTCTGTTACTCGGTAGCCACGTACAGCAGGCCCAATCGCTTCCAGGCAACCCATCCTCCGAAACTTGAAGATTGACCTCGAGATATCATGGGCTCTACCACATCAATCAGCAAGTCATTCTGGATCCCAGCGAAAACGTACATGATCAGAGGGAGACCCAGCTCCACCATCCTTCCAAGCCCGGTCTCGGCCTTCTTCTGCATACCCAGCGTCGTCATTGGATCCGGCTTCACTCCTGCTTTGATAAGGGGTGTCCTCTCATCAATCCTGCCTTGCCTGGTACGACTGTGCGAGCGGGAGTGCGTTTGCGAAGAGGAGTGATTCTCTGCGATATCTTCTGGAACGACCACGCGTACTGCAGTAGGTCGGCGCTTCATGAGCGTCCGGGGTCGAGATCCGGCCAGTGACTTGAGAGAAGAAGCCCTTGATACGATCCCTCCCAAAGAAGGGCTCGGAGAGACAGGCGCGTTTGGAGAGAAGGATGATCGAGATAAGCCAACGGAAGACTCTTCGTCTTCTTTTTTATCGCTCAGCTCAGAGGCGATAGACCTGGGAGATCCTGTCACCGCGGCTGCGTATGAAGGAGATTGTACGTTTTCAATGTTTTCTTCGGGAAGCGGCTGGAGAAGAGGTATGGAGGATTTGAGATCGGAAAGGTGAGAATTGGCAAGTCTCGGGGGTAGTAGACCTGGTGTTGTCAGTCAAAAGCACAAATTGATCGGATACAAAGGCTCACCCTTGAGGTCGTCATGATGCACCCCGCCTTCTGCTCTCAGGTGATGCTTTGTCGCCACCACAAAAGCCACGACCAGCCTGATCACCTTCATTTTCTCCAGCGTCAACTGTTCACGTGTCATAAGGGGCTCAGAGCCATCCGTGGGTGTCGGGGGAAGCGTCACAGCGACCCATATGTTTCGGGAAAGATTTCGAGCAACGGAGATGAGGGCTGTAAAGTCTTTGCGGCCTTCGGCGTATCGCTCATAGGCAGATGAGTTTCTGCGCCAAAATTAGCGCAGTCTACGCCACTCCTCCGTGACATTAGACTCACCTGAACACCAGGAGCAGACCAACAACGACACTGAGAAGTGGAACCACATTGTTGGTAAGCCCCACCTCCTTTCCCCACCAGATGCTCGCAGCCGCTACGCCGGCAGAGAACAGGGTGACCCAGAGCACCGGTCCAATGATGGTGGGTAGTATAGAACCTCGAAAGACGAGGAGATCGGGAAGCCATGAGATCTTGGATAGCTGGGGTCACTATTAGCTAGCTGGATCTGTAAAACAGCTCTGGACCGACATACCCGTGGTTTGTGGTCCTCTACGTCTTGCATGGCGAGCAAAGATGACAAGGTCGTGATAGGGAGTGACATTGTAATGCCCTGAGTGAGAGTAAGCATGCGCCTCTGACATATATACATTGTCTCGAATCCGCGCTACTTGAAGTACAAGGAAGCAGAGGCATATGTATGCGACCTGGCAGCCTTGCGCCGAGACCTCTGGACTTACCAGTGTGGAGATGCCGCTCGGCTCCTTGTTCTTGTCCTTGCTGCTGTCCCGTCCCGCGGGAGATGTGCTTGTCATGGTCGCCGAATTGGGAAAGAGAAAACGCCTCCCGGTGCAAAGACGAAAGAAACGACAAGACAATGGATGGATCGCGTCGTGAAGGACAACAGCTTCGGCGGCCGGTATCCCTGGAATGTTGAGTTATGTACTGTGGCGAAGGATGAAATAACGATAGAGAGAGCAAGAGAGCAAATACAGATACCTAGAATGATCTCGCAAATACAGATCTCCGTCCAATTCCACAACAAGCCCACCATATAAATCAACATGACATAAAGCCACGATCAAAGGCTGTAGATGAAGTCGGGATTATTCTGTTTATCGGTGAGGTCCTGGGATCGCTGTCAGTCACGGAGCTTCAACGGATGGTTGACACCTACCTCAAAGGCTCGCGCATTCTCCAGGTAATACTCTCCCTCTGCCGCCCTGCGAGATTCAATACCCTGACGTTTCTTCTTGTTTCGGCGAGCCAGTATCGTGCGGGTGGCTAAGGCAGTACATGACAGTGAGGATGAAACATCCGTCTACACCCGCCGGCCGCAAACGTTAGTAGTCGAATTCGCAAAGAGAAGTCATCAAAACTCACAAAGCGCTAGATGGATATACAGCGAGTTGAGTAGCGAGGAGCCCATCCCGACTGAAAGATCTGGGTAGAGACCGCGTTCCCTCCAGCCCAGCCTATGACTATTCTATGTTAGCATTCACGATCGGTCTAAAGGATATTGGCTTACATGTGACAGCATAGATTATGCTTTTCTTTGTCTGACCTGCAGAGTTCCTTGCGAAGAGCATCAAGGTAGCGGGGTAGCACTGCCAATCCCAAGTCAGAAAGGGCTTAGTCTGCTTGGATCATATTCACTCACAGCTCCGAAGAATTGCATTATGTGAAAAGCAACCACCAAACCACCCTTCGTCTTGTTACTCGGCTCGACAATGAGTAAAACTATGGTACCGATGATGTTGGGGATGGTGAACCCAATCATGGTGTAGCGCGTCTGGTTGGTCTTTCTAATGCAGAATCTTCACAGCTTATCAGTGGAGATCCGGTTTTTACAGCACTCGGAATTACTAACCCCAGAGTCAAGAAAGTTATCATACTCATAGCGCCGATTGGGATACTCAACAACTGGGCCTCCAGGTTTGAAAACCCAAAGGCCTTGGTGACGAGAAGACCAGAAAAGGTGCTGATACCCCTGACAGCTAAGGTATTAAAGACGCACAGAGCAAAGAGACACAAGGTGAAAGGGTCGGTGAAAGCTTCGCGAGCTTGAGCAGTGTTCCAATGTTTCTGTTTCAGACCCTGGCTGTTCGACAAAGTGAACCTTTTCCTCTTCAGTGGCCCAACGAGCTTTGGTAGGGGAATCGGGCAGTAGCGCAAAGATGATAGCTGAGTTTGAGTAAGCCAAGCTCCTTGAACCGTGGGGAATTATCTTACCAGCGCAGGTAAAGCTGACGAGAGCTGTTGCGACGTGAAGCCATTGCCAGCCACGGAACTTGTGGTCCCGAATATGGTAAAAGCCATACTGATGATATACTTTGATTAGTCCTTGGCCTTTTCTCGACAGTGCATAGATATGATGGACTCACAGAGATAAGAGCACTGATGGTCGTTGCAATGCCCACCATAGCTTGCCAGATACTGGTGACGAAAGGTTGTTCCTCAACTCGATACCATTGCACCATGACTGGGTGTCATTTAGTATGAATGCAAATGGTATGTAACAGACCAAACTCACGAGCTAACATGCAAGGGCTAACAACGGATTCCGTGAATCCCAGCAAGAATCGAAGTCCAAATACCGCACGGACGTTGAACGAGAACCCCAATCCGATCCGATCAGCTTTGTAGACGTTGCGTGTCAGCATGTATCTGATACTGAAGAGCTTCTTTGGTACTCAGTACTCACCACACTCCAGATGAAGATGCTGCCGGAGAGAATGTATATGAGGGAGAGAGTCTGGGGACCAGTTGACTCGCCTGAAAATCTCAGCGAGGGCAAGAGAAACGATAGCAGGAGATCGCTCACAAAGGGTTCCCCGGCGATGATACCGATCCAGAGCAGAGTTGTGGTAAGGCTAAAGTCTTGTCCCTTGTCCCCTACGTCTTCGATCCATCCCATAATCCTTACAAATGTATGGTCAGCCTGGCAGTGGACGACGACTGTAAAGTCGCTACTCACGAAGCCGAGGTCAACGTGGTTTTGTCGAAAGCCTGGCAGAGATAGCCGATACACAATATGGGAAGAATCCTATAGATAAGATGATAGCACTGATCAGTATAGGATAAAATGGGACGAGATTGTAAAACAACACACCTTCGATGAATCTTTGGTGTCAATCTGATGTTCTCAGCATCGGATATGATGATCGTCGGGTCCACATAGCCAGCGGCTTTTTGGTCGTTGACATGTTTGAGGCCGTCAAGGTCATTTGTGCGAATTTCTTGGTGGTTGATATACACTGTCGGTCCTGCCTTGTCGTCTGTGCCTTCTTTGTTGAGACTGTGGGAAGTTGTGAGAGCGGCCATATTGAAGAGTTGAGGAAGAAATCGAGACGACCAGAAGAAGATGTATGACCTTGAGCACCTATATTACCGGCAACAGAGAATTACAGCAGTCAGGCGGAAGACGGAAAAAATAGAAGAGAGAGGAGAAGGTTCAAGCGCTACATTTATACATCTGTCAACGGGTAGGGGAGAAGAGTGGGGAAGAAAGAAAAGCATCAGCAGACGGAGTACGATATGAACGATATGAGGACCATGATTGATCCGGATATCCCCTGCTCCAACTCACAGTCGCGCCAGTCGCACTGCTGTCGAACAGATTCTTTACGTTATAATTTTACGTTACGTACGTGCCGCTGGTCGCTGAGCCGCCGTCGGGCCGTATATCCATATCCACCGGTTTTGACCGGTGCCTTTGGGCTATGCTCTAGTGCCCCCTTAGAGGCAATTAGGTGGCAGCCCCGCCTCTGCCATGCTTCCATGCTTCATGTGCAGGTATATTCACGGGTAGAGTGGGGTGGGAAGTTGTCATTCGTTCCCGTAGTGGGGATGACGTTGCGCTCTGAATGATAAGCAAGTTTGCCGCGCGCCTGTACTCTACGAGTACGAGTACTGTGCATCCCCGCTGCATCTACTCTGTGGATGTCAATGTCTGATTCTCTACTGCTGCTGTGGACAAACTCATCTCTACACGTAACCTACGGGATTACGATTACCCGTCATTCAACTTTACTCTTTGACCGACGTCCTGATAACACTTTCTTCCTAGCTAGCCTAGATGTAAGTATCCTCGGGCAACCTCAATCCATCGTTGATTCCAGCACCCATTAACCTCCCTCCGTCTACCGTCAACAATGCCCCGTCAAAGTAGCCACCCGCCGCAGATGAGAGAAGGAGCACAGGACCGACAATCTCTTCGGGCCTGCCCGCTCGACCTGTATGCCATTGTCAGTTATCCTACACTTGACTGAGGATTGGGGATGATGCATACCGACGGTGCTCCTCTTGGCAGCCTTGCCGGCACCATCTGCCAAATTATACTCGTGCCCCTCACCAGAGTCATTTTTGCCAGTCATCTCCGAAGGGAAGATGCCGGGGCAGATGGTGTTGACTCGAATCTTCATAGGGTGAAGACGCCCTGCGAGGAGCTTACCGAGGTGGATCGCTAGGTAGAGTGACGTTAGCTGAGGGTGGCGATGGCTTGATGTGAACGACGCACCACCTGCTTTGGAGACGCCGTAAGAGACTGTTCCCATAGCTCTATAGGAATGGTAAGGGTAAGTACCATGGTTTTCAAGAGGAAAGGGGTGCACCTCTGGTTGGCGAGACCGGCGATAGAAGCAATCACAACGACGCTGGGGTCGTGATCTGACTTGCGAAGGTACGGGACAAGCGCAGCAGTGATAAAGTATACACCTGGGAGCAGCGGTCAGTGAGAGGCAGGACATTCATATAGAGGACAAAGCTCACCGTTGATGTTGACTGTGACATTTTTGGATAAGTGACGCACAGCGAGGCCACAAGGTACGTACTGGAGTTTGAGTAGTTGAAGTCGTCGCTACCGAGTATGAGCCAAAGATGCTCCATCTGCGTAGCATTTGGACTTACTCGTCATGCCCCTCCCACAGCAAGTTTTCAACCTCATCGGCTATCCGCTATTAGATGCTGTACGATCGATCGAGAGCCGAACATACCATTGTCATGGCTCTTTACTTGAGTCTTCCATCCTCGCATGACTCCAGCGCAGTTGATCAGTACATCGAGCTTGAGGCAGGTCGTCAGCTACAGTCTTTGTCGAGAAGTGTACACGCCATACCTTGGACTCCTTCGTTCCGAATGCGTCTGCAATCGCCTTGCACCCTTCCTTGGTAGACACATCGCCTTTAATACTAGTCGCCGCCTCAGCTTGCGTTACATCCATGACATGTATTGACCACATACGCGACAATAGGTCCGCCAATCTCCTGGGCCGCGGCCTCAAGCACCTCCTGGCGACGACCGGTGATGTAGACTTTGGCGCCGTTTTGAATGAAGCCCGCTGTGATGGCTGCCATCTCATCATCAGCAAGCAGCTGCCATATACTGCAGCTGAGGATGCACCTACCCTTTCCGAGGCCAGTACCGCCCCCAGTGACAAGAACGATCTGAGGACGACAGTCAGTACTTCCTCTTCCTTGGCCCGGGTATAGATCCACACGACGTCATAGCGAGGCAAACTGACCTTGTCCTTGACGTTGAAGATGTTGTCGATCTTGAAAGACATGGCTGAGTGTCTGTATATGTTCCTGTCGCTGCTGGGAGGGAGGTGGCGACTTGACTACCTCGAAAGTATAAATAAATGGAACTCCTACAGGCGTGCTCGATGACTCCAGTCTCTTCGGACTTCACCGACAGCTTTCGGGTGCCCGCTCGCCCCCGGCCTGAGCGATTTGATGATGTCTCTCTGCTCAAAAAAGCCTCAGCGATGTACTGTACTGTACGAGGGCTGTAGACGACCAGTCGAGCCTTGGGGTATGCAGTTTGAGGCCTTATGCATCACCGGCCAACAGCTTCAAGAACTTTCTCACGCCGACCTTTGGACGGAGCCCGTGGCAGCCATATGTATTAGTCCTGTGATCGCTGAAATGGCACTTGATATCTTCGAGAATAATACCTTACAGCCTCTCGTGACCATGAGGGGGTATAAGCGGCCTTTCAGCCATCGACCGTCAGACTCGCGGCAACTGACGGGTAACGAGCTGCTGTGCCGATGACGTTGGCTCAAAAGTGCTACGAGCAGTCAGCTACAATCGACTTTTGACGGCGGTATCTATATACGCATGTCGCGGAGACGGTGGATTGGCATATGTACATATGTATAGCCAAAGCCGACCGCTTTGTCAATACCAGTGGCTGGTTGGCTGAGCTGGCTGGTGAGCCGAGCGTTTGCGTTGCGGTAGTCGCCGAACTGTCCTCCACTATGACGGCCTCCACATACGAGTACTGCTACAGCGGTCTCTCGACGTGACCGACTTTCCTTCTGCCTCGTTCTTTCTGCTCTTTCATCTCATCTTCAACGACCGGTATTGGACACCCTCGCCATGTCCAAAGTACCGCCGCCCCCAGACTCCAACGGGAACCCCCTCATCGCCCTCGCCGTCGCCGTCATCTACGCCATCCTCTATGTCCTCCAGGGTATACGCTATGCGGTTGGGCTGGTCACGATACGTGTGCCAAGGTAAGTTACAAGATACAGTCATATTCAATGCTCATGTCCCGTAGCTTGATTGTCCGCATGCTCCAATACAGCTTGACGATATCTCTCGGGTTTCCACACTTTCTGGGCCTGTTTGGTGTCGTCATGCTAGTACTCTTCTTCTTGATAAGATATCGCTACCTCACGCGGTATACCCAACTGAAAGAGCCGGCTCTACCCCCGCCATCGCCTACACTCGCAGACAGGCTGCTCCCCATGGACGCCGCTGCTCTTGGCCTCACAGACTCTCGAGCATCAGCAAGCTCCTTTCACAACTATCTTGACGACTTTCTTTCGGCAATTCGGATATTTGGATATTTAGAGAAGCCCGTATTCCACGAGCTCAGTAGGCACCTGCAAACCAGGAGGCTAGCTGCTGGTGATACCATGGAAATCGGCGGTGGAGAGTTCTGGTGTGTCGTGGAAGGCAAAGTCCAAGTTGTACGTAGGGTCTTGTAGCAATGGTCTCGACTGACGCGTCTACCAGTTTGCCCCCGACGCTTCTTACCAAGCGTCTCGTGCTTCCTCGCCAGGGCCATCCGGGAAACCTTACAACGGCTATCACTTGCTAAATGAAGTATCGACTGGCGGTACACTCTCCTCCCTGTTTTCCATCCTTCATCTGTTCACGGAAGACGTCAAGCTCTCGTGGAACTCTACTCCTGCGGACCAACAACAATCTCCACAAGACTCTGAGAACCTGGTCCCTTCCGTACCCATGCAAAGACAAAACTCGGATGTCAGCCAGTTTGACATGTCTGCCACGACCTCTCCCACTGAAGTCCCGTCAGAACTTCAACCGAACAAACCTTCGAGGGGGAGATCATCGTCTATGGGTACGGCTAGCGATACTGTTCGTGGGTCGGAGGATGGCGAATCTGACTCGTTCACCACCCCTTCCTCTCCTCAAAGAGCCCGATCTCAATCCGAATCTATTCAATCGTCTCCCGCTCCTCAGCCCTCGACGACCCCCGTGTTCAAGACCGACTTCATCAAGGACGAAACACCCGAGAGAAAGAGGTCGGCAAACGTAGAACTTGGCGGTGATGCTTTAGCGGGAACCATTGCTAGGGCTACAGAGGACACGACGTTGGCAGTCATCCCCGCTGCAGCGTTTAGAAAGCTTACTACCAAGTTCCCCAAGGCAAGCGGGACGGTAGTGCAAGTGGTGCTCGAGCGATTCAGTAGAGTCACGTTTATGACAGGTGAGCTTTCTTCAATGGACGCACGATACATGCTAACATAAGGAAGCCCACAAATACCTTGGCTTGACAAAAGAGATTCTGCGCTCAGAATCATCTCTGAATGCTCTCGTCTCTCACCCCCTTCCCCGCTCGTTTTACACTGGGGGCGGCATGCAAGCCCTCCGAGACCGATTCCAACCCGAAGCCCACGCGCACAAATCATTCAACTCTGCCGGTTCTTCTCCCGACCCGCGTACCGGGAAAGACTACTTCAACTACGTACCTGTCAGTCCGACTGTCAAAGCCCCCAGCTTGTATAATGGGACCCCAAAAGCAACTAGTCCCGCCCACAGGAAATCGTCTTGGGGCAAGGACTCCGTGAAGGGCTTGACTAAGGTGAACGAGAAAGAAGGTGAAGCGTCGCCCATCACAGAGAAGAGTAAAGACAGGAGCGTTCCTGGCGGACAGTCTACCAACCTTGCTTTCAGTCCAAACACCCGGCACCCCAGCCCGTTCGTGCGAAGGACGTCGGCAATGCGTAAGCAAGTAGGTGCTGGGGACCTCGCCCTTTCATCCTTGGCGGATGAGAACCAAGCGTACTACCGGCCTTCGGCTCAAACTCCAGGGTTTGCCAGGATGGATACATTCAGGGGAAGGAACAGCACTCAGTCATCGTATGACCGTCCTCGAGGCGCTCAGTCCGTTGAGACTCCGGCACCCTCGGAAGAAGAGCAGTCTGTCGAAGGAGAGATATTCAATTTGAAGGAAGCTGTACTGGAAAGTATCGTCAGGTCGATTGGCCTCACTCAACCAAGTGAAAGTGGACCTGAAGGCACTTATACTCCATTCGGGGGCAAGAGCTCTCTAGCCCCGTCCGTCAGTGCCCTGTCTACTCCCAACTCTCCCATGTTTCCTCCAAACTCCAATTTCTCCACTCTCTCCGGCCGTCACCGCCCCGCTGCACCAGCTCCACCCTTCGGCAATGTTCTTGACCTGATCAATGCGTCAAAAGAGAATGACGGAGTGATAGGCGGGATGTTGAGGGAAGCTGCGATGCATACGAGAGGAGTCGGGGATGATGAAGCATCGAGTATATCTGCTTCCATACACGACTCTCAGTTTGGATACATGGGTGGCTTGGGGGCCCTCGGTGGTCTTGGCGACAAGAAGGTGTTGAAGGAGCTGGAGAACCATGTGGAAATCTTGTTCTTCAAGAAGGGCAGTGTGCTGGTGAAGGAAGGTGAGAGGTCGCCGGGGATGTACTACGTGATCGACGGATTCTTAGAAGTGAGTCTCTTGCCTATGGGTTGGCATATGCTGACAATTGATAGACTTCTATACCATCCCATCAATCCACCACATCTATACCCAAGTCTGGTAACCTCAGCGAACGACCATTTGGTGCGGCGTTGGGGCTGGAATCGAAGGACGACGGATTGTCTGGAGGAAAGGAAGACGAAGCTCTGTTCACTGTGAAGCCTGGAGGTATTGCCGGTTACTTGAGCTCACTTTGCTGCACCGACAGTTACGTCAACATTGCGTAAGTGCACTATGCTACCGTACCGGACATTATCAGAGCTGACCTTGTCATAGAGCCAAGACGGATTGCTTTGTTGGATTCCTGCCTCATCATACCCTTCAACGTATCATGGAACGTCGCCCTATTGTACTTCTCACACTCGCCAAGCGCCTCCTGTCCTTGTTGTCGCCGTTGGTGCTGCATATCGATGCTGCGCTGGACTGGCAGCAATTGAATGCTGGGCAGGTCCTTTATGAGAAGGGCGACAAAGCTGCCGATTTCTATATTGTCATCAGTGAGTTGTCATCATCTCGGATAGTGAGAGTATGACTCACCATCTGTCAGACGGCCGTCTTCGAGCATACACCGAAAAGGACTCCCACATCAACATCCTCCGCGAATATGGTCAAAATGACTCTATCGGAGAACTTGACGTGATCACCGCCTCTCCTCGAACTGAGACAATTCACGCTATCCGTGATTCTGAACTCGTTCGTATCCCGGCAGCTCTCTTCGACGCGATCAGCGTCAAGCACCCAGAGACGACGATACAGTTCATGAAGCTGATCGCTGGAAGGGTGAGGCGAGCTGTCGGGGAAGAAGCAAGGACTGGTATTGCTGGCGGGAAAAGTTCAGCGCAGGGAGGTCTGGCGGGAAGTGTCGCTGGTGATGTCAATTTGAGTACGTCGTATCAAATCATCTTGCGAGGGCATTTTTCTGACTGGCATTGTAGAAACGGTCTGTGTCATTGGGTCTACGAGGAACGTCCCCGTCGCACAATTTGCCAGCAAACTCAAAAACGCATTGGAAGAAGTGGGTGCTTCAACATCCTACCTTGACCAAGCGACTGTAATGCGGCATCTCGGGAGACATGCTTTCGCTCGTATCGGGTGAGTAGTCCTTACTGTCATTTATTCATATATATTCTGACCTCGCGCGCAGTAAATTGAAGGTAGCCGGGTGGCTGGCAGATCAAGAGCAACATTACCGTACTGTGCTCTATGTCGCGGACTCACCTCCTACTAGTCAATGGACTCTTACGTGCATTCGCCAAGCCGATCTAGTACTGGTGGTGTCTATGGGAGATGATCCCTCCCTTGGCGAGTACGAGAAACTATTGTTGGCGACGAAGACCACTGCGAGGAAGGAGTTGATCATGTTGCATGACGAGAGAACTGTGGCTCCTGGGTCGACGAGGAGGTGGTTGAGTGTGCGTCCTTCTTGAAGTTAGTACACGCTTCATAGCTAACAAAGACGCAGAACCGCCCATGGATCCAAAGGCACTATCACGTCGAGCTTCCCGGGGTCGTCACTCCTGTCCGCCCAGCACCTACGGTTCACGATCCTGCTGCGATTGCAGCCTTCAAGCATCTTCGAGAGCGAGTGGAGACGCGTATAAGGAAATACCGCGGTCTGCGTCCCTTTGCCCGTCCTCGCCGACCACCGCACATGAACGATTTTGCGAGGATTGCTCGTCGTCTATGTGGGCAACAGATTGGTATCGTACTAGGTGGTGGTGGTGCCAGAGGTATCTCTCACATAGGCATGCTCCAGGCGCTCGAAGAATACGGGATCCCCATTGACGCCATTGGGGGCTGCTCCATCGGCAGTTTTGTCGGTGGGCTCTATGCAAGGGAGACGGACCTCTTGGAGACTGCTGGGAGAACAAAGCAGTTTGCGGGGAGAATGGGGTCAATGTGGAGAATCCTGAGTGACGTGACGTACCCTTTCGTGGCTTATACGACCGGGCACGAGTTTAACCGCGGAATTTGTGAGTCTACTATCATCTACTGCCAACTCAGTATCTGATATCATCTGGTAGACAAGGCTTTCTATAATACACACATCGAAGATTTTTGGATTCCCTTCTTTGCCAATTCAACCAACATCACTCACTCAAGGATGGAGGTCCACCGTACAGGTTATGCTTGGCGCTACGTTCGAGCATCCATGACCCTTGCGGGTCTTCTCCCTCCACTGTCTGATAACGGCAATCGTGAGTCGCTGGTGTCTTCATCATGACTTGAGCTGACCCATCACAGTACTTGTGGATGGTGGTTACATGGACAATACGCCTATCCAACCTCTGCGTGACCAGGGTATCCACCATGTCATCGTTGTGGACGTCGGATCAGTGGATGATACTTCTCCGAGAAACTATGGAGACTCTGTGTCTGGATGGTGGATTTTCCTCAACAGGTGAGCTCCCCAGGTGGACAATCAGGCCCTTCGAAACTGACATGTATTCCAGGTTCAACCCCTTCTACGAGAGGAGGGTGCTATCAATGACAGAAGTTTCGGCTCGACTTACATAGTGAGTTCTTGATGTTCATAAAGTAGCTGCCAGCTAACCATCTTGAACAGTGTGACGTCCGTCAAGACCCTTGAAGAGGTCAAGGTCGACCCCACTTGCCTTTACCTCCCTATGCCCTGCCAGCAATTTGATACCCTTGGTGGCTTCAAGCAATTCTCCGAAATTCTTGCTATCGGACTCAAAGCGGGCAGGGAGGGACTGAAAAAGTGGAAAGAAGAAGGGAGGTTGCCCACCGGCTTTGTTGATGAAAACAAGGCAAAGGGCAGGGGAGGAAAGGTGGATAAGGGAAACAGGTTGAGACGCATGTCCATTTAGACAATCATAGTTGCGCATTTGTACTGTACGAGTATCTATTTAGGCATCATGTCATTCATCATGTACAACATTGAAAGCACTATTACACAAATTTGTACTTGTCACAACTTCGCTGTCACCCTCTAGACAAGTCTAGCCCCTCGCATCGACTCCAAGCCGACCAGGGGAGATGCTCATTCCCTCCAGACTCGTGCTCAGACCGCTATCCCTGCTCTTCTCGCCCCATGCCCTTTTTCTGTGATCTCCATACGACCCAATCTTGAGTGGGAGGGGCAATCCGCGGTGAGGAAGGTGATCCTCCAGCTCAGAATCCTCATTCATCTCCTCTTCATCCTCTTCTTCTTCCTCCTCATCGTCCGACTCATCCTCGGAATCAGAGTCGAGATCCTCGGCGACTTCACCCCATGTCCTATACAACCCTTCCACAAATTTTTTCGATTTGGGAAGATCGTAAGGGTCAAAGGGGAAATACGAGTCCAGCCCAGCCTCTACGTTGACCTGCCTCGCCTGCCTCGGCAACGTTTGTGCCGCATGTCCCGCGACGCTCGCGGCGGAATTGCGTGCCATCCCAGATCCCGAATTACTTCTGCCATTGGGAGGCAAACTCGACTTGGCAGTGGTAGAGATTGAGTGGGATGAGTTGGATCGAGAGTGGGAGGATTGAGAGTTGGCTCCTAGGATGGAGAAGCAGTAGGCGAATTGGGCTTTTTGAGCGACCTTGGCGAAAGTCTGGACGATTGTGGGGTTACATCCCTGCGGTAATGTCAGCGTCGATACTGGTGAAGCGAAGTGAGACGTACGAGAAGAGGATTCAGATCGCTAAAGATGGCTCTCTGCAGAATATCCAAGTCTGCCATCCACTTGCCCTCTTCCCCACTGCCAGGCTGCAAGCCTTCCTCGCCATCCATATCCATGTCCCCCACGATCCCATCGCCCTCACCCTCCCCAGCAGCAGCTGTAGCCGTGAACGCTTTCCACCGGAAGCAGAAAATCAACATCACCGCCTGACACACGGCATAGAATAGCGGCAGCTCATCGACACCTTTCCCAGCAAGCACCCGCGATTGGTGGAGTTTACCGTCAATGTAGGCGAGCAGGTAGGTGAGGACTGTGCGCGCTTGCGAGTCGGAGACGAAACGCGCACGACAGACGATGGAGCCGATGTATACTGTCGCGGCGGTACGCTGGTTCATACTCACATTGCCCAGACCTGGGATCGCAGGCGAGGGCTGAGAGTTGGTGGCGTACAGCGCTTGACTGACTAGGAGACCGAGGAAAAGGTCGGTGTGCGCGGGGGAGAAAGATGATGTAAAGAAGAGAAGGAAGGGGATATGTTGGGTGGCAGATGTGGGGAGGATTTGGCGAGAAAAGAGGTTGAGCAGGGTTTGGAAATGAGCCAAGCTCTGGGCCTCGCTGACGGGTCGGCGAGGAGCGAACGGCGATGCCGGTACCTCAAAAGTAGGTGTAGATCTGCCTGATGAAGTAGAAGAAGCCAGCCCTTGAGCAGCGAGGTCGACAGCTGAAAAGTGCGGATAGCTGTTGCCCATGTATTCCGAAATGTGCCGGAAAAAGTGCACAAGCATGCCGTCCAGCTTTTCTCGCATTGATTTGACGTTGGCAATCTTCTTTTGCCTCTCTGCCTCCGCTTTTCTGTCATCCACGCCCTCGTCATCAGAATCTCCGCTTTCAGCACCGTCTGCAGAGGACAGGTCGTCGGGATCGGGGTCGCCCTCCGAGTCCTCATCGTCGACGCCTAGGGAACCAGGGAGATCGGGGGATAGAGAGCGTGGACGAGGGAGGTCCTGGGATATGGGTAGGTCGAGAGGGTCGAGGTATGCTTTCGGGAATTGTGGCATGTCTTCAGAGTCGCTCTCATCGTCCGAGTCGTCCTCGTCATCCTCTGTTGAATTTGTGATTTCCACCTATTTTGGTGTAAGACGGAATCCCGAAAGAGAATGTATCACTCACGTCTATTCTCAACATCCGTCCTACAATCTCGCCCCAGACTCTCCCACCGAGCTCGGGACAATACCCAATCAACTCGCAGCAGTTCCTAACCCATGTCGTTTGCGCCACTTCCGGTTCGCGCTTGTTTGGGAAATTTTTGATGAGAAGTGGTTGAATGACATTCGGAAGCGTAGGAATCAGGGATATCAGGTGAGACAGGAGGAGGTGATGCCGGGCGTGGAATGTTCTGCGTGGCAGAGACGTCGCAGTAGGATGGGTCGGTTCTGGGAGACCGTCAGTGGGGCATCACACGACCCGAAGCGGTTACTCACGCCAAGTCAACCCCTTCACTGCCATACCCACAACCTCCTTCGCCCACCCGGGCTGAGCACTGACAAGCACTGCGGCAAATCCAATGAATGTCTTTACAAACTTTTCATCGCCGGTGGCCCATGGGAGGCTGATGATTGCACTGACCAGCCCGCTGTGGACGTCTGGGGCCAAAAGGGAGACATGCGCAGATACAGCTCGCAGAAGCGGGAGCAGCGGTGGTAGCAGAGGGATAGGCTGGGTAGGCGTGGGCAAGAAGTGGGCGAGGAGGTCGTTGTAGTGCGATAGATTTCCCTGCTTGGACTCCTGGAGTGCTTTCGGGACAAAGACAGCGATGAGCCCCTTCTGGAAGGCCTCCCGATCCTTTGCACCAGAACTGGTTGTCCGTCCGTCTTTGCTGTCCCCCGTGCTCTTTGTCCGCCGAGGTCGAGTCTTGGAGTCGCCGTCTGACTCTCTGGGGCGCTTCCGACCAGCGAGGGACGATGCGCGGGAGGAGGATGCGGTGGGAGAATCGGTGCTGAAGGGGGCGGTGGGAGGGGGCATGGGGGGCTTTGCCTTTGTGTGTTTGTGGAGGGGGGTGAATGCGAGGGCGGACGAGGGCATCCCGCTGGTACATACTAAACAGAAATTTTGGACATTATTCGGAAGAGGACATGGGCGCTGATTATGTAACAGACATCCCACCGCGAATGGTAAACCGTCCGTATGAGAAGAATCTTGATCTATTCATCTCTTCATCTCTTCATCTCTCTAAAGGGCCATCTCCTGGGCACAGCAAGCAGCAACGGAGGTCTTCAAGCCCTCCGTCTTGACCAGCAAAAAGATCCTCTCCTCTTCGTATGACCTCGGCAACCCGGCCCGTCTCTCTGGTCCACCTTCTTCTCGTGACAACGGCAAACTCTCGCGATGGGATTGAACTTCCTGCCACCTTATAAGTACAGTCACCACCATGGAGGATCAAATTACCAGCTTCAAGAACTTGATCAATGAGTTCCTCGCAGCATGACCACCGCCATGGGGCTGCTAGATGACCGCGATATGCTTATGGTAGCTGTAGGACGAATCATTCGACGTGGACGTAATGGTGTCCGTCGCTCTTGCAGTGTATCAACAGGCTGCATGAAGCAAAGGAACGGGTAGGGTGCAAGTTTTGGTCCAGAAATACTGGTAGATGGCCAGATGGCCATTGATGCGAGATGTTGACTGACCGCCGCACGTGGCATGAGACAGGTCGGGTGTGACTTTGCTTTTATATAAGTAAGGGCAATTCTTCTTTTGCACCTATATCTTCTCCCCGTTTCTTCTTCTTCTTGTGCCCCTCCCTCCTTCATCTCTCCTCTCCCTCCTCTCCTTCCGCCATGTCGCAACCAAGCGAACCTCCCTCGACCCCGAGCATCCCTCACCAAGAACAGGAGCCAGCCTCCACCGACAAAGTCGCACCGAATCCCAGTACCCCTCCAAAGACACCCACTCGCCAGCATGCATTCCAGCCAAACACCCCCCGCACTCCCCGCACCCCCTATCGTCCCCGCTTCACCCTTGTGGACCGCTCCCCCAACGGACGCTATGTCGCCCGTTCTCCACCCTCCGAGGATGACCCAATCACCGTTTGGGGTGTCGTCATCACCATCTTGTCTTTCAAAGAACAGTTCGCACTGTGGGACGAGATCAAGCTTGACAACCGCCTTCTGCAAGCCGAGGACGTCCACGCCGGGCTTTACACTTGGAGGATGGACAAGAAAGAGGAGGATCTGGAGATGAAGCTGGGCGACTGGCTATGCGAGCTTCGCCAAGAGCTATCACGCTGGCTGGAAGGAGAGGGGTATGTGAGGTTCAGGAATACCATGTCGCAGTTCTGGATGAGTGTTGAAGACGATGTGACTGGCGAGATTGTCCGAGAGGTGAGCCCGAATGCCTCACAATCGCCTCGTGCTGACATATTACCACAGGGCTCTTCCGACCCTCAGCTTTACAGACCTCTTCGAGAATGGTTCACCAACCTCAGCAACCAACACTACCCCGCCGGCCAGTCTCCTAATCCTGTCCCTCTCCATCTCAAAATCACCTGGGTCACACCTGCGCCTTTCTGCCTGGTCGGCCTCAAAGACCACACCAGCGATGTCGCAAGGAGCCTCGATGTCACCCAGAAGGGAAAGATCACGCGGGCCGAGGCGAACCGTTGTAGTCTGGCAGGGGTCCTGCTCCCGGACGATCGGATAATCCTTCTGGTCGACTTGTGTCTCAGAAGCAAAGTTACTCGCAAATCCTGGGATGCGACTTCTCGTCTCACAGACTACAAGTGGGACTTGCGTCCAATCTCTCCACCTGTCCCGACCTCTGCGGATGAAGATGTGATTCGGGCTTCCATTCCCGAACCCGTCCCTTACTCATTTGACCGAGTACATGGCGATGCCAGCGGTGGGGCTCCGCCCTACATGTTTACACGCCCCTACGCCGAGTCCTACAAACTTGGCGATGAGGACCATTATCACGAACAAGAACCAGACAAGCAGAAGGCCCTATGCATTCTCGTGCGCCTCACCAGGCAACTCCTCGCAGAACCGCCAAAAGAGAAAATCGAGATGCGCTACGTCTCTCCCTCTCGCGACCCAGAGTATTTCGTGGACGGGGCAGACCCTGTCTCGCCCTCTCCCAACTCTGAAGCACCAGACTCGGAGAAGCCTGAAGAATCCGGGACGGACCCTGTGTATCTCGAGAACGCGCCCCCCTCGGCGTCCATCAACCAGGCCCATGGTCGCTTGCCTCTCAAGCCCGACCCACTCGCTGCTCGCTCCTCATCATCGCCTTGCAAGGCTGACAGCTCTTCTCCTCCTGCGTCGCCTACGACCCCTACTCGGAGACGCTTCTTTCATCGCAAAGCGTCGGGGACTGGGATTGGCGACAGTCCGTCCAGCCCTCATGGGCCGTCGCCCTTGTCTGATCCGCACTTGAAGAGTCAAAAGGGTGGGATGCAGATCACAAAGCGCATGCCTCCACCTCCCCCGCCCACCTTCTCGCCTCCTCAAAGCTTGCTGCAGCCTTCCGGTGACACTCTCCTATCCGGTGGTAGCGCGCCTGAATCACCAAGTTCACGAGACATCACGTTGGACTCTACAACGTCACTTGTCTCCAGCGCTTCTTCGTGCACCACTATCGATGATTCTTTCGCCCTCCCCTCTTCCGAAGCTATCGATGGTACTCGTCAGGCGACCCCCTCCAAGGCTTTGCCGAAGACTCCTTCAAAGACCACCGCCGGCGATTCTTTCGGTCTTCCGCCCTACGTTTACACTGTGGTTATCAAGCCCGTCATCAAGTCCGTCGAGCTTGCCAAAAACAGCAAGTCTACCAAAGACACCACCCAGTCTGCCGAAGACACCACCCAATCTATCAAAGACACCAACAAGTCTGCCGAAGACATTACCAAGTCTGCCGAAGACACCATCAAGTCTACCAAAGACACCACACTCCAGACCCCCGGCAAAAAGACTAGAAGGCTTCTACACAAGGTCTCTTCCTACTTGTCTCCTAAGAAGAGCTGGTATGGAGGGCATAAGGAGAAGGAGCGTCAAGAGAAGACTGGAGAGGAGATGAAGCGCCAGGAGAAGATTGGGGACAAGACGGGAGCGGAGACTTTGCAGGTCCAGAACGAGGATCAGGTCGAGTATGATGACACAACCTGCGAGCCCCGGGGTCAAGTCGAAATCGACCGCGCCGTTGCGCCCGAGGGCAATGGGTAAGGACGTGAAGCACCTCGAATTTACGTCAGAGACAATGGCCGAACAGAGACGAGTTCAAAGTCTGAAGGGAATGGAGTCGACGGTGGGGCAGTCGAGAAGAATAGTTGGAGACTTGAAACTACAGGCTGAAGAGCGGAGAGAGACACTATATGAGGAGGTTGTATCGGACTATCGCTTTGTAGCGCTTTAATTGACACTAACATTATTGTACTCGTTGACCTCACTGTCATGAATTCGTTACTTGCGAAACATGATAGCGTGCCATGACGAAATTCATGCGAGCCTGGAGAGGTGAATGGAAACATCAGAGCACGAGAGTCCGTATGATGGTGTCTACTCCTCGCCGTCTGGGTCACTCTCGTAGATCTCGTCTGCGACTTCGTCCCCCATAGGCGGCACGACACTCTCCTTCAATCCACTCGCGATAGCAACTCGGCGGAAGAGACGTTCGTAGGCGTATTGCGCGGGGTGTATTTCGTGATGATACCAACTATCACCAAGATATCATTAGCTGGGGTCTGGCGTGCGCATGGGTCTGACGTACTAGTTTACTGCCACCACCAGCCCTTCGTCGCCCTCCTCCTGCTCTACACGATGCCACCAACCAGCCGGCAGGTAGAGCGTCTCTCCCTCTTTCAATGTTATTCTGATCTTTCGAGATGATTTGGGCGTCTGTTTGGAAGCCACCCAAGGGATCTTTGGAGGTCCGTCTCTGCTGGAAGAAGAGCTCGATGAGGAGGACGAGGAAGGGCGAGCCAGGGCGGGGTCGAGGACGGGCATAAGGTTATTGTTCTCGTCGCGTTGAAGAGTTGAGGGGGCATAGAATCGTTCTTTTGTCAACCATCAGCTCAGATTCCTATCAAAGCGAAGACATGCACTCACGTTTCAGGTGGGCGGTCTCGATCGGAGGTAAGAGTGTGAATATCTTGGATCCAGCAAGGACATGATATATATTCTCGAAACTACACGATCCAACGTCAGCGTCTTTGCAGTATACAACAAAGCGCACGTACGGATCATGATGCAGGGACGTAGTGCTCCGACTATCGCCAATCCAAAGATTCACAGCCTCCGACTCTCTGCCTACAATGTCGTCAGGTAATTTCAGACATAGTTATGCAATCTAGCGCACCGACAGCTCCTTTCATCCATTCGACGTCCCTGTTGATATACTCTTGGAACATATCCAGATCTTCAGGATCGCCGGAATAGTGAGGCGTGTCTCGGTAGATGTTGCCGTCCTGGGATTGGAGGTAGTATGCTTCTCGGTCTTCTTCAGGTTTCCTGTTACCTATGAAAGTGTTAACGAGGAAACATATCACAGAATCGGAGACTTGCCTAGACGAGACACCAAGTCTTTGACAGTCATCTTCGCATCGAGAGCTTTGACAAACGTCTTGCGTCCATTGGGCAACGTCCTTACTGAATCTGCCCATCTACAAAATCCTTCCTCCAGTCAGTTTCTTTCTTGCACTCCAGCCTAAATTCTAGAGCATACCCATCGTCCGTGACAGCAACAGTGACCTTCTTACTACCCGCTACATCCTCATAAACCTTCGACTTGCTCCAGTCATGCCCTTCAGCGGATTCTGAAAGAGGTGAGACCCCTAGTGCTCTGCGTCAGCACTATCTCTGAGACCCAGATATGTACAGCTCACCTTTGATAACACAAGGATGCCCATTATGTATCATCCTCAGAGCTTCCAAAGCTGACGGTGGCGTCTCCATGATCGTCGCTTCTCTCGGGGCCATATCTAAAGGACAGTCAACTTCGATTTCGATTTCTCTCGCCAAATGGTTTACCATAGTAGTCCTCTACGCTCTCCTCTATTGACCTCCTCAGATCTCTAGAAGGGACATCGCCGTTTACCGTCTCTTCAAAATGGTCGAGATGGTCGAGATCATAGGGGTCGTATGTGGAAGAGGCGAGGCTTGTTTCAGAGTTGTATCGACGCATACTTGGCGGGAAAAGACTTTGAGACTGTGGAAACGCCTTCTTCAGTTGCGGGCTGGGGTGTGATAGTGGACAGGCTGTGAAAACGCTACAGAGAGCAAAGACAAAGCAAAGAACAAGTCTCAACTTTTGCGCATGATGTAATTCATGTTCTTAACCAAGTTTTTACGCAGTTGGACTTAAATTACTGATCTGTTTTGTTTGGTTCAGGGCCTTCAGCTGAGGTGAGCTGGGAACAAGCTCCAGTCCTATGACGAAGATTTCCCTCCCAGCAGTTCCTATCTCGTCTTTCAGAGCATTATCAATCAGCACGCAGAGGTCAGCACAATTAGTCAAAGTGGCCGCGCAGGTTGAGTCGAGATACTCAAAAGTACCAAAAAAGCCATTATACAAGTAAGTATGGTTCACTCAAATGAGATGCTCAGGATCACAGAATGTATATACATATACTTGACGAGCTTATACGGTCAACAGCCACGATGCCGGCCTCTGATTATCTGTCTTCTACGGGGAACTATGAGGAATGAAGTAAAATGTGGTAAAAGTCTATGTAATCTTCTCTTGACCAAAAGTCCATGTATCCCTCTCTTTACTCAAAAGTCCATGAATCCCTCTCTCTCTACCTGACGGCCGCCCTGCCTTCCTTCCCGTTTCTACGCCATCGCCTCCAGCTCATCCCAGTAAAACGGCTGGCCCCCAGCCTCACAGGAGCTCCCCACGTCCATCATTCCCTCCAGACCCAAAGAGTTGTTGGTCATAGCCGGGCCAGTGAAGAGGGGCGCAGCAGGAGAGTCGGCGGGGAAATCCCAAGGACCTTTCCCGGCTACATCCATCTCAAGACCGAGAGTTGGGCCAAAAGTGGCGGGGGCCGGGCTGGCAGTGGTAGGGGCTGGCAGGGAGACGTGGACATTGCTCGCCGTGGTGGGTGTGGAGGTCACGTAGGAGCCAAAGGACCAATCGATCTCGGATTTGGCAGGCTGAGCTTGGAATTCTGGTATGGCGGCAAGGCCGTTGAAGCCATAGTTGAAAGAAGGAGCGGCAGCAGGCTGCGACTCGAAGGCGGGAGCAGGACCAGTAATGTTGACCATGGGTGAGCTGGGGGTCGTGAGGTTGATACTCGCTTGGGAGGAGGGCGCACTAATAGAGTAGGAGATGTTGGGGGTAGACGTGGAAGGAGTGAAGGAGGGAGTCGTGCCGGGAGAGGAACGGTCGCTAGAAGACTGCTCAAGAGAGGCAGCGGATGCGGGTTGGCTCGGTCCGGCCTGAACGCCAATCTGACTACGCTCAGGCGCAATGACCATCTTTTTACCATCCTCCGTGAAGATCTCCAGACCGAGCTCGATAGCCCTGGGTCTCAACTTCCCCTCGCCTCTACCCTCTAGCCAGAAACAGCACTTGTAGCCTCGGCTAGTGCACCTTTCGCAGCGGTACATAGATGTCGTCCACATTCCACTAATGCTCATGTCAGCCTCTTTGACCGGTTCTTGGATGAGATGGGGTGTACTCACACCTCTCTGGACAAGTCGACAGCACTCGCAGGCCATACTGGAGCGGGTGTGCTTCTTGGTGCGCTTGATGCCGGCCCGCTTGAGGTGGGCGGGGGTAGGCGCCTTGGCAGGGCTCTTGTTGGAGGGGTTTGGAGAGCGCTTTTTGCCAGCAGACTTTTGAGTGGGAGTGATGGGGGTCTTGGAGATGGCAGTGGAAGCAAATTTAGGTGTGGTGGGAGGAGAGATTGGGACGATAGAGGGCTCGCGAGTGAGGGATCCCGCAGTATCGTCGATGGTACCGGCCTTCTGTATCTATGTCAGCGCCTTGCCAGAGCTTGTTCGTGTAGAGCATGCTTACCTCGGGAGCGGGCTGGATACCAAACTGGTAGTTGAAGAACGCCTCCTGGCTCACTTTCACACCATTGATGAAAAGCTCCGCCTCGGCTTCCTCCTCGTGAGAGGGAGTAACAACGGTCCGGGCAGAGAGCTCATTTGTGCTAGGAGCAGGACAGGTGGAGAAGTTATTGGTTGGGGTATTGAAGGTGGTGGTAGAAGTAATTTGAGAGGTGGCGGGAGCAGAGATGGTGGCGATTGAAAAATCGCAAGTGGGGGATCCCGCAGTCTCGACATTGGCACCGGCCTTTTGTGCCCATGTCAGCGTCTTGCCAGAGCCCGTTCGTGTAGAGAATGCTTACCTCGGGAACGGGTTGAATGCCAAAGTGATAGTTGAAGAAAACGTCCTGGCTCACTTTCACACCATCGATGAAAAGTCCCTCCTCGGCTTCCTCCTCGTAAGAGGGTGTAGCAACAGAGTGGGCAGAAAGATCCTCTGTGCTGGTGTCGCGATAGGTAGGGAGGGAGAAAGGGAAGGGATAGGGGACCGTGGGGGAGATACCAGAGAAGTACTGGCTGTCAGAAGACATGGGTGATGGGTTTGGGTTTGGGTGTGGGTTGGTTTGGGTGTGAGAGTTAAAAAACGAGCGTGAAAGCGGGTTTCCGATAATCAAAGCTTGGGTAAAGGAGAAAAGAACAATTCTGAACGTCGAGGGGGGCATTATATCTGCTCCATGGGAAACGGCGTTGCCCAATTGGGACGAACGGAGGGCGGTACAGGGAGTTGCGGGTTCTTGGTCCGACCTCTGTAAAACCGCTCGTTGTCAACCACGCATCCGATTTTCTTCATTCCTGCACTGAAAGACGCGCCTCGACTGTGGCCATACGCCAGTACCCTATTCGCTTCGTAATACAACCTGCGAGCCGAGATATACGCGTTTGAGGGATAAAGAACTGAATTTTCGAACGCGTTCAGTGACGACTCTTTTCTCCAGGTACCATCAAAATACTCAAATTTTCCCACGCATTCTGGCTTGCGACCCTCGTAGGTGGACAGTGGAGCGCACCGCCCGGTCTAGCTTAGAGTGAATTACAAGCAGGGGGGTCGAGCAATGACGGAAGACTGAGAGGGTTGAGTGACGGGTCGTAACGGGGCGGGGCGCGCCGAGAATTTCTGTCGAGTTGAACTCGCACGACCTTGCCGGGGGGCAGCATCAGCCCCGCTAGCTCACCTTGACTACCCAGTGACCCCAGGACGAGCGCCAGGGCGAACTGGGTCGAATGGAACCAAGTATTGCGGAAGAGCGGGCATCAGGGTATCTCTGACGCGCTTCGCTTTAGCCTGATCTCGCGAAACGCTGATCGGGCATCAGGTGGATGGATATGAATGTTGAGCGATGGATGCATGGGATGACGAGAGGGGGGGTTGGGGAGGGTGGCAGTAGTATCTGAAGTGTGCATGTCAGCCTGGTGCAGGTCGGATAGGGATGCCAGCCATGCCTACCACTTAAAGGCGACATTACGCCCCGCTCAACGGGAAGCCGCGACTGTATCTCATGGCTCCATGTACCGCCCTTGATTGTTGAGCGTCTCATCGATGAAGTGCTTGCTACCAAGAGCATGTAGAGCCGTCTGGTTCCACTTTCCTAGATTGCCAGGGGCGAGGACCGAGCGAAGTGACCAGAGTGCACTGGCGTGCTCCATGTTTTCTCTTGTCTAACGACATTGATCAGCCTGGATCCTTGAGCTCTATGAATCAACTCTCACCAGAGCATTTGGGTCACTCTCTCTCCCTAAAGATGCTGCTTTAAATTCCCACAGGTCTTAAGTGATCTGTCCTTTGCTGTTCAGAGCACAATGCGTCGTCAGGGAGCACATCATGAGAATGCGGAATGCCCAAAAGTCTGCATTGATACCTGTGGCTATTCCAAGTCAGCATACAGACCAAGTATCACCCAGACACTCCTCTGACTTACTTGGGAAAGTACAGCAGTCATCTGCGCGTGTTGTCAGAAGAAAAGACGAACACAACAACCGTCGAACACACAAGAGGAAAGAGCCGACCACGTGATTGCGCCTATGACCTCTTACAATTTAGAAGTTAGACAGAGTCACAAGATTTGGAGACGTAAGACGAGCAATATTGAGTGTAATGCTGTATCGAGCAGTGGACGATTGTTGACGAGAGGTGCGACTTGGTTATGCGGGCATACATTATATCTATAAAAGTACACCGGTACATACACCCAATTCCAAGATAACATATAGACAAGATATTGAGCGTGATTGACTTTTGGAGCGGTGGATTGATGTATAAATGCTCTATGATGCTCTACTCTCCCTGTCTCTCCCTCTCCTGCTATCTCTCTCCTTTGCCTCTCCTTTGAGTCACTCTACGCCCCCAGCTTGGCAGCCACCAGCTCGTAAATCAAAAACATGCACGCCGCATTCGGCACAACCCTAAACATGTGCGCCGTCAACCCGCCATACAAGCTCCTCACCCCTTCCTCCCTCATGACCACCTTCAGCGTCTGTAGCAGACCGGTGTACTTGGGCGCGGTGCCAGCGGGAATGGGTTGACGAAGTCGGGTACGGATAACCTCGTGTGGATAGGTGATGAGAGAGGCGACGGCCTTGGCGCCACCGGAGGCGCCAACGATGTGAGGAATGTAGGAGAGAAGGGGTTGAGATTCGAGTGGGGAGGTGTTGTTGAGGCGTTTGAAGCGCTAGCAGATCTTGTCAGTTTGAACCTCATAACTGAAATAAGTACGCACTTCGTAAAGAACCCATTGAATCACACCCTCAGACACACCGAGGTAACTCGCCGACAGACCCTTGTAAAGTCCGCGGAAGCCCTCTTTCCGGATAATGTCCATGGTCATCTCGATCGCCGGTGTCAGTGATGACTTGGCAGCGATAGCTGCTGGCGCAGCAGCAGTGACAGAGCCTGTAGTAAGAGCAGCAGCGCTCTTTGCGATGGGTTTTGGCAGGACCCCACTGCTCCCAATGCCCGCTCCCTTTCCAGCTCCAACCGCCAACGCCACAGGTGCAACCTCCCCCCTCTTTGCCGACAATTGCAGCCTCGTTTTCACCACCCAGATCGGGTTCGTCCCCGTGCTCGTCATGATACCCGCCACCACCGCCGCTCCCAGGTGCACCAGCGGCGAGTCTTCTGCGCGGCCTCGCGATCCGTCAAGCCGTGTTTCGGCGGGAGCGTTGGGAAAGGCAGAGGCAAGGTAGGCTTTGGAGGTTGGGTAAAAGTAGAAATTGATAGCTCGTGCTGGGATGATACCGGCAAGGGAAGGACCAAGACCCTTGTAGAGGGCCCGCCAGCCCTCCTCAACGCCTATCCGCTTGATCAGGTAGACAGTGTCGACAAATTGATATAGCGCGCCTCCAATTCCGCCGAGACCCTTGCCAGCTTGGCCCTTGGCCACACCTTCGGCAGCTTTGCGCACGCTTTCTTCAGACGAATGCCGAAACATGTCGGATTGGAGCCGGGTCTTGACGACATCGAAGGGAGATGTGACGATGGCACCAGTCATTCCGCCGAGACTGAGCAAGTCGAGTTAGCACCTTTCGAGCAGGACAGTAATGATTTTACTTACCTTCCCGCTACAGAATGCTGCCATCCTTGCAACTTCTTCTGACCACCCGATGACGGCCCAGCGGCCGGCGATGGAGTGTCTGGCGGGGGGGCGATGGCGATGGGGGAGGGTTCTGTTGATGTGGGGAGGTAGGTGGCTGAGAATGACTTGGACATTGCCAGGGTTGGGGAGGGATATAAAAGAGCTGTGAATGGTTGTGAATTGACGAGACGGTGACCCAACTTTTCCTTGCTTCATTCACAGTGGAGGTTACGTAAGCATATCAACGTTGAACAATGACAACAATTCAATTCAATTCAAGATGACCATAGTAGGAGGGTTTTGCATACAGTCAAGTACAGGGACGCATGGGTAGGGCACTGCCGGGACAGGCATAGACTACGGTACGTCTGAGATGCATAGCAATGCGCTCGGCGACGCGAACATCTGCAATTTGCCCGCAGAACGTCATACCTCCTGTAATGCTATGGGATGCCGACTAGGCCAAGTTGCCATGGTCTCGCATCTGAGGTAGCCAGATTTCAGCCTTGTCGATGTGTTCACAGGCCTTGGACTGAGTAGCCCAGCGTGATGGCAAGTCTGGCTGGCGGAAGGCGTTTTTAACCCTCGCCGTCCAACCAGACTGTCGCTGCCGGCCCCGGACTTGGCCAAAGACAGCCAGCGTCCATCCCTATCGTCTCTCTGTCATGTCTAGCGTTCGTTCTCATACGTTCAAGTCGCCCCAGCTCTTGGCCTGGGGCGGATTCTTCCTACATCCCGTCCACCCAATCAGCGCCTTGCCTTTGCACGTCAATAGCAAGACCACTTACAAGAAGACTGGGTCTACTACGACCTTCTCTGAATCCGATCTCGAGGAGGGAGAAGGCTTGACAAGTCGGTTGGTCACCTCGATGACTGGTTTGTTCTCGCCGCATCTGTGGATTGGTGTCAGCTGTCGTTTCTACTGCCTGTCGGGAAATCGCCCGTAGTATGTAGCACAATTCTGGCATGGACCTTGTATAGCCTCAAGACAGTTGCAAGCTTACTGATCATTCAAGAGAACGAGATGCTTACTTACTGACGAAAGATCCGCTCAAGGGGCCAGCAAGTGACGTGCCCGCGCCTCTGTTCCGGGGAGCATTGATATTGGGTGATGGCCGTGAGGACGCAGGGTGGGTCGACATATTGTTGGGCTCTGGGTGTCTTCGTATGAGGGGCGGCGGACATGATGGGCGGCTGGGAACAATGTATAGATTGTGGTGAAGAAGGGACGAATGAAAGAGATGATACAAAATCGCCGACGGGCAGTGGGCACCCATCTTTGGCGCTTCCATCCGTCGTCCTCTTTCACCCAAAATCGTCTTGTCACTTCCAACATATCCTGAAACATGTCTCCCTCACCGCCGCCCACCAACGTCCTCCTCAACCCTCTCCCCGAGCTCATATCCGCTCTCGCCTCAAACGCCTTTGGTATACGGCCGGGACCAGACTCGGGCGTGGTGGAGGAAGCCACATGGCCGCGGACGGAAGAGGATGTGAAGCTAGTCAGGGCGCGACTGGGGCGAGATGGACTACTCGAGGAGAAGGATGGTGAGGAGAAGGTTAGGGGGAAAGTGAAGGTGGGGTTAATCGGGGGTGAAGGAGATTTGGTGGTTGTGCTTGACCAGGGGGGATGGACCGTAAGTGGCTGCTCTACGCCATAGTCCTCTTTCTTCCACTGACCTACCTGTCTGAAACATAGATCGAGTCTGCACAAGGCCCAGCATCGACAACATCCAAAATTGGGACCACATACGAATCGCTAGAGACGTTGCTGATAGCAACGAGTAAGGGCTACGCGGAGGCTATGAATCAGGAGATTTGGAAACGGTTCGAAGGTTTCACGGGAAGGGAAGATCATGAAGAGCATGCAGAGTGATGAATGATGACCGAGCCTTCGAGATGGCGCATTGTACAAAAGGACATGTATTTGAGAGGTGATTCATTCAGACGCCGGACTGTCCGTGCTTTTATACCGACTACGCAATCCATACAACACTCTCCTCGTATTCCACAGGACCTATCCACAACCGAGACAGATGGGTATCCCCTGAGAAAGACCCCAAGATTACTCGCTTCGGGGCTTGGAGAGGACTCGGTGGGAAGTCTCCCTGAAGAGGTACTGCTTGTTGGGGGTACCGTCGGCGTTGGTGTTGCTGACAGTGTCGATGTTGGCTGTGTGTTCGTCAGTACTGTTTGATGAGAGTCGTGAAGAAACAGAAAGGGACGCACCCTCGACGTAGAGCAAAGAGCCAGCGGCCAAGTTCTCAAGGCTTCCGCCGGCGGGGCCCTCTCGGAAGTTGAAGAGAGTGAACCAAGAAGATTCACGGGCGGGGTCTGCAAATTTGGCATTAGTACTTGGGAAAAGTCTAGAAGGTGGATGCTTGGTAGCCGGGCACTCACAGCCAGCCTCGTCAAGGATGACCTCTACGCATAGACGAGTCAGCAAGATGCCCATTGATATATTACCGACGGTACTCACTGCCTTCGGCATCACGCCTGGGGGGCTTGCTCACAGCGATAGTATATCTGAGCTCCCTATCAGCTGCCGATCATTTGCAAGACACACCATCACGCGACGCGACGCGTCAAGACATTACATCCTCCCCTTTCCCGTCGTATTAGGATTCGCACCACTCACCTGAGGTATTCCTTGCCAGCAGCAGTGGTGCCCTTCTCGGGAGCGGCACCAAGGCGGCCAATGAACTGGGCCTTGGAGACGAAAGAGCGGGCCTGCTGCTTGGAGGCGGAAGCGGTGGCCTGCGCTCAGAGTCAGCTCTACATCCCCCGATTCGTTCTCTGGGTTTGGCTCACGCGGAGGGCGGGGGTGGTGGCCTGGCGGAACATTGTAGGTGAATTGTTGGGATGTGGAAGCAAGATGAGATGTGAATTGAGCACTTATTGTTCACGACGCGGACTTGCCGGATCGGGTGTTGATGTGTGGTTACGTAACCACTGACGAGCTCGTGACGTGTAACGTAATTAGGCCGGGCACTCAACTTGCTTAAAATCGCACTCAGCCTGGTGGTATGGCTCACGTATAGCCAGTGCGGAATGCAACTGGATCTGTTTGCACAGGCTGACTGGCCATGAAGAGTAATGCATAGTCTGTTCATCAAAAAATTGTATCGGAGAGAGTGAGAGACATCCAGAGCCGGACGGATGTCGCCGCCGGTATCGTGCGAAGGCCATGATCAATGGGTGATGGTGAGACTTTGGTTGCAAACGTCGATAATCCTGCTCTCCTCACTTGGACAATAAGCAGCATAAATCTCTAGATGCTTGAAGGGACAGAGACCTTGGCCCCGCTCCCTCCTCCTTCGACCACCGCCCCCTCCCCGCTTCAATCGCTAATCGCTGCTCAGACCGTCTCCCATCAAATTGGCTCAGTCCCACCGAGACAACATGGCTCCGAGACTCTGTCACATTCTCAGAAGCAGATGACTTGGAGCCGCGTCCTCGGCGATGAAGCCTGGTATGCCCGAGGTACGCAATTGACTGGAAGACGCTCTCGCATCTGAGCTGTATGCTGATGATCACGCGTCAGGTTTGATCAACGTCAGCAGCGACCGCGTCTTCTCGTTCAAATGCGCTCCCTGCTCCCTAGCACAGAACTCGGATGTCATGATCCATCGCAAGAGCGCCTCAAGACACACAAAGAATCCGGCTCACGTTCAAGGGTTGTTTTCTTTCTTTCTCAAACAAGAGGGCAAGAAAGTAGAGAATGACATCGAGATTGTGAGGAGCAAGCTTGCTGAGTGTATGGAGGGCCACGGGAAAGATATAGATTGGATGAAAGGATTCGCAAACAGGATTCAGGAAGTGATGAAGAACAAACCAGCTTGGCTGTGTGAGTCTGACTCTATTCGTACCTGCACTAACTGATGGTAGGTGTCTAGCTATGATTCAGCAGCATATCGACCATTCATCCTCGATCTACTACCACTGCTCCGGCTGCTCCATGAACACCGGATCCAGCCCACATCTGGAAATATCAGTCGGTCTTCTCATCCGGCATCTCCAGGATGCAGACCATGTTCGACGAGTGCTCCCCAAAGACGCACACGACGTGTGCGAGTCGAATGCCTCGGTCCCCTCCAAACCCGAATGTGGGCTATCCCCGCCCCCCTCCATACCCGCTGCTCTCCCACAGAGTGCATCTGCCAGCGTCCCATCCTCTCCCCATGCGGACTTGCCCGTACCAGGTACCAGCTCTTTGGACATCGACGACGACGCTCCTATCGATTCTGGAGAGTTCACAAGCTATGAACCTTCCGATCCCAACAATCAGGGCACGCTTGAGGCCTTTACAAGCTCTCTGCTTCCACGACCATCCTCCGCAACATCTTCCTCCACGCCATCGTCCTCCATACTCATCACGCCCAAGGCCTCCATCTCCGTTCTGCCACTTCTTCCACTTTTGCCCCTCAAATCACTCACTCACTACTTGAATCAGCATCTCAAACGACCTTCTTCCGCGTTATCCGATCGAGAGGCTAGCTGCCAACAACGCCCAAGACTGTTCGCACACCCATCTTCTGGTGGGAGCGAATGTGGTGCTTCGCGGCCGGCGCTTTCGATGATGGGTCTGATGGGTCGTGCTGAAGAGGAAGCGGCCGCCAACAAAGATATGATGAACGAAGGAGTGTGCAGTGGCAGTGGGACGCTGGATCAACAGGCGTTCAAGTCCGGTGATCATCATATCAAAGAGATAGAGAGACGTGGCGAGAAGCTAATGGCAACCTTCAAAGGTCTTTCTGAAAGTGATCTATAACCTCGCGTTGAGTCATGCGTTGGTATTTATATCTCATCGGTAGGCACAGTTTCCGAGCACGCACAAGACATAGCGGTGTGGTACTTTGGTAAACCAACTTCTGATGCATCATACTCATGTTTATGAACAATCGGATCGATTTATCTTCTGATGACGCACAGTACAGATTAGTCGTGGCCAGGCGGGAAGAGGAAGAAGAGTCAAAGAAGACAAACAATAATGGGGGGCTCTTCCTTCTACTACAACAACAATAACGATCAAGACAAACAAGAAACATGAAAGCAACACCCATATAGATACCGCCTACCCTCATACCTAGTCCGTGATTGTCCACTACCAACCTGACAGCGTGAAGAGCGATCATTTCATCGACGCTATCTCAGCCAGGATCTCCAGAGAAGCGTGAGGATGATCGTCTGAAACGACCCCTTCCTTGTGGCGCCTTCCATTAGCTGAAGACGATACCCTCGAGCTCTTGCCGACTCGGTCGGGGAAGTGCGTCTGGTCTTCCGAAAGTTGCCGCTTCAGCAGGATAGGGCTCCGAGCACTACTAAAGGGGCGCAGTGGGATAGGTGCTATAATGGAAGGACAAGGGGTAGTCCTCGTTTCCCCTTGTCGATAACTCCTGCTACGCATGTAGTAGGAGACAGATTGATTGTGTCCATCGCTGGAGAGGTGAAAGTTGAGAGCGGTAGGGTCGTCGGCGAGTTTTCCGCGGTAGCAGCCTGTGAGAGAGCAGGCGCTACAGCGGTAATATGTGTGGTAATCGTGCACGTCTTGAAAGCGGACGATGCCTAAGAGAAGTGAGTACAAAATCGCCCAGGCACATTATCATGAATTCTCACCTATGGGAGCCGATGCGTCCTCAATGATGAGATCAGGACAAACAGCAAGGTTCAAATCTCTACCGGAGGGCCGAGACGGTACAGGAGTTTGTTCCACTTTGTCTTTGACAACAGGAAGGCCGAGCGACTGATTACCTGGCAAAGGCAGTACCAAGAGAGGATTCCTGGCTCTGGCAGGCGCCGCCACCCTACTGGGCATTCTGACATTCCTTCTTCGACTGGGTGGCCAATCAAGATGTCTCGGCCACGAATGGGACGCGGAGAACTCGGGCGGCACCATGAGACAATCGGGGGACCTCTGGCTAGGTACAGGACCTTGCGGGGTCGATACCATATCAGGAGAGGATGGAATATAGGGAGTGGAGGGGAAACGGGTCATAGGCACAGACTGGGGGGTAGACGCTCTTTCCCCAGGTCTGACGGTTGGCCTCGAGGCGTTGTGTGTGCGCCAAGAACGAGGCCTGTCAGTAGGCGAGCTGTGTAGAGACGAGATGGGAGGTGTCTTGGTTGCTGGAGAAGTAGTCCATTGGTGCTGGCGCGGAGAGATGACAGTCGGAGGCAACGCGGTGCAAGAGGAGAGCAGCCCTGGGAAAGACATCACAGATTGGTGGGTCTCCTCTTGGGTGGCATGAATGGAAGCCGGTGAAAGAAGAGGTTTGAGAGATCGACAAGATTGCCTCGGAGAACAGGCATGGTGATTTAAGGAGGAAGAAGGCAGTGATGGACTCGAGGAGGGTGATCGTGAGGCAGGAGGGGTAAGGCGCACCTTGGCTCCTGGAGCCTTGCGCGGCACGTATTCTGCCCCGTGGTTCTTGTGTGTCGATGGGTCGAGATATGGGACGCGACGCGCCTTATGCTCATCTGAAAAGGTGTGCTGGCGAAAGCACTCGATACCGTCAGACATCGTACTAGGGCGTTCAGTGGCTTCTGAACACGCGGTACAGCCATAGCAGAGGGTAAAGTCGTCGTCGTCCTGTAGCTTTCTGATGCCTGTTATTTGCGATCAGTTTGATTCAGACATCCTATCCGAGTACTGCCATAGAAAGGCTCACCTTGCACGCCGCGCCAGAAACGATTCTCGCGCCTGGACAACTGCCCGGCTTCCCGATAAGTCTTACCCCTCCTATTTTGATGAACGACATCTCGGACAGTCACCTGGGCTGCCCCGGACGATTGCGAGACCTGATCAGAGCTATCAGAGGTTGATTGAAGATCGCCCTGCATTTCTGATGCCGTCCCAGACTGCGGTCGATCGAGCCTTCTTGATTCCCCATCCAAGCTGCTGGTATCCGCGACTCCAGATAAGGAGATTGTCATGTGGCGATGTGGGTTCAAAAGTTGTCTGCTCTGGAGTTCGATCTGATATATTGACGACGTATGGGGGTTTCGAAAATACAGTATACTGAGGTGTATGAGCATGCGTACGGGGCACGTCAAGCGATGATGGCCAGGAAACTTACTCGTCGGAGGGAGCTGCTCCCTGTCGTACTCGCGGCCGTTTGTGTGTAGCCAGAGTGGACTGAGATTCGAAGTAATGAGATGATGTTGGTGGCGATCAAAGTCTATTCCACCTGGGGAGGGAATCTGAGGCTGCAGGGGGTGAAACGTAGAAGCAGGAGAGTGATCTGAGGGGATATATAGCTGAAGGGTTTATATAAGGCGGCGGCCATCGATAACGTACATGGTATGGATCTGGTAGGGAAATCTGGGAGCACAGGGATCGATTGAAGGGGCACATCCCTCTACTTATTTTTGCCGCAAGGAAAGAAGAAGGATTCGGTCGGAGAAAAGAATGATCGAGACTTGCGACGCCGCTCGTCGGGCTCGGTGTACCGGAACGACTTCGTCTTCCTTGGCCCGGGTACTCGGTGTTCCGATGAGGGGAAATGGCCGATCTGCGAATATCTTCATCTCGCATCTCGCGGGAGTTATCTTCAAATCCAGCAGATTCTTTTGCCGTATGGCCCCAGTGATTCACCGAGAAGAAGCCTCGAGGGGGTAGATGGCGATGCTTGGCCCATATATGTCCCGTGTAGTCGGCACGCTCGCATGAGACTCCGGGGCTTGCTGCTGGCCATATCTCTGTATGTATAAGCTGACACGGGGTTCGAGTGTGAGTCGGAACCATCCCAGAGAGCGGCATCTAAGTGACTGTAAGCTTGGCATTCCGTACGCATGGCAGTTTTGTCACTATACAAAGGGTGATGATTCAAAAAATCTGGTAGCATGCCGTATATATCTTGCTAAGTCATTACAGTACTACAAGGACTGTATCAGTACTTGCCCTCGTATCACAAGAGCCGGCTGCATTGCTGAGCTGCCAGACCTGGCCTACTCAGGGGCGAGCTTCTGGCGACGACTGCACGACTATGTGGAGCAGTAGAAAACTGCATCATACCATGCGGCTGAGGCCCATGCGGTAGTATGCGTAGAGTGTTCGGTTGTGCCGCTAGATGGGACAGGATGTTCCATTTCTGGGATCTTTGGTTGTCATAACATCTGCATGTACCAGAGTCCAAAGAATACCAGGACATTCCTGGTTGAGCGCTCCTCTGACTCACCATCTCTCTCACTCATCCTACTCCAGGCTGCTCACATGTCCTAGTCGTCGTGCACTTGTCCTTCAGTGCTCAAGAGACGAGAAGTACTCGTCCGTAGATTCAAGAGCGCATAGGTTCATGATGATTTGGGGGGCTTTTGTTGGAGACGCCTAGAGAAGGAATGCGATATATAGGATCTGCAAGCTGTCATCTTCAAGGCTAGATCATTCTTGGCGATGGTGGTGATCAGCTACATACAGTCGTCTCCTAACCCGGTCTGGCGACCTTCTTTTGGAGTACTGGTAACGCCTAGTCAAAAGTGGACGACATTGTTATCGGCCTCCCATTTCTATCAGGAACTCTGGCTTCTGTAGGATGACAGTTGCTGAGATAGTAGGCAACGCTGTAGGGTATCTTGTGGTGGTGCAGTGGAGAATGATCTGAGATCGATAGCTTCGGCGTCTGGAAGAGGACAAAAGTGTACTCTGGGCGCTGTTGAGAGGTACGGTTAGATAGAGAGCTCGGGGATGATACCTGTTCATAATCGTCAGTATCAAACAGTCTTACAGAGTAGAATAAACCCACCAGCAGCAAACGTCGATTTCTGTTGCACGAGTCATGGAGCTACTCCCTTTCTCACTACTTTCAACATTCCACCACTCGCGCCCGCACCTTCAGGCCGACTTTCTGTAGCGTTAGACAGGATGTGTTGTTTGTAGCGCTGTACCAGTCTTCTTAAGTGAGCAAAGCACTTCCTTCGTGAAGCCCAAACAGTAGACTGCGCCACTCACGAGGGAAGCTGTCGTTCTTGTTGGCGTCAGTAAAGAAGAGACAGAAAATCAGTGAAGGAGCTTCCGTTCGGCCGATCTTTTCACATGACAGTGGTCCATGGCTAAGGTTATACATATGTCAGTGAGGTAGAGCCCCTCAATATGCGAAAACACCCACCACAATCGATGCTGTAGGCTCCAGCTTGAGCGGATCTCTTCTATCATCGTGTTCCCCAAAGAATTCCTTTACGCTTCCTGCTTCTTTGGGCTATTAGTATCTCTCTCATTGTCGGAAACCCAAGACCCCCGCCGTGGCCCTTCTTGAACACGTAATCTGTTGATTTGAGTGGTGAGCAGATACCCATGGGGTGTCTCGGGCCCGGACGGTGGTCGACCTGCAGCAACAGGCGAGCAACTATGAAACCGTGAGTTTGACAACGCCGATTGCCTCTGGAGGGGTCCGTAAGTAAGGTGGGATACTGGGGAACATCAGCTAGACCCCCAGAGCATCCACTGCTGTGAGATGAGGGTGTCTGGAGTGCTGAAAGAAAGACACAGTCGAGTATGACTGGCACATTCTACTGTATTTGATTCCGCTATGTTTCCTGTGTGTGTTTAGCGTGGTGGCTGTCGCTGACGGGTGCTGTGACTGACCAATTTTCTGGCAGATTGCAAGCATGTACATGTTCTGTAACCATCACAAGGTCATATACATAAACGTGGGCAGTATCCATAGCTGAGCGCCTCGAATCACATCAAGGGACGCTATTAGCCGAGAATTGTTGGAGGGGGCGAGAAACTACGTACTGGAGTCCGACAGAGAAAGGTTTGGCTGACTTGGCAGGGTACCAATCTACAGCTAGCCAAGATCTTGAGAAAAGGTGAAGCAGGGTCTTCTGGCTACTTTGGGAGTGACTGGCGAGGATGGACGGCTCACGTGAATAGGGCATCCGAAGGGATGATGCGACTGGGCACTGCAGTCTTGGTACCTAGACGCCGAAACACCCTCTCACTACTCCGTCCGCAATCCGCATAGCCCTGCCACTCACTCAAGACACATGCATGCGATGAGACTAATTCATAAGTAGAGACGATTATAATGGTATGTGGTCGTGTACTCGTTATACACAGAGCGGACCAGCCGCGCTCATTAGGCTTGAAAACTGAACTCCACCGTTAGATTTCAGCAGCCGCCCCCCTTCCAAATCCTTTCCCCAGTCAGACGTTGTTTCTCCCTAGTAACTAACCTCTCCCGTACGAGCTCGCCCTTCGGGTAACGAAGGCGGTGACGCACATAATTAGAAGTGTGTGGGCGCGTGTCTGCCATTTCAGAGTCGATGAGGAGGCCGGACGTCTCCGTAGCCCTAGAATGCGCATCAGTCAACATCACAAAAAGTAGAATCGTGTGACTGACTGACTGCAGGTGATTCCCAAAAAACCTCCTATCATTTGCCCTTCATCATGCGCTCGTATTGCTGCATCAACTCATCGCCCAATCTGTTGATCTCCTTTATGCGGGCGGCCATCGACATGCTGGGCGCCTTGTCGGCTATTGCCGTTCTCGTGGACGCAGAGGATGTTGATGGAGGAGCGGCGTGCTTTGCAGGGACGGGATTGGAAGGTGAATACGCTCGCGTGGAGCGCTGTACGACCAGAGATTGTTCCCGCGCAGGCGCGAGTACTCCACTGGCGCCACTGGTGGTGGATACCCCCAGTCCGTCTTGTGATGCAACAGAGGAGCTAGCGGTGCGCGAAAGAGAGACTGACCGATCTTGAATTGTCGTCCATTCTGGCGTTTTCGATGGCGTCTGAGGCTCGGAGATGGCCGAGATCTCGACAGCCATCTGCTGCGTAGGTACGCCCATCGTCTTTCTGTTGCGGGCCGTCCGCTTGTGCGTGGCCTCTATTAATTGATTTTGGGATGATCGGTGGGCACTCGCAGACAGTGCATGGGCTTCCGTTACCATATGGTTGGCAAGGGAAGGCAGGAGGCCCAGGAGGCCCAGGAGGTTGCCCTCACGCACAGCAAAGGCTGAACGGGGCCAGCACCGACAAGACGCGCAATAGTATTGATAGAAACCCAACTCATGGCGCTGTATGATCCCTGTACAATTGTCACTTGGTGAAACAATATACGAAAACGAGCTTACCTGCAAATTGATACAGTGCATCGCCGCCGTACAAGAGAAACCTGAGATGGGACCTTGCGGTGTCATCCCATTCACCATATCCTCGTACAAAAGCATCCGAGCATTCCGCAGCTTTCAAGTCAGCCAAGACTTTATACCCCTCAGCTCTATGCCAATACCACAGCGCAGCCTGGTGCTGGGCAGAGCGCTCATGTGGATCTGCTGGACCTAGAATTTCGACAGTCATACCTTTGCTGGCAAAGGAGCACGGATAGCATCTGAAACGAGACTGTCTGGCTTCTGGTGTTGTCAGACTCACAAGGCCTATAGATATCCGTCAGAATTGTAGGAATTATACTCGGTACACAGTACGTACCCCGGGCAAAATACTCTTCAACCGTGAGTGGACGGTTCGCTTTGATCGCTTTTGAGCTCTCTGAGCTGTAACTGCCGAATGCCAGAGCAACGTCGGATTTTCGCTTGTTGAGGAGGGGTTGGGACTCGGGGGGGAGCGCGTAAAACCGCGTAGAGGGCTTGGAGCTGGCGGGGACTTGCTGCTGATGGTATTGAGGGAATTGAGGAGCGCCTGATGGGGCGGCGTTTGTCGGGACTGGGGCAGCGAGGGGAGGAGGGTCTTCGGGGCAGTGCAGCTCCATGTACTCCATCTTCCAGACAAGGCGCCGGCAGTTTATATGGTATGCAGCGATACAAGCGGGGGATGAGGAGAAAAATGAAAACAAAGCCGAGTGTATATAAATCCCAACTAACTTTTCCCAAAATCCCAATTAACTTTGGACGCCGAACAAAAATCCCAACAAAAATCCCAACAAAAATCCCAGTAAGGGTATATAAATACCAAGTAACTTTTCAAAACATACATAGAGCGATCGGATTTGTACCATGCGATAGGGGATGGTCTCCGATGCATCCTCCCGTTGAAATATCCAGGATAGATGCATGGACGAGTGAGATACGAGCGATACGAGACTGTTCCTCGTCCGCCGAGCTTTTTCGTTGCGCAGGGTCCCATATGCATCCGTCAACGTTTACCTTCCTTCGATATCCAAATCACTCATACGAACATTTACACCCTCACAATGTCGATCCACCCCGCCCTATCTCTTCAAGATGACGCATCGGCCATGATGCCGCCCGCACAACAGTCCTCCGCGTCTACAGGACCTCTTCGGGCCTCTCAGCTACTCGATATGATGGGCCCTGAGAGCGATGGTGTGTCCCCGGCAACTCTGGAGTATGTCAAACCCCCTCAAAGAAGGGGGCGACCAGCCTATCAGTTTGAACCACCACCGATGGCTGCTGTTGAACCCTCCTCCTCTCTTGACAGCGACGATGACTCTCATCCCCTCTCCAGAAATGACCTCGAGAGCTTCTCAGTCGCTTCGGATACTACATCCTCGCTAGCGAAGGCTACATCATCTGTTCCCGCTCTAGCAAGACAGCGGGAAAACCATCACGTTGAGCTGCCTGGCCGATACCTCAAAGAGAGTGCCAAAAGCGAAGCCGCCAATTTCGATGGTTTGTTTGACTCGGTACTCAATGGCGATGACTGGTGAAACGCCTGCCTCACTCGAAGACGATGATCCGTTTCTCGACCTCCAAAACACCCGGAACTCTGCCCTCCATCCTCGAATACGGAATGACCCTGCTACGGCGCCATCGGGGTGGAGGTAGTGTCGCATCTTCGTGCTCTGCGCGCTGAGAAGATGAGGCTGGTCAAAGGCTATGAGGCGGCTACAATGCCCCTGAGAGACCTTCCCGAGTGGTTCGACGCCCAGGTGCGGTTATTATAAGGCTCATGAATGCGGCGCCTTTACTGCCTCCCCGACAGCAAAACGATTACGAACTGGGACGGCGGGTCCCGGATCAGCGTTGCAAGATCAAATGGTACCACCCAGTTGGCCACATCACAGGCGACGTTCGAAGCAACATGTTCCATATCAATGTTCCGAAAGAGATGTCCAAAAACGACGCTCATCGACGTGTCTTTCGAGCAGAATACACGTGCAATGGTTCATGTTGCTTTCAGCAGCCCACAGGCGGGGGAACTGGCCCGAGGAAGCATTCGTGCAAGGACATGATCATTGTAAGTGTGCTGGCGTGTGTTCATTCGTCTCTCGCTCATTATGTCTCAGGTAGAGGTTACTGCCGAAGCAGGTCGAGCTCAAGAGTGTGTCGTATACCACAACGCACATCACCGACCGTGTCCGGATCTTTCGCTGTTGAGGCCATCTCCTTTCCTACGAAGGGAGCTGTACCATGCTGCAGAAGAGGTCGGGAGAACCAAGGCAATGCTGCAGCAGAGTAGGCAATGCTTGAGAACTTCGTTATCCTCTGGCGCTGATCCCATGTATAGACTTCAATACCCGATCGACCAGCCGCAAGAGCTCCCACGCGTACTGGATCAGAGTGAACTGTCCTCATCGTCTGCCCGATGATAGAACTTTTGCAGCAGCTATCACGACGGCCGAAAGACATGCCCGTATCAATAGGGATCCGCTGATGGCTGCGGAGAGCATATATGAGCGAAATAAAGATATGTTTCTCTAGTAAGTCGTTCAAAGTCATCTCAAGGTCACGTCAGCTTACTTCCTCAAGTTTCAACAAGCCAAGCATTTTGAATAAGGATGCAAATCCAACAGACGCTCCCGATCTCCGCTTTGAATGCGCCATCGCTCCGAAGGCTGGCTTGTATGCGGCTATCATCTACGGAAGACGTCACGGTCTCTATATGGACACGTCCTGGAGACACAAGACTCGATACAAGAGCCCGGTGACAATTCTGGCGACAAGGAATGACGCAGGACACATGGTTGCAAGTAAGTTCCGCTGTGAAGTGACCAAGTGCCCAAAACTGACTACTGAGCTAGTCGCCGTGCTCGTCTCCCGCAGAGCTCACACTTACACATACCTCACTTTCCTGGAGCATGTGACCCGTGCTATCGAAGCTGCTGCTCGACAAGTGGCCTCTGAGGGCCCGCCAGAAGCACAAGCAGCGCCACTCCTCAACATGGACGAACTCCAAGAGCACTCTAAAGCAATTGTCGCAGCGGATTTCTATCTGCCTGCTCTGTTCATGATTGACGGTGACGATGCTGAGCGCAATGCGATCGAGCTCATGTTTGGTCCTGATATCATCATTCGATGCTGCCAATTTCATGTGATACAAGCAGTTCAGGCTCAAGTCAGACGCCTATTCCCCACCAGCGTGGAACAAGAACGGGAAAAGAAGGTAAAGAAGATACTGGAAATGTTCAGGAGGCTCCAGCGATGCCCTTCTTGGGAAGAATGGGACACAGCCTATAACAGCTTCAAAGCCGAGGTTCGCAACTATGCTGCTTCTGCGAGCCCCTTCGGGCCTTCTTTGGTCTCCGATTTCTTCTCTTATTTTGATCAACAATGGCTTTCCGACAGATGGCTTACATGTGTTGTTGATTTGGGTCTTCCCGATGGTATGATCGTTCGCTTTGGAGCTAGAACCAACAATCTGGTTGAAGCTGCATTCAAAGTCTTCGACAAGACATTCTTTCATGGAAGGATCAACAAAAGGTGAGATGTGTTCGACAGCCTAATAAAGGGGGAAGGCTGACGTATCATGCGTAGAGACGATCGCCTCATTCACATCATTGTGAAGATATGGTTCCCATCTTATCTCAAACATTACCACTCTCGTGAACGACCTTCGGTGGTGCTCCAGCGCACGCTCAAACGGGCGTTTACCCTTTGGGAGAGTAACGCCATCAAACCTATCGAGCCCCACGAACAGCCAGCAGACTTCAAGGCCATACAAGCCTTTGTAAGCCACACTCCGCACAAAGAAATTGATGGCAGAGTGGTCTTGAAGACTCACTATTGCGGGTTTTGCGATCGCGATGGGCGCAGCCGAAGGGTCTGCACGTGCTCAGCGTTCGTGCAAGGCTCGACCGCATGCGACCATCTTTGGGCGATGCGATTCTGGCTTGAGGACGGTGCTGCGTCTCTTGTTGACGAGGAGATTGCTGTATGTAAGGAGAGATGTCTCTCACTCCGATGGACGATGGCTTCGTCAAACCGGACGCCCATGGCGTGGCCTGGGACCTTGTGTATGGGGAGAATGACTCCGAAGGCGAAGAGGAGACATCAGACGCCGACGAAGGTGCAGATACCGACGAGAAGAAATTGGATGAAAAGGAAGAGGGTGTAAATGTTTGTATGAGTGATTTGGTTATCAAAGGAAAGTAAACGTTGACGGATGCATATGGGACCCTGCGCAACGAAAAAGCTCGGCGGACGACGAACAGTCTTGTATCGCTCATATCTCACTCGTCCATGCATCTATCGTGAATATTTCTACGGGATGGTGTATCGGAAAGCATCCTCTATCGCATGGTACAAGTCCCATCGCTCTATGTATATTTTGAAAAGTTACTTGGGATTTATATACCCTTACTGGGGTTTTTGTAGCTTACTGGGATTTTTGTTCGGCGTCCAAAGTTAATTGGGATTTTGGGAAAAGTTAGTTGGGATTTATATGATTCCGCATTTATATACCCTTACTGGGATTTTTGTCCGGCGTCCAAAGTTTAAATTAATTGGGATTTTGGTAAAAGTTAGTTGGGATTTATACAGCGTCGGGGTGGTCGGCGGCCGGAAAAACAATCGCCTTTCTTGTTTATGCGATTGAGTACCAGTAATCCTGTCGAGGGCATGGGGGCATCTTGGAGCCCTATCTACTGCCAGGAGGTACTCCGCCTCCTCGCCTGCCCTCGCAGCTACGCCCTTCGATACTCCAGATCAGGGAGATCGGGGTCGGAGAACAACACCGTCGGCCTGGAGAAAGGTATGGCGGATAGTCTGCTCGAGCCAAGTGCAGACCAAGACGGGGTCCAGCAGCCGTCTATATGGCTCTGTACCCTGCTCCACCCGACCGCGACATGCATGGGACCCATCCTCACCCCTCGTTCAAACATGTTGTGGACGATTATATATATTAACTTTGCCCGGCAGGCTTGATTCCGTGCTGATCTGTGTGTGTGATGAAGAATTTCGAGCAGCATCAAGAAAATGCCCAGGATCGAGCTTGAAATTATCATCATCTCTCTTTTACCCATCAACCTGCACAATGGCCTCTGCTGGCAACCATACAGCCCACGCTCACGGACCCGCCCCCTACGCCAGATACCCCACGCCTCTTGTGTCTATCACAGAGCTACCACAGTCTGTCTGCTTTTACTGCACCCAGTGCTACCAACTCAAGGTCCTCAAGCAGACCGGCGATGGGCATGACGAGACGCCTCACCACCGCCAGGCGATACAGATGCTGAACGGGGCACACAACATATCCTTGGGAGACAAGCAGCAGAGCATGGGCATGAGAGGGGAGAAGTCCGGAGGTGCAAGATTGGGTGACGAGAGACCCCAAGGCTGTGGGTGAAGAACCGTCATTATAAAGACACAACTGACACATATTCCAGGGATCATGTCTGCTCCCGGTCACAATGCTCAGGTTCAGCAGCCTGTCCCCTCGTCGGTCAACCAGTCTCGGCCTTCCCATCAACATCCGCAGTATCACTTGATCACTTCCCAAAGTCTCGTTTGCCACCCTTGCACAGCAGCTATTGGTGAAACCATGGTTGTCCAGAACCACCGCGATTCCGTCTGGCGGCATCAACAGTGGCCCTTGCATGTCGAGCGGGAGAGGGTCTTTATGGAGAGGTACGGCACTTGGAAGAGGCAGCATGAAGTGTCGGGCACTATGGAGCAGTCGGGATTGGGTGAGATCAGACTTTCACGAGCGGCAGCAGGGTATGGAGGAGATCGACGAGGAAGCGCTCCTGCCACTGCTCCCTTATACCCCCACTCCACCACGCCCAACCCAGAGGCTTTCCTTGCTCGGCGTTCGTCTTTGCCTGTGATTCCCTCGCCATCTCGGGCCAGACATCTCACCGTTCCGCTTACAAGCACTGCCGTCAAATCGTCGCCCATTCCCCGAGATGATCTCGAAGCGCCTTCAGACGTCCGCCGCATGGATACTCTTCCTCGCGGTGCCTCATCTCAAAAGCGATCTCTTGACCAAGATGCGAAGAGATCAAGCTCGTCACCGTTCACCAAACGGTTGAGGATGGTCTCAAACACCCCCACCATTGCTGAAGAGGATGTACCTGGGAGTGCCGAGGCTGGGAGGAAGGACGCAGCTTCTGCTAGCCAGAAACTGAAGAAGCCCGAGGCACTGCAGGAGAAAGCAGAGGTCGGCGCGACCGGGTGTGACCCACTCGATGACGAGAGGTGCCATCTGTCGAGTGATTCGAGTGACGGTGGAGATGAGAAAGGCCGGGATTTGGGGAAGAAAGAGGACGAAAAGAGCAACGACGAGACGGTATCCACCAAGAGGGATAAGGAAGACAAAGGCGTATTGAACGATGAACTGGGTAAGCACTTTATTGGTCCGTATTGGCAGCCTCCTTACACTTCTTATCTGTCCAGAATTTCGGCAAAATAATGACGACAAACGTGACCGACTCCACCCAATCGTACACGCCTTGCAACAGGTAGTATCAATGAAAAAAGTGTTCAAGGAGATGGATGATGAGAAGCGGGCAGAGGTGAAATTGCTCTTGAAGGAGATTGATGATGGCTTGAGAGATATCACGGAAGTAAGGTGATGGATGAACGGAGATTGTGATATAATGATACGTTATCATGCATCGCCGAGCGATCTGTATCCTATCCGTCTCGGCGAAAAAGTGATATCAAAGTCCACTATGCTGATATATAAACCGATATCTTATTCTAAGGAGCTGTAGATTCCAAATGAATGAATGATTGGATTGGCGCCTGCCACCTGAACCTTTCTCAAGAGCTCTGAGAAAGCGAATTGACCTGGAACCGGTCATCTCCTTCCAAGCATCTCACCTGGGGGCCGTCATCCCAGAGGATCTTGGTGTATTTCTCTTCCTATTTCACATTTTAGCGGTTGACAAGACAAAGGACGAAACAGCGTACGAGGCTCAAGGTCAACCTGTTCCAAACTCCAGCTGCTACTCGGCGGTGCATCGCCTCGGATGGATGGAAGCAGTCGACCGGAGAGAGTGCTTCGATAGGATAGTTTTCAAGATCGATGAGCGACCCGGGTTGCCTAGTTCCAAGCGTCAGCGACAAATCTAGACTGCAAGCCATAGTATACGCACCACATGACACCAAAGCCATCGCCTTCTTCGGCTTCCCATTCTTTGACAATCTCCAGAACGGCATTGTCATACGCCTCCCCTGTCGAGTCCATCCTCTGCCTAGTCACATCTCCTATTGGTCCTGGTGTCAATGCGCACGCACACTCAAGAGGTAGGTGAGGCACATCGCTCAAAATGGCAGGTTGGCAGTAAGGATTGGTGAGGGTCAGGTTGTAGATGGCAGAGACGGGGAGGATACCGATGATGTTGACGATGAGTTTTGGGGTGTGTTTTCGCAAAAGGTTGACGGCAGTACGGATGTCGTTTGCGAAGGCTGTAGGGGAACCAAGAGTGCCGACGCCCGCGATGCCGACATTGGGAGCAACACAGAAATCGCAAATGTCGTTGGCGCCGATAGCTACATTGGCGTACACCCAATCGTCATCGCCCGGGAGGCCGAGGGCAGCGAGCTTCGGCACGATGTAGGTGGTCACCTGGGATGTGAGCAAGGAAGAGGTAGCCCCAGACACGGCAGCGTTCAGACCGTCTTGGGCGATGAGCGCGGAGGCAGCAGGAGCGTGGTGGCCTTTCGCACCGCCCTGAACGGTAGCATTATCAGTGACAAAGTGAGAAAGGATATTGGGGATAGTGATGGCCCCCTCGTCGGTGCCCATTGGGTACGATATCCCTCTATACTCTTCGACATCGACGGTCTGGAAGAAGGTGGTGTTTGTGGGGAACAGTAGGGACGAGGCCGGACGGGCGAGAAGACCAGCAGTAATACTGTCGCCAAGGGCCATGACGACTCTGATATCATCCGGGCGGCTACTTGAGTGTCAGTGTTTGCGCTCTTCTCAGGGCCGGGGTCAATGGATACGCACACATCCTTGGCAGAGGTAGGGGTGTCTCTCTTGGACAGCACAGGGCACTGGGCAAGCTCTTCAAACTCGACGAAAGTGCCGGGCAGGTCGGCGTTGGCGCGGGGCCCAAAAGAGTGGGTGGGGAGCGAAGAGACGGCGAGGGGAAGGAGGATGCTGGAGAGCAGCAGGGAGGAGCAGGTCCCTCGCATGGTGGTCTATTTTACTTGTGGAAGTACGTAGAGATGGCGGGCGAACAAACAAAAGCAGCCCCCTGATCAAGAAGATTCTTTGATCAGACCCGAAGAACCAAATGAGCGCAGTGGCGTACAGTTAGTGCCATCCCCTGAGCTACCACACAAAATCTCCTTGGAATCTTCTCCAGGTTCTTCGCAAAGCTGCCGCCATCAATGGTTACTAGATTATGCATGGGCTTCTTCTCAACAACGGGTTTGTATCACCCCTCTAATCTACAAGTCGGTATATCACAAACAACGGCCTCGTATTCTCATAATTACTCATGGCTACCATTACACTGTCATAACGTTCAACGCTCCCTCCTGATCTCGTCAACCTTGGCCAAGATTCTCCTCTCTGCTAGCTCTCTCATCTCGTTCAGGTTCTTCAGCAACGCCTTTGTCCCCTCAAAGTCCAATTCCTCAATAGCATCTTTCGCCTTCATCGCGTCTTCGATGGTGGATAGCAGCTGCTTTTGCTCGGTTGTTCGACGTTCGGGAGAAGGGCCCAAAGGTGCTTCTTTGGGGACAGCAAGGCGAGGGGCAGTCGGTGTTCGCTGAACGGGAGTTGGGTCGCTGGGTGCGTCTGCGAGACAAGTCAGTATAACGTCAGATACATCGGAGAGCATCGACTCAACCCGCAAATCTCCCACTGACACTCTCATCCCATTGTTGACTGGCCGACACACCAGCAGCTGTCAAAGCTAGTTCTTCTTCTTCTCTTTGCTGTCTCGCACTTGCGGGAGTCAACAACAAATCATCGTCTTCGTCATCATCTGCTTCCCGCCGTCCTACATTTCGAGCCTCCTGGGCCTTGCCCTTGCCCTTCGCTTTCGTGAAACTCTTGGGGGTAGACAAGAGCCTAGCTCGAGATGGAACTTCTACAACAGGCACCAGTTTCCGCCTGCTTTCCGAACCGGATGAGGCCGTGGAAGCAGCAGACTTTGCTCGCTTGAACCCCTCTTTCTGCTCCAGCTGAGCAGCAGCAGCCTTTCTCTTTCTTGGTTTACGCGGCTTCTCGGTGACGAAACCAGCCTCAGACTGAGAAGACTCGGGGAAGCTGGAAGGTACGGAGACGGGCGCGGCGCTCTGTGGGGGAGGCGTGGTGTTCTGGGAGAAAAGAGAAGGGACGCGAGATAACCAGCGACTGGCAGAGGACAAGAGCGATCCACGTTGCTTAGCAGAGTCTGGTTGCAGCCCAGAAGCTGATCGAGGAGAAGGGGTGGGACCAACTTCGAATCCTTGATCATCGCTCGGTTCAGGCTCCTCGACGTCCGTGTCCTCAAGTTCAATATCCGCAGACTTCTTGTGATTCTGCACCAGGGGCTCCGCGGGGGGCTTGAGACCCTTGCGAACATAGTACGAAAGTTCAGGTTGAACAACGATACACTCGTCCGCCGAGGAATCGTCGAGATCGGGGAAGAGGGTGTCGAGCGAAGGTCTGAAAACTGGTGCAGGAGATGATCGACGTCGTTTCTCGCTCTCCCCTGCTTCGATCTTGACTCTCTTTCTTTTGGCCTTCTCCTCCCTTGCAGTCTGCACTTCCTGCGCCTGCTTCTCCTTGGAGGCTCTCTTAGCCCTCTTGCGACCCTTGGGCTTTGCAAGAGCAGCGGGCCCGAAGACATCCTCATCCGCTTCGTATTCGAGACTGCTGGACTCTGTCGCAGGGGTAGCAGCAGTCTGCGAGCCGTGAAAGTTGGCGGCTCGTACTGGCACTGTGGGCTCGGCGCGTTGATTGAGGGACTGAATTTGGGACTCGAGTTGAGATTCGTCGGCGTCGTAGGACTGCGCCTGAGTAGATTCAGATACAGATTCTTGAGTCTCTGGAACAAATTCTTCTTCGGCATTGTTCTCATCTGGACCATGAGTTTCAGAGACCGGGACAAACTCCTCAAAGCTTTCTTCTCGGTCTTGCTGCTGGGGGCTTGCAATCTCGGGCTGAGACTGGTCGTCCTGAATTTGAGTTTCTTGGGTTGCAAGTCCAGTGACTGGCAGTTCCAGATCTCCCAAACTCAAGATTTCCTTCATCTCTCGCAAGAAATCTTTGGTTTCATACTCATACTCCAAGCCCTGCACGTTTGCAAAAGTAGCCTTCCAGAAGGCCACGAATGCAGTGATCATTTCGGTTGCGCGGGATTTGTAGAGAGGCAAGAGTCTGTTGAGAGTTGCAGAATTGGCGGGCATGTTTGTAGGAATGATTTCGGTAAGAACTGTGAGGGTGAATCGGTAGAGTTCATTGATCTGAGCAGAATGTCAGGTATGTTCAAAACTTGTTTAAGAGCTACTCACCTCATCCTTGATGTCTCCAGCAATGTTGATCTCGTCTTCGCACCAAAGCAGCAATCCAGCGGGGATTTGAGCGAAGAGCTCGGCACACTCTCCGACAGGTAATTCGCCCATCAGGGTGGTCATCATGCGGATGACATGAGCCATGATGGGAAGAGTCTCCACCGGTGATTGAGCGTAGCCAAGCTGCAAGACATTGTCGAACACGTAAAAGAATTCTTGGCCAGCTTGTTGAGGTCGAAGAGCCAGGCCAGAGAATGAGTTGACGAATAGCCGCAAGCTTTCGATATCAACCTTTTCAGCCGTCGCTCTGGCGTAAGCGCCAAGAAGAGCCTTGTTGAGACCATCAAGCTGTGCAGATTGGATCAGCCTCAAGTGTTTGTTCGTGCTTCTTGTACTTACAGTCACACGCAGACCCTCTCCCAAGTCCTTATCTTCCATCCAGGACCGCAGGGCACTGTTTAGAGGTCCGACGACGGCCACAGTGAATGTTCCGGGCAATCGTTCGACCATAGACTTGATGCTTGCAAAGAGAGATGCCAATGCCTCTGATGATACTTCGGTACGTTGATCATGGGCCAATTGAAGAGACTTGGCGACAAGAGCAAGGAAGTCTTCTGGGACGTAGTTGTCGCCCGCGTGCCAAGGCGAGGACTGACTGTTGCTGACCTGTGAGCGGAAAGAAATGTTGGAAATTGCCAAAGCAAGGCATTTGAGGGTCATGGGAGAGACGCTGCGGGCATGCAGTGAGTATTAGGCTGACAGAAGAGCTTCGGATGCACTTACAAGCAAGCAGGAGCTTCGATATAGTCGTGCACATGCGCGGCTAGAGTCTCCAAGATCCCAGAATGCACAACAGCCTTTTTCGCCTTGAACCTTTGGATGGTACTACTCAATAGCGTCTGCCAGCTATTGAGATCGGCTTCCGTGGCACGAGCGTGCCAATAGGAGCCAACTGTGGAGTTGCGCCAAGGGTCCGTAAGGAGCGAAACGAGAAGGTTGCCGGTGTGATTGGTCGGCGTTCTGTCGTACTGGCCCGCCTGGGACTGATGGATGTCCTCTTCGGTACATCTGTTCCATTCATCGGCTGCTCGCAATTTTAGCTGAAGCACAAGATTATTGAGCGCACACTCACCAGTCATTCTCCAGATATCCATATGCAGCGCTTCGTACCTTTCCAATAAGAAGGGTTCCGCGAGCGTCAGGCCCCCCAAGATCTTCTTCCGCTCACCCTTCAGGCCTACACACAACACCTTCTTGACCAGCTGCATGAAAGGCACCCTTAGAGTTCCGATCTCATCGGGCGTAGTGAGGAACTCGGCTCGAAGGATCTGGCCAAGAAGATAGCCTGCGCAAGTAGTCGTTTTCATGCTCGGCTCGGTCTCGTCCGCGCCCAGGGCTGTGTGGGCGTACGGTAAGAGTCCCAGAGAGGAATCTTGCCCTGGCGCGAGTTTGACTGTCATGTTGCTGCCGAGGACTCTGGAGCAAACCTCGAAAAGGTGTGCAGTGATACCAATCCTCAGACGGTCTTCATTGACGTTGAGCTTTCCAGCTTCGTTCATGAGGGATATCGGAGTGATGTCGCCCGGAGGAGTCTGCCAGACTTCAATCAAGACAGCAGTGATCACTCGCATGCCGCTGACGATTACCGGTTTGTTGTCATCCGTAGGGTTGTCCATCAATTGCCGGAGAGCAGTGAGGAGGTTTGTCCAAACGTCGGATAGAGGAACGGGAATCAGAGGGACACCAGCATCATCTTTGACCCAATTCGTACTGGCAGGCAAGTTGATGTAGTGGATGCTGGCAAGAGCGTCTTTGAACAGCGTGCACCATTTCCCAAGACGAGCTGCAATCCATGATTGGCCATATGAAGGGACATCGGACGCTTTGAGCTCGATCCTTTCGAGGTGTTGGGACAATTCTTTCAGATGCTCGTCCTTGTTATTATCAACATCGAGCGCCTCAGAACCTCTGTAAGCTGTGTTGACGAGGGCATCGAGGCTCCAAGGGACCTCTCGGTCTGTTTTGGGCGATGTCAGAGCCTCGAGGAGATCCCAGCCGTACGTGGTAAGGTCGTCGATGCCGCAGACACGGAACATTTTGTAGACTATGGGGTAGACGACCTTTTCCCACGTTTGGTCTAGAAGAGGGCGGCGTTTCTGGTCGAGAGTCAAAGACATTGAAGCATCGTCTTCGGCGTCAGACGAAGGCAAGCCGTTGATGACGGACATGTCCTTCGCAGGTATCTGCTCGCTATGAAGCGCCATGCCAACATAGGCGTAGAACAGTGCCGTCGCCGACTTGGTGACGGTCTTACTCCACGCAAGCCGTTTGAGCTTTTCCGACCTTTTCCACAGCAAATGGTCCTCGGCATCCACCTTGCAGATGGTATAGTTGCCACTGTTGAGGACATCATCCAACGCGTGGTTGATAGGCATCTGCAGCTGCTCCACCAGCCGGTCTACCGACATCTCTCTGGTGGCGAAGAAGACATTGAAAGCTCTGACGACTTTGCCATTGGGAAGGATGGTAGTGGTGGCTCCGTGGGAAAAGTAAGCATGGATGGCGTGGTTCCAAGCCACCCGAGCAAGGAGAGGTCGGTTCGAGTTGGTAGTACGCCGCACAGAGTGCTATCTTCGTATCAGTAGAGTTTGCCATATCCAATCGAAGCACTTACGTCGATAATGTTGTCGTACTGATCCCTCAGCAATCCCGAGTTTGCATACGCCGACCCCATAAGAGTCACTAGAGAAGCCCATGTGATACACGCCCAATGCACTTCATTGTTCGACCCAACAGTCATCTTGAACTTGTCTTCCAATAGACTCCACTCCGTCCTCCTTATTCCATCCTTCCGAGCCATCGGCGCGGATGAGTTGGCAGGCTTGTAGAGACCAGTCAGATGAGAAATAACAAAGAACTCGGCTTTTCTGGCCACAGTGTTCGCCGCATCCCAGGTGGATTTGTCGCCGCTTTCCAAAGCGTGCTCAAGAAAAGCCAGCTTGGCACGAGCAAAGGCATTTACTGCCATAGCAGCGTGGAAGCGAGTGGGGTTATTTGGGCTATAGAGGGCACGGAGGCAATTGGGCAAAAGCTCGGCATAGGAAGGGAAGAATATGAGAGGGTAGGTGGAGAGAAGATTGGCGATAGCGTGCAAGCCTTCCTTTTTTGTGCCCCCAGGTCCAGCCTTGTCTGGCTGTACGCCGCTCATCTTGAGTCGGAATTCATCCTGAGCAGCTTTAAGCGCGGCGCTCACGAGCTTGCCTTTGACAGCATTGACGGCAGCAGCTGGCAGGCGGATTTGAGTGAGAAAGGTGACGCAGAGAATGTACGTCCGCTTGGGGTTTGGTGTGGGAAGGCGGGGAGTGCGGGTAATAGTGAGAACTTGCTCGAGGATCGCTTGGAGATCGACATCCGAGAAGCAAGAGCTCATACAGGGGTTGTAGACGACAAAGGCCAGAAATCGGATGACGGCAGCACCCACGCCGGATGCCTCTCTACGATACCGAATTTCGGGCCCGTTGTAGCCTTGACGCGAAGGCCTGGAGTTGTCCTGGTCAGGGGATGGCGAAGGTGTGAAACGACTTCTCGGAGGAGCCTCTATCGGCTCAAGTTCCCGGAAAGGCGACGACTCGAGATTGTTTATTGCTGGTTCCGAGCTAGGAGGTTTGCCGAGCAACCGCAGGACGTCTCTTTGGAAGGCACGTACCAAGGCGGGGGCTTCGTCGCGGATAGGCTGGGTAGCGTCGCGTATTGAGACTTCTTGTTCGGGCGTAAGAAGCAAGCTGTCATCGGAGGGGACATGATGTCGCAGACGGATTGTAAGAATGTTGTATGCTTCCTCCAACGTTAGGAGGTTTTCGGCGCCATTCAGAACGATGTCAACAAGGGAGCTGATCGACAAGCCACCCTCTTCCTCCACCTCTTCCTCTTCCGAGATTTCCCCGTCTCCGTCACCAGATCCAGCTGGATTCACGTCGTCAGAGTGCTTGGGGTCGTCGTCCGATGAGCTGGCCCCATCACTAGACATTCGCCCCTTGCCCTTGCCCTTGACAGCGCCGCCAATCGCCAGCTCAAAAGAATCGCGGGCCAACAGAGATGGCCGCTTACCGCTGATCAATAGGCGAGCCGGCTCTCGATTGTTCAACGTCCCTTCTTCGACGTTGGCGGCTATGCGTATCTGGTCGGCGCGTGACTTGAGAATACTTTGCCGCAGCGGAGTCTCCTGCGCCTGAAGATGACTGTGTGAGGTGGGGGTGACGGGGTCGGATGCTGGAAGCTTTTTGAGAGCGGGAACCTGGGTGGAGGAGGATCCAACGATGGAATCGTCAGAGTGGAAGTATTTGGTGTGGTTTCGCGGGGAGAAGATGACGCCGCGACGACTAGCAGCTGAAGGGGGTCAGCGCGCGTCCACAGTCGATGCAACCGCGCCAGAGAGCAGGGCAGTCGATCATTTCTGTTCTATACTGCCGCCTTCCTCAACCCCAAAGATTCAGAGTACTCACATAAGGTGCGGGCGACACCGAGCGGGGCGGGTTTGCTGGGGCTCGAGCTGGACGGGACTAGGGGAGATGAGGGGGCGGGTGTATCTCTGGGCGGGGCATTCGAGAAGGAGACACGGATGGGGGTGGCCATTGAGGGGATGGGAGAAGGGGGGAAGAGAAAGATGGAGATGGAAGATAAAGATGGAGATGGAAGAGAAAGAGATGAAAACTGGATGGACGCGTTCAGGGGACTAGGGACATCACCTATTCAGGGAAAAGGTACACATATAGTCCAACGTTAGAAACGCGTAACTTCAGCTTACTCAAGCGTAGTTTCAAATTACACCTGTACTCTTACAACTCGCTGTCCGTAGCTTTGCCGTAGCTACGCCTGAGCTACGCGATAGATCTACTAGTACTTGGTATCAAACCTCTCATGTGGCACATGCACACAAGTCGCAGAGATAGTACAGGTGCATACATCAGATAAAATGTGCAAACAATATGACATGAACCGGCTCCCGTCGTGCACTAGCTGAGTCTCCCGGCTTCCACTCATTCATGCACCGCTCGGCCCAGCCGCCCCTGTCGACACACTCGGCAGCGCTGTGTCCTCACTTGTCGGCCCCGTAATGCGTGCGGCCTTCTTCGCCTTACTTCGTTTCTGTCTGACCCTGAGGATCTCTTGTATGACTTCGGCGTTGCGCTCAAATATGCCCTTGTAGACCTGTTTCTGCATCGGGGAAAGGGTGATGGGAACGATAATCTCCACCTTGAAGAGCATGAGTCAAGATGCCCCATCCAATGTAAGAGTCAATGCGCACCTTGGGCGGGAGTCTGAGAACATCTGCTTTGATTCGTCTCAAAATGTAGGGTTTGATCATCTCGTGCAGTTTTTGCACCTTCGCCTCATCCAGATTTTCGTACTGGGCCTCCATTGCTTTCAGATTCCTGTCGGTCCAAATCAGCTTTGATTGTGGACCACAGAGTGACAGTGACGTACGAGAAGGTACCTCGGTCCAAAAAGTTCAACAGGTTGAACAATTCTCGGATGTTGTTGTTGAGGGGAGTGCCAGTGAGGAGTATGCGGTGGACAGATTTGAGGGTCTTCAACTTGTTGAATATCTTACTTTCGTCGGATTTGACTGTCTTTGTGTGAGCTACAAAGATTGTCTGCTGATAGGTCACTCACGTCTTTGACCCTCATCCACGCAAAGCACCTCCCACCTGGGCACTGTCGAGAAGACCTTGAATTCGCTCCCGGTGACCATGTCGTAAGTTGTCAAGACAATATGACTACAGATACGAACGTCAATACCAGCCCTTTGAATGTGAATCTCTCACAACGCAACGCACGCTTTCAATCCTGCAACCTTGCCTTGCTGTCCCTTGTGGAAAAGTTCGTATTGCATGATGATTTGCCGAGCTGTTTCAATGATGCATCAGCGTGGTAGCAATGTTTCCCGGTGAACGTACCAATCTTTTCACCGTAGAACGGCACAACTCGCAAGTGTGGACTCCATTTCTCAAATTCCCGTACCCAATTGGTGATGGTCCTATCGAGGTCATGGCTCAGTAACCTGGGATACGCGTTTGACAAAAGCAGACTTACGAGTTTGGCACAACGACTAGGCAAGGATATATCTGATGCTCTGCAGACCCTAGATAACCAAGGACGGACGCGATTTGCACTCTAGATTTGACCGCATAAGCCTCTGCACATGACGTTTTGACCGCATGACTCACGTCTTTCCTAGCCCCATATCATCCGCTAGAATACAGCTCTCTCGTTTGAAGTGTTTATACAGTAGCCATTGCAGCCCTTCCATTTGGAACGGCATCAATTTCTACGCACATAGCCGTCAGCATCTGCACTTGACTAAATACGATGGCTTCGACGTACACCGCCTGCAACACAAGCAGGCTGGTCTTGCGGTGGAACGAAACCCTTTGCAGCCTTCGCGTCACGAGCCAGCGCTTGGGCGGGGGTAAGCACCGGGATAGTGATATGTCGGGCACGCAGAAATCGGCCAAGGGCGGCCTTGAAGGCTGGGTAGAAGGGTGACGACAAAGGGGGTGGCGTATCCCAACATGCTGGCCTGCGTCAGCAAATACCTGAACAAGACATAGAATAGACATACCCTGATCGTATTGCAGATCTTCCCATTTGACAAAGATCCATGCAACATGGCCCACGATTTCGTCTACGTCGTCCTCCCCGACGTCCCGTCCCATCAGCGCTTCCCACTCTTCGATCTCCACCATTTCTTCAATTGGAGGCGGCATACCGTCAGGCAAATCGAATTTTTCTTGAGCGAGCTCGAACAATGATTTCTCTACCAAATGAGCAGTGGGTTTGGCAGCGGTATCGTCTGATTCGGGAGAGATAGAGAGGATTCGTTGCCGTTTACGCTGCTGTTTGGTCTCTCGGGCCCTAGTCTTTGGGTTGATCTGTTCCTTGGTGGGTCGGAGGAGTTTGATATCGAGAACTCGGTCAATGGTCTGTTATCAATCATCAACCGCACCATCACATGACCGACCCGGGTTACTCACGCTCCATAGCTCGGGCAGATTACTTTCGGCATCCTCTTCGGGTCCCACAAACCCCTGTTCATTATTCCCTTCCATCTCCAGGACCTTTGCGATACTCGCCCCTCCAGGTCCTACACCTAGCTCATCCCCTCTGGCAGTCATCGTTGCGTTTGTCACAATTTCCAATAGCGGCCCCTTCTCCAGAAACCTACGCAGTTTTTGCGGGGCGATCGAAGACAGCCAGGCGTGCGGGACCCATACGACATGACGAAACGGGCGACTTTGAAACTTGATGAGGTATTCTCTAGGAAGGTCTGCTTTGAAAAGGGGTTGGTTCAGTGTGGGGTTCGCAGGAAGGGGACACGAGGAGTCGGATCGCCAAGCGATGATCTTCTGAGTGTCAGCGACGAGACCATGTACCATTGACGCATCCACGTACGATGTCGACATTCCATACAAAGTCACGACAGAGATGGCACGTCCAAGAATTACCATCGTGTGTTTGTGTCTGGTATTGCAATGCTACATCCGGCAGGCTTGGATTTCCACCCAACGTTTTTGGCGGGCGCACTGACACAGAAAAAGTCAATTTTGCAACCACTGTAGTCTCACTACGCACAATGTTCGTAGTGGGCGCCCAATTTGCACCTGCGGCATCGGAACAACACCCTTTTGACCTGCTCCGTCTTTTCCTGCCCAAGTCCAGTCGCCTGCGAGGCGTTTGGTAACTCCTCAGGCGCCTTTGGTAACTCCTCGGACAATCCAACGGCACACTGTGTGTCAACTTCTATCTTGCCCTCTGGTGCCGTATGCACTTCGGCTCCAGTCTCCCAACAGACAAAGCACCTCCCAGACTCGTTACACCTTGCACAGATGAACTCCACCTCCTCGTCTATTCTCACCTCCTTTCTCTTCGGGACTTGGTTTTCCGCAGTCTTCCTCATTGCTTCCAATGCTTCAAGGTCTTGAGAGGGGTCCTGTACGAGAGAGACTGCCGCGGCAACGTCAGAAGTGTGTAATTCCTGTAGCAGGGTCTTCTTTTGTGCACCACCCAGACAGTCGTAATGTGTCGCGATGCAACAAGATTTACACTAATCGGCATCAGCTTGATCAGGATTGCGAGCACGAGAAGCAGCAACTTACAGTGACCCATCCACCCAAAGTTTGCACCAACTCTCCATCACTGACAATGTCGTCGTCTTCATCCACCTTCTTTCTTTTCGGGCCAGGTTTCTTCTTCCTGGTCTTGAGTTGTTCAGCAATGACAGCCGTCGGTGGGCGAGAACATCGTTCACAGTAGTCACGGTGCGCTGCAAGGGTCGATTCAGGAGCGTGTTCTGGAGTCGATGACGGAGAAGAGGGGGGAATTGGAGCCGAGTAATTGTTCCTGCCTCTTCGTCTAGGCTTGGTACGAGGGCTCTCCGAATCATTGTCCCAGTTCATCTGAAGTTCGTCCACTTCATCCTCGCCCTCCTCCTCCGTCTGCATTTCTCCTGCATATCGTTTCAAGCGGATTCGAGGAATTTTGGGCAGAGGATCCTCAACAGAAGACTGGTCTCTCTCTGAAGTCTCAGAGTCTGGAATGATGTTCTTCCTGGTGCGTCCTGAGCGTCTGGCGGCAGACTTTCCTCCTCTCTTTCCTGCGCGTTCACGTTTGTTGCTGGATAGAGGGGCAGTTTCAGATGACTCGAGTGCCTATGTATTCGAATCAGCAAGAGTCAATCTCCGCGAGAATCCTAGGCGAGTCTCCTTTAATGACACAAAGGAGTAGATCTCAATCAACTCACCCAATGATCAATGTCACTCTCCGAGACCACACCATGTCTCTTCAATCCGACTTGTTTCTCTATCACCTTTTCCTGCCCAACTCTTATCTTCAGAGTCATGGACCCTCGTATATCAGATCCCGACTCTTGGTACAGGCTCCTGTCCCCGTCTTCTTCTTCTTCTTGATCTGTCAATTCTGATGAGAGGTCAAGATCAACTCCATTGTCGGCGTTGGGTTGGTAATCGAGTTCATCGCTGTCGTCAATCATGGACGGGTCGTACTGTTGAGAGTCTTTGGCGGAAGAAGGCTGCTCGGAAGGCTTGACGGATGTTTGCGTCACGTCATTTGGCACAGTATCCTGAGTAGATGGACCCCACGCGACATATAGCTCTCTCTCGGAGGGGGAGAGTCTAGGGATTTCAACAACAGGAGTCCGCTCTGATCTCATAGGTCGGGTTTTCCGGGGTTTCACGTCGGCCTGGATAGCCAGGCGATTCGATGTCCGTCTCCCACTCGGAAGAGATTCCCTCTGCTGTCGTGCGTTGCCTTGCTTTCCTTTTCCTTCCAGTCTGGGATTGGCCATATCAGTAAGAGGCGAGGAGATGGGTGCGATAGCGCGCCTAGAGGACCGTCGCGAGGTCAAGGGCTCAGAAGCGCCGTCTTCGGAGGTCGAAGTGAGCGGAGACGACATGTCGGCAGTTGCAGTTGTCGCCTTGACCCCGGGAACGAAGATAGTATGAGAGGAAAAACACAAAGAGACGACCAATGTCGCCAAAATGTCGCGTCGTGAATCCTGCGCGTCGGCGGAACCAAATCAGCCACAGTGAGAGCGCTCAAGTTGCGCTCAAGACTCACGAGTCGTTGAATGACTCCAATGACTCTAACAATTTCATGAATAATTCAGGCCCCTCACGACTACAGAGTTAAGCCCAATGGTGATTCGATCCTTTTCTAGAACTATCCAATATGTTGTGCTGCCGTTGCAGTGCCGTTGATTCGACTGCGAATGTCCTAGTGACGACGACGCATATGTACACCATGGCCTGGCCTACATGCTCTTTTTCGCTGTTGCTGCATTGTTGGACATGACGGTGGGCTCATGATTTTGAAAATTGAAGGACACCAGCAGCATATTGCGCTCATGAGATGTTGCTTGTATCTATGCTTGTAGCCACGGCAGCGACATCATTTGTCAGCCAGCAGATATCCATGAACATCGGTAAAGTATCAACAACAACTCGCAAGCATACTTATGAGCCACCAATGTCGCTCTTCCTAAGCACAATTATGCTGACAGAGAGATCAAAAGTACCGCCATTGGCATTTATCGTCGTGAATCATCCAGCTATGAGGGTCAAGTCGTATGCGCTTGAGAGTGCTGACTCTGTCCAAGCATTAACCCCTATAGCTCCTCAGATCCGGCGCCCTTCCACCGGCTGCCTATCGACATTTGTCGCACACAATTCCCTCAAAGTAAATCATTCACCATCGACTCATCTTCCCCTGAATGAAGCGAGACCGAACGTCTTCGCACTTTCTTCTTTCTTTGGTACCTTTCGTATCGCACCTCCAGCTCCAACTCCCCAAGATCTCTCTTGACTGTACCCCTCGCTATTATGACGGGGGGCGGACTCTCGCGCTCGAGCTTCACTTGCACTTCGCTCTTCTGAGACGTAGCGCCAGCCGGATCTCTGACAGGCGATGGGGAGCGCTCTTTTTGAGGCACGAGAGGGAGCTCCTGGCCCTGCTGGGGAGATGGGGCAGGCAACGAAGGCTGAGCGGGCGGCACAGGCTGTGGTGACTGGGAGGGGCGTTTCTCCGGCCGGGGCGGAAAGGCTTTCACACGCGAACGGAGGAACGACGGGTGGGAGGGCGTCGATGGAGGCGACTCTCCAGCAGGCGCCTTCCCGTGCGAAGCTCGTGAGCTCCGAGCACTAGTCGCATTACTCGGTTTACTTTGAGGTTCTGAGGTGCGAGGCGTCCTTTTCACAGTTCTCGCTCTCGCTCTCGAAGGCTTGGCAGCGGGTGTATAGCCGTTCAAGGCTGGAGACGAGGCAGAAACAGCAGCCGAGGAGGAAGGCGCCGGGGTGAGAGATGAGCTGGGATGGGTATTGCTGGCGAGATAATCTGGCGATTGGACAAGATTCGCGAGGTAAGGGAGCAGGCGATCTCGATGCTTCTTTGTGAGGATGTGTCTACAGAGCGAATGGCGATCGTCGGGGATCTCGAAAGACTCTTCGGGCGTCGAGCATGCCGCGCATACAAGTTGCCGTCCATCGTTTTGGCCTTCAGACAAAGACACGCCTAACACACGTGAGACTGTGAACATTCATATGAATGCTCGAACTCACCTTCAGCAAGCCAGAGAGAAAGCGGATTCCACTTCTGGTAGCCCTTCACTGGCGTCCGCGTGCGCGTGGGAGTCTTCCGAGCCTTTGACCCGGACAGCGTTGCCCTGTTCACCTCGGCCTTCAACAGCTCTCCTATCTCATCCGCCTCATCATCCAAGACACTTTGTGGCATCCCCTTTTCCTGTAGCTCCGATAAAAACTCGGACAACGTCTCCTTGTGGTTGGCGGTTCGCGCGTGACGAAGGACATGTTTATCGGTGACCGTCAGCTCGCAGGGGATACATTGGAGGATGGGTATTTTGACTTCGTCGCTGGTGCAGATTTTTCGAAATCCTGAGTAGAGAAGAGTATTAGCGATAGCGAAAAGGCGAGAAGGCGAGGTCGACAATAGTTGAGGGCATAGTTACCTCTTCTGAGCCAGCCCTGCTTGTGTAGTCTCGGTCGGGCCATGGGGGTGGAGGGAGTCGTCGGCATGGCAAGGGGCGGGGCGGGGGGATACAAGATGATGACGAGAACAAGATGGATAGGGTGGATTGTGAAATGCACGCAGCCAACACGCAGCACACAAGTGTCTGGTGAGAACGCGTCTACGTAGAGAACTTCGGCCAACGCCGCACGTGTCTTGTGTGATGACTGATGACTGGACTGTCTGGACGTGACGTGTTGAACATCACTGCGATATACGCGACGTATGGAGAGACCAGCAAGCATCCCATCAAGTTCCCCCGTGCTCCTGATTTGCATCGCCTTATGCCGACGCTGCATGACCCGACAAGGAATGAAACAGTCGACAGTCGCATGCCGCGCGACCGTCCAAATGGCCCGAATTCACCGACAAGCTACATGTTGATCGGGGCGATTCTATGATACATGCTACTAGATATCTCTACTATGTTGCGCTGAAGCTACTTGATCATTTACACATACTGGCTCATTCCCCCACACCCTTGGTAGACATCCAGTACTTCCAAATCTTCTCATCCGTCTCCGCCCAACGCTTCATATTTTTGATCGGTTTCACATCCAGATCAATGACCTTGACCGAGCTTCTCCCCTGTACCAACTCCCATTTTTCCTCAGGGGTCTTGTGCAAGACAACTTTGACAAAGATTGAGCAGTCTTTGAATATGGCTGAAAGGGTGTAGGCGACCATCCTCTGCCTGAGATCCCACTTCTCAACATCCTTGCCCGCTTCTGGGTCCGAGAGGTAGAGCTGTAAGAACTCTTCGAGCTCGGCAAGGGTGATGTCGGGGATAAGCTCGGGATCAAAGAGGGGAGCGTTGGGATATGCAGCGTGGAAAAGGGTGGCGATGTGAGATATGTCTGTGGGGTCGAGTGTGGATTGTAAAGACTTGAGCTTTTGTAGAGCTGGGGAGGAGAGAAGTACCGGGATGAAAAAAGAAGATGTTTGTGCCGACAGTGTGCCCTCTGCTGAGGTTCTGGGGATCCGGGGACCCTAGTGCTCCACATGAGCATCATACTGGGAGAGAACAACTCACTTGCCTGATCGGGATGGGTCTCATTACCATTCACAAATACTCTCCAATTGTTTCCCTTTCCATGGGAGGTTTCCCAGGTCGCCCATAGCGCGTCCAGAGCTCTTTCTGTCCTCTGTTCCTGTCCAGAAAACAGATCTAAAGGGTCATAATTCTTTTCATCGTCGTGGCCTTTGAGATGGCGATGGAGGGTGAATCTAGATATGTGGGACTTGATTGGCACAGATTCGGGTGGGCACATGTGAGTCGGACTAGGTAGGAATCCCCATTTCGGCTGCAGGTACCGTCAGAGTGGGCGTACAGTAGATCGTGCGACTGACCTTGATTTCGACTGCCAAGCTCTCAAGGCCTTCCTTCACCACCGCTGTGGCATCATCCATGAGAAGACCATTCCCAGAAGTCTCCACCATATCGGCCAGTACCACGCCCTGCTTTCTCGAGTCCGGCCTCACTTTGTCTGCCAGGATCAACAACTCTCTGAACCAACCAGCCTCCACAATAACCTCCCTGGACTCGGCCAAAAGTTCTCGCGGAAGAAGCCTGGGAATAAGCTCATACCTCCACTTGTTTTGTAGCGTCTGGTGATCTGAAGACGGCAGTGGGCAATTGGGCTTGCGCAACCGGAGGACCTTCCCGTCGTACGCTGGTGAAGATGGTCCGCCGTACGAGAAGACGATGTGGGCGCCACCTTCTGCAGTGTAGGGCCAGTCCTCAGGAGCAGTGTCCAGCGACGGACTGGGATCTGCTACAGACATCCAGGTGACCTTGTGGATCTGAGCAGAGGGAATAGAGAAATGATCGAGGACGAAGGCCGGTGGAGCAGAACGGAACCAAATACTGTAAATCTATGTATAATTACCCGTTGTTCCCGGATTCCTGGTCATCCGGCATCCCAGGAACTGCGCCGACAAACATATTCGGTTGCCGGACCTGAGCAGTGTTATTCTTCGGTCCTTTTGTTTGTCCCTGGTTTGTCCCATCTCTCCGACCGCCGACTCCTCCCCATAAGAGGGTCTATCTCTACCACCACATGGACACTCGGAGCGCCTCTCCTCGAGTCCCCTACCGGGCGGCCTCCACACCACCCCCAAACTACCGTGGGCTCCACAGCCACTCTCCTGCTCGCCATCATCGCTCTTCCCGTCCTGGGACAGCCGGTAGCGAGTATCCAGAGCAGCCCACAGCATACAGACCTCTTCAAGAGGAAGGCCATGCCAAGCCTTCGCCCTTCGCTCTTGGCCAAGCACCTCCTGCAAAATGGCGGCTGCCAAAGGCTGTAAGGTCGCCTAAAAGGCTGCTGTCGACGTTGGTCGCCCTTGCCATTCTAGGTCTCCTGATCAAATATGTAGGGATGGGAAAGGACAGATTGTTGAGATCAAAGTGGGGCTGGAGACCAAGAGGGGGTCGGAGAGTAGATGACGGTCTTTGCCGATTCGTGTCACCGGTAGACGCCTACCACAGAGATCTACAGCGCCTGAGAGGACTTGCGTACCCTGGCGCCAACTTGACAGCCCTCTACCCTTCCCTTCACTCATATGTACACCACCACACATATTCTCCCACCGGTCATCTCCTTGTTTCCGACCACCCCGACGCCCCGCATCCAATACCTCTTTTGCTCGACCTCGGCGAAAAGCGATGGGAAGAATTACTCTCCCGACAGTCTCGTACGCTCGAAGAAGCCGTAAGGGAGTACATGCGACGCTATGGAAGACGGCCTCCAAGGGGCTTTGACAAGTGGTGGGATTTCGCTATGCGTCACAACTTGGTACTCCCAGATGAGTATGACAGGATCAATCTCGACTTGGCGCCATTCTTGGCCCTGCCTGAAGAGGAAATGAAACGACGAAGGGGATTGGTAGACAACATGTCCGAGACGTTCACCCTGGTGATCAAAAATGGCTCGGTAGATATTGAGGTGTGTCCTTTTTCCTTGTATTGATGACTGCTGATGCATTGCCCATAGATCAAAGATGAGGGTGGTCTTAACTGGGGAGGTACCCTTCCTCGTGCTTCAGACACGGCTGCACTTCTTCGGGCATTCTCGGAACACCTGCCAGATATGCGTGCTACCTTCTCCATCTTTGACCAACCCCAGATCTATCTCTCTTGGGCTCGCCGAGGTTCTTTGGTGAATCTGGGTTTGAAGGGAGAGCATACCTCACATCTGGAAGAAACAGATAGCGCCCTCGTCAAGCTGTCCAGGAGTTGTGCTCCAGACTCCAATTACAGGAAGAATGAGAGCTATTCGGAGGGCAGGTCATTCATCTACGACAGCTTAGAAGCTGGTGATCTATGCCAAAGTGAGTTCAGACCTCACCTTGTACTCAAAGCTGACAGCTTCCTCAAAGACCCATATGTGATTCCTATTCATGGTTTGACTATAGAGCCACACGAGCCGTCCTCTCATCCTCGACCTCACACTCAGCTCTTGCCTCTGTTCAGTCTTGCCAAGACCTCCATCAAGTGCGTAACTATACATCCAGTTGGCATAGCCCTGACTCTTTATCAGCTCTGATATCTTGATAACGCCCCTCGACCAATTCAACCATGAGACAGGAAAAGACCTCGAGTTCAGAGATAAACCGAGCTCTAGATTGGCTTGGGTCCGTTTCGCTTTCTCTCCCCAGGTGTTTACTGACTATATCGTAGCGTGGAAGCCCTACTGGTATCTCATGGATGAACGCTCAAGTTGACTGGCGCAACGCGCATCGTATCCGCCTTCACCGATACGCCAACAACCGCTCTACAGAGCACATGACCTTCCTTGTCCCTGACTTTGGCCAAGATGAAGACTACTACCCTGACGAATTCGACGTTGACGGGGGTATCGCTGAGATCAAGAATGGTCAGGAGGAATGGCACGAGAGAAACAGGGAGGTGCAAGAACAGCATCTGGAGGAACAGATCGACGAGGGACCTCTGCACTTCATCGAAGAAGAGATCCCAACGGACGAGGCGATGGAGTTCTTCTATGACATCAAATTGGCGGGGGATCCTATCCAGTGCGATTCGGATGATGGAACGTGCGATGATCTGAGGTGAGCTGCGGTTCTTGTCCCGACGAGTATGAGTGTAAACTGACCGTGACGCTAGACGAGAGATCGAGTGGGCTCCCAGGCAGAGCGGGGAGGACTTGAACCAGAACAAGTTCTTACTCGACATTGACGGTAACGGCTGGAGGTAGGTTTGGCGATCGCGCAGGCGTATGGTCGCTGACCTCTTTGTTAGCGGCCGATTTCGGAAACTAATGAGCACCAACTCGGCCGTCATCAAGATGACGATGTTTACCGAATGGTTCCAGCCCCATCTCATCCCTTGGTTCATGTACATCCCAGCCAAGCTCGACTTTTCGGACCTTCCGGATATCATGGCTTTGTGAGCATATTCTCGAGGCTCGCAGGGAACGCAAGCTGACCAGATGCAAGCTTCCGGGGCAGTCCCACGTATCCGGAATTCGCGTTTGATGAAACGGCAGAAGCTTTGGCTATCAACGGAGTCAGTTTCACTTCGAAGCAGTTGTTATGTTTCTTGCTGATCGATGTCCCAGAAATGCTTTGTGCAAAGAATGTTCCGCCTCGAAGATATGCAGGCGTATATGATGCGCCTCTTCTTGGAGTATGCTGTGAGTCGTCTTTTGCTGCTGATCAATGTCTGTCAGCTGACGAACGTGTTTAGCGGATCGCCGCTGACGAAGGAGATGATATGGACTTTTACCTTGATGACTATTGGTCCGACATCGACACCTCAGACTGGTTCGATGAAGAAGCCATCAAGAATAGGAAGCCTGTGGCGGATCTACCAGATGTTATGGAGGGGGACGGTGGGTCGCGAGCCGCCGGGACTGTGTTGGAAGAGGAGCTTGTAGAAGGCACAAAGCAGGACGATGGCGGGGATATCAGCTGGGAAGAGCATGATGGGCTGAGTGAGGAAGAGCTGTTAAGGGAGGTCGTGTAATCTTTCGTGATCCATCTTGTGTGCTGACCCATAGAGCATGTATAATGCTGTCTTCCCCAGGATCATTGTCAGCAGAATACATCTTTCAGGTCTTGAATGTGAAGGTGCCATTTGCTGAGTCGTTGACACGATGCCTAATGAGGATGACATCTCCAACAAAGTACTAATATGAGGCTACCATCGTTCTCTCTCCCTCGCCAGGGTTCTCATGCGTTTTGCTGGTATACTCGACAGATGGTCGATGTTGTGTATGATGGGTGATGGGGAATTTCGTTTCTTGTTATTGCATCGAGAGCGCCGGGTATATTGAGCTCACTGCAAGTAGTATCAGGGTATGCCTCCTTGTTCCGACCGATGACGGCACACTTACGGCCTCTTCATCATCGCCATTGACCCTATGCTTGCTCGCCTTCTCCACCCGCTCCTTCTCCTTCTCCTCCTCTTCCACGCTCTCCCTTGCCATCCTCACCGCATCCATATCGAGTTCGTTTCCCAACCTTCCCTCCGGCAACCCCAGTCTCGTCTGTCGCTCCTTCTCCCTCTCTTCCATGGCTGCGAATCCCTCGACGGTTTGCGTCTTGTGCCATCCAACATGGAGAGATATCCTCATGGGGTTGAGGGACTCGCCGGGTGCTGCTTGCTCTCTCGCTCTATTGTAAAGTCGTTTGAACCACTCGGAGAGCTTGATGTCTTCGCACACGATGGAAAAGTCTTCGGTTGTCTATCATCAAAGGTCAGCTGGATGCCGAGAGACGCAAATCAAAGACTCACCTCAGTCACGTTGGCGTCCAAGCTCTTCTCGGTGAGAACCAGAGGGTTCCCATGGTAAAGACAAACAGACACGTCACTGTCATCGTCGTCTCTGTTCCCAGCAAAGGTCGACAACATGGCTCTGATCTCAAACATGAACTGATCCAAGGAGCCATCGAGGTGCCAAGCCTTCTCCTGCTTTTCGAAGATGACTCGCAGCCTAGCAAACCCATCGTCCTCCTCTTGCCCGTCCTCGTTGATCCTGCTTCTGGGAAAGGCGAGATCGTCCCAAAGCGCATAAATCTGGTGCCACTCGTCGATGCTGAGGATCACTTGGTAGTCGACAGGGTCGTCATCGGAAGGCGAGGCTCGAGGGACGACAAAGCCTCTGTCCTTGGAGGGGTCGAACATGGTGAGCTGGCGGGGAGTATTTCCATCCGGAAAGTTGACTTGGAAGGACGGCAAGGCGAGGGTACCAGGGAGCTGAGAGTAGGTGGTAATGATGCTCTCGACATCCCCATCATTCTCAGAGTCTTCTGCAGTCCAGGTGGGGTCGTCCTGGAGAGACCTGCGATGGTCGAGAGCACTGAGGTTGGGAGATCGAAGGGAGGAGGGACTACCGAAGCCGGACATGGTCTGGCCAGAGGGGACGGCCAGGAGCTGCATGGAGTTGGCGAGGCTGTCTGGGGCACTGTCGCCGCTGTCGGTGAGGCTGCGGAGGCTGCGAGCGTCCTCGATGGGGTGGTACGTGAGCTCTTCGCCCGTAGAGGAGTCACTCATAGTTGATGTTGTTGGGTGTTGAGTGACGAAAGAGATGCAAAAGCAAGACGAGGATGTGAGAGGGTTGGCTTCGGGCGGCACCCTCCGTGTGTGGAAGGACGGTCCATACGCTGATCAGCCAACGTTGAGTGGCTTGCAGAGGCTGTGTGCTGGACGATATCGCACAGAAAGTGCATGGCTGCATGGACATGTCTGTGACTGCATGCCAAACTAGTACTCCTCCTCACTTCTTCTTCTCAATGACAGTCTTCTTGCTCAACTTCTTGACTACCGCCTTCTTGACATCCGTCATCACCCAACTAGCCTGTAGAATATGCCAGGTCAGTCGTGGCCCATAGAAGCATATCCAAATGAATGGAATGAGTTTGTGCACACCTTGGACATCACACTCTGTCCCTTGGCCTGCTTTTCATCCTTTTCGCGATTCTTCGATTCCTGTCCCTCTCCCATCAAGCTGAACCCGTCCGGGCTCACGGAGCGAATCCCGGGGTAGGGCATTGTAAGGAGAATCTAGTGATACTTGATCGTACAGAGGCCGATCCGGGCGGGGTGTGAGAAGCCGTAGCGGTGAGGGAAACTGAGGTGGCAGTGTGCAGCGATGCAAGGAGAGGCCGAGTGTCAAGGTTGAGGATGGGTAGGATTGAATTGGTCTTGAGACAGTTGCAGATAAGACGGAATATGTGGAGAAGAAGGCGAGTTGCCGCATGCTCTTTGGCAGCCATATTGCGCGTGAATGTCTGACCGTCAATCCACAGTCAAAGGAAGGTAAGCTACACACTGCACACCTCGTTACTGGGCGTGTTCAGCTTTTGGTTTTGGCAATCCGTGCTACCAAGGGGTAACAACCCAGTACTCTTGTCGGTGCATTCATCTTCTCTCACCGCGTTGAACATGATTTTGGCTTTGGCATGGCTTGTCTCCAAAGTCAGGCGCGCTGTGCTGCTTACATAATCTTGTGCGCCACAGAAAGCAGCAGCAAACTCCGCCAATGAGAGGGCGGTGATTGGAGGCGGCGCTCCCCGCCCCCGCCAGCCAACCAGCCGCCGTCTGTATGTCTCTTCTGTTTCTCTTCTGTTTCTCTTTCATCCCACCATGCTCAAGTCAAGAACACCCCTCCTCCGCCCCCTCCGCTCCCTCAACCCCCCAGCCCGCAGATCACTAGCCACCGTCTCAGATCCCCCAGTCAGGCGCTACGGCGGCCTCAGAGACCAAGATCGTATCTTCACAAACCTCTTCTGCAAGCACGACCATGGCATCAAGGGCGCCCTCTCCAGGGGTGACTGGCACAGGACAAAGGACATTATCCTCAAGGGCGACTCGTGGTTGATCCAAACGATCAAGGACTCGGGATTGAGAGGTCGAGGTGGTGCTGGTTTCCCCAGTGGTCTCAAATGGAGTTTCAGTGAGTGTTGCATGCTTGAGCGAGATGGCCGTGCTGATAGTCTGCATAGTGAACAAGCCGGGATGGGAGAAGGACCCCAGGTGAATATCTGCGCATCGTTGAACTATACCTGGCGCGCAACTAACCACACATCCGCAGACCACGATACCTTGTCGTCAATGCCGATGAGGGTGAACCCGGAACATGTAAAGATCGAGAGATCATGCGAGGTGACCCCCACAAGCTTGTGGAAGGCTGTTTGGTTGCTGGTCGGGCTATGAATGCCAATGCTGGTAAGTGGCAAGTCTTGACGTACAGATCGCATATCATTGGCTCTTGCGTTCTCCTCGCTATGGCCCCGCGGGGCGAGCGCAAGCTCCGCTCATACGCGATCTAAGAGCCACCAAGATTTGTGCTTTTGCTGATTCGCTGCCCAGCCTACATTTATATCCGAGGAGAATTCTACCAAGAGGCATCCCACGTCCAACAAGCCATCGACGAGGCTTACAAGGCCGGTCTCATCGGCAAGAACGCCTGTGGCTCTGGTTACGACTTTGACGTCTACGTTCACCGAGGCGCTGGTGCTTATATCTGTGGTGAAGAGACCGCTTTGATCGAGTCCATCGAGGGTAAGCAGGGCAAGCCTAGACTTAAGCCTCCTTTCCCTGCCGATGTCGGTGTTTTCGGATGCCCCACCACCGTCGCCAACGTCGAGACTGTCGCTGTCGCCCCCACCATCGCTCGACGAGGCGGTGCTTGGTTCAACAGCTTTGGACGAGACAGGAACTCTGGTACCAAGGTGTTTTGTGTCTCTGGACACGTCAACAACCCTTGTGTCGTTGAGGAGGAGATGTCTATTCCCTTGCAGGAACTTTTGGAGAAGCACTGCGGTGGTGTGAGAGGTGGATGGGAGAACTTGAAGGGTATCATCCCTGGTGGTTGTTCCGTGCCCGTCGTTACCCGAGAGACTTCTGAGAAGTGTTTGTGGGTATATTTCTTGCTCTGCTCGAGCCACGCTGACGCTACGCAGGATGGACTATGACTCTCTCAAAGACAACGGCACTTCCCTCGGTACCGGAGCCGTCATTGTCATGGACCAGTCCACCGACATGATTGCCGCCATCGCCCGATTCGCCAAATTCTACAAGCACGAGTCTTGTGGGCAATGTACACCTTGCCGAGAGGGTACCACTTGGATGATGAACATGATGGACAGGATGGTCACCGGACGAGCGCAGGAGAGGGAGATTGATATGCTTTTGGAGTTGACAAAGCAGGTCGAGGGCCACACCATCTGTGCTTTGGGTGACGCTGCTGCTTGGCCCATCCAGGGTCTGATGAAGAACTTCAGTGAGTTTTATGTCCAGCGGTATGGGATAGGACTGACAAGTGTGCAGGGCCCGAGGTTGAACAACGGCTTGCCCAATTCCATGCTCAAAACGGCCATGTCCTCTACGGTGGCAAGCTCGCTTCAGAAACCGACGGCCGTTTCGCTATTCCTGACAATCTTGGTGGTTACACCACCAGGAACATTGCGGCGCCTTAGGATGGGGGAGAGTTTTTATAGTCGGGGCGATGTAGTCTATCATGATCAGGGTTGTTTCCTTTATATCTTCGTTTTCCCCATGCATGTTTGATATCACATTCATCTCTCATTGCGCATGCCTCTCTTATCTATCTTGCGCTACAAGTCCAGTGGTGCTTCTCTCTACGAGTGCAGCGGTGGCTCGAAGAGCTCTGTGTATGTGGTGTCACGGGCGAACAGAAAGATGTCATTACAAGGTCATAATATGCTGAAAATATAGATGTCTATGATACAAGGAGAAGACTAATGGATTGGGGGTGGATTGCGTGCAGGGTATATGTACAAGATCAAGCTCTCGTTTTCCTCATCGATACACCTTCTTCCGCCAGTTTGTTTGCAAGTCTATCAGAGCTCCTGGGAGTCTTGAGACGGATGCAGTTTTGGGGCTACGGCGACTTCTTCCTCGTCTCGAGGTATTTCTGCGTCATCGGTGGCAAGAGTGTCCCCCTGATCATAGACCGTAGGGTCAACAGAGGGCGTCTCTCTCTCTTTGCTCTCCTCCTGCACCTCTTCCTTCTTCTCCACATCATGGTTCAAAGCCCCGGGATCCGAGAGTTCCGACACTGCAGGCGCCTCTTTAGATGAGTGCTTGCTGACCTCGGCACGCTCTTCCTCGACCTCAGCCTCCTCATCCACAGTCTCTGGCACTGAGAAGAATACCACTTTTTCTTCCTCGGGCTCTTCCACAGGAGACGCATCCTCGATAGGAATCAACACAGCTGGTTGATCGTCATCCGGGCCTGCTGCAAGAGGCTGAGGGATGATCAACTCGGGCGCTTGGCCATCCACAGGCGGAGGAGAGGCAGGTGGAGTACCGTGGAGGATTACAGGCGATTCGGTGACGCGGATGAGAGCAGGAGTGGAGGCTACAGTGTCGCTTTCTTCAAGACCCCGAACGTCATTCTCTAGATGACTTGCGATTGGCACCGGGGTAGCATTGATCGCGTCGCCGTCCTGGGGCGTCTCGAACGGTTTTTTGTTCTCCATAGACTCAGAAGTCCTTTCTGGGTGACTTGGGACATCGCCAGAGCTCGCAATGGAAGTATCGACTGGGAGATCATGCTGGGCAGTATCAATGGCAATGGCACTAAGATGAAAGATAAGAACATGTATTGGAGATGGTTTGGACCACCGACTCACTGGTCACTGGGCGTCGGTGAAGTTGGAGCAAGTGATATGTGGTTGTAGGGCCCAGAATCAGGACCTTTCTCTTGATCGGGTCCGTCAGTTGATTCACTCGTACTATAACATGATGTCAATCACTTTCTCGTGGCGACATGAGCAAGACACTCACCCTGCCTCTTCTCGAGGTAACGTAACGGCGCCCGCAAGGAATTGCGTAGCATCGAGCGTGTCCTGTCTGTCCTTCACTGGGAAGTCTTCGACTTCTGCTGACCGACTCATATCAGGCGCAACGGAGCTGCTTTCGACAGCCACCAGGGCCTCTGAAGCAGGTTCAGAGGGTTCGCTACTAGTATGTCAGTCATTGGAAGATCAAGTATCGTAAGATGCACTCACGGAGCCACGTCGGTTTCCATAACGGGTTCAGATACGTTGAGGGCATCCTTGTGTTGACTCTCGACAGGAAGAGAGCCCAAAGAGCCAATAGCCGCTGGCAGCTGCTCCGATGGTTGAGGCACATCCTCTGCAGCTTGAGCCATTGGTGGGTCCTGTCGAGCGACATCAACCTGCTCTTCACCTAATACCGGTTCATCAAACGCCAGAGCTGATTCTGGACCAATGACGGGTTCCTGAACCTCAGCGACATCCGTTTCAGCTTGCTGAGTAGCTGGGGAGAGTTCAGGGTCACCCGAGTAGTCATACGCATCCTGTTGCTGGTTTAAAGAAGGCGCCTCTTTTGAGACGGCCTTCGTCTCGACAGAAGTCTCTCCGATTTCGTCTTTGGTCCTTTGCGCTTCCTCTACGTTTGGCGTCGTCTCCTCGGCACTGATTTCTTCTGAAGCTGCCGGGAGTCCAGCGCTGGGGGTGATCACTGGTCCCAGAGAAAAGGATGGGGATTCGCCAGCGGTCGCCCTGGGCGAAGAGTTGTCTTCTGCGATCGACATTGAGGGATGACCCGGGGAGGAGGGTGTAAGTTCGAATCCATGTAGGTTGAGAGTTTGTGGCGCGGAGATCGCAGAAGCTTCGTGGAAGCTTCGACTGCGAACCAATCGATTAGCAGAAAGGTCCGTTGAGCGCGACCACGAAACTCACGCATCATCAGTCACACCTCGAGGTTCTTCGGCGTCTTCGTTTGGAACGGCTCCATCAATTTCAGCAGAAACTGCCTCAGCAGCGGAAGAGGGCCCCGTTCCATCCTCTTGAAGGACGGGGGGCACGGAGGATTGCTCATCTTCAACCGTTTCTTGAACATCGTCCTGGGTATCGTCACTGACAAATGAAGGTCAATGTCATTCGGGACTTTATGCTGCTGACTCACGACCTAGGCATTATATTGGACGTCTGCACAAGTTCAATATCCCCTTGATCCCTGACTCTTGAATTTCCAAAGGCTTTGGTGACTTCTGGAAGCCCGGATCCAGTAACACCGGCAGCCAAGACCGACCCAATATTATCGATTGGCGTCTCGATACCCATAGGTTCTGCAAGAACTACCTCGCTGGTAGCCAGTTGGGCACTCATCGCCTCCTGCTCGATGAGTCGATCGTCGACCCCCGTCGGTGGCAGATCGTCTTTTTCGGTCGCCTTGGAGACATCATTTGCGATGACGATCTGAGCTGCTGGCTCGAAAGTGGTGACTTGTTCTCGGTCGATAGTGTCGGTTGAAGGAACTGCAGGTTCATCAGTGCCAGCTGTCGCATCCTCGCTGTCGCGCAGCGCCGGCGTCTGTGCAGGAGTCTCTACAGGTTGGAAATGAAAGTTTTTCTCCGTTCCCGGAGTGCCCGTCGCAACCGTCTCCACTGTAACTTCAATGGGATGGCGCTCTTCGGAAGATTCCTGGATATGCTGGGTATAAGAAGTCTCTGTGTCACGCTCCTCGATGGTAGACGCGGAGGCAGAGGTTGACGCTGCTGTGAGAGACGATTCCTCAGAGTCCAGCTTGTCCTCATGAGGTGGAGATTGGTCGTCGATGCTGTGAAGATCCTGGTTCTCTGACTGGAAGTCCAGAGCAATTCCAGCAGCAGTTGCCCCTTCGATACCCCCCAAACTCATACCCCTACGCTCAGCTTGTCTTTCTTCCTCCAGCTGGCCATCTGACTTGGGCAAAGGAGCCTCCTCATTGGCGACCATAATCTGTCGCGGAGGAAAGGGGTGGCCTTCAGCATCAACGCCCTCGAGATGCGTGTGAGGTTGAGCCTCTACAGCCTGCTCTTTGTCTTCGCTAGTGCGAGAAAGTGCAACGGGAGCTGGGTGGTCTTCGCTCTGATGAGGTTGGATGTCCAAAGCAATTCCTGCGGCCTTGGCACCTTTCAGGCTGCTAACACCAGCACCCCTCTCTTCGTTCTGGCGCTCTTCCTCAAGCTGCAAGTCAGTCTTGGAAAGGGGGGTCTCCTCATCGGCGACCATCACCTGCTGAGGGGGCTCACGCTGACGGTCGACATCCAAAGTCCCTGATTGGGAGCTGGCGTCTTGACTCCTGATCTCTGTTACCGGGTCTTCTTGAGGCTGATCAGGGGTAGAAGATGCAGGATGCTCTGGGTCGCTGAGAACAAGGTCAGCAGCGGCAGCTACCGCCGCAATGGCTGCAGCACCTCCAGCAGCAATGGCAGAAGTGCCAGAGGCTAATAATCCAGTGATCCCCTCTCCGTTTTCTTGGTCGACAGGTTCGTCTTTAACACTTTGCGTCTCAGGGGTGACAGAGCTCTGGTCGGCTCCCTTCTCGGCAGGAAGCTCTTCCTCAATCTCGGGCTCGCGAATAGTGGGAGGAAGAGAAGGAGAAGGGGCGAGGGATCGCTCACCTCTGCGCGGGGCGGGGAGCTCCTCATCATCAGAACTCTCAGCTTCAGCCAGATTCTTAGTAGGCTCAGTGGCCGAGGGGACTACCTTGACCGCATGGGGCGCAGCAGTGGTTTGAACATCAAGAGCTTTATCGTCCGCCCCCTTGTCGCCGCCATCATGGGAAATGGCACCAAGAAGTGAGGTTCCTTCCTCGAATCCGGAAGCGGTAGGCATAGGTGAGGGCAGAGGCGAGTTTTGGACGGTCCCAGCGGGGGTGGGAACAAACAAGGCGCGAGTAGATACATTGTCTACTTCCTTGTTCGCGATTGGGATCCTACTCGCGGTCAAAGGCGAGGCAAGGTTCTTGGCACTCTGAGATCGGCTAGGAGAGACAATTTCACCCATTTCTCCAATCGATACCGGTTCGGGCTTCTTTTTACCCAACTCCTCCAGGGTAGGCAGATCACCTTCCTTCAGTCCTGATCCACTTCTCGGGATACCAAAGAAGCTTCTCCTCGCACTGTTCCCATTGCCGCCGCCAGCTGAAGACTTTCTTCTCGAGAGGGACGTGGCAAAGTCGCGCAGACCCTTAGAGTTGCTACCCCTTCCGGACGCTGTCGATCTCGCGCTTGGTGAGGTGGGCCGCTCGATGATCTCGGGCTCAGATGGCTCCGAAGGTGGCTTGGGAATGTGCTCAATCGACACAAGCAGCCATTCGATAGGCTTTGGCTGGTCGATTGGAGACGAGAGGCGCACGAGGGAGAAAGGCGGCCAAGACGCAGTCACATCGTCGAGTTTGGCATCCTCAAAGAACGACATGAAGATGTCGTCAATTTTGATGACAGCCTCGCTCATGACTGTGAACGTGGGCACCAGCTCAGTAGAGTCTCGGAAGGTCGTCTTTCGTGATTTGTTGAGAGGCTTTTCAGCAGACTTTCTCTTTTGAGTAGGGGAAGTGACAGACTTTCCGCTAGGGCCGGTAGAGGCAGCGGCGGAGAAGTCAAGTTTCAGGTCTCCAGTTCCCTCGCCAGTCTCGCTAAAGCCAATCTTTTCGAAATCATCCCACGCGCCAGGGTCCGGACTCCCCTCCCCCTCCACCCGGGTTTTACTGGATGTGGAGTGGCCCGAGAGGACAGAGTGGCCTCGGGAGTGGGTCTGGAATGGGCGGTAGATGGGTGGCTCCTGGGCGGAAGGTAGATCAAGGACGGAAGCAGGCGAAAGAGGTTCCTCGGATGGTGCCAGGGTCTTGAAGAGGCTCAAAGAGTCTTCAGAAACGATGTCGGCAGGGTTGACTTTATCCTTGGTTAAAGCGGACCACTGAGGTGCAGACACTTCGCTGTGGATGGTAGCCCGTAAAGCGGCATGAATGATCTCTTCGGGCCCGGAGCCGGCCTTGTTTACGGGGAGGCTGCTTTTGAGGACCACATGCAGAGTCTTGCGGCTGGAAGACGAGGGCGGGGGAAGGGGTAAGTGCTCGGACGAAGCAGAGGCCTCCCCAAAGGGATAGTCGTTGACTAGCTGGAGCATTCGCATGGGCAGTCTTTGTTTCGTAGATTGAAACCTGAAGAGACATCAGTATGGGAGTCAAAGGAAGTCGCATTGTCATACCTGATCCAAGCGTAAAGCAAGTGCTCCAGTCTCTTTCCGGCCTCTTTCCAGGTCTTGTAGAAGTGGTCGAAACTGGCCACCTTGCCAGCGTTCATACCGTATGCCCACCAACCGAGAAGGTAGGCTAGCCTGCCACCAGTCAGGGTGTTTTGGTCGGCATGCGTAGCAATAGCCGCCCACGTCTCAAACATTTCATGCAGATAGCTTGCAACCTCCGCAGGAACGTTGGGTCCGAGGAACTCTCCAAAGGCCGACAAAGGATAAGACGAGGCATGCTCAGCTTGAACAAACGTTGTGTAGACCTGTCGACTGATGAGAGGATCCTCGCCTGTTGCACTGGGTAGCAAGCGTCGGAGTATGAATTTGAGGCCTTCCGAGATGTCAAGAGGCTTGTCGGTATCTCTGAGGGACGTGACCAGCCTCTCATGCCAAATCTCGGAAGGCCGCTCGGACGTCGGTTTTGCCAGGTGAGAGGCCACTGATGGAAGAGAGTCGATAAGATGTGGTTTGGTGTAGAGCGCAAAGAGGGCGAAGAGATAGAAGTGCGTGGTAGGATCTGCGTCGATTCCTCGCGGCAGCAGAATGCCTCTCGTGTCCAGTCCTGTGTATCGTTAGGCGTGACACGGCGGGGGTGGTCAAAGCTTACCAGTTGCTTTCAGTGCGCTACCAAACCATTCCCAAGCCAGCTTCACTTCCCCCACGTCCCACCGCAGCTCTCGCAGCATATCCCTCTCTTCCTGCTTGAGGTTGGGAGGCCTTCCCATGGACCCTATGTCGAGCGCCGTGTCCCCTGGGCTGCCGAGCGCACTGACCTCGAGGCCCAGGTCGAGCTTCGGCAGCTGTATGGGCGGGCTGGAGCCCCCTGACTGAAGCTGACTCCTCTTCCTCGAGAGCTCTGAGCTGGCGCGTCGAGAGGAGGTGCCGTGGGGGTTGGTGGTGGCCTTTTGTCGGAGGGACAGGAAGCGGGCGGCGGGACGCTCTGGAGTGTCGCGGGCGGGGGATGTGGGGGACGGGGGGCGGGCTGTGTGCCCCTTGGGTTTCTTCTTGCCGGAGAAGAAGGAGAGGATGGATACCATCTTCCGCTGCCGATAGAAGAACTGCAAGATGGACAATGATTACAAGATGATGGTTCGAGCGTCAAAATCATGGCGAGTGCCGGGACCAATTCAGGTGGAAGGCATTTCCGGCCGCCGGCAATCCAGCAGCTATGCCCATGGCAATCTACTTGTCCTCCAACCTGCTTTTTGAACTGTTTCTTGCAACCTATACATTATGGCTACGCTGATGCTGTGTCTGATTTGACATCTATTCCAAACGATCTCCTAAGATACCCCGGTACTTTAAGATACGATACAACAGCCCGGACACTCAAAATCTCAGCTACTACACCTTTCCATTTACATATGGCAACGCCATATGATAGTGCTCATGACCCTTTGCTAGAACCGATTCTAGTATCGCCGCACGCCCACTTCTCCAAACCGCACTGTCTTTCTACCGTTCCCATTGTTCGGTGGCGGTGGGGAATAACGACCACTGCTCCTGGGCGCATAGTAACCTGAACCTGCCTCCGCTACTGGTAGATACACCGCGGGCGGTAGAGCCACTGTAGGAGGCGGGAAACTGTAGTTATACTGAGGTGGAGCTGAGGGATTATAGTGGTACTGGGGATAGTTGTACTGCGACTCTCGGTATCGTGGTAGATACGGCGAAAGAGTTGGTGAAGCAGGATATGATTTGCGAGATACGCTGGGTTGCCAGCGGTTACGATGCCACATACAGCATGAGAACATGGTGATTAGAGCTAAGCAGCCAACGACGACGCCTAAGAGATGGTCAGATGGCGGCAAATGGTCAAATGACAGAGACCTACCAGCTATGGCGCCCGGGGAGATGTGATGACTCTGATGAGTGCCTTCGTCGCGGGTGGCGATGTTGATAATACTCGTGGTGTTATCCGGTATGCCGAAAGCGAGACAAATCGCTAGGAAAGGTGCAAGAACGATAGTGTAGAGCGCCAGGGTACGCATGGCTGTCACCAGTACTCCGCTGTATTTATATGGAGCGACGCATAAGGAGCTATACGTGAGAGCCCCTGGGTCGCAGCGCTGTCATGATCGGGTAGATCTCCCCACCCAAAGGTGAGGAGCAAAGCCCGACAAGCTATGCGTCACCCCTCAAAGGAAGAATGAAGAGCATAACGGCTTCTGCCAGAGTAGCTCTCAATGGGCCTCGCAAATTTCTCAAAGAATTTGGTTTTGTGGTGAATGGGAGAAGCAACTTCGAGTCCGGCGGGGCCCCTGGGCTGATGACTAGTCGCAAAGATAGATGTATCAGCACAATTGCCATTCTGAAGAGTCATAGTGTTGCCACTCACTCATATCGTCTTTCCAGCATCCTGGATCAATTTCCTCCATGTCTCTGCCCTGCCTTCTCTCCCTAATTCTTCCTCAACCTGTACCAGCAATCTCATGCTTTCCACCCTCAGATTGACCGCACTACTTTCCATCTCTTCGTCTCTCATGACCTCATCTTGAGACTTTATGGCTGTCTTGCCCTCCTGCGCCAATCGCCTTTCTCTAGCAATCCGTTTCACTATATCTTTGCACTCTCGCTGCACCATGCTCAACTCGATCTCGGCTGCCTTGAGATCATGTTTCTCCTTGAGATACAGCTCTCCCAGTTCTCTTCTTGTTCGTAGGACGGACAAGGGGTCGGAGGGAGGATCGTTGGTGAGGAGGTGGATCTTTGCGGAGAGAAGCTGGATACGGGATGTGACAGGCTGCGGAACAGGCGAGGCGAGGAGGGTGTTGATAGCTTGTATGTTGTAGATTGGAGAGGAGGTGATGGCTGGAGGCATGACTGATGGATGTATTATAGCCAACGATGGGAGATGGATGAAAAACAAGAGAAATTGTATAGACGACTTTTTTGACGCGACTTCACTGCTGCGACTGTATCGCCGACGCGACTGACTTGCTTCTCGGATCAGAAGAGCGCACAAGTGACCGATTTGCAAGGTTAAACCCCCCGGACCATACGAATTTGTATCGAACAAGAGCCTTATAGTGTACCGGCCTGGCACATCTTCTTGCGTCTAATCATGACACCGCCGAGTGATTGGAGTTTGGACATGACCGGCGTGACGAACAGCAAGATGTAGTTGACACAGAATTAGATCTCGAACAAGATATCCCTCGCATCGCAGTCGTCTAAGTCGTCATCTGCAGTCCAACCCCGCCTCCTAATAATATGTCGCAGGTACTTCAGATAATGCACCCAGCGCGCTCTCCTGGCCTTCCTCCACGAATGTCAAAGATCTACAACCTCTTAGCGCCCCTCTTCCCCTTGCTCGCTACAGCAGTCTTCACGCCCCCGACAGTGTTCCCAGCCGTCTTGACCGCAGGTTTCACCACCTTCTTGACCTCGTCACCCGATTTCTGCTCGCCGTTTGAATTGGGGCTCTGACCTTGCGAAACGCTGGTACCGAGGGGGGAAGGCTTGGAGGCGGAAGAAGAGGGGGGTGAGGGGGCAGTAATGGTAGGTCGGACGGTGGTGGTGGGCACAGATTGGTCTGAGGGAAGGGGTCTTTCGCTACTTGACGTGGCGCCACGGAATTCTGCGGGCGGTAACTGTGGGAGGTCAGTGCAGCCGCAGATAGTCTTGCATGCAAGAACTCACTTTCGGCGTGGCGTGGATACTAGTCATAAGCCGGGCATACTTGGAGCTGGGGTCAGTGAATTCCGAAGTCATCAAAATAGTCTACACACCTTGGAGTATCCCTCATAGTCTTCAAGCAGTTGTTTACCGGCTTCCTCGTCCAATGCGCTTTCAGGGTTCGGGTAGATCAACAAACCTAACAAAAAACATACATGTCAGCAGCCGTCTTCAAACACCAGGCAGGATGCGACTACATTTGATGGTCTGGGGCATGTCAGCATCGCCATGTGCTGCCGGAAATTTGCAGTGCTTACCACGAGGACATGTTCTACTCCATACTCTTTCTTCCAGCCTTTTTTCAATGTGTCCACACAGATTTCGCCAGCCTTGCTAATGTTGGGGTGGAAGATCTTGGTGATCATAGTGCCTATAGACCAGGGTACCTGTTAGCCAAAGGCGATTGACTTGCAGAGGAAGGCCCCCCGCGTGCGCGACACCGAACCTACACTTTGGCGGGAGATTGGGGAATTCAGGACCAAAAGAGAACCGAATCTTGTAGTATCCGCCCTCATAGGGAGTGCCAGCTATGAGTATCTTCGTTAGCTACGACTGATCGACAGCCCAAGGCTCGAGCTAGTTTCACTGGCTACCCGCAAATGGTATGCCAGACTCTGACTTCATGCGACCTTTATTCGCCAAGGCTCTCCGGAGTGTCCTCGTCCAAGCCAATACTCACAAGGCCCCTGCACCCATCCTTCCATGTTGGTGAGGTTTTCCTCGTCGACCACGAGCCTCACTCCCTCGGGGGGACTATTCCTGTGAGCGACGATCTGTCGAGAGAGCAGTCTGAGAGCTTGAGGGGTGAGAGACTTTATGGCGTCAGCTTGTGTTGGTACGATAGTGGCAGGCGGTGACACACCATCTTATGTTGAGAAGAAGGAGGAGAAGTGGATAGAGGAAGTGGATGGGTAGTTGTTGATGTTGACTGGAAAGTGTTTGTTGACTTGTTTGGTTCATTTTGAATCCTGGAGTCTGGACAGAGCGGACGCGTCCCGTGCCAAATGCTTATGCCTATTCCTATTAGGATTTTAGGACTATTGAGATTTTCAGCAAGGGTTCAATTCCCTTACGGTGTAAAAGTTTTGCTTTTTCTCACTGTCATGCAACGTGTATGTGCGCGTGGTCTTCAAGCAAGGACGACGTAGAGCGCGGTGGTGATCTCACGATGTTCAGTAAGGTGTACATAAGATAATGCAATATATGAGAACGATGAGGACCAAAACAAAAAGTGATGAGATGATATTTATAAAGTCCGTTGCCAAGCCCTGAAATGAAATGATGCCGCAGGAATATCCTCAAGAAAGCTTTCCTTCGCTCGGACTATTTCTTCACACAAGAGCCAGACTTGAGAGTATAGCCGCTCTCGCACCTGAAGGCCTTGCACTGCCCCCAAACACAGGCGTTGGAGGTGACGCCAGTGAGGGTGGAACAGCTGAACAAGCAAAGTCAGCGAAAGTGCTTTCACGTTTGGTCCTTGACCGTGGGGCGATACTCACTCGAGGGCAGAAGAAGAAGATAGCTTGCTAGAGCTGAAAGCGCCGTTGATACAGCCGCCACAAGAGTCTGTAAAGTGCGTCAGCGAAAGCTCAAGCACATACAAGGCATATGAGTGCTTACAAAGGTCAAAGTTGGGGTCGACGCACTACAGTTCAGCCCGTCAGCTTGTATTTCTATAGGTTTGGAGCCTACGCACCTCGTAGGAAGACGAGTCGCCAGCTACAGCGCAAGCCAGCAAAGGCTCGGGACAAAGGCTCTCGACGGTCGCCCTGGCCTTCCTCAACCTGTCCATCTTGTCTTCCCTCTTCTTCTCATTTTGAACCTTGAAGGTTGCGGCAGGTCGAGCATACACCTATAGTTTCAAGTGAGTTCAAGCCCGAAGTGATGAAGCGGTGGGGAGAAGAAAACTGACTGCAATGCCCTCTGCACAAGTACCAAACGCCTGGTCGGCGTTGATCATCTCGAAGTTGTTCATGTTCGGTCCGGAAGCCGAGCAGAGGCATTGAGCCTCAGCCGACCAGTCCCAGTATGCGTAGTGTGCGTTATCGATGTGATTCCAGCATTGTGTCTATCATTGACGCGTCCCGTGATGTCAGTCAATGACTATTGGGAATGGAACACAAACGCACGGCACAGTTGACAGCTGAGATTGCTGGGATTGGGGTAGCATCAGACGGAGCGTTGTCGATGGAAAGACACCCTTCCCATGCGGGCAAGGGAGTGGCACGGCCGAGGGTTGCGAGGAGGGGCAAAGCAGCGATGAAGAGGGTGAAGGCAGACATCGCGTCGTTGTACGTGTGGCGTTGTTTGGTAATGATATATAGGGCGGTGTTGGGCGTGCAGGTAAAGAGCGACTAGGGTTGAGTAATGATGAAGTGAGTGTGTACACAGTTACTCCGAGGAGAAAGAAGAGGAATAAGTGGTAACAAATAGGAGATCCAGGAGATGCAGCAGACAGCAGAAATCATGATTTACAGGAACAGGTTTGTTTGTTTACTTTCAGGAAAACGCCGATAATTAGGCTTTCGGCAATCACCGCTGGACTAGCGTCGGGAGCAACGTGTGATGGCAAATCGCTGCTCGCTGCAATTGCGCTGCAAACTCGTCAGTCCTCTCGTATACTTATGCAATGCCAGCCAAACGCCCCGCTTCTTCACTCTCCGGACCCAACAAACGCCCAAAACCTACCACAAAGCGCAAACAACGCACAGACAAGTCTGTATGGAACTCCAAAGACGATTGGGATACTCTCGTCGCAGAATCATCCCTCTCCACCTCTTCTGTATCCCTTCGCAAACCGAGGTTCAGATCGTTCCCTTCTCTGACAAACATCTCCGTAGATGTCATCGTGCGAAGCTTCAAAGCTTTCTACGGGGATGGGCAGGCGGGCCAAGACGAAGCGGTCGCGGACGAGTGGAGGAAGTGGTGGAGAACGGAATGGGCAGAGATACCGGGGCATCTGAAAGAGATGGTGAGGGATGGGATATACAAAAGATGGGGAGCTATACTATCGTTGCAGTTGCTGCGAGAGGTGGGTGCTCTTTTCCTTTAAAAGTGTGCAGTAGTCTAACGCACCCTACAGCTGTTCTCAATCCCTCCAACATTGTATCTGCCAGGAGATCTCCTGCCTGCTATTGCACAGGCCAGTCGACTCAAGCCACTAATCCCTCCAACCATTTCATCGAACCTGTTTATGTCACTCATTTTGATCAATTCCCTGACGTCGACGGATGTAGGTCTTGCAGGCCTCATACATCACCTGCCGAGCATTGAGATCGTCAATCTCAAGGGCTGTGCATTAGCCGGTGAAAAGACGGTGAAAACCATTGTGTCGAGGTGTCCGGGAGTTAAGCGGCTGAATCTGAAGGGAACCAAAGTTTCGGAAAAGGATGTCGCACAATTACTGGCGACATTCGGGCAACAGCTGGAAGGATTCAAGGTGGACAATGTCATTTTCAATGTGCGCCCATCGCCTCTTGTTTCGCAGAGAACTGACTCTATGCCTGCAGGATATCGACCATACATTTGCATCCCAGCCATATCCCTCCATGACCCACCTCTGCCTTCCAGGCAACATGCTCAACCGACCGCTCTCGTCGGCGCGGAGTAACGCCACCCGTTTCACCGGTATGGGTTATCCCAATCCAAGACCCACTCCCCAAACGACTACCATCTCGTGGCCGACGCTAGATACGAGCTTTCCGAGCTTAACGCATCTTTGTCTACCGGGGTTGCTAGTACCTAATGGAACGGAGATCGGAACCGCAGGATTGTCTCTGATCAAGCTTGCTCTTGGACCGAGAGGACCACCCGTTCCAATCACATCTATCGAACCCATCATAAAACGCCATCACAACACACTCAGATCAGTCCATCTGGGAAACGTTTACCCTCGGGGCACCAAACCAGGGCCCGACTTCGATGAGCTCGCCGAAACCATACAGAGCTGTGACGGATTGGATACTTTGAGGTGGCAGACAGACGTCCATGGGACCAATGACTCGCTCTGCGATACCAGCATGAGCAACTATGGCCATAAACTGTACTGGAATCTCTTTGAGACGCCAGTGAAAGAGATCTGCCCTCGTTTGCGGGTAAGATACTTTATATTTGAAAGGACCGAATCATCATAGCTGACTGTAGCACAGCGAGTGACTCTCGAGCTACCTGGACAGTACAAATTCCCAAGTGCTTGGTCCTCAGGCTCTACATCACAGACTTTCCCTTCGTTGCTCGAATCTCTCGAGATCCCATCCGCCACGTTACAGGATCATGAATCGCTCGCCAAGCTGCTATGTTGTTATCCCAAGCTGCGTGAGCTGGACCTGTCCGGTACAACCATTGACGGTAGGTGCAATGGAGAGATGCGCACAGCAAGGCTGATGTAGGGGCGTAGATGACGACATGAAGTTGATACTGAGACATTGTCCGCTGATTTCGAGGATCGATCTTACGTCTTGCAGGGGTGTCAACGTTAGGCATAGACGGAACATTTTCAAAGTACGCTTCAATCACAGAGACCAAGTGTATATGTGCTAACCATTGTAGGCGTTTGATGAGGACGAATCCTGAAGCACCTACTTGTCGATGCATGCGGAGTGAGTGACGGTGTATGAACGGCGTCGTGCACTTCCATCTGGACTTTATACACCATCTGGCTGGTATCCAGAGCCTTGCACCGTTCGATAGATTGACTCCTGTCGGCTTTCCGATCTGTAAAAAGAAAAAGGAAAAAACGACGGCACCCGGGATTCCCAGGTGGTCCCCCACCCTGGTACTAACCGAGCGCTCTCCTAGTTGACTTCGCGGATCAGACGGGACGCGGTACTTTGAGGAGGCTATGGCCGTCGATGTAGACTTGAGATACAATGCCTTTATGACCCATTTACTGTGTTATGACAGAGCTGACTATGTTTTCCTGCCTAGAGTCGACATACATCTGACATACATGCAATAATATGCTAATCCATAACAGTACCAGACCCGCTAGTGCTGCACGGAAAAGATTGATTTCTATCCACAGCCCGTGCCACATCCGAAAGCCGAGAATAAACGAGAGGGAAACACGGGCAGAACAACCAACGAGCTGCTTCAGACCATGACCGTAGTGTCATCTCGAATTCCATGACTGTGGGAATGTGCAGTGATGGTCTGGCCTCTGTCCCTCTGGATCAATCCTGACTCTTTGACCACTACCTCAACCCCAAACTTCTCTCCCAGCATGGCGAGCTCCTTCAGCCCGATCCTTCCCCCGTTCGCGCCAAACCACCCGCCAATCGCTCGGATGCACATCTTGGCCCGGTCAATCTCTCGCCACACCATCACCTCAGCCTCTTCCTCCATTCTCTTGTTGTCTCCGCGACCCCCTGACCCGCTGCCAGTGTTAGCCAGAGGGGAGAAGGGGTTGGGCAAAGGGGGCGCAAGAACGTGCCGCATGAGGAACCACGCTGTCTCATTATCGCCGTACAGAATCGACGAGACGGGGACCGAGATGGGCTTGGGAGGCAAGATGCTGCTTAACATAGACGAGGAGGTGGGAGAGGAGCATGGAGAGGAGAACGGGGAGCGGTGGGAGGGTGGAGAGGTGAAGAGGGTGATGTAGCAAGAGGTCAGGATAGTGAGGTAGTCCATCTTTGCTGCGATGGAGATGAGCACCGCGGAACACGAGGCGGCGGGTGAGTCACTTACAGCCAGAGTGGCGTATGTAGTTATGTATGTTTGGTCGCGCGGTGGGCTGTAGACTTATGACGAGCGATACTCTTCGATGCGACGGTGTCTTTCCCTTGTGGCGGATGAGAAAGAGAGGAGAAAGTGAGATGCGAAAGCGAGATGGGCCTCTTATATATCTAGCTGCTCGGACGACAAAGGACCAAAGGACGGGGCTTGTCACACGACTCCCTTTGTGACACCCAAGGCGCATCGCTGCCTGCGCTCGCGTCTGCGTCTAGCGTCAGCAGTCCATGTTGGGTCAAACGTGTATTAGAGCGACTGCGATGGATGGTCTATGCCTCGAGGAGGGGGGGAAGACGGTGTCGAGCGGCCATGCGCGACGTAATAATTCTTCTGAAAGGCAGCGCAGCTTGACTACGATGGATTCTGTCGGATATCTGCTTATGAGACTGTAGCATTGGACACCATCTTCTCGTCAGAGCTCGAAGTGTTTCTAGCAGTGATGCATCAAGCCAAGAACGGGGAAGGGAGGTAGATTCGAGGTGCTCAAGAACAGCTCGGACAGTATCGTCGAGCTCCAGAACCTCACCCAGAGCTCGGTCAATGTCGAGGACATGCATTTCTTTGTCGACGAGGGCAGCTTCAGACATGAGCATGAAGCCGATGTCTCTCTCTTTGGATCGGGTGTGAAGAATGTCTATAGCTTTGAGAGTCATGTCTTTGAGGCCGGGTTGATCGTGGCTGGGATCGAGCGTATCAGCACGCTGCCTCTGGGTTGAAGGTACAAACGCTGTACGCACGCGCCGCACTCGCCTTGAGGCGTAACAGCCAAGTCCAAAAGATCGGTGTACACGTTCTGATCAAGCCACGTAGAGATGTTGCCCTGGGTGAAGATGGCAAGAGCACGTTGGGCGTTGTCAAAAGCCTCGAGGGCCGTCTTGTTGTAGCCCACCTGGTAGCCGTGGGAAGCCCATCGCTCGAACTGGGAGACGTTGCCGTTACCTGGACCAGGGAGGAAGTTTTCACCACCGCCGCTATTCACAATGGTCAGCTGTTGTGCGCACAAGCGGTATAGAGCTTACCGAAGAGGAGATCCACGCCTTCCCAAGGATACCAAGAATAGTTGCCGGAAACACCGTTGAGGTACTGTTCGATGATGGAAGTGTATTGAGATCGCTGGGACTAGAAAGATCCGAGATATGTCAGTCGGCATATCGGGCATGGATGAAAGCGGACAGTGTGTGTAACAACAGCAGCGGGAGTTGTATCAGCAATGTAGGCTTTGGAAACGATGCCCACTGCTTTCAGTCAGCCTCGTTCTGAGAGAGTATGTTGAAAGACCAACCTTGGACTCCCGTTTGTCTTCGGAACATCTCAAAAATGGTTTCAACTTTGGGGTCACCGTAAGGCTTCCCGGTCGAGTCCTGTCAACCCATCAGTCAGATATAATCTTGGTGGGCAGACGAGCTCCTCAAAGTGTAAGCGTTGAGACCGTTGACGGTCATTTTCTTGCCCGAGAAAAGAGCAGAAGCAGAGTTGGCAGAGTCGGTGATGAAGGAATCAATGGAATGAGTCATCTGAGCTCCGTAACCCTGACTTGGAGGCATGATCATCAGTTCTACGATCCACGAGCATACTCAGCTAGCAGCTAGAGAAAGACTCGAGCCTCATCCAGCTTGAGCTTGGTCTGATATTTGCCGTTGATCGTCTTATGTCCCAAAAGCCTCGCGGCGGACAACATGGATCCGGCCATACCATCACCAACAAAGAAGATGACGTTCTTGGCCTTCTTCTCCTGAGCAAGAGGAAGCACTTCCCAGGAGGCTTTGGTAATCATACCATTGTTGTAGCAAATCTCGACATCATACTGCCCGGGGTTGTGAAGCTGGATGTTCCGGTAGGATTTCAATAGAACATTGGCGGGCGTGACGGCTTCCTCTTCCTCGGCAAACAGGTCTTCGTAATAAGTGAAGTTGTGTTTTTCGACTGTCAAGGCGCATTAGCGGAAACTCAGCACTCCAAAGGTTTATACCAGCGCACCTTCTGGATCCGCAATGCCAAAGAACTGGGAGACGTCGATCAGCTCAGCGCCTCTGCCACCGATCTTGAGGGTGAAATCGGTAGCAGGGAGACCATTGTTGTAAGCCGATGTCGAAAGCCTCTGAGCTGAAATTAGCTGACGATCAACCACCAATTGTTACGACTCACGACCAGCAATGAAATCAGTCCTAAGATGTGTCAGCTCTCTCAGTGATTCGCAGAGAGACAACTTACTGATCAGGGGGGCAGACACAGCAGAGCTGAGGACAGGCACCAGTTCTCCGGAAGGTCTGCGCAAAGGCAGGTGTAGTCAGCAACGCGAGTACCGCGAACAGCGTTCCAAGATAGGCCATGTCGGTTCCAAAAGACTGTTTTCGAGTACTTGCCCGGCCTTGGGTATGTATATCGAATTGTCCGCTGTTTATTATCATTCACTCTCGAAATGAGTAATGTATTATGCCAAGACCTAGGTAAGCCATACGGATACGACACGTGCGGCGGAATGTGGATGGTCGAGTCTTTTCTTGCTGTTCGGCATGCTCAACTGGGCGGTCTCGTGGTGTGCGTACTTCTGTCGGCGGTGGGTGGGAGCAGAGCCGTCAACGGAGAATACCATGGTCGAATGGGAAGAAGGAACTGCACGATATTCAGCCTTGTGATGTGGAACGTGCGTTGTCGAAAGACTGCCACTAATCAAGTTCTCGTTGCCTTGGTTTGCGCGGGACGATAGTAGATGCCAAGACTACCCTTCTCTCATGCGGGGTGCAGATGCATCGGGCATCACCGAAGCTCAGCAAACGCTTGTATACCATGGCGGTAGGTGTAGGTAGCCCCAACGATGACCTGGCACGTGTGATACTCGCTCTATTTCTGATGAGAGCGAATGATGCGTACATGTATGTGCTGAATTCTAATCAAGACCCTCGTCCTGCATGTATGCCCCCGGAGTCTTCCTACTCGGGTCCACATAGGCGTAGGCATGAGAATCGTGCACGACAAAGTCTTCCATAGTAAGTGGTCTGACCTTGAAGCCCTGTAGTCACACAGTCAGCAAACTCCCCGGACTCGACTGTTGTACGCACCTCTTTCCGCGCCTGTTCCAACCCAGCCATGCCCGCCTTGCCTTTCTCGCGCATCAGTTCCCTCACAGGGACCATAGCAGCATTCCGACATGTCTCGCGAAGATCTGATCCTGAAAGTCCGTCTGAGCGTCTGGCGAGTTCGTCTACTGAAAAGTCGGGGGAGAGTTTGGTGTGGGCGAGCATCTGTCGAGAACCATTAGTGCTGTACGACGATTCCTACTATATACTAACAAGATTGAGGATCTTGGCTCGTTGTTCGTAGCTGGGCAATTTGACGGCGAACCTCTTGGGCATACGTCGAAGGATAGCAGCGTCAATCCTGAGGGAAGATATCAGCGACCATTTCGAGACATGTCACGATGTGCTCACTCATTTGGCCGGTTGGTCGCACCCATGACCATCACTCGGACATTGCTAGTCGTAGTCAAGCCATCCCACAGGGTCATGAACTCTGCTTTCATCATCGATGTGACCTCGTGGTCACTCTGCGAACGCTCTCTGAATAATGTGTCGATTTCATCGATAAAGATCTAGAAGCATGAGTAGTCAGCGCGCCGTTTTCACTCATTTTCTCACTCACAATACTAGGCTGGAGCTTGGTCGCCAGTGAAAAGAGACCCGCCACAAGCTTGTTTGTTTCACCAAACCATTTGTTCACTCTGAGCCCAAACGTCAGCCGCTGATCCATAACGTATTTGACCTCACTGACAAACTCGAAAGAGGCAAGTTGATGAATGTAGCTCCACTCTCCTTGGCCAACGCCTTTGCCAACATGGTCTTTCCACATCCCGGATGTCCATACAGCAGAACTCCTTTCGGCGCGCTCAGCAACCCGTTCTCGTTCGCAAACAGCTCCGGGAAAGTCAGGGGGTAGATGACCGTTTCTCTGAGGTTTGAGATGATATCATCAAGTCCCCCTATACTCTCAAAAGTCACATCGATAGACGAAGGAGCGACAATCTCGGCGGCAATGATCTGCTCATACTCGTCGAGGTCGAGGGCCGCGAGTTGCGCTTCATTCATGCCTGTTTGCGAAAGCAGATTCTTTCCCTTCTCCTTGTGCTTTTTCGAAGATGCGGAGCTAGGGTCCATGCTAGATAGGACGTATCGAAGGGCGTAATACAGGGCGACTTGGGATGCTGCAAAGAATGCAACTGGTGGCGGGATTGTCAGCACGTCTGAAGCTGTAGACTTGTAGAAAGAAGCTCACCATCCATGACGACCTTTCCGACGTCTCGAGGGGCCATCTTGTGAGCTCAAGGTATACCGATGTAAGTTGTCGGTGTGCAGCCGGCGTTGAACAGAATTTTGTCTCGACCACCTCCAGAAAGTCGTCATGGCAATAATCCGAAAGCCGAGTAGTCAGCTTACGTAACGACAGGCGCCTACTGCCGCCTCCCCTTGTAGGCGTGCGAGGCGCGGCTGCTTTCTGGCGACAAACATTGTAAACAATCCTCTTTCTCGTTATCCTCATCACCAGGTATATACAGCAGTCCCCTTGCTCACCCCCTCTGATGTCCTCACAAAATGTCAACAGCCTCATGGCTGGCCTCTCTGTGGGCGGGCCTCAGTCACCCTCGGGCTCAAAGACCAAGCAAGTAAATAGGTCACACGCCGCTTCATCCTCCCAGCCCCAGTCCCAGAATCGCCTACCCCCAGTGCTCAAGAAGTACATGAACCCCGGTCTCGTCAGGCCACCCAACAGTGCCCTCGCCAACAACAATAGTAACCCTTACGATAATCGCGGTCCGCTTCTGACCCTAGCCGGCGTCAATGTTGCCGTGCCTAAGCCTGGTTCAGGTTCGCCCATGGGTAAATCCAAGGCATCTTTGGGGCACCATACTGCTCATGGTGTCCATGGTCCCGCTCATGCGACGGCGCAAAGGGCGATGGCCATAAATCATCAATCTGGCGCTAAACATGCCATGACAAATGGCAGCAGCGCGAGCGGCGCTAGGGGGGCGGACCTGGGGCGATACGATGGAGGACTGGAGGAGGATGAGGCAAAGGCTGGGGAAGCTAGTGGACCGTCTGCAAAGACTTTGGAGATGTCTAGTGCCAAGTGTGTATCATTGTGCCTTGTCGGAAAGACCCCAGCTGATGTTTTGGTTAGTGATGGCGGCAAGATTGAGCTCTCCCTTCCCTCGTTCCAAATCGGCAGACCCCTCGGTAAAGGCAAGTTTGGTCGAGTCTACCTTGCCAGGTCCAAGCAGCCCCCTCACTTTATCGTTGCCCTGAAGTGCTTGCACAAGGCAGAGATCATCCAAGGCAAAGTCGAGAACCAGGTGCGACGCGAGATTGAAATTCAACAAAACTTGAGGTGTGTCTTGTCTATCACAGGAAGTCTATCACTAACTTCTAATCAGACATCCAAACATCCTGCGGCTATACGGCTACTTCCATGATAGTAAACGTATCTTTTTGGTTCTCGAGTACGCGGCGAAGGGAGAGCTGTACAAGCAGTTGTCAAGAGTAGGCAAGTTTGACGAGAAGCGAAGTAGCAGAGTGAGTTGCTCTTATCTCTACATGTTCAGTTCTGATCTTCTTCCAAGTATATCGCCCAGATGGCCGATGCTTTATTGTACCTCCACCGAAAGCACGTTATTCACCGTGATATCAAACCAGAGAATCTTCTTATCGGCTTGAGCGGAGAGCTGAAGATTGGAGATTTCGGATGGAGTGTGGTATGTTGCAGAAAGCTCCTATTGTCCCGGGAGCTCACATTACATTAGCACGCCCCCAGCAACCGCCGCAGCACCCTCTGTGGTACTCTCGACTACTTGCCCCCTGAGATGGTTGAAGGAAAGGAGCATACCGCTGCGGTGGACCTTTGGGCTCTGGGTGTTTTGACGTACGAGTTTGTCAGCGGTGGACCACCTTTCGAGGTAAGCAATGTCATTTTGCCGCCGTAGCCCGCACTGACCGTCCCTCAGGACCTTTCCGGAAGCGCCGCCACCTATCGACGCATTCGAAAGGTCGACTTGCACGTTCCCTCTTCTGTTTCTCCCGAGTGTACCGATCTCATCAAGAGGGTATGTTTTTCGACGATTGTACCAGTGCTTTACTGATATCTGGGCTAGCTGCTTCGTTACAATCCTGAAGACCGTCTTGCTCTCACAGAGGTACTGACACACCCTTGGATCAAGAAGTATGAGAAGAAGAGGTCGGACGGCAGCAGAAAGTCATAAGGAGGCTGGGAGGTAGGGAAGTGCGGTACGGCGGGTGTCGGACGTCGTGGTTGGCATCATGAGAGTCGATGAGCTCGGAGGCCTTAAGCCTTGGAGTCATTATACCCCTCTCGTTTAGAGTTTCATATCTTGTATATTTGTCCTGCATACACATTCACAAAATGACTTTTATCGCGTTCGCTTCTCTACTGGCTCTCCAGGCGCTGATGTCATGGACGAGTTGCTCCTGGGCGCGCCTTCTCTGGGCTGTGACTTTGATGGGTGAGACTGTCAAGTAGAGAAGATGTTACATACACACCATGAAGTATCAATACAACCTGACATTCCGAAATGACCAGCCCTCGTTCATGCCGCGAGCGCTACCCGTTCTTCCTTGACAGTCTCTGATCGGGATCCTTCTGTGATGGTCATGGTGAGCCTGGTAGTGCCAAATAGGGTGCAAACAGTACGCACCTTCCGCTGCGGGTTCGGAATCTGTCGGAATCTCGGTTGGGGCATCTGGTAAAGATACAGGGGGCTGTGTCTCCGGAACGGAAGGCTGTAGAATCTGGTGAGTTGTCATACCTTTGCGTGACAGGTTTGGGGGCATGACATACCATGGCTTCTTTCTGTAGCTGCTCAAGCTCCTCCTGTACGGCATCCTCTTCTTCAGGGGACATCTTTGACATGAGTGCTTCGTCGATCTCCTGCATGAAGCTCGTCAGTCCCACAAGTGCAATGCAGCGGTCATGAACACATACCCTCTGATATTCGATGCCTTCCCGAGTCTGGTCCATCAACTTGTCCACCCTCTCGATAGACATCTCCTTATGCAATTCTTTGAGCACATCGGCACCCATTTCAAGACCATGTAGCACAGTGTTTTGTATTTGGGTAAATTCGATCGTTGCCACCTGAACAGCGTGTCAGTCATGCGTGCAAGCCGGACACCTTTGGAACGGACTAGTTCTTGGAGGGTCATCAACTGGGTGTCGGTCTTTGCTAACAGCTGTTCCTGGTACTTTTTCTGCCTCAAGGTCGCGAGAGCTCGTGTCTACCATGGCGTCAGCAGGGTTCGATATTGTATACGTCGAATGGCACACCTTATTGCCAGCTTTCAGAGCTTCTCGGGCGATCTCCTGTTCGCGGTCCAGGACGACCTGTAAACGTTTCTGATACTGCTTCATCTTGTCTCGCTGCAGTTTGAGACTGACAAGGATCAGCTTGTCGATCGCTGCCAGACGAGCATCGACTTACTCGAGAATGGCTCTATCTTGAGAGGTTATCTTGGGACCCGGCTGGGCCACGCCCATCTTTACCAGAGTGTTCTGCCAGATACCCATGGCCAGTCGTATATTATTATCTGAGAGATAGATAGGACTCTAACTATGCACGAGATTCTCGAGACAAGTACGTAGTTGCTCGGAGGACCGCATACCCTACGGTGACGGAGGGCGGCGGTCGCCGAGGGACTTGCTTCTCATTCCGTCCATTCCTTTTCCCTCATTCTCCTCTTTCAACTGCCCAGCCACACAAGGGGAGCAATGTTCGGCGTGTCGCTCCAGGACCGTCTCAAGGCTGCAGTCAACACCCTCGAGGCCACAGGCTCCTCCCTCCACGCCCGCTCCCTCGCGAACCAGCAGCTCCTGGACGCCGAGAACAACCGCCCAGGTACCCCGAGCATCAAGTCGCCACCATCTGCCACATCCCCCCAGGTCGGGCAGCTCCCAGAGACACCACAGAAGGGTGGTGAGGAGAAACACGCGATTGCCGAAGCTGGCATCCATCCCTCAGTCTCCACCAGCCAACTCGCCGAGAACGCGCTGTCCGGTCTGCGGCGCTCTTTTCATTTCGGTGGAAGAAGCCAGACTGATCTAGCTGGGATAGTGGATGGGTCAAGTTCGGCTCCTGTTTCGCCCGGGGCGCAAGAGCTCAAAGCTATCGTGTCTCCTGGCCCAGCTTCGGCCGGGGCGACATCGTCAGATTCCACATCTCTTAAAGCTCCCACTACGATATTCAGCGTGGGATCGGGCGACGCGTCAGAAGCCATTACACCGATACCAAAATCGCCACTGGCAGGTACGCCCACCCCCACACGATCTGCCAAGAGAATATTAGACACGCGAGAGCCTGCCGATATCCCTTTACCACCCTCTCCCGACCTGTCAGCTGTGCCCTCTGCGAGCGTAGTGGACCCTCTAGGCGCATTGTCTCTGGATGGCAGCGGCGATGTTGCTGGACTGGGGATTGCTCTAGCCGGGGGCGCTGGGTCCGATGCAGATGCCAAGACAAATGGCGACGATACACTCGTAGACTCTGAAGGGACTGCCAGCAAGCTCGCAGCTGCGGAGAGGAGATACGAGGGTGCGTTGGTCCTTTAGAGGTCATGGCCCAAGCTGACAGCTCTCAGATCTCTCCCAAAGGTTCACTACCCTTCTCACCCAATTCCACAAAGCCAATCAGATTCTGAAAGACTTGACGCCGCTCGAAGGGGGTCTAGGAGATCCAGAGGCCCTGGAGGGATGGGTGAGGATGATGAATGGCAAAGTCGGGATGATGGGCGAGGAAATGTCGCGTTTGGCAAGCAAGATGGAATGTGAGTACGCGTTCTGTTTTAATCTGCAAAGCTAACCCTCTATACAGTACAAGAATCCAGAATAGAAGAGCTGCGCGATACCCACCGCCTTGAACAATCTTCCCAATCTGAAGTCATTGCCAAACTCCGTTCCGACCTCTCCGATGCCCAATCTAAAATCACATCTTCCACGACCTCCTCTGAAACACTCACCCAGCTCCGCGCAGACCTCTCTAAAGCTCAGACGCAAGCCAAAGAAGAAGAAGAGAAGCGCACGAAAGCAATATCGCTTCTCAAGACTGTCAGGCTGAAGCTGGTCAAGACCGAAAAGGACAAGGAAGAGTCGGAGAAAGATAGGGCCAATGAGAGGGCAGAGAGGAGCAGGGCGATGGACGAGGTGGAGAGAGTCAAAGCAGAAAGGGAAAGAGAGGTCAACAACCTGAGGAAAGGGTTTGAGAGAGAGCTAGCCGGTGTCAAGGAGAAGGCGGAGAAAGATTTGAAGGACAGAAAAGCAGACTGGGAGTTGGAAATGATCACCACCAAGGTACGTCACGCTTGCAGACTCGATCATTCAATCTCATACTCTTGACAGGCAACACAAGCCAAAGAGTTGTCCCAGAAATCTACCAAGATCGCTGGTCTTGAATCCATCCTCAAAGAGCTCAACATTGAAAAGCAACAAACCCACTCTGTCCTCCAATCAAAACAAGCAGAGGCAGAATCCGCCAAGGCAGAGATGGAGATCATGCGAACCAAGACGAAAGAGTTTGAATGGCAACTGCGCGAGGCAGAAGAGCGATGCGCGCTCTTGGAGGCTGGGGATCAGGGTCGGTCAAACAGCGGGCTGGACATTCCTGATGGAAGAAGCGAGTCGACTTCACCCGGTCTGGGCGCCGCTTCACCTCATGACGTTCAACGCCTTTTGGCGGAATCTGAATCTCGCGCCGAGTCCAAACTTTCAGACCTTCGTACAAGAATACGGGCTTTGGAAAAGGAAAGGAACGAGATGGAGGAAGAGTGGGCTGGAAAGGTGCAAGAAAGGGTGCTGGAGTTGGAGAAGATGAGGAGAGTCCTGCAGGAGAAAGATCGGGAGTATGCCGAGAGCTTGGAAGGGCTGAAAGAGAGGGAGCGAAAGATTGAGGATGGGGAAAGCAAAGTGAAACAGCTCGAAGCAGATATCATCCGACTGCGGACCAAGGTCGAGGAGGTCAAGAGCGATAAGACGGTTGCTGTTGAAGCTGAAGTGAGTTTCTACCATTTCGAGATGCCCAAACTGAAACCCTTTCCAGCGTAAAGCACACGAAGAACTGGCCGCCCTACAAAATCAAATCACATCCCTTCAATCTCAACTCGACGAATCGAGAACTCATGTTACCCATCTCAAGTCTACAAATAAGACACTCCGCGATGAAATGCGCAAAATCCAGAGCTCAGTGCAGCTTATGGAAAGACAGCGAAACCCCGGTGTAGGGTACTGGAGTGCGGGGGCTGGCGGTAGCACGGGCCCAGCAGCAAGCTCCTCGGTCAGTGTAGCAGGATCGGGAGTCCTATCTCCACCATTACCGAGCGAAAGTCCTGCACCAGGGAGGAAAAGTCTGGAAAGCGTGAGAACGACGACAGCGACCGAGTTGGGAAGTGAGTCTGGGAGGAACCAGGAGGAGGAGGAGGTCAATCTTGAGGTGCGCACCGCTTCGAACCTACTGCCGAGGCTGACACTTCTTAGTATCTACGAAACGTCATCTTGCAGTTCTTGGAACACAAAGAGATGCGTCCAAACCTGGTGCGGGTCATGTCGGTCATTTTGAGGTTTACGCCGCAGGAGTTGAGAAGGCTCAATGCCAAGCTACTCACCTAGACTGTGAGAGCTACTTGTATAGTATCTCGTGATGTACAATACTCTATTTACTGCAATTAATTGGTGCAATTAGTTGAACCGGGTGACTCGCTATTGCGTCAGCGGCCTATTGTACTATCATGGAACTGAGTTCGAGACATGAAACGAGATAACACATCATACATGGCTCGAAAGTGATCGTGATGCAAAGGAGGTCTACCCCTCGCCTAAATATGTAGACTCATAAAGTACAATTGTTTTTCCTGTCTGTTTGTATGTTCTACACAGCTCATTGTCCGCCCTGTCGACCTTCAGTCTATATAGCAAATCCCACCCCACTTTGCCTCTGTCTTTGCTTGCTAGACCCACGACCCGTTTCCGTCTCCTCGTTCCACTGAGACGCCGACTCATCCGAGAGATCCGGCACCTGATTAAGATCGCGCGGAATTTGGGGAGACGCCTGCCTACTACTATGCTCGGAAGAATAAGGCGAATATTCCTCAATATTTCTTCTGCCCCTTTGAGACTCTCCCCTGGAACTACTTCCATTCCTTGGGCTATTCGCAAACACCTGTTGATGCTGAGCATCTATGTCGAATGTACCCCGGACATGAGAGAAAGTAGAGCGTCCCAGTTCGTCCACCCCTTCAAGAGGTGTATTGCTGGTTTTACGCGAGGAGTTTCCCATGCTGTTGGTACTGAGTTTTCTCGATGGTCGCCCCAAACGACCCAAGCTACCGCCCCTCAACACCGGGCTGGTGGGATCACTTCCGCCTCGTCCTGTACGCCACCCATCCTCACTGTTTAACGACGCTTGTTTGAAGTCCTGGGAAGTGCGCTTCATCCTCTTGACCTCCTGCTCAATTTGAGCCTCAACACCCCTCATTGAAGACAGGGATGTGACTTCCATTGGCGAGCCGAGCGCGCCTCGATGAGAAGAGTCATCATCCTGAGTGTACCCTTGTATCAACGGGGATGGATGTCCCGGGTCAAACGTGGTGCGCAGAGTGAGAGGTGGGGGAATATCGCCTCGGGAAGGCCGGGAGGGCGAGTCGGACGGGGGGGCATTGGCAGGACTGGGAGGGTACGAGTATAGACCGCGAGGAGTCCCCTCCTCGGACATCAGAGGCGATCGCGTGACCTCCCTCTGAGGGCTGTACATGGCAGCAGGTTGGTACCCTCCATAGTCATCGTGACCATACGATTTGTGGAATTGGTCGACGGCACCTTTGCCGCGGAAGCTGCCAGGGCGAGATTGAGTCTCCGCGCTACTATAGTTGTCGCTAAAGTCACGCATGCTCTGCTCAACTCTTTCCTTGGATGTGGCAGCCTGAGCAGCTCTCTTGTGCCTCCTCCTTTCTTTACGATGCTTGATGCCAAGCTCATCCTTCAGTGAGCCTGCAATCCACGCCTCGCGGACCAAGTCTTTGTCCTTGGGCAAGTAGGATTGTTTGAAGGAAAAGACGAGCCAGCGAGGGAAAATGGCGACAAAGACCGTGAGAACCGTAACGGCCCAGAAATTGAAGGTGGTATAGAGGACAGAGACCTGGCCGTTGTAAGGGTAAGCGGCGAGACCGGAGTATATGGGGATCCAGATGTAGATGAGAAGCGTGGAAATCACGTTTACGGCCCAAGTGACAACCGTCCAATAGCGGGTATTCATGCTGACGTAGCCATTGGCAGCAATGACACCCGCACAAGCCACCGTGGAACCAAAGGCCCCAAGCGAGTTTGTATCCAAACCGTCACTTGACCAGGTCACTCCGCCCGCATACGCAAAGTATGGGATGAAGAAGATGACTGCCGATTGATACAGGCCATCGATCATGTAGGTCCAGAATCGGAACCGTGTATACTCGAGACCGGCGATGCCCCGCTTGTACAGCTGCGGGAAGTACATGGCTGCTGTCGCGTGGACATCCTGGTCAAAGGCGCCCATGATACCAACAGGCAGAGATGTGAAGAAGAGATTGAACATGAGAATGAAGGTGTATTCGAAGAGATAGGTGGCGTCGAAGCTGTAGAGATATTGTCAACAATGGCTCAGCTGTGGCATGAAGGAAACTGACCTGCTGAAGATCAAGAACCAGAACATGGAGACGGTCCAGATGACGTTCTTATAGAAGAAGCTAAATAGCCATCAGCATGCGCGCTTCGCCTTTTCAAGCAAAGACTTACTTGGCGTGCATATTCGCCACTCGGACATAACTCCATCTTCCGTGAACCAGCAGCAGCCTGGTTAAGAATCTGAACTGTCCGAAAGCATAATCCGCCGACATTGCGGCTTGGGAGCCTTCCAAACCATAGAGGCCGATACCAACATTGGCTTCTTGAATCATGGCCACATCGTTGGCTCCATCTCCAATAGACAAAGTCATAGCATTGCAGCCCTCTTTCACCTATGATCGCCTATCAGCATAATTTGTTGATGTGATTTTCCAGTACTGACCAAGCGGACGGTCAGAGCCTTCTGAGACGGCGACACTCGACAGCAGATCACGGCCGCACATTGTGTTCCCAAAGACAGGAACAAGCTCTTCAAAGAAGGTTGCAGCGCATACCTCAAACTCTCGCCGTCAATGACCACTGCAAACTCCGCAGCGATATTCATCCCAGGCCTCGTAATCCTGCTTCCACCCGGAGCCGTGGGAGGCGGGCCGACGATGGAAGCAATCTTGTTGAGACCTGCTTCAATTTGCTGTCTGGCACCGTCCTCGGAATCTGCCGAGATGATCATGACCTCCATATCGTTCGTGAGAAGGTTACAACTGTAGCCAATCTCGACAGCCGTCTGAAGCTTGTCGCCCGTGAGAATCCACAGCTTGATTCCGGCTTGGTGGAGAAGGGCGATAGCGTCGGGTACGCCTTCCTGGAGCTTATCTTCGAGCGCAGTGGCACCAAGAATGGTCAGAGAGTGTTCGACCAATTCACAGGCTTTCTCAATCTCTGCTTCGCGGTCGACGGTGGCAGCACTTGCAGCGTCATACTTTTTGGACCACACGTCAAACTCTTCTTCAGGCATGTATCGGTAGGCAATACAAAGCGTTCTGAGACCGCCGTTGGCAAATGTCTCGAGATCCTTGAGGGTAGATTCCTTGAGTGCTTCGTCATGATCATCGGCGAGCCTGCCATAGATGACACTATCAGCACCCTTGCAAAACAAGACGAGCCTTCCGTCAGGTCCGCGAGCGACGACACTCATTCGTTTTCTGCTTGAGTTGAACTCGAGCATTCTGAGCGGTGTCCATCGCTCGGGGGTCCCGAGGACTTCGATGTCGAGCGAGTGATTGTTTTTCGTGACGAATGGGAAACCGATATCTCTCGCGGCAGCGACCAAAGCAGCTTCGTCAGGACTCTCCGCCTTGTAGTCCAGCTCGTACGGCTTGGAGGCTTCAGGCGCATCGGCAAGGACGGAATGACAGATGGCCAGCGCCCTGAAAAAGTCGATGATGGGCGCGCGTCGAGGGTCTGAGGGGTTGGCAAGGTGTTGAGCCAGTTCAGGAGATATGAGGGTCAATTTGTCTTCGCGAAGATAGCGATTGTCGAGGCCGCCCTTCATAATCTGAAGCATCTCCGCCTTGAGCCCCTCCATTTCTTCCTCCTGATCCTCCATGGCCGGGCCAGTCTCTTCGCCGTCGCGTTTTCGTGCTCCCATCATGGCTTCAGTGAGACCCTCGCCATAAGGGACACCCTGGATAGAGCATTTCTTAAACTCCATGATGTTCTGGGTGAGGGTCCCGGTCTTGTCGGAAAAGACGTATTCAATTTGACCGAGGTCGTCAGAGATATTCCAAGTTTTCGGGACACAGGGCGTGTCGTCTGACCTCTGTGAGCTTCTGACTTGAACTGCGAATCTGAGTTACTTACATGGCTCATAGTACATTTCAACGTCTTGAAAGATAAAGTATGCTTGAATCTGTGCCACTGTCAGTTCCACTACCTAGGACCAGAGTTGACTTACCGTTTTGACGATTTCAACCGTGATATACAACGAAATCGGAACAATATTCTGGAAAACCAAAAGACAAGAGCTACACGTAATCAGCCTCACCCTATCAAAGCTTGCAAATGACTTACAAGAAGATGACGACAGAGTCCAAGTAGATGTTGTTACTAGCCTCAGCATCAGGCTCGTACCACTCGGCGCTCGTGCCCGTGAGTGAGCGGTACCATCCATCTGTAGCAGATTAGCGATACCCTCTTAGATCAGACGCGGACGTACGCAAGATTGCTGTAACAAGACAGAGAACAACCAAGATGACAAAATTCATGATGACGTTGAAATCTAAATAAAAAAAAAAGGTCAGCACGTTTCACACAAACAAACAAGTCGCACTCACTCGTCTCCTTTTCGATCTTGCTCCGTTTCGACCTGCAAGGTGTCAATGGACATTACATAGGTACAAACAAGACTCACGGTGTTTCACCCCCATTCATCATGATTTTCGAATCACCTCCAGTGAAAACGACCATGCCAATCACCCATTTCGTGTTCCTCAGCGTACAGCCCCGCAGCAACAGCTCATTAATCGTAATAGCCTCCTGCTTGCTCTCGGATGCTTTCCCTACCGAGTCGGCAGGCGTATACCTCAGGACACCATTGTATGAATACAGATTCGCATGAGGCGCTTCTGAATCCACCACGAAATGCGCATGCTCCAAGTCTTCCTCTGTCTGTATGGACGAAGTCGCCTTGAGGGCCCGTCGGATTTTGAGATTGGTTTCACCATCGAGATTTTTCGTTTCGACAAAGCAGAGAGCGTCCGGGGTGGAGGTGGAGAGGACGATGATGTCGGCTGGGACTTGCTCGTTGTCTCGCAGCAGGACAAGGTCGCCAACTTCAAGCTTTTTCCTGCAGGATCGTTAAATTTTGAACACAAGCCAATGGTGAGCTTACCAGAGTGTCCTTTCCCATTGCGCCGAACCAGGCGCCTGTCTTGACCAATCCATCACACCAGCACTCTTTCTTGACGTGACACTCGACAGGCTGGAAGACGAGACACGGGGTAGCAGTGATTGCCGGTGCCTGCCACTGGATACAGTGCCCGATGGGGACTCGGCAGTGACATTGACAACAGGGGCGGGGATAGATGCCAGGGGAAAAGAGTCCTTATCGGTGACTTCCTCTGCAAGATCTTCGTCTTTATGACTATCAAAGACGATCTGGTTTCCCTCTGCAGCCTCGCGCTCTCTCAACTTGCGCACGCCTTTCGACGGCTTGTTGGGATCTACACATCATGAGCCACATTGCTTTCACTAGTAAGTCACTCACTTGGTCCCATTATTCCAAAGATCCGTTCGATCGTCGTCCGGGGGTCTGTCGGCTGATTGACATTCGTCCACCCACCGAGCTTTGTGGTCGCCGAGTTGTTGACTTCATCGTCCAGTTTTGATCTTCTCCAATCTTCAAACCCATCCTTGATCGCCGTCATAGTGAGGAAAGCTATCAACGGAAGCACACCGATCTGGGCGTTGGGAGTGCCGAAGATGGGAAAGGTCTGAATGATGACAAGAAAGAGAAAGTAGATGTTGGCTACCCTTCTGAACTGCTCCAACAAATTCTTGGGAAGGAAGGAGATGATGGTGTACTTCGAAGTACGGACCTTGTTACGCACATAGCGAACTGAAGGCTCGCCCTTCTTGTCGAGGAGATAGCTGGGGAGGGGCGTGTTGACATGAACTGACCGTCGTTGAGGCACCTTTCCTTTGCCCTTGGCAGGGGTTTCCTCGGGCGGTGCCAAGGAAGCAGCAGCAGGCGGTGGTGGTGAGTCCTCCACCGCCGTCGCCCCGTCGTCTGTGGTAATGCTGTCCCGCCTAGAACCGTTGACCGACGCCCCTGCCTCACTCTTGGCTCCCCCGCTCTTCCTCTTGAGCGTGCCCATACTCATCCCCGACGCTTTCCGCTTCATCGTCTTGAATATCCGCCGTCTCTTTTCTCGCTTCTCTGCCATGGCCTCTGACCGAATCGACTCGGCAATGACCGAGTGCGCCGTCTTGACGGTCCTCAGCCGAAGCTCGGGGTCGATGGACTGGGGATCGAAAGTGTCATGAGCCTCGTCGTTGTCCGAGTCGCCTTGATCAAAGTAGGAGTGGGAGGGCGGGTAGGGTGCGAGGTGGGTGGTAGAGGACGCGTGGTGGTTGAGGGGGTGGTCGATGTAGCCCGACATGGTTTTGGAGCGCGGCGGTGGCTTGGTGTGAATAGAGTTGTGAGAGGTGGACACGACGCGTCCAGAACTATGCTCTCTTGAACGCGTTTGTTGGCTCGGCCGTAGCTGTTCCCTGTCTGGCGGCGTTGGAAAACTACAAGTGAGATGCGTCAGCGGTGCACGCGTGTATACTGCAGGCCGACGGGATACTCACCCCGGACAGCTGACAGGATGCGCAAGTGAAAGGGGAGACGGGGAGGGATGAAAGGAGAGGCGGGGTGGGCTGACGTGGGCTGACGTGGCCCGACTATGCAGGATACTACTACTAGCTATAGAATGAGATGCAAACGACTTCCACTGTCTGCATCTCCGAAAAGCTCTCAGGAACTGTACGCGACTGCGTGACAAATCCGGTCCTTGCCTCCACCTCTAAGACTCAAGAGTATGCCCTGCACTCGAAGCTGATGGTCGCCAGAGACAGCATACACCACATGAACAGCCAGCCTGCCCTACTGATGGGCATGGATCCATCTACGTACAACACGCCACACGAGCCGTCCACACCTCTCTATTGATCCGGTTATAATCACAAAGGCATCGCTCGGGCCACTCGCCAAAGCTTGTCCGTGTTCGGTATCCAACGGAGCAGCTTATAATACATTGTGTAGGTTGGCAACACTCCAGGTACTCCCGATATACCAGATGCACTGTCAGTCTTATTCATGTTGTGCATATTGAACGATCAAATGGACGCAGGCGCAGCACCCGACATCATTCTGCTTTTGTAACTACTTGTTGCGGTGTAGTAGCTGTCTCCCACATCATCATTCCACACTACCACACGTTGCACTCAGTGCTCGTTTGGAGATCTAGAACGCGTCTGAAAAAGCAGCGACCCTGCAAATACAGGATGGTAGCCTTCGAGGCCTCTGACTGGCCACTGAACTGGGCCTCAAAAAACGCGTACGACGCGACGCGCCAAAGACCGTCGGTGTACTCAGCCGAGTCCCGTTTTGTCCTATTATCCCGTACATATAGCACATATGCATCACAAATGCATTCAGCCATAACGGCATTGAAAGACCAGTCTAGCTGATCGAATGAAAGGTATATATAAAGTACAATTAAAGACGCGGTAAACGGGATTCGGAACGGATTAATGGTGATTGTGCGGTAGCCTTCGCGAGAACATGAATTTATCGAGGTCTACGAACAACTAACCATACTACGCGGAGGGGGTTGAATGATCAAAGATTGGAGGGTTTATATTAGAGCAAAATTCGACTATATCACAGCCTAGTCCGACTTTCGGCGCTGCATGAGCATCCTCTTCATCACCTCGGCCCTCATCTCCCTCTCCCTCTCCTTCATCATCTCCTGCTCAATCTCCCCGCCCTCTGAAAGAACCTCATCTTCATCCGACTCGCTCTCGCTCTCAAAGATCTCGCCCTCGAAAAGCACAACGTCCCCTTCCTCTTCGTCCGAGTCGACCTCCTTGCCGTCCTTCAACACCGTCGCAGGCGCAGGCGTGCAGGTGATCATCGGGATAGACAAGGTGGGGCTCATGCTCCCTGTGGGGGAGGCGAGGGCCGGGGAAAAGTAGGAGCGGCGAGTAGAGGGGGTGGTGGCAGAGCGGAGGGGAGGGGTGCTGATCATGGTCCTACTGGTGGGAGAAGCCTGGCCGGAAAATGTACGGAGAAACGCAGCGCGGGGAGTAGGCACTTGGCCAGTAGGAACCGATCGCTCCTTGGGGGGAGTAATGGTAAGAGCAGGTCTCTGAGGAGGGGTAGAAGAACGACCGTTGCCAATGGCAGCGAGCGAAGCCAGCTGGTCGGCAGAAAACGTCATGGGGGGCATCGACACCGGCCTGCCAGAGAGCCTGCCGCTGGTACGCTCGCGCAGGAATGGCGCCAATCGAGACTCTTTGGTGGGAGACATCGGAGCCCCAGACTCGGTGTTTGGTGGCGTAGAGGGGCGGCGGTTGAGGATGGAGGAAAGCGCGAGCCGGGCTTCGAGACGAGGAGCGGGGCACTCTTCAGTAGGCGTTTTGATCACCTCGATGGATTCTTGGCTGTCCATACGGACGACGGGCGCCCTGTGAGGGGACTGACGAGAGGGTGAACCGAAAGTCATCTTGGCCTGGATCTCGGCAAGGCTAGGCAGACGCATCCTGCTGGTAGACGCCTTGTTCTCCTTGTTTCCAGAGAGAGGCAACGCAGACTGGGTCCTCGCATGCTTGGGCGCGTCGTTCTTGGCCTTGGAGTCTCGCTCGATGGCGGAGAGACGAGGCTTGAACTCGGGGGGAGGACGCGTCTGGTCGAGACCCGAAAAGGTCGCCGCGGTGGGAGAATAGTAGCCCTGGCTCGCGACCGACTTTGCCAAAGGCGAGTTGGGAGGAAGCGAAAAGTTGTAGGACGAGGGGGAGACGGGAGGAGACGACATCGCGTTATCATCGGAAGCTAAAAAAGTCGCGTGTGTAAGCCAACATGCCAAAACGGCGCACGGGGACGGTAAAAACTTACATCGAATCAAGACTCGTCGCTCGTAGCCATTGGCCTCCCACGCAGACTTGCGAACAGCCTTCTGCGTCCAGTCGTCATGCACCCACTCGTCGCGGTCGAAACTCGCAGCAGGGGCGGGCCAGCCCCCGGAACGAACGAGTTCTGAAGGGGAGGGCATCTTGGGCATGCTCATGTGAAGCGAAGGCGAGTTGGGGTCCGGCTGGAGAGCAGCCTCAGCCACAGAGAACGCCAGGTCGCGCAGCGGAGTGGGGTCGGGAGAGGAGAACGCGTGGTTGGGAGAGTACGCGGGCAAGAGGATAGACTGGGACATGATTAAGGGTGTGATACGGTGGAGGCCTGCTCAAGTGGGACGCGATAGTAGTTGCGATGAGTGAGACGTCTTGAACCCAAGGCTGCCAGAACCGAGGATGGAGTATAGGTGGAGTTGGAAGGGTACGGGGAGAGGAAAGCCTTCAGATCCTTTCTGATGGGAACGAGAGCCGGGGGTGTTGGTGGTGAAAGGAAGGGTGGAGGCGGCTTTGTTCAGATCCAAGTCAGCCAGAGTCTCGCTGGGGCTGGACAGGGAGAGAAAGGATGAAAGGGGGGAGTATGGAAGAGATGGTGAAAGATGCAGTTTATGTCCTCTTCCAGCGAAAGCCGGGAGGATTCGTGTCTGAAACGCAAGGCACATACATGCCCCACGCACACGAGCGAACACGACAGCACGCGCCTCCGAAGAACCCTCCCTCTCGGACTCGCCCAACATGTCTTTAATACAATTGGAACGCGACTCACCTATGATGTACGTACGCACAACTGCACTGCTTGCTGATTTTGCGAGCAGTAATGAGATCGGCACGAGACGGTAGCAGGCCGATGGATGACACCCGAGTCACGCAGGGCAGTGGAGAGAGGGATGGAGATTGGAGTCGTAGGTCGTAAAGATCGTCGATCGGCGTGAAATATCACAACAGTATCGCCTATGTTAAGAGTGAGGGGGCGCGTAGAACCCTTGATAATTGCAAGGGCGAGTTGGTTGACTACTGCGTCAAGTGCAGTGGAAAGCGCAGACGACGGAAGAAATGGAAAAAAGGGAGACAAGAAAGATCAAACGACTAGCGCCTGAGAGTCAAGAAGGTAAAGAGTGTGTGGGTGCGGACGCTGGCGAGAGAGCGAGGCGCAAGAGAGGCTGGTTGGTGGGGCCGAGTGGGCGTCGGGCGGTGAACCAGTCAACCGTGTAGTGGGAGAGAGAGCAAAAGCGAGCGAGGCAGATGCTGGGCACCGGAGCGAGGGGCGAGGGAATCTGCTGAGGGAGTTCCAGTGGGGGATGGAGAGGAGGAAGAGCGTCGTAGATGCGAAATGCGAGATGAGATGGGCCACCGCGCCAGCGAAACAACGGAAACGAAGAGACCCGTGCCTGGCTTCTGCACGCCCAAAATCGCCCAATGCAGCAAAAACAACACGCCGGTCTCGGGCCTTCCGTGACAAACCTGGTTCCTGAGGCATAATCCCTTGCTTTTCAGGGACTACGGCCCCATAGCGCGTTTCTAATACATACGCATTACATACACAACGTCAGACGCGTCGCGTGCATGCCTTGCCACCAGCTGTGGGCCTGTGGCCAAGCTGGGAATGTGTTCTTGGAGCTTGCATTGTGAGGCCGTAATACAGTCTGGACGGCTTTGCATCCGGATGCATCCTACGACTGCCGGTGCAGAGGTACAGCCGAGATCTACCTCCGAAACGGTCGTTCAACATGTCACAACTGATGTATTCTGACTCACTGCTGACGTCTTGTGCAATTCATGGAGGATGGAAAGCAGCAGTAGTTCTTCGAGAGGTCAGACAAGATGCATGGAAACCAGGAGACCGACAGTTCGGCATCGGCAGTCGGCACCAATGCGCTAATTTATCATCACCAAAAGCCGGCCCGGCTGTGCTAACGAGATGTCTGCACGACGCGTACAGGCCAGATGCAAGAAAGTCTATATGCATTGTCTTGCATGCAACTTGCTCCTGTTGGCGCAAACAGATTGGAGCGAGTCTCCCGTGTATATATCTAAAGTCTATGACGAGAGAGTATATTCTATATGCGGTTATACTCTAAGCAGATCTTTCTCCGAATAGTGACAAAGAGAAAGGGATTTTAAACAGACAAAAGGAGAAACGAAAAGTATTATTATCGATACAGGGCGACACCTTCTCCTCTAGATAACAAAAGGCAGACATAAATCATCACACCCGGTCCACCTTCTAGATGACAACCGAAATACCACCAGCGACGGCCAGCATCAAGCCAGCAGCCCAGCTCATCGCCAACACCCATGGGCCCTGCGTCGCCAAACCCCGAGACCCAGCACTGTCGCTCGAGGTGGCGCTCGCCGTACTATCCACACTGGTCTGACTGCCACTGCTGCCATCACTGGTCTCTGACGGCTCCACACTGTTGACCTGTCCCCCGCCGTAAGGCCAGGCGTATTCAGTCTTGTTGGGAGCAACAAAGCATGTGAGACCGATACCTGTGCCGTTGACAAAGTCGAAGGGAGAAGAATCGGGAACGTCGATGGACACGTTGACTAGGTAGGTGGATTCGGAGAGGAGGGGGACCGAGGGGTGAGGAGTCTTCCACCCAGTCGTGCAGTTGGGGCCTTGCACGCCAATCTAGAAAGTGATGAGATTTTGACATCTGCAAGGAAGAGGCTGGCACTTACAAAAGAGGTGTTTCCGAAGAAGGTATTGTTTTCAATGACAAAGTCTTCCGCACTGGTAACACCCATGCCAAAAGCAAACGCGCCGGATAAAGAGTTGTCCCTGATCACACCGCCAGTGGACTTGTTTGCGCCGAATCGCCTGAGTCATGAGGTCAGCTGCGTTCTCGATTGTGTTCAGAGACTCACTGGTCAGAGAACCACGCGTCAGGTCCGAGAGCCTATAAATACGAGTCAATTTCTGTACGAGTCATAGATTCAGCACGTACAATGCCCATCTTGATGATAGCTCCATAGTCCTGAGGACCCAGTGTATCGTTGCCCATCTATGGCTTTGTCAGTGTGCGTCATCACGATATTGCTTGGACGTACACCAGTAGCGAAACCTCCGTAGATAGTGTTACCCTCCACAACAGTATGCGAGTAATTTCCGATGGGCTTCCAAGGTTTAACGTCGACCACTAAGGCAAGTCAATACACCTTTCGGCAGCCACGAGGCTATCACCTACTGTTGATACCGCCAATCATGATACGCTATATAGGGTAAGCCTTCGGCCTTTGAAATGGCTCTGGACATACAGTCTTGGCTCGAATAGTGTTGTTTCTGATAGTCGAAAACGGCGCGCCGAATACGACGATACCTCCATCCGTGGCGTCCACAATCTCATTGTTCTGCACAAGACTTTCCGAGCACGAAAGGGAGACACCATCGGCCCACTATCACAAGGTCAGTCGTAGACTTGAGAGTACATATACACGCACGTTTTGGAAAAAGTCGGTACCGCAAGGACCGATATCATTGTTTTGGATGGTGGCGTTGTAACAGTTAAGCTGTCCTTCAGAGCTAAAGTCTGGTCAGCTTTACATCTCGGTACATGATCTCGTGGACGTACATGTGCATGCATGACCATCCTCTATATCCAGGGCGGTGAGCATGATTCTGATATAGAGTTTGCTAGGACAAAACTTACCTGGGGTCGTAGGTCTTGACATATTCTATGGTCTGATTGGAGTTGACACCTCCAAACTCGATGTTACCACCACCCCCCTGGTAGATCGTCTCATTCGCCTTCCTGTTTCCGTTAATCTAGAGGCCGAGTATCGGTCAGCACGAGTCATGCGGCGGTAGAGGCAGAGCGCGAGGCGACAGAAAGACTGACGATGATATTGCGCAGCACAGCTCCATCCCGACCTTTGGTTGCTGCAGAGACGGCAGTGGTCTTGTTAAACCCGCTGACGATCAGAGTAGCACGGGTATCGTCTGTGGGATAGCCCTCTGTTGAGATTTCCTGCGCGCCGGTCAGCAGAGGTCCGAACGCGTCTGTATACACAAGACATACCTGGTTGATAGCGGTGTAATTGAGGACGTCGCTCAGCGCAAAGACGTTGCTGGGACATAGCTGCAAGGTGTAGCCAGCACCCCCATCTTGGATGAGCTTCTGAAGGGCGGCAGTGTTGGAACTGTTGCTGGTACAGGCGGCCGAGGCGAGGAGCGGCGCGAGGAGGAAGGCTGAAAGGAGTGGGACGATCATCTGTCCCGGTCTGCACAAGGCGTGATTATACGAGAATAGAGAAGATGGAGAAAATATAAAAGCTGCTGTAGGTTATAACCTGGTTAGAGCCAGGTAGGCGATGGAAGTCCAAAAACCTGGGACTAGAGTGTAACCTAAAGAATCTGTTAGCGCGTCGGACGTCGTCAAGGTGGAGGCACGTTCAGGGGCACAGAGGCCGAACCAAACGTTGCTCTGCGCGATCGACCGTTTGTCCGCAGGTCGCATGTATTGGAGGCACCCACTTGGACCCACAGAGGATGTTAGGAGGAAGCATTCTGTTCAAGTCATCCTCTGCAGCTGTATGCATTCCCCAATCCCACAGCCAGTGCAGCGAGATGCCCGGCGACCGCGGCAGACAGGGCAAGGCTATTACATCATACGCCGTAACGCAACAATTAAAGCATCGCCTATCTCCTTGGCGATCACTTGTCACTCAACTTTCATGATAAGCAATTCTCACTCGACTCGGCTCGAGATACTGTAGAGTAATCCATAATTTGCAACACAAGGGTATACAAGATACATCTTCAGGCGAGCACCATCCTATGTACCTCGACAATACCAGATCCCGGCCATCCGAGTTGTCGGTATCGATCAATTGGCATACTGGCGATAAGTAGTCATGAGCGGATGTGACATGCCAGTGCTTGGAATGGGCATCGATGGGCTCTCCAGAGTTTCTCCTTTCGTGTCCGGGTTGAAGATGTAATTCATGCCGAAGCCCACCTGGTGATATGTTAGCACGAACACGCTCTCAATTTTACACACTCACCGTATAGGGAACACCGATACTGCTGTCTTCTCCAGGGTCGACTTTTGTGACTGTCGTAGAGCCAGAGGCTTTTCGGATTGCGTCGCTACTGACAGGTGCATCTTTGGGTTTGGAGGAGGAGGAAGATGAAGTCTTGGAGTTGGATGAGCTGGAGGATGACGACGAAGGTTTAGCAGACGAGGAAGACGACGAAGGTTTTGCGGACGAGGCAGAAGAGCTTTTTGCCTTATCTGCGGCTTCCTTCTCCTTCATAGCTTTCATTTTAGCCATCTTTTCTTTTTCTGCGTCAGCACTAGGGGCAGAAGGGGGCTTTGAGGGGGCTCCGGAAGAAGAGGGCGCTTGAGACGAAGTTGATGAAGACGAGGTAGAGGCCGGTGCGGCAGCCGGTGGCGAGCTTGCTGAAGGTACAGTTTTGTTGATCTCTTGCGATACCATTTGCAGACACAAGCACAGCAGGAGAAGAAACGCAAGTGACCGGTTCACTGAAGGGAAGGGTCAGCTCGGACAGCCATATCCACAGAAGAGCAACGTACAGAAACTGATTCCGATGATCATTACCAGGTATTTCGTACGCCACAGTTTCTGCCGCTGCCTGGAACACATCAGTACAGTTGCATACACATTTCGACTCACTTGTCTTCGACAGCCTGCTGCCTCGCACGCTCCTCTTTGGCCTTTTCGAGTTCCTTGGCCCGTTTGGCTTCATCCTCTTTGGCTTTCGCCTTTGCAGCAGCCTCTTTAGCTGCCTTTTCCTTCTCCATAGCCTTCTCTTTTTCCTTGGATTTTTCTGCTTCCTTCTGCTTCAACTCTTCCTGCTCCTTGGCTTTCTGTTTCTCCTCTTCTTCCTTCTTCTTCTTCTTTGCGTCTTCGTCGGCATCCTTCTTGGGTGCAGGCTGTTCGGGCCTGTTGAAATGTCCTCTGTATTGTTTGGTCAGCGTGGAACAATGACCGATGATACCTGCTTACACATGTGCAGGCATCCCCTTTTCCCACCAGAGCTCTTTCCCGCCTGACGAAGCCTTCCCCATCGGAAATGGCCACGGCATCATCTTGTTCAATCTCGTGGTCAGGAAAGCAGATGGGTGAGCACGGAGGTCGTCCCAAGGGGAAGGTTCCTCCGGCTTGGGCTCTTCTTTCTTCTTTTCCTCTTTCTTTGCTTCTGCTGGCTTGTCCTTGGAGGATGAGGACGACTTTTTCTCTTCAGGTGGCGGTGGGGAGGGTCCGGGCACGGTCTGATTCCACATGATCACAAAACTAGGAATCTTTCAGCGAGTTACCTCCATTCAGTCGACGGATACCCACAGCAGCACGGCGATAGTCATGTGGACATAGGTGATGTGAATTTGAGGGACGCCCGGTAGTAGTCCCATCATCTGTACCACTGCATAACCTATCAGCATGTATACGTAGATCGGTCTCCGGAATTCCACAACATACAAAGTGCGCATATGATGATCAAGAATCCCCATTGTAGGAGGAACGGTGCGGTATGCCTGCCCGTATCAGCCATCTCCCTGTCTCCCTTCCGAAGGAATCGATTTACCAGACCCTATCTGCTGGGGGGATGAGATTTGGCATCACGTTGGAAGCCATGAAGAACACCATCCCGATAATCAGGAGAGCGTAGACGGGTGTTGGCCCAGAGACCTCTCCGCCGGGAGTGTAGGTGTAATATGGGTAGGCTGGTTGAGGGACGTAGGGATTGACGAACATGCTGGGGGGTGATGAGGTGAATATTAAGCTTCACTGGTTTATGGTGTGTCAAGAACATGCTTCAGTTCAGGCTGCGTAAGTCAGAGCCACTGCAGATATCAAAGGATTCCTTGCCTGTGAGTTGACACGAAACCTTTGTCTTCGTACACACCACAATCACAGGATTCAAGGCATTTTAACATTCGAGCTACTTGCGCATTTCGATCTGGTGGCGGAGCACATACTCGAGGATTGTTGTAGAATGGAAACGAATAGTATCCATCGACGAATGATCACCATCAGATCACGATATCTGATGATCGCGTCAACGCGTCCTCAAGGGTTACGTAAGTCCGGAATCAGCGCCGAAAGATCCGATGAGCAACCAAGGCTCTTCTGTACGATGGCAGAGGGGGTTTGGAGGAGACTGCTGGGCAGAAAGAGCCTCCAAATGCATGGCGCCTTCTTTACGTATGCTCGCTAGATAGTGCCGTCTATGCATCCAAGGGGTATCAGATACGCTTCTTTCGGGCCCGACACCAGCAATGCCGGCGAGCGCCGCCCCACTACGCGAAGAACGCCGACGCTGATGAAGCATGCTTGCCACAGAAGGAGTGTCCCATCTCTCTTCATCATCCAACCCTGCCCCGCCCTCCCATATTGCTACCATGCTCCCCCTCAGAGCACTCGCACGCTCCGTGCCAGCTCGCCAGTGCCGCTCCGTGCAGCTCGCCCGATCTGTGGCATCGTCACCATCAGCGCGGCCAGCAGCGCACTACCTGGCCATCTACCGCTCACAGGAAGCCTCCAGGTCTTTGCATACCTCTTCCATCAGGCTGAAGGAAAAACGCTGGGTCAACAGCACGCCCCCTGCCGAGGGCGAAGACGAAGGCAAGGAAGGCTCCCAGGCTAAAGAGCAGGCGAAAGACTCGGCAGCCGAGGCAGAGTCATCCAAATCCGCCGAGGAGCGTGCAAAGGCTGAGGTCGAGGCGTCCAAGCCTGAAAATGTCAAGGCATCTGCCAACTCGAGCTCTGGAGCTGGTTCTGCACCTCCAGCGACCCCCCCAGCCGGCGCGCCAGGGGGTGAGTCACCGCCCGGCGGTACCCCCAAAGAGCTTGCAAAGCCCATCATCCCCTCCATATACCCGCAGGTCCTTGCTATCCCCATCACCCACCGACCTCTCTTCCCTGGTTTCTACAAGGCCGTCACTGTGCGCTCACCGCCGGTTATCAAAGCTATCCGAGATCTCCAGGCTCATGGCCAGCCTTACGTTGGCGCATTCTTGTTGAAGGACTCGACTAGCGACTCAGACGTCGTCACAGATATCAATCAGGTCCACCCTGTTGGTGTGTTCTGTCAGATCACGAGCTGCTTCACCTCGCAAGAAGGTGAGGGCAAGCCCGAGGCCTTGACTGCGGTCTTGTTCCCACACAGACGGATCAAGATCGATGAACTGGTCTTGAACCCCGAGGAGACTGGTGCTGGCGACAAGGTGAATCTAAAGACCCTCGTCGAGTCTGTGCAGAACAACGAGAAGGGTGAGGGAGAAGTGGAGAGCTTTGAGCCCGAGGTCCCTACCGTGGAAGAGGTGCGAGAGGAGCTCGCCGCGGTGCCAGAGGAGCAAAAGGCAGAGGAGAACAAGAAGGAAGAGAACAAGGAGGAAAAGCCGGAAGGAAAGGTGGAAAACACAAAGATCGACTTCCTCTACCCTCTCCTGCCAGAAGTGTCCTTGACCAATGTCACAAATGTCGGCCTCGAGCCTTATGAGAAGGACTCTCAGGTGATCAGGGCGATCATGAGCGAGTTGATCTCGGTATTCAAGGAGATTGCTCAGCTTCAACCCATGTTTAGAGAGCAAGGTGAGTCCAAAGTTTTTTTAGAGTGAGGGGCAATTCTGACTCCGCTGCAGTGACAAGCTTTGCCATCTCCAACACTTCTTCGCAAGTCTTTGATGAACCCGACAAGCTTGCCGACCTCGCAGCGGTGGTTTCCACAGCCGACATAACCGACTTGCAAGCCGTGCTCGCCTCCACTTCGATCGAGGACCGCCTCCAGCGCGCTCTCGTCCTCCTTAAAAAGGAGCTCATCAATGCCCAGCTGCAGTTCAAGATTGCCCGTGACGTCGACACCAAGATCCAAAAGAGGCAGAGAGAATACTACCTTATGGAGCAGCTCAAGGGTATCAAGAAGGAATTGGGCATGGAAAGCGACGGCAAAGACAAGCTCGTGGAAGGGTTCAAAGAGAAAGCGAGCAAGTTGGCGATGCCAGAGGGCGTGAGAAAGGTATTTGACGAGGAGCTAAACAAGCTTGTCCACCTCGAGCCTGCTGCGAGCGAGTTCAAGTGAGTCTAGCTGGGCACTCTGTCAGATCGGGCTAATGATCATTAAGTGTCACGCGTAATTACATCGACTGGCTCACCCAAGTTCCTTGGGGCGTCCACACACCGGAAAACTGCGACATTTCCCATGCCATCAAAGTCCTTGACGAGGACCACTACGGCCTGAAGGATGTCAAGGATCGTATTCTCGAGTTTATGGCCGTCGGCAAACTCAGAGGTACGGTGGAAGGTAAAATCTTGTGCCTTGTCGGCCCTCCTGGTGTTGGTAAGACGAGTATCGGCAAGAGCGTTGCCAGAGCACTTGGCAGACAGTTCTTCAGATTCTCTGTGGGTGGTTTGACGGATGTGGCAGAGATCAAGGGTCACAGGAGGACATACATTGGGTGAGTCAGCACATGTTCTGCCTTTGACACGCTGACACCGTGTAGTGCTATGCCTGGTAAACCCATCCAAGCCTTGAAGAAGGTTGCCACCGAGAATCCCCTTATCCTCATTGACGAAGTCGACAAGATCAGCAAGGCCTACAACGGTGACCCCGCTTCGGCTCTTCTTGAAATGCTCGATCCGGAACAGAACAAGTCTTTCTTGGACCACTACCTTGACGTCCCCATTGACCTCTCTCGTGTACTCTTCGTCTGCACTGCCAATGTTCTCGAGACCATCCCCGGTCCTTTGCTCGACCGAATGGAGGTGCTGGAGGTGTCTGGATATGTGTCGGCGGAGAAAATGAGCATCGCGGAGCGTTATCTGTCCCCTCAGGCCAAGGAGGCGTCAGGATTGAAGGATGTGAAGATCGAGCTGGAGCCGGGAGCGATCGAAGCTTTGATCAGATATTACTGCCGAGAGAGTGGTGTCAGGAATTTGAAGAAGCACATTGACAAGGTAAGCCATCCAGCCATCTTTTCGGCCAAATCCTGACCGTTTGTCAGATCTACCGTAAAGCTGCCTTCCAGATCGTCACCGATCTCGGCGAAGAAGGGCTTCCAGAACCCAACTCGGCCCCTATCGAAGGACAAGTCGAAGCTCAACAACCCGATGTCAAGCCCCCCTCCGAGCTGAATCCCAACGACCATGAGCTCGAAAAGAAGAAGAGCACAGAGACCAAGGCGGACGTGACTACCGTCAAGCGGGATCCTCTGAAGATTCCAGATGACGTCCATGTCACAATCACGCCGAGTAATTTGAGAGAATATGTTGGCCCGTAGGTCCATCTCGCTTGATCTGTAGGGGCTCTGCTGATCCTGTCGTCAGACCTATCTACCACAAGGACAGGCTGTACAGCAACGCTCCGCCTGCAGGTGTAAGCACTGGCTTGGGTTACCTCGGTAACGGTTCTGGTGCTGTCATGCCCATCGAAGTCAACGTATGTCAGATTCTCCATCTGCGTATATACTCCCTGACCCTCTTTAGGCTATGCCTGGTAAGGGCAATCTTCAGCTTACCGGTAAGCTCGGAGAAGTGATCCGGGAATCTGCCCAAATCGCTCTCTCTTGGGTAAAGGCCAACGCCTACCTCTTGGGTATCACCAAATCTGAAGCGGAGGTGACTCTCAACAACCGAGACGTCCACTTGCACATGCCCGAAGGAGGCATCGGCAAAGAAGGACCTTCGGCTGGTACCGCAATCTTGACGGCATATGTGTCTTTGTTCACAAAGACCAAGGTGGACCCCGATGTGGCTATGACGGGAGAAATCAGTCTGTTGGGACAAGTGCTGCCTGTTGGTGGACTGAAGGAGAAGATTCTGGCGGCTCATCGCGCGGGTATCAAGAGTGAGTTCTGAGCGCCACACGCCCGCTCCAGTACTGATATTTTATCAGAACTCATTGTCCCCGCCGCCTGTAAACCTGACATTGACGAGAACGTTCCCGAGTCCGTCAAGGGCGGCATCGAGTTTGTCTTCGTTGAGGACGTTCTTCAGGTATTACACGAAGCTTTCCGTGGAAGCGAGGCAGAGAAGAGATGGCAAGAAACATTACCAATGGATGAGGAGCCTGAGAGGGTGAAGCATTAGAGCGACGTCATTTCGGGGGGAGGCATCTAGATCGGAGCATCGTGTTGGGGGCTTGTAGGCCGCAGGATGGCTTGTACAAATAGATATCTGATTCGCATATTTCTTGGTATCAATATACAATCCAGCAATGCATTATTAGTAGACTCATCTCATAAAAGTTTCACAAATTGTCAAGACTCACTCGACTCCGCCGCTCGAGAAGTCAACAGCAACGTCAATTTGGTTCCGCGACGGTTTGTGGTTTTGATCTAATCGCGATTCGCAATTGATTCGCAAGAGTTGTCAGTTTTCAGAAATTTCCCATTCATCAACTCTTTGTGGCAAGAACTCTCTGTGGCAAGAGAACAATGCGCCCTTCTCCACGCAACCTATCTACCCTCCCCCCGACAATCCGCTCTCTCCTCGCTGCCAGACGGGCTGCCCCTTCTACGAGCTCGTCCTCCGAATCGCCGTCCCAAGAGTCGCAACAGATCGAGGTCAACGGATGGATCAAATCAGTCAGAGGACACAGGAATGTCTCTTTTGTCGAGCTCAATGACGGGAGTACAAGTGAAAGTCTGCAGGCTGTCTTGAAGGGCAAGGGGAAAGCCGAGGGGTCAGTTGCCTTGCCAGCTCACATTCAACAATGCTGATTCTGCAGATAGCCTGGGGGTCGGAACAAGCTTGTCGCTGAAGGGCAGATTAGAAAAGTCCAAGGGGAAAGGGCAAGACTTAGAGCTTGTCATAGATCATGCTCAGGTGGCTGGTCATTGCGACGCTCAAGTATGTCCCTGCCGCCAATATGAATGTACGCAGCTGATCAATGTCTGCAGCTGTATCCCATACAAAAGAAGTCATTACCACCAGCAGTGCTGCGCGAAAATGCTCATCTGAGATTCCGGACAACTCAAACAGCTGCTGTGATGCGCATACGAGATGCGCTGGTTCGGGACTGGCACGACTGGTTTGAGGTTTGTCCTGTCCACTCTGGGATGATCTGTGCTGACTGTGTGCAGGAAAACGAATTTGTTCACATTCAGACACCTCTTCTGACTGCTTCTGACTGTGAAGGTGCTGGCGAAGTCTTCACGCTCAAAGACCATCCCGCTCCCACGGCCCCCACGTCCCCGCAACCCTTCTTCTACCATCCCGTTCACCTCACCGTCTCTGGCCAACTTCATCTCGAAGCCCCCACGCATGCCCTTTCTCGAACGTACACCCTCTCCCCAGCTTTCCGCGCCGAGCCCTCCCTCACTTCCCGGCACTTGTCCGAGTTCTACATGATGGAGGGGGAAGTAGCTTGGGTGGAGAGTTTGGACGGCTTGTTGGATGTAGTGGAGGATGGGGTGAGAAGTGTAGTAAGGGAGACCTTGGGAGAAAGCAAGAGAGGGGAAAGGCTGCGGCGAGATTTGGAGGCGGTTTCGCACTCTATGCAAGAGTCGGAAGGGGACGAGACGACACTGGAAGAGAGACTTGAAGATCCATTGGCTCGTCTGCGGCATATCGTCGCCCAACCCTTTACCCGCATCACTTATAGCTCCGCACTCGAGCTCATAGCCACTCTCCATACCAAGTCACCCGACGTCGTCTCTCCTGCACCTCCATGGGGCGAGGGAATCTCGACCGAACACGAAAAGCTCCTTGCTGAGCACTACAACGGACCCTTGTTCGTCACACGTTATCCCAAATCTCTCAAACCATTCTACATGCTCCCCACTTCTTCTTCTCAATCGGATCAGGAGACGGTGGAATGCTTTGATCTCCTCTTTCCCTCATGGGGCGAAATGGCCGGTGGCTCTTTGCGTGAACACCGTCTCGACCACCTTACTCGGGCCATCTCTGACGCAGGCATGAAGCCGGAAGAGTACGAGTGGTATCTCGACTTGCGACGATACGGGACGGTTCCTCATGGTGGCTGGGGTATGGGGTGGGATAGATGGGTGGGCTGGGTGACAGGTTTAGGCAATGTCAGGGATGTAGTCCCTTACCCCAGATGGAAGGGACATTGCAAGTATTAGCGGTACATTCAAGTGGTATCACTTGAGCATGTAGATGCACAAATGCATAAACAATCATCATTGTTTCTGAAATGATAGACCGATGATTCAGATGGTTACCACAACTATCCTACAAGATCCCTATGACTTGATCTCCACTGGCCACATGGCATGTTTGAACATGTTATCCGGGTCCAACTGCTTCTTCAACCTCTTCAAGCGCTCGTAATTCTCTACACCGTACACTCCCACCACACGGTGTTCCTCCTGGCTCTGCAAAAACTATTTCTCTTGTCAGCTTTCCCAGCCGACACCTGATCGAATGACTTACGCAAGGCAAAGGGCCTCCAGGCGAATTGGGGTGTATCACATCTTCGATCCACTCTTCCGCCGTCAACACACACCTTGCATCCTCTTCTGGGCTCTCATCGTGTGCCCACTGATGGAGCGCAGCGACCGTGAACGCCGCCGATCTATGCGACTCGGGGAAACAAGATCCAGGTTTAGTGTGGGGCGGAGAAGCGAGGGCATTGGAGCCAGTGTATTCAAAGAGCCAGGCTGATCCTGAACATTAGAGTCAGGCTTAACAGGGAAGATCGGGGGAAAGGAACTTACTGCAGCCGTCGGGGACGGAATGGAATCGTGCGCAAGTCTGGTCAATGACCTCGTCTGTGAGACTCAGAAGAAGATCGCTTTTGATAAACCTGTCCTTTGTCAGCGGACATTCTTAGACGAAATGAAAAGCTCACCATTTCCTGCCGTACCCTCCCTTCAAGACATCCTCCACGGCCAATTGCTGCTTTCCGAAAGTTCTCTCCGAAAAGTCTGAGAACAAGCTCTTTCCTCCCTCCCAACTACTGATCGCTTGTACATAGTTCTCTCCTTCATGTCTTGCGTTCTTGCCGGAGAAGCATAGTTGAAACACGACAATGGCGGGAGCACCGGGTGGACCAGCAGTGAGAATGATGTTGGCGTAAAGGGAGGGAGTCGCTGATTTGATACAGTCGCGGACGTGGCGGAGAAGGGATGGGGTGGTGTTTTCGTCAAATACGCTGGACCCAGTGATCAGCAGGATGATTATAGACATAAGAAGTACGCACTAGATGAGTATGCCAGCGTATACACTCGGCGTGTAGTAGGCCTTGGCCCTGAACCTCGTCACCACGCCGATAACTGGCCCCGCTCCTCTCACCGCCCACCAGACTTCCTCTGGATCCTCGTCCTCTTTCCAGTCGCCCCCCTTGGCCCCTTCGTCGCCCAGCCAGACTATTCTGCCGTCTGCGAGCACCATCTCGACTTCAACAAGGTTGTCCATTCCCAATCCGTGCTTTCTGCTCAAAAAGCCGAAACCGCCCGATAAGAACTGGCCAGAGCCGACGGGAAAGGCCGAGGTGGGGACGTGGAAAGCACCGTAAGGCGATGCACCAGTATAGTCATCGAGCTGCTTGGACCTGACACCCGCACCAAAGGTCACCAGCGTGAAAGGCGGGGGGTTGGCGTTGGTATTGAAGAGAGAGTGCTGAGGGAGGAGGTTGAGATAGGAAGGGGTGTACCCTGATTGGGCATTGAACAATGTGGAAGACGAAGAGTCTCCGACCGTAGTGGGGAGGAAGGGGAAGGATGAAGTGGGGGTTTGTGATGGGTTGACGTAGGTGATTCGGGGGGTGGTTGAGGGACCAGCAGTGGCGTTGGAGATGGGTAGAGCGTCGGTGGCTCGGTAGGAGATACCCAGACCATTTCCAGTCTTTCTCTTTCCTCTTGACCCGTCAGCCTCGGTACCGTCTTCGACACCGTCTACAGCATGTCGCTTGATGCTCGACTTGGCGGGCTGGGCAATGGCCTGTCGGTCCAAGACTTCTGGTGGGGTAGCCGAGCTGACTCGGAGCTTTTCGAAAGACTCTTGAAGAGTGGGCGGGTAGGGACTGGGGAGAGATATCGAGATGTCGTTGAGCTCTGAAAGGTCGAGAATGACATGCCCGGCCACCTATATTCAAGTGAGACATGCATGTCAAAAGCTGGGGTCAGGACTTACGCTCCAGCCGTGGACGCCATTGCCACCGCCCTTGACGCTGACCTCGATAGAGTGCTGCTTGCAAAACTTGATGGTTCTTTGCCAGAGTCAGCTGTATGTGCCGAGCCTGAATCCGTTCTGACCCACCGGCTGACGTCCATGGCGTTGACAGGTTTGACGAGTGCCAAGGCTGGTGTCTTGACAGCCCCATTGAATATGGAGGCCGCGGATGAGAATCTGCCACCGCCGTCAGCTCCATCCTCCCTCGCTGTCTTCTGACCTACCCCTCGTCGTCTTTCCCTAGAACTTGGGGCTGTTTGCCTCCCTCGAAGGCGGCGGTGAGGACTGCCTGCTTGAGGCGTGCGACGAGGTCGGGGACGCCGTCGAGGGCGTGGAGGGGCTTGAGCTGCCTGGGCCAGAAGGGGTAGGGGTCGTTGGGGACGCCTGTGGCCTTGACGGTGTGTGTCATCCTGCTGCCTCTCCTGCTGCCTCTCCTGTTGCTGTTGCTTGGCTGTTGCACTCCAATAATCATATTTGAATCATGTGCCATCAGAGAACCAAAGAACCCGGCGGCCCCCTCCGCCCGCCACCCGCCTCTCGCCGCAAACGCCGTCCTCCCTCTCCAAGCCTATCTTATCGTTGTTTGTCCTCCACCCACCACCAAACTTTTATTGTATGTCTCACACACCCACCCCCCAGTCAGGTAACGCCTCAGAGAAGCCCTCCCTCGTCGGCGTACGTATCCGCCAGAGAAAGGGCCAAGCAAAGGCCACCTCCAAGTTTGAGCCCGAGAGTAAGCCGGCCCCTCAGTCTCGTCAGCCCCTACTTACTCTGTACAGCTTTCCGGGACGCTCTCCTCCTCCACCTCGCCCTCCTCCCCAGCCCCATCACCAACGACGCCCTCGTCTCCAAGCTCGTCCAGGCCGGCTCGACGCTGGAGCTTCTCAAGTACTACGAACAGCTCTTTGAGCTTCTCTTTGTCGGCGGTCTCTTGCAGCCCGGTGGTTCTTACCTCGACGAGAAGCGATCCCCCGTATACGTCCTCCAGCCCGATGAGGAGATCGCCGAAGCCTTCCCTGAAGGCATCAAAGGCATCATCGATGTCCTCAAAAAGGTGATGCAGAGGTACAAGTACCTCCAAAGGCCTCTTGAGGAAAACTTCCTTCCCGGACTGCTTGGCTACTTGCCCAAGTGGGACCAAGAGTCTCGCGCCAAGCTCGCCGAGGCTACCGCGCTCCTGATCGTCGAATGCCAGATCTCTCCCCGCTGCCTCCAGTCTCTGGTCAAGGAGCACGTCGTTAAGGACAACGTCGCCCTCGACTTTTTGACTGCTTTTGTCAAGACCTACACTAGCCGCTTGTCCACGGATCAATTCGGATCCCTTATCAAGAGGTCTGGCTTGAGGGACATTCTCGGAGTGTTCCCTCTCCAAATTCGAGACAGGAAACACCTTGAAGAGCATTTCAAGAAGGCTGGTTTGCCTGCGGTGAACGATTGGTACGCCCGAGTGGCCCTCGGAGAAGTCAAGGAGGAGACTATCCAGAACATCGAGAGATTGATCAACGACGATGAGCCTATTCCCCAGGTGCGTACATTGTTTTGGGCTTCCAGTATGCGCTGATCAGGGACAGATTGCGGAAACTCTTAAGAGCAACCAAGCAGAGAATCCTGTTTCAGAAGCTGATTTCTGTGAATGGCTCTGGCTCGGCCTCATGAAGACTGTCGACTGGACTGCCCGATCTGACCAGATTGACGCCGCCGTCGTCGCCCACGTCAACGTACGTCCCACTTGTCCTTCCTTTGTCCTTATTGACATTCTCATAGCGTTACGCTCCCCTCCTCGAACTGTTCTGCCAATCCGCCAAGGCCCAAGTCAACCTGATCAATGCCGTCCAGGTGTACTGTTACACCGACACCCGTATCATCAAGTCGTTCACGCAGATCTTGAAGGTGCTTTATAACGCGGATGTGGTTTCAGACCAGGCGATCATCTATTGGCATCAAAAGGGAGCCAAGCCCAACGGCAAGGGCCATTTCTTGAAGGCGACCGAGGCGCTTGTCAAGGTAAGCTTAATTTGATGTGATGAAGCATGAAGCTGACATGCGACCAGTTCCTTGAAGAGGAGTCTGACGACGAAGAAGAGTAGAGCGTCATGGAGACGCAGATTGTGCAGAAGAAAAAAAAATCAGAGTGATTCATCGTGTATTATTTCGACTTTCATCATGCATACGCATCGAGACTGGACGGTATCGTGTGAAGCATTGAAGGAGGGCAAAAGGGTCTTGCTGCTTTGCACGTGGATGATGGCCATTATGTCCGAATCTGGAAGTCATGGCGGGTGGTGTGGAATACGATGGACATGGCGGTGGACGGTCTCAGAATGTCCTGAGGGTCTCACAAACTCTCATTCACAGGAGCCAGCTGCAGGTTCGAAGCTAAAAAGGTGACTTGAAGAACGAGCGATGGGAGGAGGAGCGAAGCATCCAATGCAAGAAGCATCATCACCAATCATGATTACGTAACGATCGATGTAAACTCTTGATGAGCTAGGAGCGCGAGCGAAGTGCAACTGCAAGCAATTGCCTCAAAGTCACTCATCTCTTCACTTCCGTCCATCCCTGGAATTCTCAATCAGACTGCCGAGACAGGGGTATTCCCTCAGATCTGACCGTCACCCGTCAATACACAACAAACCCCTTTGAAAATGGCGCGTAACTCTGAAAAGGCCCAGTCCATGCTGTATCGTTTCCGCGAACAACAAGCCATCGACATGGGGCTCGGGACCCGCCAAAAAGGCGACCGTAGGCCCAGAATGACTTCGACCTGCACCAACCTAAGAGAAGCAGAGAGGTGGAGGGGAGACATCATGAGGGATATCGGGAGGAAGGTGTCAAAGATTCAAGATGGTCAGTCGTTCTGCCTTCTGCGCTCTCCCTGCACCCTGATTGGAATATTGACACGTATTTTTTGCAGTCTCTTTGACAGATTATCAAGTACGCGATTTAAATGACGAGATCAATCAGCTCTTCCGGGAAAAGAGGAACTGGGAGAACCAAATCATCAATCTGGGAGGAGCGAATTACAAGCGGTCAGCGGGGGTCATGGTGGATGATGATGGGCGGGAGGTGCCTGGAACCAGAGGCTACAAGTGAGTCTTAATAAACACTGTGACATTGACAAGGATTGAGCTGATCGTGACTTGTAAAGGTATTTTGGACGAGCCAAGGAATTGCCTGGTGTGAAAGAGCTTTTCACTCGAAGTGGTACGTCTTTGACCATTCGCGTTAGCAAGCTGTATGCTCACAGATGACATCAAGCTGCCCAAGCGACCGAAGAGTCTGCCCGTAATTCTTCCTTCCAGATGTTCCGACACCAAGGACCTGGGTATTATGGCGACGAGGACGAGCTTGAAGAGGGGCTTTTGGCTGAAGAGGAAGAAGCGAGTCGACAAGGTATGCTTATCTACCCTCTTTTACTCTACAGGCTAAGAGCTGACGATTATGTGTAGAATGGAACGATCAAGCTCGAGAGACGGCTGAATTATTAGGCATCACCGATGAGACGTCGTTGCCTGCTTATCCCGTCGAGCTCCCGTCGACATCGGGCGAGAGCGAAAAGGCCCCACCGGCGACAAAGGGCAAGAAGACTGCCGCGAATGGGAAGAGCAAACGCAAAGCCGGCATTGAAGAAGAAGGGGAGGCAAAGAAGAGCAAGGGAGATGAGGTATCTGAAGAAGGCCAGAATGTCCCCGCTGTACAAGATGCTGTTGCCCAGGCAGCAGCGGCAGGGTACTTGGGCGTCCTAGATGCGGACAGTATCAAATTCCCTACCTTGCCGGATAAGGAGGAGATGGCAAAGGTGCTGTTGGAGGTCAGGAAACAGGCTCTGAGAGACGAGTATGGGGTGTGAGGGATGGTTTAGAGTCATGAACATGTATCGGTATGCAGTGGAAACGACCAGTCCTAGCGGCCCTTCTTCAAGCAATGCAAAGCGTAAGGGATGCAGCAATCTTTCCATACGGCTGTGTAATGCCTCGACAAAATCATAGATGCGGTTCAGAACTGGTAGCCGAGAATCGGCTAAATGACTAAATGATGTGCTGCATGCGGCGCTTGTTATCAACCTGTTATTGTATTTTGTGGATTGAGTCGAAGATCCACATCGCATGCAGATAAAAGGGCGCCCATCCCCTCTGGCATCTCCCATCCACCATGCCAGCGTTCACCAACTCATACGCCCCCCCAGCGCCACCCGACATCCCAAGCGACATTCATCTCCACACTCGTCCAGACGAATACGACTTCAACTATGTCTTTGAAGTCAAGCAGCTTAGATCAGACAGGGTAGAGCTCAGGCCGATGGTCGTCAGTCATCGTCAGTATTCTACTCTACAGCACTAATTGTTCGAAGCCGTCCCTACACGCCAAGCTCTACTTTGAGGGCGTCACCAAGTATCCAGAAGTGCTCAAGTGGATGGGCATCTCGCCTCCCCAAACCTTGGAAGAGACTCTCGTCCTCATCGAGAAGATATGGAGAACCCCGACGGTATGTAAAGATATCTATACCTACTTTCAGAGCTAACAATGCCCAGGATTCGCTCCCGTATGCAATCTTCACCGAGCCTCCTGGGTCGACGACTAAGGTCGAACCTGAGGACTACGTCTATGCCGGAAGCATCGCCATCATCAACTCTAGCTCTCCCCAAATGATCGCCGAGCCAGGATACGTCACTATCCTTCCACCTTTCCATGTACATGCCTATCCTCGATCTCCACTCAAATCGCTGACACCAGGTCATAGCGAACCCACGTCCAAACCCACGCAACCGGCCTGCTCCTCCATCGCATCCTCGATCATCCTGACCAGGGCGGTCTCGGCCTCCGACGCTGCCAGTGGCTGACCACCACGCTGAACACGGCAAGTCAGGCTGCATCCAAGAGGTTGGGCTTTCACTTTGAGGGAGAGTTGAGGTGCCAGAAAGTACTTCCAGCAGGCAAAGTCGGTGTACGGGATGGTAGACCCGGGGTGAGGCTTTCAGAATGTCCTGTAAGGCATGACTGGTACTCTTCTTTGACCTGGTACGAATGGGAAGGGGAGGGTAGGACGCATATCGATGCGCTCATGGCTCGGCAAGGATGATCGGAATAGAGACGGAATGGCAAATACTGCTGTTGTTACCTGACATCAATAAGACTGCTGCAAAGACCAATGGATGCATGACCTCTACCGCAAAAAGGGCTTAGCGAACTTTGGCACGTAAAGCTCGCTAGGCTGTAATGCCACTGTCATACTAACCTGTTCTCGTCCATACCTTCCCCTTCCGTGGTACCAACCGACCGTCCCGTCCATGGAAAGAGAACAAGAAGACCCTTGCTTTGGCATGAGTATGCCGCTTCCATCTGGCTCTTGTATCCAGCTGTACTGGATAGTGTCATGCACGTCTCCTCTATTTGACACTTCATCATCCTCGAAGTGTAAACCCCGAGTGGTGATCCGAACGACACCCAGTGGTACCGTTGATTCTGATGGGAGAGTGCTTTGGACAACGATACGAGCTCTTCCTCGTCTCGTATGGGAACCTTGGACGTCAGGGGTGCCTCGGATATACCATTCGCCATCCAAAGGTGTAGTCTCCCAGATGGCATTAACCAGCTTGGAACCGTCATATCGAGCAGTGACTGTGGCGTCGATGCTGAAGGGATGATTGAGACCCCTGGAAGTGATCGACAAATCCTTGTTGAGAAACGATGAGAGCGAAACGGGCTCAGCGGTGCCCAGATAGTCGGCCTCAAAGATGATCGCTCCCTCACCGTCGGCAGGATGATTCTCTGCAGGGTGCAAAGCTGCTACGTCCATCGATAAGCATAGGTATGAGTTTGAGGGCCGCAATCCGCCACCAACGACTTACGTTCTTCTTGCTGCCCGCCTTCTTCCTCGGCCCGGAATGCAGCTTCGACGGTGCCAGCCTCACTGAGACTCACACTGAATTGTCCACGAACAAAGTCATCCTGTCCACGACTATCCATCCACCAGAGTTTGCCGGGTATCCCATCAATATCCAGAGGTCCTGTGAGGTTAACAAGATGATTCAACTCTCGCAGTGCAAAGGTGCCGCGCGCATTGGGTAGATGTAGCGTGACCGCCACATGACATCCACCAACGCCACACTCCCGGCGTCACGGCGATACCTCCGTTCCGTTCCGTTTCCGTTTCCGTCCGTAGGCCCTGATGCATGTCGGAGACCCAGGAGCTTTCTCTTCTCTATAGCTTTACGCCTATAGAAGAACCTCCTGGCTATCCTTATTCTATCTCTTCTACTTCCTCGGCTACTCCTCGTACAGCTCGCACACCGCTCACTGCACTCGCCCCAGCCGACCCCAAAGAGATACAAGACGCTCCGGACTCTCCCCCAGACTTATTAAGCCATAGTTTGTGCTCTGTCTCCGGACACCGCCACAACTTGGGGGCCTAACTGGGAAAGTCTTTTCAGCGTCTTCGCCTCCCCAGCTCTATCGATTCACCAAATTTTGTCCGTTATCTTTTAAAACTTTCAAAACCCCGTCCGAGGATTAGCTACCCTCTCGACAACCAAAAATACGACTCGTTTTTCCTTTCTCTATAAAATACCCACAAAACACAAAAAATTTCTTTCTCGTTCTTCCGCGTTCTTGTCTCTTGCGTTCTAGATAGATTTCTTTACTCTACGACGCCGCTCATACTGCACCGCTTGCCAGAGCTTCGGTCCCGCAGTCTCATACACCGGTCATCTCACCTCGACTTCAAATCGCGAAGCACGGGAAGAGCTTCTGCAGGAGCTAGGCTATAGGCCTTCACACGACATACCAGGTTCCAGAGAATCTCCATCATCAGGCTCCACGAGTCTCCTCACATCCCAGGCTTCACGAGTCTCCTCACATACCAGGCTCCACGAGTCTCCTTACATACCAGGCTCCACGAGTCTCCTCACTCATCAGGCTCCACGAGTCTCCTTACTTATCAGGCTCCACGAGTCTCCTCACTCATCAGGCTCCACGAGTCTCCTTACTTATCAGGCTCCACGAGTCTCCTCACTCATCAGACTCCACGAGTCTCCCCACTAACCAGACTCCTCGAGTCTTCCTACCGCATCTCTACTCATTGGTGTCTCCGTCATGTCTGACCAGGCCGTCCAACCCACCCGCCGAAACCTTCGCAGTCAAGGCGATGCGCCCTCGCAAGGTTCCGCCCCCGCCGACCATAGCTCATCTCCGCTAACTCCCCTTCTTCCTTCCGACCCTCATGTTCCCCTTGTCGATGGAGCTGCTCCCCACAGCCTCCAGTCCGAAGTCGGCAACGGGACAAGTCAGTCGGATCCGCCTCTTTCCGTTCACCATACCCCGCAGACTGCTCCCCAAGATCTCGTCCACGGCACCCACTCCGCCGCGCCCACGGTTGACTTCCTTATGCAACAAAACCGTTTCTTGATGTCTTCGATGGCCGACATGCGCAACAAGATACGCTCTCTTCGTCTCAGCCAGTCACGCGAGGCCACCCCAGTGTCCCCTCCTCCGCGTCACCCTCATGCACCCAAGCTCAAGCACGAGATGTTCCCAAAGTTCCGCGGCCACGACGACGAAGACGTCGACACCTGGGTTACCTCTGTTACCGCCATCTTCGAGTTCTCCGGCGCTGCCGACAAAGATTTGCTCCTCCTCCTGCCCGCCCTTCTCCAAGGTTCCGCGCAGCGATGGTTCACCGACCTCGAGCCCGAGCGCTGCCGGTCCTTACACACATGGTCGCAATGGTCTGCCGCCATCCAGTCTGTATATCTCGGTGCGAACCACGCCTCGCGTTTACGCACCAAGTGCATCTTCCGTCGCCTCAAATCTACAGAATCGCTGGCCGTATACTTCGATGACAAGAGGTCCCTGCAACGCCACCTCTACCCCGCTGGCACCCCGGACGTCGACCATATCGACGACATCATCAACGGTCTCCCCGAGTACATGCAAAAGCTGGCGCGCATCGACGCCCGGCTGTATCCCAACCTCGATGACTTCCGCCGAGCCCTCATCGACGGTGAGCCCTCGATGCGACCAGAGCTCTCCCGCCGCCGCCAGGATAACGCTCCTCCACGTAACCGACACCAGCAACGCGAACGACCAGACCCCCTCTTCTACCCAGTCGCCCCCGAAGACTCCGTGTCGTTTTTGCCAGGGTCCGCACTGGAACCGAGACTGTCCCCAACAAGCAGCTCCACCTGCCCGTCCCGTGCAGAGCATGGCCCCGCCCGCTCAGCCGCCCTCGTCTGCCCCAGCATACGGCAACTTCCGTCTGGCTTCTCGTCCTGAAAACAATGGGCCGTCCAATTTCCGCCCTGCATCCGCCTCCGCGAATGGCACCCCTCTTGGTAACTCGAAACCCCCGGGCGCGTTTACCGTATTCGTAAGGCCCTCTGCAGTCACGCATGAGCACCCTTCCGACGCGCAGGAAGTTGTCTACTCACCTCCTTCGTCCGACAACCAGACTCCTCGAGTCTCCCAACCACAGGTTCCCCGAGCCTCCCTTCACCAGACTCCACGAGTCTCCTCTCCTCTCGCGCTTCA